TTAATTAATGTCTAATTAAAATTTTATATAACAAGGCCTAAAGAAAGACCCGCAATAGACAAATTTAGCTCTTGAATAATGTATCTTTAATCCTACATTCACTACATTTCGCGCGACTGAAATATATTGTGTGTGTGATGGTGGTGGTGGTGGGGGGGGGGCGTGATCCACTGGGCCGTCGATCCGATAGGCTACCCACGAGTATTACAAATACTAAACCTGGTGGTTTGTGATGACGGAGTTCAGTTGATGCACCACACGGAACCAAGTTTAGCTTCAGTTTCAGTAAAGCAGCTTTGGTTTTCTGATCAAGTTTCAAGTTCCGACCATCGCTCCAATTAAAGTGGCATCATGGGAGATTAGATAAAGAGTTGATAGTTCTTGCTATAATAGTTAAAAATAGATAACGTAAATAGAATATGCTGAAAATTTCAGTCAAATTGCTCCATTCTGAACCCAGATATTAGCTTTAGAATTTTAGGCTGTCATCGATCATCATTACTAAAGTCGGTAAGATAAAAAAACCAAAACCTCGATTATTTATTTTTACGTTTAAACAGACATTATGCAAGAGCTAAATCTGCCTATTGTAAGTCTCCATTTAGGCTTCAGATGATATAGAAACTATTAATTAGACCTTTATTTACACGACAAGCTTAAAATCAACCCTGTAGACCCACGGATGGCTTGGATACAGTTTGGATTTAAACAGCCTCGTCCATTTAAAATTAAATCAATAAATGGCGGACCAAGCTAACGTTTACCGTTACTCGCTGCATCATGTCACAGTCGGAAACTGGTGATGAAAAGCCTGCCAGGCGAGGCTACCATAGCCATCGAGCATGTTACTTGATAATCGAGAATATGTGGGTGGAGTTATCGTTTGTCAATCAAACGATCGCCAATTCTCATAGACGGCGAAGACACAATTGATGCCTATTTCTAGTCCAAACTTCTAACAGTGACAATACAATTCCGTTCAGAAAAAAGTAATTTGACTGAAATTTTCAACATTTTTTTTTATCATCTATTTTTCAATTATAATAACAAGAGAATGGCCAAATCGTTATAAAACTCTTAACTAATGTATCTTTAATTGTTTTTCAAAAAGTGTATTCCGATCCGCTAAATATCGCAGGTTAGCGATGTCATCGAGTGTTGATTATGGGCTGGATAACCCCCTCCTGCAAAAATTCCTCTACGCGTACATGATGGAAAACAGGCACGTGTGTTAATTACCCACTGTTGACTATGATGAAAATATACTTGTGGTCAGAATAGATATTCATGTATTAATTAGTGTACTCGGTCTCTGAACTCTGTAAAATTCTACGTAACAGGTGGAACGGTTAATTGTTTCTTTTTAAATGCGATAATTGTACACATATTCTTCACCCACACCTTACCTCTTGATCCCCAACTCATATACGTGGCCTTACCAAGGGATGGTACTCTGGGTTTTTCTAAAATGCAAATTTGGTATTGACACATCATGCATGCAGTGTATTATAAGCGTGCAATGTTTCCAAAATGTGCAGTGCTCATCCTTATTTCTCATTGTATTCAGTAATCTAAAAACGCATGTTAAAATATCGCTTGTCACTGAAGTATTTGTTTGATTTTTTTGTACAAATCCTAATTAAGTGTATAGCCTATATACATAGCCATCTTGTGCATTTGGACGATGCACACATTTATGACTTCCGTGACAAAAGTAAAAGTAATCATTATGATAATATACATTCCATCAGTAAGCGACGCATGGGAGCAGACATGGTTGATTGGTCCAATAGCTGGATCCCGCCACGGTCAAAACACATGACGCCCAAATTGTGCACTGACAATTTTTATTTTATTTTTTGCCTGCATCCCTAATATTTCTAAACCTAAACGTTGGAACTGTGGTGAGGGTGGTTGAATAATTTGTAAATATGTGTTCATTAGTTCGAAAATTGCCCCTGGAACCAGCCGCCGGATCCCATTTTGGGCCGCTACGCTGGAAGGAGTCCCCGACACCCCATTTGACCCGCTACGTTAACTGCCCCGCAATATTAATTTCGTTCCATCGGTCGTGACTAATATTACCAACGCGTCCTCTCAAACTAATAGCTATCGCCGCCCTCCCGACCAGTAATTTATAACTTATATGGTAGCTTATTGAAATCACAGTAAACTGTTAAAACCCCCCGAAAATCCAGGGTCGTAAATTCAGCCTTTATATTTAAAACAATATGAAGGCTTGAAGATTTAAATATTTTGAAGTGTCCATTCTGTTGAGTGTGACAATGTCAATAACACTAACCCATCAAATCACGCTTGGAATGAAGAACTGGTTAATGTTGAGGATTTCGAGTTTGTATGCGAGATGGAAACAAACCGGGCTTTATGTCCACTGTTGTTGACCCAAGCAGGTTATCAACAATACCTAGCCCATTGTTACAGTGAGGATACATGTAATTATTTGTAAATATTAATGTCGTTCATTTTAATAAGTCACCAGAAAACTTTCAGGGGGGGGGGGGGGATATGTCTATATAGCACAATAACATGCCAATTCTTTAGTTTAATCAAAATCAATTGTAATCCCGGTTCATTGACCTTGGGAGAAACCTGACGAAGTAATGAAATGGTGTTTAACGTCCCACTGTTCTGTTTCGACTAAGGTAATGAAGACGGGCATATGTCACACATTGTGCTATGAGGGAAATTTTCCCCGGGCAGCGGCGCTACGGCCTACTCTTATATCGAATTACAACTGCCAAGGGATCCTTTACGTGCATGTCAATGTGTACACGGGACCTCGGTTTTTCGTCCCATCCAAACGACTAGACAGCTGTCCTTGTCAGGCCCTCCGTCCTGCACCACCGACAGGGTGGAAACCATGTCGGAAAATTCCATTAAACTCTCTTGGCTAACACAGGGAACGAACCCACGACTTCCAGACCAGCGAGCCAGCGTCTTACCCACTTTGCCACCGTGGCTCCGAAATCTGATGAAATCTTAGAATATGATCTGTGCTAGAGTAGATAAGCCTATTGATTCGTGGTATCCAATTGTATGTGTTATCTACTTGGTCAAGTGTTATACGATTATATTTGCTAGTGAATATATAAGCTTACAAATGCTTGTTTCTTTTTTGGCTTAATTTGTCGTCAATTGAACACAAAACAACAATCTGGTTAAAACACAGATCCTATTTCGTTTCGTTTTTTATAGTTTGTCATCCCACAAAACAGATCAACACATAAACTTCGTTAAAGCAAAAATTTTATTGTGGGCCCAAATCAAAGAGATTGTGTCAAAGTCGCACATGGAAGGCAAATGGTTTGTCAGTCTGATCAATATTTAAATTCTTGGGCAGAAATGAAATCAAATGGCTTTAAACCTCCCAATTTTCGGCATCACCCGTCCCAATGAGCAGGGAAAATTTAAGCACCAAAACATATCTTACATTTAAGATGTTAAAGTTACAATTTCATATTTTCTAAGAAAGTCAAAACATAATTATTTCTATGTCTTTTGCTTAATAGGCTGTCAACTCACTATTATACGATCATAGGTGTCATTCTCACACTTAAAACTCATTTACACCGGAAATAATAACACAATTACCTCCCTTGTTTTCTATTCTCCACCATGGAGTAGTTATCTTCAAACGTTTGAATTTGAAGATGGAAATAATATTTTTGCCAATTTCTCAACTGGCAATAGTGAATTATAGGATTAATAGGATTATTCTTTAACAAGGTAGGACTGTTTATTGATACCATCTATTTTAGGGCTTTATTTTAATAAATTTTAAAAATGTAACTTAAAAATATGAAATTGCAACTTTAACGAACCAGAGGCCCATTTTACTAAGTGTAGGCGAGGTTACAAAATGATCTTAGGCGAGCTTTGAAACGGAATCATGGCCAACAATAATTGTTAAAATACTGACGATATTTTAAATCTGAATACTTAGCCGATTACCAGCAATTTCTGGTCCTATTTTAGGGGAACTTAGTGCGACTAATCCGCGGTATAAATAGAGTGACGTCCCTTTTATTAATCGCAACACACTTAAATGGAATAAAACGTGTATGAATACCAGTGTTTATAACCTTGTAACCAAAACAGAACATACAACACGCTAATAAAACACACTCTCAACCATTTATATACTTAATAATATTATTACAAAAGGGTGGAGCTTTTATTTTGGGATTTTCCATGCCTAGCAATAGAGTATCAATAGCTTATTTAATAGAATATGAAATAGCCTATGAATGAAGGTCGTACGCCAATAAACACTATAACGTCAAGAATGTGTGTAAATCCATTTCAGAAGTTAAAGCAGCGTCTAGAAATGAAATCGGGGTTTAACGTTCGAATTTTAACCGTCAAGCGTTCTTTTACGTGCACATCAATGTGTACACGGGACCTCGGTTTTTCGTCTTATTCCAACGACTAGACACCGTCCTTGCCACTGCACCACGGACAAGGCCAAACCACGCCGGAAAATCACGAAGAACTTTCTTGGCTAGCCCCAGGAGCGAACCCGAGACCTGGTTAGCGAGCCAGTTTGTTACTCACCGAGCCCTCGCGGCTCCTCTAAGAAGAAAAGAAAGACGTTAAACTCATTTCATTTTCATTCGAACGATTCCCGATTTTTATATGTCCAAAACTACGCCAAATTATATCCCAAAGCTGATCACTCGAATATTCGAATATCATTTAAATAACGGGGCTTCCCATTTAACAGATTATCTATTTAATCACCTCATACAGGAAATAGGTGATTTCCCTTTAACAACCAACAATTTATTGTAGATATTTTAGGTAGGTTAGTCTATGATTTGAACGTGATTTATGAATCAAAGATCGACCTTTTGGGCATATTATTAGCTAATCAGCCATAATCGGATTAACAATTAGTTACGGTATGGCCCACTGAAAAGGCAGTAGTCAAGGGAGAGTCAATATGGCGACTAAATGTAGGTAACAGAAACAGTGTTTTTTTGTGCTAGAAGGATCTTTAATTATTAATGGACTGGTATTTTGTTTATTATAAAGTTTAATGCATAATAGTTTATGAACAAGGATATCGAATACGTTTCTATGAGACAATCTGTAGTATAGGTTATGTAAACATTAAGGACAAGATATGTATAGTATTGTGTGTGTGTGTCTATATTTTTACGACAGGTAAAATAACTATACACTTTTTATTCTATTAATAATTAAGTTTTCTATACCATTAATTCTATCCACAGAGGGGGTCATGGTGGCTAAGTGGGTAAGACGCTGGTTTGCTAGCCTGGAGGTCGCGTGTTCGATCCCCTGCATTTGGGATTTTCCGACGTGATTTTCACTTGTCAGTGATGCAGGACGGAAGACCTGAGTATGACAGCCTGTCTAGTCGTTCGGATGCGACGAAAACCCGAGGCCCCGTGTATACATTGGCGGGCACATTAAAGATCCCTTGGCAGTTAGAATTTGATATAAGAGTAGGTCATAGTGCCCGGGCAAAATTTCCCTCATAGCACACCGTATGGCGAATGCCCATCTTCATTAGCCCAATCGGAGCAGAACAGTAGGACGTTAAACCCATTTCATTTCGTTTTTATTAATAATTAAGTTTTCTTTATAATACCATTAATTCTATCCATAGATTTCGTCGACCCAAACATTTGTACATAATTATTATTTTCAAACGATACGATGGCATACTCTCATTTCAATTTCCAACTGCCAAGAGGCTCGTTTATATCCCACCCGAACGACTAGACGCGCCCCCTTCCTTGTCAGATTCACCGTCCTGCGCCATTGACAAGGCGAAATCCGCCAAGGAAACTTTCGTGGTCAATACCAGGATCGAACCCGGGACCTATTTGAGTGAGTTCGGTTTCCACTGAGTCACCGCTGCTCCCATAAGGCCTACAAATCTCAAAGGGCAATAATAACAATTCAAAACATTGAATAGTTAATATCTTTATCCATAAAAATCCGATGGAAAATGTGAAACATTATATAAATTATATTTTAAAAAATAAACTAAATCTGTTATTAGATGCTGTCATATTACATTTTAAATGATATTTTAAAAATCGTTTTATAAAGAAACTAACGTATATACATTTGTACCATGTAGACAAGAAAATATAGACACATATAAGAAATAAACAGGGTTATAAAGTTAATGTAAGCAAAAGGCCTATTTCTGCTTTCTATTCTTATTCGGTCTATTCGTAAAATACAACACAAACACGAACAAAACGCATCTATAGTATTCAATATATACTATACATATCTTTGTTCTGGTTATCTATGTTCTATCCACCATTCTCGCTAACCCAGATCACCTGACCCGGAGCACCAGACCAGGTAATCTTGGTTACCGAAAATTTCCTTTTACATGAATAGAATATACTAATTATCACCTATTTTATTGAATTAAAATTGAACCGTATGTTTAATTGCCCTGAAATGACATAGCTGGTGTCGAGTTAACCCCAGCACAAGGGTCTGACTAGACGTTCGGAAGAGACGATGCTCCGCCCGCTTTATTGCAAATTTGTTTACGTAATCCTTCCAGTTTTGAACGATATGTTGTCTCCAGTGCAACCAGTCGGAACTGCCAGGAGACAGTCAGACCTGTCAGGGCCAGTTTTCTCTTCTACACGGTAAATATCGTCACAGCAATCAGACAGGCTACAGATAGAGCCAGATAATGCAGAAAGAGTTATGTGCTCAAATATGTACAAAACAAAAAAACGAAAAAAAAAACGTCAAAAGCTTTGATTATAGATCAGTTTGTCTTCAAATTATATATTTTATATTTTCAGATAAAATATTGTAGATGAAAAAAATGTGAAACACAAAAACCAACGCCTATAACACAAAAGCAAAGAATGTTCATATAATATTGTTGATAGCTTAGCCAAATAAGAGGATTACTGGTGAATCCTGATTAAAGAAATTCAAGAATTACAATAATCTACATTTAAGTAAAATCTTATATGATTACAATAATCATATTTCTTTGGATTATTTCTCCCCTGTGTAATACTGCAGGGAATATTTTAGCGCATGAGCAGCATGGACCTGATGTAGCTGTCTAGTTATTGTGAATTATATTTTCAACATTATGGCCTTTCTTGTTGATTAAATGTGAAAAATACCATATAAAAATAAAATGGACACATTTCTTTGAACAAATTGGATCATTTTCTTTTATACCATTTTGCATAGACATTTAAAGGAATGGGTACTGGGGCATCAAAAGACGAAAAGGTAATATTTTATGCTAATACATTTTATCAAACCATTATGGTAGCTATTCATTTATATCTAAGAGGTGCCATTTTGAACCAAATGTGATCCAAGAAAAAAAATATTCTTCTAACGGGGTTATCACGACACAAGGGGAATAACTCTATTTTATAACTCCATTTTAGTTCTGAAAGCAATGCAATGGGGTTTAACGTCTTACTGTTCAGCCCCAAATGGGCTAATGAAGACGACGGACATACACTATACCGTCGGCTATGGGGGAAATTATATTGAATTCCATCTACCTCACCCGAACGACTATACGGTGTCCCATGCCAGACCATTTGTCTTTCACCACTGAAAAGGGGGAAACACGCCGGAAAAATCCCGATGAACTTCTTCGGCCAACGCAGGGATCGAGCACGTTACCTCTTACTCACTGTGCCTCCCTGGTTCCTAGTTCTGAAAACTGAGTAAGCTTAATTTTTTTCCTAAATCCATTCACTTGATTTGATATTTGTTTATTTTTTGCAATGTCTATTTTCTGTCTTGTCCACAGGTTTATCTTGTAGATTTTTGTTTTGCGTGTAGTGCGGTCCTCCTGTACTTAGTATTATAATGTTAAATAGCTAACGATCTACTGTTTTCTATTTCAGACTCGCCCTTCAACTATAAGTTTTCTATCAACATACCAAATTAGTCCCCTTTATACCCTTTCAACACCACATTCTTTATATGCCGATAATCCTAAAATCTTCGACTTGATTCCTCCACCTAAACCACCGCCTTTCTCTAAGAAACAAATATGTGAAGTCGGTGATTTCGGTGAAATTGATAAAAGAGCTGAACAGGTAATGATTCATTATTTCCGTAGAAACCATTGGATACAGTTGAGATAAATAATTGGTCTGGTGTTAAACCAGGTAAACCTACATAGATTCTGTTGATATAATCTTTAATCTAATTATGTTAATCATCGGACTTGTGGTATTAAATGGGGCTTAACGTCGTGCTTTTCTTTCTATACAGTCGAGTGTCAGTGTACTCTGCAAGGGAACAAGGCTGGAAACTCCCGAGGACCTTTCTCGTCAAACACCGGGATCGGACCAGGACCTCCTGGTTAGTGAGCCGGCGCCTTTGTCGTTGAGACCACTCGCACATTCACCCTAAGTTTCGTGGTGTTATCCTATTAACTCCTCTGTATTTTACGAGATAAATTTATCGTTGCTAGGCTCCATCCAGACTTTTAAACAGACCGTATGATGAAGTGGTAGATTATTTAACAGAAGACTTGACCACAGATCTGGAGAAAGTGAGAGTACTATATAGATGGGTGACAGCACAGCCAGTAGATCTGATGTTAGCACCAAGAAATAAACCCGAAGGCAATATACCCATGTATCATATATGGAGAATCAAACACAGGGAGGGAAATTATGCTCAATGGTTTGCAATATTATGCAGGTAAGTAATGAACCAGACTGCCAATCATCGCGGCGTGGTTCCCTAAATTATATACCACATTATCTCTTGGGCAGTCTAAAAAAAAAAATGATGGCTATGAGAAATGAAATGCAATGGGGTTTAATGTTTTACTCTTCTGCTCCGACTGGGCTAAGATCGCTATGAGAAATTTGTTCACAGTAGTGATTCTGTATTTTCAGACTAAGCAACATACCGTGTGCCATAGTAAACGGGAGATTGAAAGGATCTACGTATCAGGTTGGTGAGAAGATTCTAGAAGATGAACATTATGGAGAATGGAATGCAGTTTTAATAGATGGATATTGGCGATTCGTGGATGCTTATTGGGGCTCATGTGCTGCCATAGAAGATCACGCAGGTGAATCAGAACCCCAGTCAAGGCAGTCGCTCAAAAATTCCGAGAAAGAAGAGAACAGTCCCATTTCACATAAATCAACAAATGCCGATGTCATACTCAGTCCCATAGACGAGGAGGACAGCAACAAAATAGAAGAATCCAATTGCATAAAGAAACATGATGAAGAAGACAATGCAGAAAAGGCAGATTCCCCCAAGGAATCCCAAAACAAATCAGAAAATCAGAAAAATCCCGCTACAGAAACAAAGATAAAGTCAAAGGAAGAAGCTGCAGAGACGATATCCTACAACCGAGAAGATAGTCTTGCTGCGCCAGGACTAACGCTGACCTATGCCTGCGATGAAAACTATTTCCTTACCGACCCCGAACAACTTATATATTCACACTTTCCTGAAGCTTCAGATTGGCAGTTACTGAAAAATCCATGGACAGTGGAAAAATTTGAGGCTAGAGCAAATGTAAAAGATCGATTCTTTAGCTTCGGAATGTGGTTAGATTCTCATAAAAACTGCTGCATCACCTCCGAAACAGGAGATTTAGAGATAAGTCTTGGAATCCCACCCGAGGACGCTTGTTATTATAAATTTCAGTATATGTTATACAAATTGGACAGTTCAAACCGAGTAGCACCAAAATACAATCGCCATGTATTTATGCATCGGCCTATTGAAAAGGCATTAAGTTTGAAATTCAGATCTCAGAGTTCTGGCGTGTACCGTTTAGAATTGGTAGGCCGCGATGTTCGGATTACTAAATCCTCCTATAATTACGACTGGGTTGTTATTTATAAACTTCAATTTGACAAACCCAGTGAAAATACGCAGCTATATCCCGCTCATCCTGATAGTGGATGGGGCCCCGCCTCCCATACGCGTGCCGTTGGGTTATCTGCCCTGAGCCATAAAACAGGACAAGTTAGAGCCACAATTTCAGGAGATGTCCAGATATCTTTTACTGTGAAAGATGCTGATAAGATAAATAAACAACGCTTTAGTGGTATGCTTATTGACGCCAAAGATACTGAACTGACAAATAGACTCGTTTATAGACTAGAAGACCAAAAACTAATCTTTAATTCTAAGATACCTCGGAAGGGAGAATACTCTGTGCGACTTTTTGTGGATAATGAAGACGGTGGCAAAGAAAATTTTTGCAATTATTTTCTTATCTCAGAACAGAATCAGAGTAGTGAATGTTATCCAAAAGAAATTAGTAAACGAATTGGACGCAGAACTGCATGTGGTCGGGTTAATTTCAAGCCCATCTCTAATCCTTCGGCCGTGTTGGTTTCAGACTCAAAAGAGATGGTGTTGACTTTTGAATACGACTCTGAAGAACAAATATATCATAGTCTTGTTGCCAACGAGAAAATTGACTCAACACAGTGTGTTTCCGTGACTAAAGAGGATAAACTATTGACGTATCGGTTAATATTTCCTCACTCTGACGTGTATGGATTTAAATTAGGTATAAAATCAAAAGACAAAGAGAATATGATAGACCCGCTGTTTGATTACGTCATCACCTATTCATCTGGTGTGCCTTCTACTAAATTACCTACACCACCACCAGAAGGTATTGTGATCTTGTTTTTTCTCAAGTTTATTAGAGTGATCCGTCTAATTCATGTATACTAGGGATTTAACATGCCATTGGCATTGGTTAATTGGGGACAGTCGTCGAGTGGCCAAACTTTGTACCCTCGATTATAGAATGTTGCGGGTTCAAATCCCGGCGTAGGCCGAGAAGAGACCTTCAGAAATGTTTTAGACCTGCCGGTACTTCTGCCTAATCGATGTCCATCCTTGTACTTAACAGAACCCCTGACAGATGGAAATCAAGGAAGGGTAAGTGGATGAACCGCGGTCCGAGTCCCCCCCCCCCAACCCCCGCATTACATATGTAACCGTAGGAAATAAATGAAATGAAATGGGGTTTAAAGCGAGAATTTCATATTTTCAAGTTATATTTTTAAAATGTATTAAAATAAAGCCTTAGAATAGATGGTATTTATAAACAGTCCTACCATGTTAAAGAATAATCCTGTTAATCCTATAATTCACTATTGCCAGTTGAGAAATTGGCAAAAATATCATTTTCAACTTCAAATTCAAACGTTTGAAGATAACTATTCCATGGGGGGAATAGAAAAAACAAGGGAGGTAATTGTGTTATTATTTCCGGTGTGAATGATTTTTAAGTGTGAAAATCATACCTATGATCGTATAATACTGAGTTGACAACCTATTGAGCAAAAGACATTGAAATAATTATGTTTTGACTTTCTTAGAAAATATGAAATTCTCGCTTTAAGGTCCTACTGTTCTGCTTCGGCTAATAAAGACAGGCATACATCGGACAGCGCCGCCAAGGCCTACTCTTAAATCGGATTCCGTCTGCCAGGGGAACTTTTACGTGCACGCAAATTTGTACACGGGGCCTCCCAACAACTAGGCAGCTGTCCCTGTCAAACTCTTCGTTCTGCCCCACTGACAAGGGGAAACCATTTGAAACCTGAATTTGAATGACCCACAACAACTGCATCGCTCAAAGAGCAGACAAGTGCACATTTCTTGCTATTGCAGAATGGACAATGTTAACAATGTGTCTCCATTTTCCAATGGGATCAGTCATGTTGGTCAGTTTTCGCTAAGGCAGAATAGAGAATAGCCATGACGTTTAGCCACGACTGTTCCAGAGCATGGTTGAATTGCACTTGTTCGGCAATTAGACTTTTCCAGGATATACGGCTGTATACTTGGTTGGCTATTACAGGATGATATTGTTATTTCAGAAAGTGAAGAAGATAAATATAGACGAGCTATTAACACTGCTGTTGAAGCCCATGATGAAGAAGAACTGGGGAATATAGCCAAAAAGTTAAAAAAGAAGAAAAATGAAATTTGGTCAACAGCTTTATTAAGTTTAACTATTACAGAGATGGACATTCTGTACTCTACAAATAGTAAGAATTTTGTCACAATGTAAAATTGTATAGTTATATGGCATTTTCGGCAGTCAAGGGGTTGAACCTTGGAGTTGCGTACCTATATTTTTTTTTATCCCTTTGGCATTTCTTTATCTTGAGGTTTAAAGATGATTGTGTAGAATCAGAAACTGCGTAGTGCCACCCGAGCATTTCAGAATATGTCAATTAAGTACGCCATAAAATATAGTCCAGTGAAGGTTCACCTCAAAATTGTCCATTGACTATGTGACCCGTGATCGCACAGTCCATTATAATGTTTAGACCAACACGTGCCAAACATAAATGATTATATTTAGTATATCTGTGACCAGTTACCATATTTTAGAGGTGTAGATCTAACTAGTGACTTCCTTCAATGTACAAATTTTGTAATATTTAAGGAAAAATCAGATAATAGGATAAAAGTAAATGCTGTAATTAAAACTGACACGTCGATTGATGAACAATGCATAAAGGAATAAACAATATAATAAATCAACAAACACAATAGATTGGATTAATGTCGTCACCAAATGACGGCTTGAAAAGTGATGACAGGTTAATGACTTACTAGCCAGTTGATCTTAAAGTGGTTACTATAAGAAACATTAATTATCTTAACGATTGGCAGATTATCACACCATTATAATATCAACCAAATTGTAAGAAGAACACAAACCACGCATCGAATTACTTCCGGTGTTACAACCTAAACTATACGAGGGCTAGCTTACTAAGCCTATCTGGACACAGATCACTAAAGATTTCCCCATTGACTCCAATGTTAATTCTCGTATCTTAGACCGGCTCTAACTTTTTCCCAAATTTTCGTTGGGTAGAACGCTTTCTACCACAGATGGAGCAACATGTGGCAACCACTTGCCCAAAAGCACGTATGAGGTTCTTCATGAAAAACTTGAGATACACGAGCTGGAAGTAGAGACAAGTAAACATGCAATTTCAGGCCCTACATTTCAACGTAACCAACCTCTCAACTCTTGTATCCTTCCGCATCAAAATTATGAATATTCACCAAAACCTGGCAGAAAATGTATTTTCAAACCCTTTTCCTCAATTCTACACCAAAAAGTCAACAAAAAGGAAAAGGGAGAGGAAGACTAAAAATAGCTTTGGCCCTTGTTTCGTGGGTGACAGCGTAGGAATATTTGGTGATCTGTGTCCATCTGTGAAAGACCTGTACAAAGTTGATGGTTTCCATTTACTTGTCTACATAGTCCCCTTTGCCAACGATGTTGCAAGGCCTGGATGCCGGTCAGGAAGAAATTTTCTTCAGCCACGTTACAAAAGTGGTTCACCGCTGACATGACGTCATTATTACTAGGAAAATGACAACTGGCTAGTTCCTTTATCATTTATGGAAACAGGTCTCATCCATTGTTACAGATCTGGCCATTAAATTATCAGGATCTGTTTCACAACACTGGCAATATGTCGAGTGGTCAATCGTCGATAAGCCATCACCATGTTATGCACCCGGGTAATGTTTTCTTGAATGGTTGCTTTTGACGGCCTTCCAAGACGCGGGTCATCGTGGAAAAGGAAGGCCCCCCCCCCCCAAAGCAGAGACCATATCGGCATGTATCTGTGTTGGGGTTATTCCTTTCAATTGCAGGTACTGGATGACTTTCCTATAGTCTATTTTGTCCATTTCTGGTGATTGCAATGGGTAGTGTCACAAGATTGTGCGAAGGCAATAATAACACCACAGTTGCAGTTCTTATGTCTATGATTCGTTCACTTTCAACCCAATTGATCTATCCTTTTCAGGCTTAAAACTTTTCAGCCAGCTTTCGTACATACATTTATATATGCATTGCTTTTTCAAATTTCAGGGTTAATAGAAGCCTTGAATTTTCGCCATGTTGAAAGAATAAAGGATGCATTAGAATATGTTTTAAAGAAGAATTATCATGATCGAATGGCGGAAGAGATACAACTGGCCAGAGAATTTCTTGGAAGACATGCGCACATCATTTCTCTATTACACAAAGTGTTAGATTTAGATCAGCATACTGTGTCTGAAATCAGAGCTTACAGTAATCCACCACAATCCGTTCATAAAGTCATGATGGCTACTTTACTGTTGATCGGACATTTTGAAGATGAGACAAAGGTGGGTAACATGCAAAACAGAATAAAATAAAATGGGGGTTAACGTCCTACTGTTTTGCTCCGATTGGGATAATGAAGACGGAACATGCAAAACAAACTTCCTTAAGGACAAAATGTTGCAACTGTACATTGGGTGGGGGGTGGGGGGTGGGGGGGGGGGGTGAACTTTGTTGTTTTCTATTAAGAGAGCATTAAAGGCACAAGGTATAAGACCAGACACAATCATCAGTAATGTTATTCAAAAAATCTATTTTGGTTTAAAATTTATTAAAGTCGCTCCAATTTATTTAAGTTATGGCTATGTTTAAGTTCTTGAAGGTTTTGATTAGTTTCACAACGCCATCTTTTGTCCTCTTAGAATATAGTGGTTTTAATCCTACTCTCTTCCTCGCGAAGGTTTTTTATAAACAGTTTTGTGCTCAATTACAAATAACAGACTTCACATTGATTTCTGTGATACATCCATCTTGTTTGATGGGTCATAATTTAAAAATTACAATTGATTTTAGACCGCCATCTTTGCGTGTCTTAGATAAATGAAAAAGGAATAATAAGTCATGTCGTTTTCTTAATACTCGGACGTGTTTAAAAACAATCTTTTCCTTAAGATAATACATTATTGTTCGTGTGAGAACGATCTAGGTTTTGGTTGTTTTAAATGGTTATTAAAAGACATGGTGACGATTGTCGTGTACTAGAATGGTATGCTTGCTCTTTCTAGAACACCTGATACCAATTTAAAATTCACATAACCAACAAGATGCACCGGTGCTGCTATTATTATCTTGTATTTGAAATTTTAGAAATGGTCTAAGATTCAAATTCTGCTGGGGAAGACTGGAACAGAATCGGTGAAGAGAAAGATTCAAGCATTTGACATTAATCTTCTACAACTAGACGTGGCTGTTGGGGCTAAGAATATTTTAGGGAGTATGACACTAGATGAAATAAGGATTACCAGTGCTGGAGCTGCTGCTTTTTTCATATGGGTAAGTATGAAGCAGGGGCGACAACTCGTCTGTAAAACCGTATGATATCCTGACTGCCGTTACACATAATGGGTTATCACCAACACAGTACCAGTGTCAGAGCAATGTATTAGTCAAGTTAGGGTAATGACTTAATCCAATCTGTTTCACAGAGAATTACGAAAGTCTTCTAATATCTCTGTAAAATATGACAACCTTCAACACGTGATGTCCCATCACGCGGCGTCAATCATTGGCTCAATGGCGCGTGCATTGTGCACATAAGACCTTACTGGTTCGGGCGGAATGTAGCCCTTTACCCATTTTAATACCCATTTACACTAAATAGGAAATAATTTTACCTACAAATACGTCAAACGTGTTTATTTATTTTTCTAATACATAAAAAAATTGTTTTAGAATTTAATTTGTCAAAGGAAAAAAGTTAATATTTGTGGCTCATTAAGTCGCATCGATGTCATCCTTATCAGTGATTGTCGCGGCCTAGCGAATATTCACTGCTGATCAGTGTGGACTTAACCCTTTTACTCCCATAAACCACCAGAACGCAAAACATTTTATAGCAATCGGCCAATGAGGATTCACTGGAGGCTCTTTGTCCAAGAATCCAGCTAAAGCGGTAGAGCGGTAAATGAAATACCCCCCGACACCCTTGCGATTTTTATTGCCTGTTGAAGCGATGATAGATAACCAGCTAAGAGGATGTCGAGTTTGCAGGCGACGGTTCAGATTTTGCCACCGCTGATCACAAATCACATGATGTGTTAGCTAACGCGGATTGGATTGCTTGTCACATAACACACGTGTACGATTTCAGAGCGACGAGCAATTCTTTGTCGCCAAATATCAAGTTGATATTAAATGGCAACTCATCGCAGGTGACAAAAAAACTTGCCCATCCGAGCCAATTTTTTTTAGCAATATGGGGCAACGCGGACAATTAAACAACGCTTATAATTGGCGCTAGGCTTTAGTGAACAAAAATCCACATTTTTCTCTAATAACCTAACTGTAATTTGAGGTCAGTGAGTTGCCTGTTGTATTAAATAAATATCATAGTACAACTTTATCATTGTTTTATTAGAGTAGCATGTTATCTTAAATAAATATCATGGTTGTTTTATTAGAGTAGCATGTTGTATTAAATAAATATCATTGTTGTTTTATCAGAGTAAAGGAGTAATAAATGAAGTTGAAACAAGACACAGAGAAGAAATGGAACAAACTTTACCAAGAACCAGAAAAAAGGTAATCAAGAAAAAAGTTAAGAAGGAGGACAACACGTTTGATAGAGCCCGTACTTTATACGCATGATCGAGAGATCTTCAATAACATTCTCGTCCATTGAAACGCATAAATCGGACAACTCGGTTAGCCTAATGTTTTTAATGTTTTGTTTTTTGTTTTTTGTGTGCGTTTGTGAAATAAGATTATTTGAATGACCACGATCTTACCATAACAAACATGCCACCTCCCCGCCTCCCATGCCTTTAAAAGAACGATTTGCTGTTAAAATACGACATCTTTGAACTAGTTATGTAAAGGCAACGAAACATCGCATTTCTAATAAATTATCATCTGGAAACGATGGGCTTAGAATGACCTCCTGAGGACAACTAAACATTCATAATGCTATTCAGAGCATCTGCTGCCTTTATTTATACTTTCATCCACCCCTTGGTAGATACTATGCGATAAACCGATTGAATGGCCATGATCCAATAAATATGTAAAACAAATGGCGCATTTGTATTTTAATTATTTTTTTTTAGCAAAAATTAGTAACATGTATATATATATATATTTATATTTTAAGATATTCAGTGCGTGGATATGTTTTATTACATTATTAATAGAATTCAAAGTATATATATTATATATTATTAGCTACTAATTATAAATGGACGGTAACGTGAAAATGGTTCAATCATTTATAATATTATTGTTTTATTTACTTGTGTTTTTATTATACTGTTAATCATAATAAACATCATTTTCCCCATAATTTCCTCAAATTCAGTATTCTTCGTATATTCATGAAGCAATGCTCCGAGAAATCCCTCTCTGCCCATTGCTGGATTGGATTCTGATTCTGAGGAAGTGTATGTATTCTTCCCACTCAATCACATATATCCCAAGTACAGCAACATGACAGCCCTTCGTTTAATCTGGGGTCTTTTTTAAAACTTTGGACAGTGATTTAAGGTATTAAAAACGGTGAAAGTATTCTTCGTCTCCATACAGTATTGTGTACATTGTATTCGTGTTGATAGCCTCGTTTGTCACGCAATTAATTTTTCTGCAATATTCTGCTATGCACTGGTTAACTGAGCATAATAAAATCGTGAGTCATGACGTAACGTTATGTAAAATTATTTGGTTCAATTTGGAGCTTTGTTTAAAATGTAACGATTTTGTTACGCAGTTAGATATTGGTTGGTTTTCGGACTATTGACCAGATATAATTTGGAACAGAAATTTGCTTCCATTAAAGCAGTATTTAGTGGGATTAGCTCTGATCAATCGAAACACTGCGAGGAGTATGTATTCTTCGTAACGCCAGCAATATTGTCCGATTTAACCGAAACATGTTATTTTCAGAGTTTTGTCATGGACTTTGACAAAATACCTGATAATGCCTTCTTAAAACTCACTTTGCTCCTTTGGTTATATTTGCGTTGCATATTCATATAGTTGTGTTCGTTGTGGTCGAATGGTTGCATCATAAGGTCTGTCACTAAGACAAGTGGTATGGTTTCGAATCCCCACTTGTATGTGACAAGGAGTAGGATCGCCTGTCTAACTTCGTGCGTTTTTCTCCGGGTTCTCTGGTTTCCTCCCACGGCTAAAGATCCCTACAGGTAAGCGAATTATTGAAATGAAATTGAACCATGTGTTGCTCGTGAAATGACCTATTTTGTGGACGTTAAACCCCATTTCTCGCTCTCTCTCTCTCTCTCTCTCTTGTATGCTGAGTATGCACCTTTTTTTTTTCGCGTAATCTCTTTAAAGTTCAGTGGTTATTTGTTGGAGTAGAAGATTAATTCTCACCGATGTGTATACTTTAAGATTAGTGCCCATGCTTATTTTGACTTCGGGGGCTTACTTTAATATTATTTTGGACATGATAAATGAAAACGGTAATCGTCCTACGTTTAGTTATAAACATTTGCTAATAAAAATGTTTATTCTTTTGGTCCAAAACAGTGGGAATACTACACAAAATATAAACCTAGCTTTTTATCACCTGTCTGGTGGTTTAGATACAAACAACACAAACATTTTTTATATCCAGTTTCATTCTCAAACACTGTAGGTTAATTAAACATACATTATGCAAGAGCTAAATCTGTCTATTGCAGGTCTTTCTTTAGGCCTGAAATCTTATCTAAATTATTAATTAGACATTAATTAACCTATCCAGACCATAATCAACTCTAGATGGCATCGCTAGCCTGCGATCTTCAGTAGATAATGAGCCGATTTACTGCATAACTTTCCTTCGCGATTTAACGGATAATCGAGACTATGCTGTTTATCGTACTGACTTTAGTAATGATGATCAAGGCTAGTCGGAAATTTCAACCGCTTAGTTCTCGGTTCATATTGGATCAATTTAAATGAAATTTTCAGCAAATTGCCTTTACATTATCTAGTTTTTAACTATTATAGTGAGAACTGCTAACTCGTTATCGACTCTCCCGTAATGTATCTTTAAGCGGTAAAACAAGCATAAATAATTCATAGCCTTTTATTGTTTACAAAGGCGTATCAATACTAATAAATATTGCGGGCTCAGTTGTCACCTATATTACATAGAATACTTTATGTGTAGTTAAATAGTCGAGAGCGAGACGTTAAGTAATACATTGATAATGCACGAGTGCGTTAGTACGAGGACTATATCTATATTTTACGCAATATCGTGCAATATTTCAGCTAGTATAAATAATGTACCCTTGGCACATTGCACGTAACATTATTTGAGAGAGAGAGAGAGAAATGGGGTTTAACGTCCACTTGACACAAACTAGGTCATTTCGGGACTAACATATGGTTTAATTTTATTTCAATAATTCGCTTGCACGTAGGGGTCTTTAGCAGTGGGAAGAAACCGGAGGACCCGGAGAAAACCCACGAGGTTGGACAGGCGACCCTACTCCTTGTCATGTAACATTATTTGAAATAATGGTACGCCAACATCTGTTTTAAGTTTGTTTCACCATTTACAGTCAGGCCACACAAAAAATTATCTGGTTCTCAGATAATCCTTTTAAAAACATTGATGCGGGGAGAGAGCGGTTTTTGTTTTTATGCTTTTATTTTGTCAAAATCTAGCTAGTTTTTCATTTTTAAGACACACACAAAATTATTATAAATTTAATAATTATTCAACTCCTAAGAAAAAAGAAAATTAAGTAAGAATTTCAAATAACGGCCGAATAATTCCGTAACTTCATCTATCTACATTAATTCTTGGGAAAATGTTTTCTAATCCGTCGGTGTTTATTTCGGTGAGCATTGCGTGGTATCGATACCGTACTCATTGTTAAAGCATGTATTTTGCTGGTGATTTAAGTCTGCGTTCTCAATCGCCTCACAGCAGTCATATTTCTTGGGAAAGATAAGGCATTTTGATCCCGAAAAAGATAGATTGACAGCAAAACTGTAAAACAACGCTTTTTATGAGAATAGTGGCACGGTCGTGTGCTTTATCCATTATCATCACATGGTTCTACCATGATGAATGGTCGCCTGACAAGGTAAGTCCTGATGAACGTTAACTATACTTTCGAGGTAGATATCGATGACATAGAACGGTTATCAAAAAACATCCACGCCGCTTATACTCCCCTTTATATTTGTGCATAACTGTGCAAAACTCTATTTTAGGCTTTTGTCAAGTTATCTGTGACCCCCCGGCGTATTGGAAAAACCCCCAAATAGTTTAATATGTAATGATATTTTGGTGTTTGAGACAGTCGCGGTTGGTTTTTGTTTTTCTATTTAGCTTCCTGTTCAAATCGTGCAGAACTGATTTTATTGCATATCAGTAAAACTAAGACTTAGCATAGTAGGTACACGTATTTAGTATCTTTTCATGTAAAATCCCAGTTTCTGTGTTTTGTCAAAGTGACCTTTGGTTACCCCAGATATACGCCAAAATGACCATATAGCCTATAGAAACCGGATATATCATATCTCAATCGAAACCACACCGCTTGACTTAATGACAGACTTTATGATCCAAAGTATACACGTAAAACTATTCGGCCACCCTCTCCCTCTCGCCTTATTCGTAAGAACCCATAGTTTAATGTAGAAAGAAAAAAAATGAGGTTTAAAGTAGCTAAGTCTCTAACTCAGTATTATCAAAGTCTTTGACATTGAAAACACGAATTATTTGTCAATTTAAATCAACATTGATGTTGTGATCTTACTGGGAAAAGGTAAGCTTCTGATATCCAATATTTAAGACAAAATAAACATTTTACCATTGGTACACGAATCGTGTACCATAATGAGTTTCAGGGCCATTTGTAACACGGGACTCAAAGTACGAGGCTAGACATTCCACAAGTCATGTCAAACGGAGAGCATGCGCAATAAATACTGTCGGTGCAGACTGGAATAACCAGACGATAGAGATTGTCATTCGATTAGAGATTATAGTAGGGGAGCTGGCTGGCCGTTGTTTCTAAACTCGCTGACAAAATTGGCACTATTGACTGACACTAAGTAAGAGAAAATGAAAAAAAACAATGGAAAAAGGCCGTGCATTACCATGTTTTTATTAAGTATAGAATAAATAAAAACAAGGGAATGTACGGGCTATTTCTATTTTCCTTATTTTTTAATTTTTTTTCTTGTAAAACAACGCTTTTTATGAGAAATTTGTAACGGTCGTGTGCTTTATCCTTTATCATCAGATGGTGCACGGGTGGGATGGACATTCAAAGCGCGAGATAATGATACAGACATATGCGATATCATAATTAATGCTTTGCACAAGTGAAATTGAATCACAATGTGATCCTATTAATTCATTATAAAAATTGACGTCAAATGGGGTGTTGGATTTCTCTCTTTAATAGGCACAATGTGTGTCTATGTCTATACGTAATTTGGAGAATATGATGGCATCATGCATTGTCAACTGTCAATTCCGGCGTGGTTCCCCCTTGTCAGTGATGCAGGACGGAGGGCCTGACAAGGACAGCTGTCTAGTCATTCGGATGAGACGAAAAACCGAGGTCCCGTGTATATATTGGAATGCACGTAAAAGATCCCCTGGCAGTTGGAATTCGATATAAGAGTAGGCCGTAGCGCCGCTACCCGGGCAAAATTCCCTCATAGCACACTGTATGGCGTATGCCCATCTTCATTAGCCCAGTTTGGAGCAGAACAGTAGGACGTTAAACCCCATTTCATTTCCTTAACGGAACCTGGGAAACTCCCTCCTGCAAAAATTCCTGGGTCCGCCCTGAACATTATTCTCATCATAAATTGGTCAGGCTCGCCGATCTCATACGAGTTTAAAAGTCGCACGGCATCATCTTGCACCAGGACAATAAAGAGGCTATGTAAATAACTAGATCAATAAATTGTTTATAAGCTGTTGACACAGACACCCTCATTGCGCGTGTTATAAGAAGGGAAATACCCTATAAAACCCCGGGTATTATTACTTAATTTATTTACTTTGAGACGATTTTATATGCATTATAATTCGTAAATGACCCTTGACGCCGGGAGGTAATTCAGATTTAGATTTATTATAATGTCTCATTGTTTTTTATTAACTTACATGAGTATTCAAAGCTATTATTTTCAAATTCCAACTGACAAGGGTTATATTACGTGAACACCAATGTGTACACAGGACCTTGGTTTTTCGTCTAATCAGGAACGGAAATTGGCTGGGAGGAGTGGGGGGGGGGGTCTACAGCCGGGCTGAGAGCAAGTTAAAATTTCTTTTAACTGGTTAACGCGTTAAAGTTTTAAAGTTAACGAGTTAATATGAGTCAATTATCGAAGCTCCTAAAACATGGTCATTTTGGTACCCAGCCTGTTTCAGAGAGTAAACAAATATTATTCTTGATCAGTAGTTTTATTCTTGACTCCAAATCTAGTATTTAGGTGGCATTTGACGGAAAAAACGTTTTGTTTTTTTTTTAAATCGAATTGGGTGATTTCGACCTTGACAATTGATTCAAGGGAGACTGGAGACCAAGTTATTTCGACCGGAGACTTGAGGTCCAGCAGACGTAACTAAAGCGACAGTGGCAATGTTGTCTCCGGGTGATATTTTGCATGAATTATGTCATTTCATGGGTCTGTATAACGATTTTCCAGCCGAATATGCATATATGACGTCACAGAGTATTAACGCCTTTTTTTATTTATATTAACGCATTGATCTCATTTATACGTTAACCAGTTAATAAGTTAACTGCTCTCAGCCCTGGTCTGCAGTATATGAGAATATCTCCTCATAGACCTTGGCCTGTTTTTGACTCTTTTTTTTTCACAGAATTAGAAAGGGGGCAGATTCAGATATTCGACTGAAACTTTCCATTGTGATCTAAAACACGTTACCATTTATTTAGCAACCATGTGCACTGCAATAGCAACTTCTGTCAGTGATATGAAATCAATGATCAACATTATTTGAACCAACTTAAAAATTAAACAAAGTAGGGAATATTTCATTATAAGTAAAATTGGAATGGAATGAATTTAATGTTTCGGCAACACAATACTTCGGTCACTTTGAGACCTACGGCCTACTCTTATATCGAATTCCAACTGTCAAGAGATCTTTTACGTGTACGCCAATGTATATACACGGGACCTCGGTTTTTCTACCCATCCGAGTGACTAGACCACTACTGACCACGCTGGAGACTCCCGATGTACTTTCTCGAGCAACACCTCATCGTTTTTTAACTATTTATGTGCACACCAATGTTTACCCGGGTTGACTAGGACTAGGCACAATTTCCGTGTTAATGTCCATTTGTCCGTTTAATTAAAGGAGTTTTGTTTCGCTTTTGCTTTTATTGTTAACAATGACTGGCTAGAAATAACACGTGAAAATGAAATGGGGTTTAACGTCCTACTGTTTTGCTCCGAACTGGGCTAATGAAGACGGGCATACGCCATACAGTGTGCTATGAGGGAAATTTTGCCCGGACAGCGGCACTACGGCCTACTCTTATATCGAATTCCAACTGCCAAGGGATCTTTTACGTGCACGCCAATGTGTACACGGGACCTCGGTTTTTCGTCCCATCCGAACGACTAGACAGCTTTCCTTGTCAGCCCCTCCGTCCTGCATCACTGACAAGGGAGAACCACGCCGGAAAATCTGGATGAACTTTCTCGACTCATCTTGATAAATCTACACCAATGATAAATATAAACCGCAAGACAAATTAGAGGTGGTTTATTATTTCAATTGAGGAAAATCTCACATCGTTGACAAGTAAGAAACTTCTATGAAATAAAATGGTACATTTAAGGAAATTTCCTTATAAAAAAAAGAGTAGGAGTTTGGTTTTTCCGTGTGGTAGTTTAAAAAATTATTAATCGATTGCCAGAAATTCACGTCATCCCACCAATTAGTTATTTGATATCCCACCCTTAACAGGGGCGGATCTAGGAATTTTGAAAAGGGGGGGGGGGGCGCCTTAAAATGAGGGCACTGACCGCTTAGACGCGGCACGCCGCTCAGAGGGGGGTGTGGGGGCCCAAGAAAATTATCCGTCATTTCCTTGCATCTGTAGCCATTCCAAGAGCTATTTGGGTGATATTTTCGTCTAAGTAAACGTTCGGAAATCGTTGAAAAATAGCCTTAAAATCGAGCAAAAAAGCCAGTTGAACATGCGACTCGAAAATTGAATTGTTGATATTGCTGACCTAATTTTGCGTTTTAAATCTCGTGTTAGTTGACAAGAATTATGTCATTGCTCGTATTGTATGGCTTATTGTATGACGTCCTATTTGCGGAGATTGTAAGATCTCAAACTTCTTTTCTTTTCTTTTCTATACTCGTATTACTCTAGCACTGTGTATGTTTGGGATCTTTAGATGCTTTATCTGGGGATATGTGGAAAAAAATCATTGCGTTTGACATTTATTCAAACAAAACAGACCAAAAACTATATGTTTCATTTATTAGTGTACGGAGCTTCGTCTAAACAAAATTCGATTTTGAAATTATTAAGTTCATTGGATGCACAATCGCAACAATTATTGCATTTTACTTCCTGGATAAATTACAAAGAGCAGATGCCGATTGGTCAGACACTTCCTCAGATTTTTGTAAGTGCAGATTTTAACTTGCAGATACATGTAGATTGTTTATTAATGCATGGACGCCCTTGAAAGAAATGGGGCCCTGAGGATAAAACAAAGTTCCTCATCACGTGATCTCGAAACAAGCGTATGAAATGTTGACATATGAGCATGGGTATTTAAATTTCAAACTACTCTATCCTGAAAGATAGTTCCTGACAATTTCATATCAATAGAAGATGAAATTATTTATGTTATGTTTGTGTTTGTATTTGGTGGAGTCAAGAAGAATACCATGTCAAATTTCAAAGGTAAGTTATCACTATTATTTTTAAAAGTTGTGAAGGGCTTTGAATTATTCAAAATACAGTGTTGCAATTAATGTCAAAAATTTTATTTAATCATTGCCCGATATTTAAAGAATGCAAACGAATACATAAAAATATCAATTCTCGAATAAGTGTTTTGACGTCATTCGCTAAATATAAATATTATATCTGAGCGTAGAGGGGACTTAAAGTTATAGTGATTTTAAAATATGGTCGTATATTATCGTCATCCCCGTCCGTCTGGGCATTAGGTAAGATTAGATAAAGAACTGACAGTTCTCGCTATAATAGTATTAAAAAATAGAAAACAGAATATGCTAGGCTAGTCTCGGTCCTCATTACTAATAAACAAAGTCTCGATTATTCATTTTTACGTTAAATCCTCCATACAAAACGTATTCAAATCCTCTAAGTATTGCAGGCTAACGATGGCATCGAGAGTTGGTTATGGTCTTGATAAGTTAATTAATTAATGTCTAATTAATAATTCAGATAACATTTAATTCCTAAAGAAAGACCTGCAATAGACAGATTTAGATGTTGCATAATGCATGTTTAAGTCAATATGGCTGAGGAATAAGTCTACTGATTTTCAACGATAATTAATGTTAGGGATATCACCTTTGACCAATTTGAAAGATTTGGTGGACACTCAAGATAATAAAATAATAAATGAAGGCATTTTGTATTTTTGCATTTTGCTTTGGTCGCGTGGTATAGGCTGAAATTTTTGTCAAGTTCCGGGTTCAGCCGATAACTAAGCATTTTAATCAAGCTTTGTTTGCATTCGTTGTGCACAACTGAAATGTCGGGCAGTATCACTTTAAAATTTATTAGACCAGAGCTGAACATAGCCCAGTATTATTGTTACTCTCCTAACTTCAAAATAGTATATCATGACCGCTTTTATAGATCGTATTATTCTGAGATGAGCCCTACGCCCTACACGAGATTAAACAGCTAGGTTGATATAGTAAAATTTGACACGAAAGCAGCAGGTGCAACAAAATATTGAGGTGTATAAAAGAGGATTCACGGTAAATGATACAAATGAGTCTATTCGAAGTCATGTTACTATAATAATCAGTGCTTTATTAGTATGGAATAATTTTAGGGGCTAAGATTAACCCATACAAATTATTCTGAAAAGACAACTATAAAACGCGTAAGATATTACTATAGTCCTCTTTTGTTGATCAGACGCCATAAAATGTAAAGCCCATTTATAAAATTTATGCTCTTGATTTGACAAGAAAATTAACTCAATAGATCTCAAAAAAGCAATAATGGTTTGAATGCCATTGCTACAGAAACTACCAAGGGATCATTCACGTGCACGCCAATGTGTAAACGAAACCTCGCTTTTTTGTCCCATCCGAACGACTAGACAGCTCTCCTATTCAGGCCCTCCACCCTCCCGATGAACTTTCTCGGCCAACACCGGGAGCGAACCTTCGACCGCCAAGCTAGCGAGCCAGCGTCGTACTCACATAGCCACGGTGGCTCCAGTATAGAAAAGAAAGTACTGGGAATTTCTTTAGTATAATAAGTAGTGGGATGACCCAATGCTGAAAACATCTGTCCCATTACTTTTTAAATAATATAAAGACCCAGTGGGGCCACCCGATTAGAGTTTATTACATACTTCGAGAAGGTATTTGTTGAGTAATAAAACCTTCTAGTAGTTTATCGAGGGCTGGCCGTTCTTACCGCACGGTACAAATAAAACCTTCTACTTCTAGTAGTTTATCGAGGTTCGGGTGCTTCCGGAGTCCAAAATGGCCGCTTTATATAAATGAGAATTTTAGGGATAACCAACCCGAACCCTAACCCCTTTTAAAAGAGTGAACTTGGGTCTAATTTAGTTTTTACTTCTCTTAAAAGGGTTAGGGTTCGGGTTAGTATTCCCCTAAATACTCATTTGTATAAAGCGGCCATTTTGGTATGAGTTCTGGCTTGTTCTGGAATTTGTTGCTTCTAGTGGTGATAATATTTGTACCGTGCGGTAAGGACGGCCAGCCCTCGATAAACTACTAGAAGGTTTTATTACTCAACAAATACCTTCTCGAAGTATGTAATAAAATCTAATCGGGTGCTGGGGCAATAGCGATGATGTCCAATCTGATTAAAACACAGATCCTATTTCGTGTCGTGTTTCATAGTTCAAAATTTCGTTTTACTTGTCTTTACTACACTAGAATCTGGAAGAGTTCTTATATAACAGACGTTCTAGTTGACGTGAGGAATTAGCCAATGAAACGGTATGTTACGGCGAGTTCTTGGCGTGCGATGCACGGAACTGCGGGTAAACCCCTAGAAACGTCAACGCTGATTGATTAATCAATGTCTGACGTCATAAGGTCAAAAACCGCTCGTATGACCTCTGATGCGACCTTCAACTAACCGGTCAGATCTTCATGTAGTAGAGGCCATCGAAAGTTTAAAAAACGAAACGAAATATAGATCTGTATTTTAATCAGATTGGATGATGTCAAGTGAAAATCGAGTGTTTTTTCTACTGTTGTAGCAATATTATGGCCTCGACAAAATATTGGTTTTAAATTCGTAAGCAAGTTTATTTTAAAGATAGGACATCACGTAATGCTACTGAAATAGACAATATTTTTATATATTAAAATGACCCATAGGTTAACAAAATACAGTGGCTAATATTGCCATTTCCTTTCAAAAACCCACCACATCCTCACTTGCTAATGAAACTGCACCAACGGTGATGGAATGTATCTAGTTGACCAAATTAGGTAATAGTCCCTGCTAATTTGCAAGGTATGAGGCGTGTACATTCCATATTTAGAAATTAGTACTTTGGACAGTCTCTGGCTTAAACCAATTCGTGCGGGGCTGTGATTCAAGGGAAGACAACCAGAGCTGATTCGGAGAGAGAGAGAGGGGGGGGGGGGTAACGTCTACTCGACACAAACTAGGTCATTTCGGGATTAACGTATGGTTCATTTTTATTTCAATAATTCGCTTGCGCGTAGGGTCTTTAGCAGTGGGAGGACACCGGAGGATCCGCAGAAAACCCACCAGGTTGGACATGCCACCCTGCTCCTTGTCACGTACATCCGGGGAATCGAAACCCCGCCAGTTGATTCAATGACAGACCTTATGATACAACGCGCACGCACTAACCATTTGGCTATCCAACCCCCCGCAATAGTGTTATGGTGTGAACAGTGATATATCGTTAAGTCTTCCACATTGTATAGTACCCCCCTCCACCCACGGGTTCTGTATTGATCGACTTTTGGCTAAAGGTTTCTGATATAGCCGTTTATTAGTCTGTCTTTAAAAGGACTGATTGCGATTCGTACCTTGATTGAAGTTTTAAACTTATGTTTTATCACATAAAATGTTCAAACTGAAACATGCTGGCGCTGTCACTGGTTGTGAATTTGATTTTATCTATCTTGCATCAAAATAACCCTGCAACAAAGCTAAAAGAAAAGGTAACACGTCTAAGGGTCAGTGGTTTTCGGGGATCGATAAGGTAGAAATGAAAAACATTATTTCTATGATATTTTGTACAAAAATTGTAGTTCATAAATGTATTCGTTGTATATAACACGGCCAAGGAGTGATTTCCACTAGAATCGTTCAAATGTTTAGTAAACATTCAAAAATCATTCATCAGAGAAATTTGTTTCCATGGAAACAAAACATTATTAATCCGCGAAATTCAAAATTACCAAAAGGTACAACTACTACAATAGGTTAATGTTTGTAGAAAGTTTCATGAAGATATCTTGAATGGTTTATGAGATATGATTTGGAAACAAATTTGAACACCAAAAACTAAGTCAAATTTGTTTCCATGGAAACACAAAAAATATAATCCAAGAAATTCCAAAATAGCAAAAGGCACAACTACTGCATGTTGATGTGTGTGCAAAGTTGCAAAGTTTCAAAAAGACATCTTGAACGGTTTGTGAAATATGCTCGGAAACGAAATCGGGAGGACGGACACACGGACAGACGATGTCCATTTCAATATCCCTTCCAAACTTCATTCGGCGTGGGATAAAAAAAAAACGAACCGAAATATAGATCTGTAATTTAATCTGATTGAACTCTATATATGACCCTTTTATTTATGGTACAAAATTTGTTTTTGAACCAATTTGTGGACCCCTTTATAGGAGCTAAATCGCTAATATTTGGGACCTAGAAATTGACAAAAATGGGTCGCAACGCATATAATAATGTAATATGAATGTATTTTAAACTGATTTACATTCAATCGTTTCTGTTTTTACTGTAATTTCTAATCAGTTATGTTCGGCGAAATACGCCAGAAGTCTCATGTGAATGGCAATCTTTAGCGTCTGGTTTTTCCAGTCTACACCGATGGTCTTTATTGCGCATGCTCTCAGATAAGAATATAGCGTCACTATTTGACGTGACTTGTGGAATATGTCTAACCCTGTTCTTTGAGTCCCTTGTTCCAAATGGCGCTGAAACGCATTATGGTACACGACTCGTGTACCAATGGTAAAATGTTTATTTTGTCTTGAATATTGGATATCAGAAGCCCATCTTTTCCCTGTAAGATCACAAGACCAATGTTGATTTGAATTGACAAATAATTCGTGTTTTCAATGTCGAAGATTTTTGATGATATTGAGTTAGAGATATAGCTACTTTAAATAATTGGGCCCCTGGCTGCAATCCTGTTAGTGATAGCGAAATCAGAGGAGATTTGAATTTTTAATTTCCTGACATTTAAAATATAACCGGGTTTGTTTGTATAATGAAACGTATAGAATATTATTCTTCACCATTAACTAGAGATAAAAAAAGATAAAAGAGGTGTCATATTGTTGATAGCGTCCCCGTAATAGTATTCTATTCTTTGTTTGAATTTGCTTCAACGGTCGATGAGTAGCGTCATGTGTATATGAATAGCATAGTACGGCGGTTATTTAATACGATGCATTGATAACTAAATGAAATGAGGTTTAACGTTCTACTGTTCAGCTCCGAACTAGGCTAATACGGGCATACGCCATACAGTGTGCTATGAGGGAAATTTTGCCCGGACAGCGGCACTACGACCTACTCTTATATCGAATTCCAACTTTCAACGGATCTTCTACGTGCACACCCATGTGTACACGGGACCTCGGTTTTGTCGTCCTATCCGAACGACTATACGCTGTCGCTTGTCAGGCCCTCCGTCTAACAAGGGGGAAACCACGTCAAAAGATCCCGGTGAACTTTCTCAGGCAACGCCCTACTCACTGAGCCATCGTAACTCCTTTATGACATTACAAAATGAACAGTTATTTGACAAGCTCATTTTTTTTTCAACGAACACTCTTTACTTTTCACATTGTATTAAAGCTAGACAATGACCAGGTAACTGTGTTTGTCGGGTGCGTTTGCGGGATGCAGTTGAGGTGAGCTTGCGGTATTGATTCGTTAATTTCGTCCGTTCATAGATTTAATAGACTTTTCTGATGCCTTTTCATTTTCCCAGGATAGTGTCATAAAAAATGAATAATTCAGCTTTTGAACGTAACGGACCACAAGGCCGAAACGCAGCATTCAAGGTCACATGTCTCTTTATCCAGCATTAGTGTGAAATGGAAGACAACTCTGCTACGGATAATGATTCAAGAGAGAGAGAGAGAGAAATGAAATGAAATGAAATGGGGTTTAACGTCCTACTGTTCTGCTCCTAACCTGGGCTAATGAAGACGGGCATACGGCATACAGTGTGCTATGAGGGAAATTTTGCCCGGACAGCGGCACTAGGGCCTACTCTTATATCGAATTCCAACTGCCAAGGGATCTTTTACGTGCACGCCAATGTGTACACGGGACCTCGGTTTTTCGTCCCATCCGAACGACTAGACAGCTTTCCTTGTCAGCCCCTCCGTCCTGCATCACTGACAAGGGAGAACCACGCCGGAAAATGCAGGGATCGAACACCCGACCTCCAGGCTAGCGAGCTAGCGTCTTACCCACTTAGCCACGTGATCCCCCGAGAGAGAGAGAGAGAGAGAGAGAGTTTAACGTCAACTCGACACAAACACATGGTTCAATTTTATTTCAATAATTCGCTTCCGCGTAGGGGTCTTTAACAGTGAGAGAAACTGGGGGACCCAGAGAAAACCTACGAGGCTGGACAGGCACGTGCTAACCATTCGGCCATCCAACCCCGCGAGAATGTTTCAAAGTACGAAGCGTCCCGCATATACATGACCGTGCTGTAAAATGCATTTATATTGAGGTTTAGCAGTAGTCAAGTACATAATAAATTTGAGATTTTACCGGCATTCAAAAACACGTAAATGTTTATATATTCCATCTTGAAATTAATAACTCCCAATTATTGGATAAGATGTCCCGTCAACAAAAGATTTGGGTCATTTGATATACGGTTATTTTTGTCTATGGTCATGTGTGCAATGTATGGACACTCAGTTGAGGAGAGGAGATAACCAAATCGTTAATTTGGGCGAAGAAGAGTATTCGGGATTTTGCAATCACAGGGGTTGGCACCTACGAGACTAACCATGTACAAATTATAATAGAGTGCAAATAATTCGATGAGGAGTAAAAGAAACGCTCTTTCTAAACATGTAATTTGTCATTAATAATGCACTATATTTTCCTTTCAGAATACAACGATAAAGTTTCGACTCATAGCAGAATCAAGAAAAAGTAAGTTTATTTTATAAATTATCAAGGAGCGTGGTGTTTTTCATGAATTTTAAGTTCAACACTTAATATAACTATAGACCTCTTTGCGGGTTGACAATATTACGTTCATTAATGGAGTCATAAATCTTTCATGATATCTTTATGAAAGTTTGTACACAAATGAAAATATTATTGTAGTCGCACCTTTTGCTACTTAGAAATTCCAGATGCCTAATGTCTATGGAAATATATTTGATATGCAATTATTACTCCGGAAGATATCTATAGCAACCGTTCAGATTATCTGTATGACTTCTACGTTTGCAAACTTTGATAGTGTAATTCTGAAAATACAAACCACTGTGGTGGTACAGTGAAATCCCGCTAATAAGTCCCGTTGTGGGACTGATATAGAGTGGTCGTAATAGTGAAGCGGCCCTGGAATCCCAGAATACAGACTTCATGCAGTCTTTTAAAGTACGGTCGTATACGAAAGGCGCCCATAAAACTGAGGTGGTCGTTGAGCGAGATTTCACCGCAGTTTGTAATTGCACAACATTTATATTCACCGCAACAGTGTAGCATACTTTTGCTATGCTTATAACATTTAAAATATACTTGCATTTGGTTGTTGATTTCTAAAAACACTGGGATAGTCTATCCATGTACCTTCTAAAACATGTCTATGATGCGGGTTGTTGAGGACTGGGTATTTATTTATTTATTTTTTTTCTGTGTTTTCTAAATATGTTTACAACCATTTTGATTATAGAATGCGAAGGTCGCCAAACGAAGGGTAGTATCGCCATTAATGAAATTGTCCTAAACAAAAATAAACTTAAATTGGAATGGAATCATCGATATTTTGATGGATTTGCTAGATGTCAATTCCTTGTACAGATTAAACGAAAAATGGAAAATTCTCAGCATAGAAGTGTTACATGTTTTCGTGTTTGTGTAATTGGTGCCAAGGTTAGTTCCTACTAAAGCTATGCAATTAGTGGTATTTATTAAAATTTTAATGTTCTTCCCAAATAATGATCATGCAGGCGGTTCAGCCACACGAATAAACACCGTTCTAGACACTTTTTGTGTGTGTGTGTTTTTTTTATTTCAACTTGCTGGGATTGTGCCGCTTGTGATTACGAAGGAAAACTATCGAAGTGTTGCACCAGGATGTAACCCCTTGACAGGTTACATTTTGAGATTTTATTTTCTTTTTTGATTATTTAACAAACACTCTGGGTTATCTCTTTTTTGGGAAAGTCATGTTACGGCTATTGGACTCGACTCGAAAATCAAAGGGCTGATAAACTAAGAGAAAGTCCATTCTCGCGAGTAATTTGAACATTAATCATATCTAAGTCCGGCACTGTCTTCCATGTTATTTTTTTTGGGGGGGAGGGGGGGTGAGAAGAGGCTTTGGGTTGTTACTTAAAAGGGATGAAACGAAGATCAGTAGAAAAGTCAGTGATCGGAAAAACTTCTCCACGTAACCATATAAATTTACCGTATATATTACCCTCAAAATGACCCAAGGAAAGTGTGGCAGTGGCGTTGAACCGTCAAATCAAAAATTATTTTTTACCGTGAAGACCCCCGAATTATTATTATTATTATTATTATTATTGTTATTATTATTATTATAGCGATTTCGCAATGCCACTAGAAAAAGAAAAATACCAGTACAGCTATCGTGCTTTAAGAGATACCTGAAAAGAGAAGGCATAATTTCAGTATTTAAAATAAAGGGGAAAAGATATCAACCAAAACTCATTCGCCAAATTGGATACAAATTCGAAAAAAGTAAGTAAAATTTTGTTAATTTTTTAATCCTATAGTTATCGCCTCTAAATTATAATATATGACTAAGGTGTCAATAATATTACTGATGAGTAGTTTATCCTGACGTCTGTTTTTTTTTTTACTATTCCATATCATGGCAGGCACAATGTATTTCGTTTCGTTTTCAATCTGATGCTGTGCCACATTGAGAGGTGGGCTAATTAAAATGAAATGGGGTTTAAAAACGTACTACTTTTCTACACCAACTGGGCTTATGATGACAGGCATACAGTGTGCTATGAGGAAGCGTCACCAGGACAACTGCGGTACGGCCTACTCTTATATCGAATGGTTGTCAATGGTTGTTTTACGTACATGTACATGCCTGAGTGTACACGGATCTCGGTTTTTCGAACCATTCGAATTACTAGACGCTGTCATTGCCCGAGCCGCCGTTCTTTGTCCTGCGTCATTGGCCAGGGGAAACCACACTAGGAAATCTCGTAGAACTCTCTCGGTCAACATCGGGATGGAACCTCTGGCCGTACCCACTCCACCGAGGCTCTTGGTAGTTGACCAGAAGATCGACAGGTATTTTCAGGGCTGCTAAGGGGGGGGGGGGGAGATCAGGCTGGTTGGGGAAGCCATTTCTACACGGAAAAGATGATCTCGGAAGTCTGATAATCTATAAGGCTCATTGTTTCGTTACCCCAATGCTTAACACCAAATTGGAAAACATGCATTAAAAAAATGAGGACGTGAAATGCTGGATATCGTGAGGGTTCGTCCTCTCATAACCCCAGATTTGGAAAAGAATATGTTTAAAAAGTTTAGCCTGTAACAAGTTCACAAGGTTTTCGTAAAAGAGGTTTAACTCCAATCTAATTTGGGTGTTGGTTACGTCTTATGTGCCATTCACAAATTAATACTAGACCTGTCTATTTTTACAGTTCCAGAGCCGTGCATTAATTATGAACCAAAGATCAGATGTAGAGAAATAGACAACGGTGTAAATGTATCTTCCTGTCCACGGCGATTTGGTAGAGTGGAATTTGGTTTATATAATACAAAGACAAATAGTATGGAGGAACCTTTAATAGAACCTCTGGTACGTTCCAATTTAAATTGGCAAAGTCTAATCATTTACCTACAATGGGCATGAAATGAAATGGGTTTATCGTTCTAATTTTCTGCACTAACCGAGATATTGAAATCGGTCATGCGCCATACAGTTTGATATGAAGGACATTTTGCCTGGACAGCAGCGCTACGCCCTACTCTTATTTAGAATTCGAGCAGTCAAGATGCGCGTGAACGTGTACACGGGACCTCGGTTTTTTGTCCCATCTGAACATCTAGACGATGTTCCTTAACAAGGTCTAACCACCCCGAAAAATTCACAGGAACGTTCTCGGTCAACACGTAGATCGAACCTGGTCCTTCCTGGAGAAGAGGGAGAATTTCTTGTGATTTTTACTTAAAGCATGTTGGCTATCCAAGCTGAAAACCACCACAGTCAGTCAGGAACTCCACTGGCCAAAACAATGATTTTACAATTTAACGATGATCAATATGGTTTGATTTTGTTTAAATTATATATCAATTATTTAGTCTGCTGACCAAATGCCTCTTAATACTTTCTCGAAGTACAACGTATATAGGTTCCTTAATCATAAACTTATATATTCTTATGTTTTAGGAAAATTGTTGGGCTTTCTTTCCGAATATTACATATGGTGAATATAGAGGAACCGTGAGTGTATATGCTTTAATTATCTTATATTCAATAATTCATGACACGCTGATTTAAAGTCCTGAAAACTATTACCCGAACCTCTATCCCCGAAAACTATTACTCGAACCTCTATACCTGAAAATTATTGCCCGAACCTCTAGCTCTGAAAACTATTGCCCGGACCTCTATAGCCCTGAAACCTTTTGCCCGGAACTCTAGCCATGTAAACTATTGCCCGGACCTCTAGCCCTGTAAACTATTACCCGAACCTCTAGCCCTGTAAACTATTGCCCGAACCTCTAGCCCTGTAAACTATTGCCTGAACCTCTAGCCCTGAAAACTATTGCCCGAACCTCTAGCCCTGTAAACTATTGCCCGGACCTCTAGCCCTGAAAACTATTACCCGAACCTATAGTCCTGTAAACTATTACCCGAACCTCTAGCCCTGAAAACTATTGCCCGGACCTCTAGCCCCGAAAACCTCTAGCCAGAACCTCTAGGGATCACGTGGCTAAGTGGGTAAGACGCTGGCTCGCTCGCCCGGATTTTCCAGCGTGGTTTCCCCTTGTCAGTGATGCAGGACGGAGGGCCTGACAAGGACAGATGTCTAGTCGTTCGGATGGGACGAAAAACCGAGGTTCTGTGTACACATTGGCGTGTACGTAATAGATCCCTTGGCAGTTGGAATTCGATATAAGAGTAGGCGTCAGTGCCGCTGCCCGTGCAAATTTTCCCTCAGAGCACACTGTATGGCGTATGGCCGTCTTCATTAGCCCAGTTTAGGAGCAGAACTGTAGGACGTTATAACCCCATTTCATTTCATTTCTAGAAGAAAACTGTCCGAAAATGGTGTTGACTGATGGCTGCAGTTGTGGGTCGCAATTTGTGGAATAAAATTGAAAATGTTGAGTGTTGACGGTAATCATGACCATATTGTTTTTGGGTACTGACAGTGCAGCTGCTCTCTCTAACACCACTGGTGTCTAATAAACCTAGACATAGCGTCTTCTGAATTAGTGGGCATAGGAAACTTGTTTATAAGATGAAGCTGCTTGATTTGGAAACTGCAGCCTGGTATTTCATCAATGAGCTGTTACTCTTACCCAACTTTTTTCCCAATACACTATCTGTCAAACCAACTATCGGGCCACAGATCACTAAAGATTTGCCCGTTGACTTTAATGTTAATTCGCGTCTCTTAGACCGGCTCTAACTTTTTCCCAAATTTTCGTTGGGTAGAACGCTTTCTACCACAGATGGAGCAACATGTGACAACCTCTTGCCCAAAAGCACGTATGAGGTTCACCATGGAAAACTTCAAATACGCAAGCTGGAAGTAGAGCCAAGTAGCCTAAACATGCAATTTTTGACCCTACATTTTAACCTAACCAACCTCTCAACTCTTGTATCCTTCCGCCTCAAAATCATGAATATTCACCAAAACCTGGCAGAAAATGTATTTTCAAACCCTTTTCTTCGATTCTACACCAAAAAGTCAACAAAAATCGCCATGGAAAAGGGAAAGGGAGAGAAAGACTAAAAATAACTTTGGCCCTACATTCTAGAGATATTTGGTGAGCTGTGTCCATCTATTTTCATGTCGATTTTTATACACCCAGAGTTATTCCCCATGGTTACGAAATCTTGTTTAATACCTTTGAGGCTTTTGACAAATTAGATGCTGGTGGGTGTATGTTGTTACTTTATTGGTAGCCTATATTTTTTTTATACATATATTTGCAGGTACAAATTCTGAGTTGTCGAGATTGTGCCGATTATAGACTAACGGGTAAAGCTTGTGATACAACAAGATACAGATCCGTGCCCTTCATAGTCGGTACACCCCCAACCACCGGTAGGGCATTTTATGTCTATTTTTAAATTGCATGCATTCACTTTATTTTCATTTCCTTGTGCACAGTGGTAGACATTATGCCAGAAGAAGGCGAGCCTCCGTTGTTAAAATATTAAAATGAGATAAAATAAAGTTTAAAACAGAACAAATTGAAGAAACAAAAATGTCAATAATAAGAGATGGAATCGGGTATTAGCGTAACTCGTCACTGCTGGAAGAAAATGGGTCGACAATGCGATAACTTTGTTATAACAGGCGGTGGGTGAAGTGGGGGTACATTATTTCCCGTGCGATTTTAAGAAGGAAGGGTGTATTAAAGGTTGCGGTTGTATATAATTTTAGCCCTCTTTACGTGCATATCTTTTTTGCCCTTTTTACGCGCAATTTTTTGTCTTAAGCGGTGGACACCTTATCCGAATCATTTGACCGAATCAGTCGGCGCCAAATATTATTCGGCCAAATGAGTGAACATACTAGGCGAATGCTTCGCCCGATTCACCAGTCGATTGCCAATCTGTTTCATAGAGAATTACGAGTCTCGTATAATATCTCTGTCATAGATGACTGCCTTAACACGTGCTGTCACAGCACGCGGTGTAAATCATTGGCTTAATGGCGCGTGCATTGTTTACATAAGACATAACTGCTTCGGAGAGAATGCTGCATTTTAGTCAATTTAATACCCATTTACACTAAATCGGAAATAATTTTTACCTACAACTACGTCAAACGCCTTTATTTATTTTTCCAATATATACATAAAATGTTTTAGAATTTAATTTGTCGCAGGAAAAAAGTTAATATTTCTAGCTCATTAAGCCGCATCAATGTCATCCTTATCAGTGGTTGTCGCGGCAAAGCAAATATTCACTGCGGATCAGTGTGGTCGATTGCATCACCTTTCACGTCACATGATGAAACATGGTGCCGACCAAGTCTTCAAACAATCACGTGACTTCTCGATGAGTGATGATTGGCTAATGAATTCTACATTCGGCCGAATGCTTCGGCGAAGCGGACACACTAGGCGAATATAATTCGGCCGAATATATCAAACATGTTTGATTCGGGCGAATCATTCGGAAGCGAATTTCAACGCCGATTGATTCGACCGAATCATTCGGCTAGTGTGTCCACCGCTTAAATTTATTTTTTATTTCTTTTGTTTTTAAAGTTTTCAAACATTTGTGTATGCATGCAGAGTCGCTATTTCTATAAGAACAAAACATATTGCACATTGAATAAATGCACCTTAGGTATTCTCTTATATAATATATGTCTGTGTTTTACACTCGCTGCTGCACAGCTACACCACACGTAAATAAGAGTTTCTACTTAAAGCGGAAATTGCAAATTTTCTAAGAAAGTCAAAACGTAATTATTTCTATGTCTTTTGCTCAATAGGTTGTCAACTCACAATTATACGATTATAGGTGTCATTCTCACACTTAACATTCATTTACACAGGAAATAATAACACAATTACCTCCCAATTACCTCCCTTGTTTTCTATTCTCCACCATGGAGTAGCGATATTCAAACGTTTGAAAATGAAGAGGAAAATGATATTTTTGCCAATTTCTCAGCTGGCAATAGTGAATTATAGGATTAAAAAGATTATTCTTTAACAAGGTAGGACTGTTTATGGATACCATCTATTTTCAGGCTTTATTTTAATAAATTTTAAAAATATAACTTAAAAATTTGCAATTTCCGCTTTAAGTTTTGCTGCTTAAATTCATTCTCAGTATTACTTTGGAAATTTTTGAATACAACCGTTTTCTATCTTACAGTAGAACCGCCCACATGGACAGAAAAAGTTTCAACACCAGAGTTCGATCAATTCATACATAGGCCTATTGTTATCGTAATTTGTGGAATATTTGCGTTTTTGGTATTTACACTTCTATTGATACTACTTCTTTCCTCGCTAGGTATGTATAATAATACGAAGTATTAATTTAATTCAGAGTCAAATTATAATTCTTGTCTCAGTTGATACTGAACAAGGTTAGTGGTTCTTCACTTTCCCAGTTCATGTTAATTTTGCAAGATCGTGTATACAGAAAGTGTGCCTTCAGTTCCCACCATGGGTGCAAATCATAATCATTTCTGATGTCAATAATTTTATTACTTAGCGGCCGCTTCGTTGACACCCCCACCACCATTCCCATTATACTTCCTCCCCTTTTGTTTAAGTTTATTTGCTGTTAATATTCAGTACGGTAATTAAACGTTTTTAGATGCCTAAAAAGTTTGGGTTTTTCAATGTGCCTTTTTTATTTACCCATTTCTGCTTACTTTACTGCTTAGATAGCTTTAGCATCGAGCATTTATGTTGTTGTCACTACACAATTTAATCTGTACTGTTAGTTTATAAAATATTTGTTGTGTGGACAACAATTTTAATAAATTTCAGGTAAGGGTTGTTTGAACAAGAATAAAAATCTGGAAGATGCATTACCACTGATTCCTCGTGAAGGTAAGGCATGCTCGAATACATATTTTTTGGGTTCTTGTCAGGAAATAATTCGTTTGCGCGCATGCGTCATTAGCAGTGTGTGTGTGTGTGGGGGGGTGCTCTCGAGGTCCGACAGGCGATCCTACTCAGCACATGTGCAAACCTAGGATCTAAACCACAGACCCCAATCTCCCAGAGTTGTCTTCCCTTGCATTTCACACTAATGCTGGAAAGCGAGACTTGTGCACAGGCGCCTGCAACGTGGAAAATATTTCAAAAATAACATCGAACTATGACTAAGTAGATGTCTAAAGTCTGTTCCGTCCATGTTCGTAAACGAGATTATCAAATAACTGGTCTGATTCCAATTTGTAACTCAAGGGCATATAACTCGTCTGAAACCGATTCTCTTTCAGTAGGCTAGATATGCATGTAGTAATACCAAGGTGAGAAACGGGTTGGAATTAAATAATTGGGATCAAAGTTCACTATACTATATTCCGTCAACCAGTGGCGAAACTCACTAGTTTTCGCTAGGTAGACAACCGAGTCTACGATGACGTTTAAAATTTTTTAACGTGATTTAAAGAGGGTTACGTGGATAATTTTAAAAAGGCATGCGGACTTGTGTGGAGGATGCACAGACCCATGACTCGACAATATGATTACATAACTCGATTGTATACCATATGGGCCACAACCACTTGGACTCCCAACTTTCACATTCTCTCTGTCAATGTTCGAATAAACATAGGCCTACCAATTGCTTGAAGTTATGACATCATCAACCTAAAGGGAGAATTACCAATTAATGTAGACCTGGTGGCTTTTCTTTATTTATTGCAGACGATAACAACAACAAAATGTTAGTGCTTTATGCACCAGATCACGACTCCCATTTTAATGCTGTCAAAAGTTTCTGCAGATTGATGACGTATTTGGGAAAAGATGTTCAACAAATGACACCAGCGGAGGAATTAAACCTGGTCACAAATCCAGATTATGGCGTAGTAATTGTTATTCTATCGAATGGATTTTTCGGAAATTGCAAAAGTGAAAACTGTCTCCGGCACCTATCTACATTGAATAATAATTCAATAGTTTTATTTGTTTCGTTTGGTTATGGAAAAGAGTATCTCTCTGATTTTTTCCAATTTCTCGCAATTGACCATAATAGGGTGTTTTCTTTGACGAAAGAGATGGATTACAAGAGTAATCTCCAAATCTCCAACTCTCCAAAGAGGATAAAACGCGAGTTAAATTTACACCCGCTTCTCAAAAGCATAAACGGTCCAGTGCTTGACGCCGATGCAACAGAATCTATTCACGAAAGTGAACATGCTCAAAACTTTCTCTTTCACGTTAACAGAGTGATGGACTCAGAAATCAGAAAACCACTCCGATTTTTATAAATGAAATGATTTATCTATGATCTCAGAGCTTAAATCAGAAAACCACTCCGATTTTTATTTTAACAAATGATATAAATGAAATCATTTATCTATGATCTCAGAGCTTAAATCTACCTGGAGCCAATTACATGCATCAAGGCCTTGGCTACGTTCAACTGGACCGAGAGCAAATCCAAGATGGGGAATTTTACTAAGTGTATTTTACGGCTAGATCTTTTTCTTAAGGTCAACTCAAGATTTCGTCAAGGTCGTCGAGATGTAAATAAGGTTATGGCACGAGATTGTATTTTAGGGTTAGGCTCAGAGTTAAGTCCAGGGTTAGGGTTGGGATTAGCTCTAGCCCTGGTTACATCTCGTGACCTTTGACCAAGCTTGTAATTGGCCTTATGAAATAGATCTTACCGTATTTTACCAATAGGGGTATTCCATAGGGATTTGGAAAACTTAATTAATTTATGAGGTTTTTTTTAGATATTTTTATCTAATATCAAAGCACTAGTCATTAATATTATAAAGCCACAATGTGTTCTTGTCTAAAAGCTAAAGCATATATTCCATATAATCCATAGGATATGCTTTCCCCAAACAGAAGTTCTTTTGCTTTGTGTTTCTTTTTTGTTTTGTTTATTTTTGCTTATAATATATATTAAGTTGTTGATATTATTGTTGGTTTGCTTATTATATGTTGCATAGCCATTATATTATTTTTTTTAACATTTGAATTCAATTTACAAATGTATATCAATAGTTTATTTATTAAAAGATAACATAGTAATATTATATTTTATAATAGAATAGAATATTAAAAATATAATTTTACATCATGTTTACAGTTTCTTCAGTGTTCATGGTTTACTCCCACACACCCCTTCCCGCCCCTCATCATAAAAGATAGGTTGTCATACGCCCACAGCAGCTAAATATATATTATCAGGCTGTAAAACTGGATAAGTGCTGAAAATTAAGATAAGTAAAATGTATAATTAGATTGTAAAACTGGATAAGCACTGAAATAGAGCTAAAGTATGGGAATCAATGTATAGGTTGGTCACAAGCCCTTGGTATAAAGAGTCCCACATCACGGTTTAACTTGGGCTTGACGCGTTTTATATGGATGGCCTCAAGAAGTTTCCTGGTTTTCTTCTGGTGATAATTTACTGCAAGAGTTCTTGTTTGGTCCCATATAATTGTATGATGTCCGTTGTTAATAATATGCTCTGCTACAGCTGATGGATTGGTGGAAGCTAGTGACTTGTGCTCTTTTATTCGTTATTCGTACATCAGGTGGAAGCTTCTTTTCACCTACATATTTTTCGTTGCACGAGCAAGTCATTTCGTAAATACATCCTTTGGGCTGTGTGTTTGTGTGTGTGTAGGGGGGGGGGGGGGGTACCATTAGGTTCTGCAGCTTGTGAAGGTGACGTCTATGCCCACTTCTTGTTTCATCAACCTTCCAAGTTGGTTTCTAAACAGTTGTAGAGAGTTTGTTGTCAGTTTTGGTCACTCGGAGATCAAGAAATAGGAGGCTTTCGTCCGTTTCGGTTTCCATTGTGAATTTTATTCTTGTCTGTCGACTCTTCAGATGTTGTGGTAGCGTTTCTGCGTTGTCTTACACAAACGTTAAAGGAATGCTTTAAGAAAACGTATGATTTTAGTTTCTTTTTAAAATCCGTTACAGTCTCACATTGTGTTACACTTTCTGGACGGGTATTCCAGAGCCGCGGTCCTAACACACTGAACGATCTGTCTGCAATGTTTTATTTTTAGTCTGGGGTATTAGTAACGTTTTTTGATGACGATCTCGTATTGTATGATGAAGTTTGGGACTGTACTCATTCAGAAAGTAGACAGGAGCAAAATTGTGGAGACTCTTATACACCAGTACCAGTAGCTTAATTGGTATCGGACTTCAATTGGCAATATATGAAGTTCTTTCAGAGCAGCAGTGGAGCTTAGATAACAAACCTTAATCTCTCAACCCTCCGTGTTTCGAGTTAAGAACTGAGGCCATGACCTATAACGTTGCAGCTGCCGGAGCGATTCACACCCGGCATTTTTAAACAAAATTGACCATAGTTTTAATCAAAACAACGATTGATTATTGTTATTTATAATATTTCTACAACACCCAACTACAATTAAGCATATAATCCTACCTGAAACGGGTACAAATCGTCATTTTTAAAATCGAGGCGTTAAGCCGTTACTAAGACCGCCATCTTTTTAAACGATACGCTGTCATCATGAAGGTGGGGCTAAATATAAGGCTTTTATAACAGCCAATCAAAAGGACAATCGAAAGCACAGTAACTATGAATGGATTTCGATGGCGGTGAAATGTCAGACAAAAACAACGCTTCATTAATTTAAACGCGAATATTTGGAGTTAGGCGACAGTTCTGCCACTACATTGGCCTCTGTAAGTTTAATTAATCATAATATCATAAACTTATCTATTTTAAAGATGTTACATGCATTAATAAAGAAATTGAGTTTGCCACTTGGAACTAAAGGCATCCAATCGTAGCTAAAAACAAACACATCAGTATATCTCAACGTTTTTAGCTACGTTCTCGTAGCTACAGTGGAGCTATGGTCGTAATTAACACCAAACATTAGTTTTGCAGTCATATATTGGATTCGTTGAAGAGTAGCTGCTGTCAGATCACAGAGCAGACTATTTCCATAATCCGTATGGAAGAAAACTAAAGAGCTGACAATTTGAAGAGTTGATTCTCGCGAAAGAAATTGTCTCAATTTCCGCAAGTTTAACATGGCCGAAGCAGTAGAACGAGCCGAATATCAACTGGCAAGGGTTCTTTACGTGCATGCCATCGCTCCATCCGACAACTATACGTTTTCCCTTGTCGGGTCCCCGTTCTGAACCAATTACAAAGTGGAACCACGCTGGAAAATCCCGATCAACTTTCTTGACCAAAACCGGGATTGAACACGAGACCTCCAGCGGTTCCCACTTAAAAAAGCAGGGATGTATTAAAATTATACAATATCTACATTTATTAGCTTATATTTTACATATAGTTTTTAACAATCATATGGAATTGCGGTGGCCGCAGTAAGACGTAAGCCAACCCGGAGGTTGCAGTTTGCTCTTGTGTCAGTGGTGCAGGACGGAGGGGCTGGCAAAAAATTGTCTAGTCTTTCGGATGGGATGTAACATGGGACCTCCGGGTTTATAGCAAGCCAATGTTTACTCACTGTGGGTTCTGGCGTGCCTTTCGAGGGAGAGAGAAATGGGGTTTAACGTCCACTCGACACAGACTAGGTCATTTCGGGACTAACATATGGTTTAATTTTATTTCAATAATTCGCTTGCGCGTAGGGGTGTTAGCAATGGGAGGAAACCGGAGGACCCGGAGAAAACCCACGAGACGTGCATTTTAAATACTTCGAAATAAGAGTAGGCCGCAGCGCCAGTGTCCGGGCACAATTTTCCAAACAGCACACTGTATGGCCTAAGCCCGTCTTCATTATCCCAGTCAGTGTAGAAAAGTAGGACAGGATAATAATACTATTTGTTTTGATTTTTACAGAAAGCTCAAATACACTCAGTATACACATCAAACTGTTTGTTTTAAAAATAGTTGCTTAGAAATACTTGACTGGGAATAGGTAGTGAAATCATTGAGAAATTTGTAAAGGAAAAACGGGGTAACTTAATTCATGGGGTTATTCCACATACAGAAGCAGATCCGTAAATGAAGTGGGGTTTAAACGTCCTACTTTTCTACACTGAGTGGTTGTGGCTAGTAGGATCGACTACGGAGACCAAACGGAAATTGCATACCATTGGTCGGTGAAGGGGCACAACTCCACTTGGTTCAAGTGGACACCATACTAATTTGATCGTTTGCATTAGTTACTTTAGTAACTACGTTTCCACCAATTATCTTCCACAATTAATGCCATGTCAAACAGGGCCTTATATCATCTGTGGGTTCAACATTATTAACAGACTTTGTAATGGAAATTCTGAATTTCAATAGGTTTCTCCCTTATGAAATGAAATGGAAAGGGGTTTAACATCCTACTGTTCTGCTCCGAACTGGGCTAATGAAGACAGGCATACGCCATACAGTGTGCTACGAGGTAAATTTTGCCCGTACAGCTGCACTATGGCCTACTCCTATATCAAATTCCAACTGTCAAGTGATCTTTTAAGTGCACGCCAATGTGTACACAAGACCTCGGTTTTCCCTCCCATCCAAACGACTAGACAGCTGTCCTCGTCAGGCCCTCCCGTCCTGCATCACGGACAAGGGGAACCACACCGGAAAATCAGGATGAACTTACTCGGCCAATGCAGGGATCGAAGACCCGACCTCCAGGCTAGCGAGTCAGCGTCTTACCCACTGTGATCCCCTTATGACTCCTACACACAACAATTTATTATGAACAATATTTAAACCAACCTTCCAGAATTGATAGAAGTGCATATTTCGAAAACTAAAGCCAGTAAAAATAGCGAATATGAAATGAATTATGACATGTGTAAACCCAAAATACCCATACCCCAGCCCAAACTGTGGGCATGTAAAAACTCATCTGCTTTCAGTCTTTGAGAAATAGGCTCTTGTCACAGAAAGTAAAGACCCAAAAATTAAAACGTTACAAATATTTTTTTAAATTGTATTTATTACATTTTATGATCGTGGTCTTTCTTTTTTGCCTCTGAAGAGAGCCCAAAGTGAAACATTAGCTACTTTAACAATTTTAAAACGGACACCAGGAATATCTCCAACAGCATGACCTGATCGACCAAATCCAGCAACAAGAACTTCATCGTTTTCCTGTTCAAATAAAAAAGAAAATATTCAGAACTGGATACAAGTAATACATTTCCAATAAGCAAAAGGATTCCCGATATAGGAGATCAGAATTTTAACTTTATAAAACACAAATTGGGTCCTTTTGGGACTAACATGATAAATCTATTATTCAACAATTCACTTTAGTAAGACGAAAACTTGAAGAAAAGTTAACCGGCAAACACTCCTTATCAAGCACAGATTTAATGATATAAAATGCACACTTTAGATTACTCGCCTTGTCCCACCAAGACTAAGAAACAAGCAAGAGTAAATAATATAATCAAATCAAAGGGACTAACAGAAAATAAACAAAGTTTAGTCAGTCCTAACTGATGATCATTTAACCTTTATATCACTGGCATCACATTTACCTTAAGTACATTTTTCCATTATATTCTAAATTAAACTCTTCAGACTTTGCTTTATTTCATAAAAACTTGTCCTTTTGTCATGACAATGCTTTAGAAAGCTGGTTGTTAAATTCCACAATACATGTAGTAGCTATCAACTTGTGTGCCACTTTGGAAATTTTGCCTTGGCCTAATAGAATTTCAACTGTCACAGGTTCCTCAAGTTAATGTACATGCCAGCATGTGGAGCACCATCCGAACAACTAGATACTTTAATCTTGCCAGGCTCTCCATCATGCACGAATGACAACTTTAAGAGGAAACCAGAATGGTGCAAGTAATGACTTAATAACCATTCAGTTTCAAATTTTCAAAAGCTTACCTCTATAAAATTTAGACAACCATCATTAGGTACAAAGGCTGTAATTTTTTTACCATTTTTGATCAGTTGAACTCTGACACATTTTCTAATAGCAGAGTTAGGCTGTTTGGCTTCAACACCACTGTAAGTAAATAGATTAGTATTAATTTTAAACAAAATAGATTTACATGCAAGATCACTGCTTTTAAATTTCTGAATCCTAGTAATAACAAACTTGATTTAAACTTAAACTGAAAGCTATTTCTGAAAAATCTGTTATGTAAAGATTAACATCTGCCATCCGACTTAACAACTTCCAAATAAGTTATATTTATAGCACAGCTTTCACAATTTTAAACACAGAGGCCTTGAAGCCAAGGTATTAAACCTGTTAATGAATGAAGCATGCCATAAATTCTAACATTGACACTTGTTCATCATACTTGTGAATTTATGATTGCACAACTATTTTTAACTATTTTCAGATCACTGAATGCCGACCAACAAATATAACCACTGTAAATTTGTGTATTAACATGGTTTGTTTAATGCGTTAAAGCTCATAACTTCTTGATAATTGGGTTAAAGAAAACAAGGGTTAATGATAAGGTTAATGTGTCAGCTTTGGTCTCTAGAAGAGGGCCAAAAGACTTTGCTTAGAACTTTAAGAAAAGACCTACTTACACTTTTTCTAAAACAATGCCCTTAGCATGAGAAGAACCCTGGAAAGGATTGGCCTTCCATCTGGTACCAAAGTGAGCCTTTTTGTAATCTTTATCATGCCATTTCTGGACACGACGAATATTTCTCAGTTTACGGGCAGTATGAAGCCCTGATGGTTTACCTGTCAAAAATAAAATACATTTATAGAATGAGACTGTTTCACTGAAGGGTGGAGATCTGGGCAGCAAAAAAAGGTGATAAAACTGAAACCTGGATTTCTGAAAAGATAGCCGTGGGGGGTTGGGCGTCAGCATTAAGGAAAAGGAATAGCGGATATTCAACTGGATCGCGTTTCCTAGATATATCAGTAGCCTACTCATGTGCTGATCAAGTTTATTGGTCATCCAAGCTTCTAAACTTTAGAAGTGCACCATTTTCGAAAGTTAAGCAGATTTCATACCGTAAAGATGCGACATATCAAATAGAATATAAATTATCCTTCGAAGAAGGACACACTGCAAACAGTTGCTCCATACGTTCACAAAATATGAAGAGACGTCTTTCTTCACCAGAAAGGTGGCCGGCTGTTAAATGTATCTACAAGAAGATGCAACTTTCCCAAGAAAAATTAAAGATTTAAGAGCTATGTTAAAGTTTATGACACCAAAAGATAAAGTCTTTATGTCTAAATTGACTGAATAAGATGTCAAGACACTGATGTTTATATTGAAGTCTATTTCTTTTATATTGTTCATGTATCATCTATAGACTACATCATATGGAATGTATTTTAATGTTCTTAGTTGAGACTGATGTTGAAACTGATCTACCAGGAGTTCCAAGTTCCAAGAACCAGACATGCATGCTAATAATTTTTTCAATCTCTGTGTATTAAATGTCAGATATTACAATATTAGTAAACATTTAGTTCAATTAATCTGTTATTATTATTATAAAGCTGAACCGGTCAAGGAGGTTTTCATGGCCTCTGACTGTGATCGAGTGAGTGAGTGAGTGAGAGAGAGAGAGAGAGAGAGAGGGAGAGAGAGCAAACATGATACCATTTTATTCTGATAATACCCATGTGCTTAGAGGGGTATAAGTGGGTGGGGGGGGGGTTAGAAAACACACGAGGTTGGGTAAGCGAGCCTACTTTTTGTCACGTACAAGTCAAGTTTGGGTTCGAAATCATGCCACTAAATGACAGACCTTATAGTCTATAGCGAACACGTAAGCTTCCCCCTTCTTAAACACCCATAATTGGATAAAATTACCAGTTACATTTCCTGTGCATGTTCATATGCATATATAATGGACATAGAACATTTTGGATTTCAGTTTGAACGATTTCAGATTTAGGAAAATGTTCTATTTCCAAACAAAAAAATCGTTTTTTAGCTTTATTTCTCATTATTTCATCTAAAATTGATGCTCCAAATTCAGGTATAATTCATATGCATGTGATGTAAAATAATAAACTGATGGCCAATAATATAACCAAATATACAGTGTCAAACATTTGATCTCATTTTTCTCAAAACAGTGGTAATTGGAAATAGAACAATATGGTTTTCAGGCGACGATTTGTCTAACACAGAATAATTATTAATATTTGGCCTGCGAAAAACGGTAGATTTCGTAATGCCACCCACGTGGACGGGACGGGGGAGGGGGGGGGCATTTCCTAATGAATAAAACAAGAGATTGCTGGCAGCCAAGAGCCAATTCTAATAATTAAGATAAAACTAATTTTCCTCGGCTGAAAATTGACCATCACGAACAAGACTCGTCTCACACAACCCAATGAAATATTCACTAAATAAAACCACAAAAACATGAAGCCTATCCACAGAAAATTATTGAAATGAATTATGTAAAGATACTAAATAATTTTGGACAAGATTTTATTAAAAACAAAAGCAAATACTCTATTATATTTGTTAGAAATTACAATATTTTGTTACACCACGTGGGAAAGAACATACCCATGATGGCGGTTCACACAAAAAGGCAGTTCTCGTTAAAATATCGATGATCCCGAGATTTAGTCCCGATCGTTTAGAACCAATATTTCTTTATCCCATTGTCAATACAAATGTATGGCCAGGCAACCAAGACTATATATAAAATTATCTACGGATTGAATAATGATCGAGGAACGTATCTAAATTCATGACGGTTATTTAATGACTTCACATTTATTTGTATCTAACAGACCAGAGTTAAAAGTGCCACATAATTTGAAACAGGTTATTATGGGGTGCTTAATAGTCTCAAAGCAAATAGTATATGAAATATAAACAAAATATTTCTAAATACCAAAACCAGTCCGTTATCTAGGGGAATAATATATCCGATGACGTCACTGAAATAATCACATGATAAGTAAAAAATTCAAAATGGTGGACGTATCCTTCAAGTTAAAAATGTTTCTTGCATTATCAACTCTGTTTTCTGTTGCTTTAGCCGACAATGTCCCAGTACTTATGTGGTCACCATCAAGGCAAGTATTTTAAAGATATAGCTTTGCGTTGGAAACCTCTCCATTCTCTAGTCCAAATCATATGCGAAGTGTTGGAATCCCGAAGTGTTAACGGCGACGGGCAGTCAGTCAGACGGTGACTGTGCAGTGTACTGTCAGTCACGGGACACTGTGTCAAGTTCACGTTGTCAAGATAATTTGTTATGGAACAAATTTCGTACTGACTTCTAAGTGATGGGGGCCATTTTATTTGGATGAAATACAACAAAGTTCAGAGAATGATTGGGGAAATGACGATGTGGATTAATTTTGTAATCAAAACAGTTTTTAAAAAACTAAATGAAAATAAAAATGATTTTATGTCATAGATCTATTTGAAATTATAAATATAATAATTATTTTCATCAATCTAATAAAATAATAACCCATATTAACTGTCTCTGTGGCAGTTACAGGTACATATAAGCTGAAAATAGTAGACTAATAGTGTAAGAATACTAAGAATATTACTTTGCTGAAGGACAGGGAAAGGTTATTCTTACACTGGTGGGTAGTGAAGAAAAGCAAAGTAAATATCATGCTTGTTATGTAGGTCAATAGTGAATACACAAAATAACTAATAGACTTAGCTTGACTACTAAATTATTTCATTAGATATGTGAGCAATATTTGGGTGGCTTGATCGGCACTAGTAGTACTATTATCACTCAACGATGTTCAGCCGGTATCACGTCATTTGGGACTCACGTCATTTGGGACTCAACATAAACGACATTTGGGACTCAGTTGACGACGTTTGGGACTTGATTGGCGTCATTTGGGACTCAACACAAACGACATTTGGGACTCAATATAAACGACAGTTGGGACTATTTATTTATGAGATATATAGTAACAGCTGTCTTAGTTGTCTTTCGTTTTATTTAGTTGATCGGCGATTGTTGAGACCGCGATTAACACTGCTAGTTCTACTTTGTTTTGTTTTATCTGCAAGTATAAATCTTCTCCTTTGTTTTGTTTATCTGCGAGTATAAAACTTGACAATAATTTATTGTTGAAAAAATGTGTATATTTAGTAATACTTCGTTGTTTTTCTTTTATCAAATAGTAAACAAGCTTGATTGACCGACCACTGCTAATGTTTTTTCGTGAAACGGTATAACTGCAATCAACACACGGCCGCCATTCTCGATGATTTACAACTCATGTTTTTCCTCATCCACCAAAGAACCGTTAGGTTTCTTTGAACATACTGCAATAACATCGGGATTATCAGTTAATCAGCTTTAATTATCCCGCTTTGATCGTTGCCATTTCTTATATTTTCCACAAAAAAACTTTGCCTAGTACGCACTAATTTATCGATTGGTATTGCCATCTACGACAAGCATGTCAACGTGCAGCTCATGGATTATCGTCAACAATTTCTAGGGGCTTGTAAAAAAGATTGCATGGCGTGTAAATATTTATTTTGTTTTTTGTGTAGGTCATTTTCAAATACATTCATCAGCATATTATTTGTTTTAAATAAATATATAACGTTGATTATCAAAGAATCGTAAGTGCAACTAATGTTTTATCGTATGGTTGAGCCTTTTACTAACCACGTGTTTCATGTTAATAAATATTTTTTTTCGTGTTTTGAACTGGCCTATTTCTAATGAATTATCCCGAGTCCCAAACGACGTATACCAAAGTCCCAAACGTCGTATACCCGAGTCCCAAATGTCGTGGTCATATTTTTTTGAGTCCCAAATGACGCGAGTCCCAAATGACGTGAGTCCCAAATGACATGTAATCGTTCAGCCTACAGATTTACAATCCAATTGTTATGTTGTATAGACATTAAAGAGGCATTAATGAAGATTAGATAAAGAGCTGATAGTTCTCACTATAATTGTTAAAAAATAGATTAAATGTAAATTGCTTCACTTTTGAGCCGAGAAATACTCATTTTAATAACACTGTAGCCTCAAATGTCCTTGTTACTGTTGTTACCATAATAAACAACGTCTCATTTATCCATTTTTACGGTTAATAATCAATAGTCGTTGAATGGCTGATCAGAATCAAATCTAATGAAAATCGGATCCATCAGATGGCACCAAGAGTTGAAATATGGTCTTGTCATGTTAATAAATGTCTAATAGTTTATTTATGTAACACTTTCAGCCCTAAGTCAAGACCTGCAATAGGCAGATTTAGCTTATGTATAATGTATGTTTAAGTTATTGAATGGAAAAACAAGACTGGCTTTCCAGTTTCCCCAAGTATATTTTTTTAGTGTCTAACTGACTTATTTTTGCCATTGAGGGGTGACTGTGATGAGAACAAGTGATTGTGAGTGTGATAAGAAAAGATTGTTCTGAGCTTATTATAACACCTGGAAATCCAGTCATCCAATATTTGAGAAATAACAAGAAGGGTTGGGGGCTGTGTCATTTCAGTCAAGTGACAACGTTTCGATCCAAAACTTTTACGTAACAAGCTGTAGAATTGTTTGCTCAACATCATTGGTTTTCTCAAGTTTTGCCGGTTCCCAACCGGCAACTACTACTAAAGACCCTTACATACAAGTAAATTATTGAAATAAAATTGTACCATACATGTATAATTCAGTGGATTCCCCCAGGACCTGTAAGAATGGTGACAGGACAGCGCCACCCTATGATTTTTCAGAACTAGACTCCGCCATTCTTAACATTTCTGAACATGGTAAAGGGGTTGTCATTTTGGTAATCATTAAATAAATGTTTGTTGTATTAGAATTTAGCTTGTTTAACCCTGACCGTGAAATGAAATGAAATGGAATGGGGTTTATTCCGTTTAACATCCTACTCCTAAACTGGGCTAATGAAAACAGGCATACGCCATACAGTGTGCTATGAGGGAAATTTTGTCCGACTAGTGGCACTATCAAATTCCAACTGCCAAGGGATCTGTTACGTGCATGCCAATGTATACACGGGACCATCTGAATGAATAGACAGCTGTCCTTGTCCGACTCTTCGTCCTCACATTGGCAAGGGGACACCACGTCGAAAAATCATGATGAACTTTCTCGGCCAACTGCTGACCGTGACAGGAATCTTAAACGTGGCATATAGCAATTAATTAACTAGATAATGATATTATAAAGTAGTGTTAATCATCATCATGTTTACAGTCAGTTGCTGGTGTCACACAAACTTTATATGTTGTCTCATCTACATGTACAAGTCATAGTTTTTTCGACTTATTCCATTGTTGGTCAGATTCAGTCATAAACCCTGTCCACATTTAGAACCATTTAGCTTTCTGTAACTATCAATTGTATCTATCGTACATGTACATGTTATAAAAAAATTTAATGTGTATTTACTTACAGTATTTTATCTTTTTAGACCACTGAGTGACTTACCCCAGCCATTTGCAGGAAATACGATAGATCATGGAACATTTCACCAGTCTTACCTCTCACCTTTATCTGCAACCAATGACCATCACATTGTCGTTTTCTTACAAGATAAGGTAAACAGTTTATTTTATATATGTATTTCTGTCAGACATGATGTAGATGTTTTGTAAATGAATTCATTTGATTTACTGTAGCATTTGAATATTTACAATGTTGAACATATATGTATAAGATATAAAAGTCTGTACATGAATTAAAAAGTATTTACCATAAATTACACATTGTGATGTTTGGGATATGAAATTCTTTGTTGTATGAAAAGCAACATGTACAACTACAGTATTTAAATATTAATATACATAAGTTACATGTAGATAAATATATATACATTGTCTGATTTCAATATCACCATATTATATTATTTGTATCTTTTTTTTTTCTTTTTAGTTGAATATCAATGATTTTGCTAAATATGCAGATATCTACAATCCTTATAGTGATGGAGGAGCTTTTAAAAATATCAAGGTAATTAATTTTTTTTATCGTAAGTCAGAGGTGCCTATATATTATGAGGAAGTTGATTTAGTGCATCACAGATAACTCTACAATGTAGGAAACAACTGACACTCATGGCCTTTATATTAAAACTGTTGACATATTTTTTTATCGTACGTAACTAACGTACGAAAATTAATTGGCGGCTAGCTTTTTTTTCGCACGTATACACTGAATGGCCATTTTGCTCAGTAATCCCAGCCAGAATTTGGTTATTTTCTAAATTTGACTTAAAGTTTAAAATATTTGTTTTAGAACTGAAACACATTAACTATTAGTCAATCCCAACGCTAAAAACATCAACAGAATTGATTGTGTATATCTGAAATAGAACGGGCGACCGACGCACAAAATAGTGCAATATGGCGGCCTCTTTGAACAACCCTTGCAGACGCTGTCATTGAAGACAACGTCAATTCTATGAGTTGTAGATGTTATTTTTGTGAAAAATCATTGGATGAAGAGAGAACATGTTGGGACTGTACAAATTATATAGTCTTTATGTGTGCAACGGACACGAACGATGCTGAAGATAAACCTATTGTTTACAAAGTTGACCTCATGACCCATTAACGCCAATGTCATGACCTGTGATGTGTAGATCAAGTGATATGGATATCATGGCTACTGACTGGGTCTGAGATACTTCTCCGCAGGTAGCGTGTCTCAGATGTTCAGAATGATTTTTTATGAAATAAAATGGGAATTAATGAAGAAAGCCATACGCCATGCAATGTGCTATGAGGGAAATTTTGCCTGGACAGCGGCACTATGGCCTACTCTTATTTTTGAATTCCAACTGTCAAAGGTTATTTTACGTGTACGCCAATGTGTACATGAGACCTCAGTTTTCTGGCCCATCAGAATGACTATGCATTGATGTCTATGGTGATGATACCATAACCATGATATAATTATCTCACTGGAATTTATGAAATGGTGTCAAATTTATATTCTGTAATTACAAAAAGCTAATCTTACCAATTTTAGCCAAGAGTAGAATTAATGCTGGTCACCTTAAATTTAATATGGATTGGCCTATACATATATGTCAGCCCCCTTCAGGTTTGCATGAATTTCATGTCATACAGTATCACATACTAACGTCATTTGTTTATGTTATTAATTAAATGTTTTCATGAAATACAGTTACAAGTTGTTTCTTTAAATAGGCTTTGATGGAGGAACAGTTCTCTGTTCACATACCAAGTGTTAAACTACCTACTACTGCCATCAGTGATTTGAAGGAAAGTTTTAAAGGGAGACAACACACTGTTGAGTCTTCTTCTGATATTCCTAGTTTACCATTGGATGATGGCAAGAGTCATCTGATTCTAGTTATATTACCTAGTGATGGAAAAGCTGGTAATGAAGAAAAAGCTTTCAGAAATAATGGTAAGGACATATGCTTTAAAATAAGTTTCACAATTATCTGTCTTACTTCGTAGCTTCATGTTGTGGGGCTTCACAATCAATTCTTATGTTTACCGGGGGGTTGGATGGCCGAATGTTTAGCATGTGTGTGTTGTATCATAAGGTCTGTCATTGAGTCAACTGGCGTAGTTTCGATTCCTTGGTTGTACATGACAAGGAGTAGGGTTGCCTGTCCATCCTCGTGGGTTTTCTTTGGGTCCTGTGGTTTTCTCCCACTGCTAAAGACACCGAATTATTGGAATCAAATTGAACTATGTTAGTCCCGAAATAACCTAGTTTGTGTCAGGTGGACTTAAACCCCATTTGAATGTCACAAACATGTATGAGAGTAGACAATACAGTTTAATATCAAATTCTACTCAATAAACAGTTATTTGCAATGTTTTTGTATACTATAGATGTTATTGTTAATGATGTTGTGAAGGAATTGAAGAAGAGAAGTATTAAATATACAGCTGTCTATACAGCAGAATCATCACAAACGGTAAATAACAAAACTACATGGAAAATTGATTTCCTGAATTTTTTTCTTTTGAATTTTCTTTTGATCTTTTTAATCAAAAAATGGATGTTTAATTTAAAGGAACTAAATCGCTAATATTTGAGACCTAGAAATGGACAGAATGGGTCGCAACGCATATAATAATGTAATATGAACGTGTATAAACTGATTTACATGTAAAGGACAATATTGGTGCCAGTCATTATCACATATGTGATAGAGCTGGTTAAACACATTACAAATATAATTTTAACACAGAGATCATTGCTACGATAGCTGAGTAATACAGGTTTCCTGAATTGGAAGTGCCGAACGCCAAAGGAAAATATGAGTCGTCCCTCTATATAACTGACTGATGTGACGAATTTCTGCTCACTAATAATTCCTTCGAAGACCAAAAGTTGTTGTGTGAGACTGTGAGAGGATATCTGACAATTCATAAAAAGAAGTGACTGCCACTAGATAAGAGAACACTAAAGAAAAACAGAAAAAGTCCGTGCATTACCATGTTTTTATAATGTATAGAATGAATATAAACAAAGGAATGTACGGACTATTTCTATTTTTCTCGTTTTCTCTTATCTAATGACATTCAATTACTTTATTGAATTGTCAGGTATCCTCTTACAATCCCATATAGCAACTTTTGGTCTTAGAAGGAATTATTAGTGAGCAGAAATTCGGCCGTGTATCTGTTATCACTCGTCACATTAGTCAGTTATATAGAGGGATTACTCGTGTTTTCCTTTAGCGTTCGTCACTTCCGATTCAGGAAACCTGTATTACTCAGCTATCATAGCAATGATCTCTGCGTTAAAATTATATTTGGAATGTGTTTAACCAGCTCTATCACATATGTGATCATGACTGGCACCAATATTGTCCTTTAATCGTGTCTGTTGTTACTGTAATTTCTAATCAGTTACGCGAGAAGTCTCAATCTCTAGCATCTGGTTATTCCAGACTACACCGATAATATTTATTGCGCATGCTCTCCAGATAAGAATCTGGCGTTACCGTTTGACATGACATGGGGAATATTTCTAGCCTTTCTTCGAGTCCCTTGTTACAAATGGCGCTGAAACGCATTATGCATTATGGTACACGATTCGTGTACCCATGGTAAAATGTTTATTTTGTCTTAAATATTGGATATCAGAAGCCCATCTTTTCCTGGTAAGATCACAACATCAATGTTGATTTAAATTGACAAATAATTCGTGTTTTGAATGTCGAAAACTTTGGATGATAATGAGTTAGAGACTTAGCTACTTTAAATATAGTCTTGGATAATTGTGTTTAAGGACATAAGTCTTTGTCTCTCTCGGTAAAGGGATATATCTTTAATCTGTTTCTTTTGTCGATTGATATTCATGTACATGTATGATTATGCATTTATCTATATCAGCATTCCGTGACTTACAAAAGAAAGACCCTTAATATGCAAAGTTAAAATAATCAGTTTGAATGGTACTCTTCTTTCTGGTAACTCACTGAGCTCAAAATATAGGTATAAATTGAAAGTAAAATTGAAAATGAAATAGCCTTGATCTTCATTTTAATGATGTGTAATTAATCAACAGAAATTGATGAAGTGACATAGAGTTATTTTTTTTTTTTGTTATTATTGTAGAAACCTGCCGAGTCAAAATACACAGGAAGACGTCTACTTGCAAGTGCTGATGCAACAAACACAAGCATATTTGTCAACGTATCATCAACTATATTTTTTTACGCCCGAAAAATAACAATAACTCAGGTTTTACCAAATTCAGAAAGAAATATGAATTTCTCAATTACTTCTGCCGTTGCCAAGCCTGATACAACTGGCTCAATGATGGGAAACACTACTGGAGAGTAAGTTATATTGTAAAACAATACACTTTACACCAGAGAACACCATTAAATTTCACCATCTCGGTACCCACAAATTGTAGTTCATCTATTTATAGAAATGAAATGGGGTGTAACGTCTTACTATTCTGCTTCAACAGGTCTATTTATAGCAGTTCTCTCTCTCTCTCCCTTTTGCATGGCCATTTTTGTTGATTTTTGGTCTAGGTGGAAGAAGATGGTTTGCATTAACTGTTTCTGCCAGGTTTTTGTAAATATTCATGATTTAGAGGCAGAAGGATAGCAGAGTTTATGGGTTGGTTACGGTGATATGTACGGAGAATAGTAGCATTTCTTTAGTATGCTACTTAAGGATTGTGTGTATTTCCAAATTTCACTGGTCAACCTCATACAAAATCTGGAGTAAAGACATGACCATTTGATACTCTATAAGAGTTTTGGGAAAAGTTGGAGCCGGGCAAAGAGACCAGAAATAACATTGAAGTCGTTGGGAAAATCAATGGTGGTCTGTTGGGAAAATCAATGGTGGTCTGCATACGTATCGTCACTTGGAGTTACCTGCTCCTGATACAATATAAAATATCCTGTAATAATTCACATTTTATGACAAAAACACAGCTTTCCAAGCAAAATTCTTGTTCCTGTATTGGACATGGAAGCATAGTAATTAAAAATAACTGGATCTTAGTTCTAAAATTGTATGGTGATATTTCTCATGTGACATTAAACAACAAAGAAGACCATTATATGTAATTTATGCTTGGCTGGTTGATTGTACATGTTTATTATAATATTTTAGGTTTTCATTGAAGTTTGATGATGTACCAGCTCTTAATGGTACACAGAAGTATGGTGTTGCTATCAAGTGAGTAAATTGCATTTAAAAAAAACGTTGTTTTAACACCACACTTTATTTACAAAAATGACAAAACGGTGATGACATTTTGGGCTTGCTCTGTCATATGATTTCAGTATGACGTCACAGAATTTATGGAAGTCTTCGACTCATACTGTAGTGTTTTTATTGATTTAATAAAAAAATAAAAATGTCTTGTAAATAAAATCTAAAAATTCATTTTGTCGGGTACAACATAAAAACCTCAAACTTTTATTAGAAAGTAGAGTGGGCAATGGTACACAGCTGATCTCACTAAGATTTGTAGCAGGTATGACAGTGGTAAACCTATTGAACTAGGAAGTGGTATATGACCATTCATTGTTGAATCAGCTTTTGGTTGTCATTAGAGACTGCATTAATAACAACATCTAACCGATTAATGTTGTTAGTGGTTGTATTTGAGCTATGCATATGCATACAATATTAAGACATGGTGCACTAAAAGCTGTAAATTCACAACATCTTTCATGAGATCATTTTATCTTATGATAAAGGAAAATCTGATCTCCGAAATGCTGTATAAGTGATAAGAGAGTAAAAAAATCATTTATGATACCATTGATTGTACAATATAAAATTGTCACAAAAACCCATTTTAGTATTACGGATAAATTTCCTCAATGGTCGCAATCCATTATACCTAAGGATGTAATAAACGGCTACTCGGTTAACAGATATTCATTTTCATATCATATCTGTCCTTCAACTTCAAACCCAGGAGTGGTACCCACAACAATGTTTTCTTTCACTAAAGACCACATAAATTCTTCATATAGCACCTGTCATTTGTTATAAATCATGTGAAGTTAACTTCTATAAATTCCTGCTTAAAGTTTTGTAAATGTCATTAGTAATCACTCGAGTGATTGGCAAATGAAAGATATATTATGTAAGATTTAGATAAAGAACTAGCCATTCTTGCTATAATAGTTCGAAAGTAGATGATGTAAAATGAATAATTTGAAAATTTCATTCAAATTACTCTATTGCAAGCGAAAATATTAGCCTTTGAAGGTTTGACAGACGTGTGCAATAATTTCAACCACCGTACTGGTTGATCGAAGCTAAGTCTCTGTCCTCCATATTTGATTAAATCAAAGTATCGCTGAACCATTCTAATCTATTTAATATCGGAGAAATCTGATGCCATCGAGAGTTAATTAAGGCCTGGATCAGTTAATTAATGTCAAATTAATACTTTAGAAAAACATTTCAGGCCTAAAGAAAGACCTGCAATAGGCAGATTTAGCTCTTGCATAATGCATGTTTAATTGTTTTACAGTATTTATAAACCTTGTCACTCTATAAACAGTCTCAAAAGAAAACAAAATGGTTTGGTGTGATGAAATAATATTAAAATAGACAGGATAGTAAAATGCAATTATAGAACTGATGGAGGTCAAAGTTGACGACATCCGGGTCACTGGTACCATACAACATGGCTTGTGAAACGAACATGTGTCTTTTGAAATACCAGAAACGGATGCATTAAATGACAAAAATTATTTTGTATTTAAAAATCCACTAGTAGGCTTTCAAATAGTTAATGCAAAACTAATCTCATCAAGTATAAGGAGGCTTTTTTTATAAATCAACCTGATTTCAACTGGTCTCTACCTGACCTGTCAAAGATGGAGGATGGAGAAATGAAGTCAAGAATGAATGAATGAATGGAATTGAACTGATGGTTAACTTAAAAGCTATAATACTAATAATTTAAAAATATATTGACAAGTCTTCCTGCCATGCAACAAATATTTTAATAAAAACAATTTATTAAATGGGAATAAATCTGTTAACCGGTTGCGGTTAGGTTTTTAACGGCCAATTAACCAGGTTAAATAATTTTTGGATCGTTTAATACATAAGTAATTATAACCTGTGATTAGAAAACATAGCCAAACTATTTGGAAAAACTACTTGGCTTGTTAGCATCTTTTGAGATAATTAAAGGGAAGCCCTTTTGACAATCTTCCAATTTAATTAAGTAGTACACTTGCATGACCATCACTGTACAAAAGCTTATGAGCATACTGTTTGGAATGTGTTCAATATGAATATTCATCATTATTGTTTATTACTGGGATGAATGCACTGGGTGATCATCTGTTAAACACATGATTTTTCCTGGCTGTGTCTTACTTTAAGATAAAAATAAGTTTAGATGGTCGGATAGATCCTCTGATTATACCTGGTGAAATATATTTTGAAACATAGATTCTGATTCTAATATCTTATGTTTATTTATTATGGTAACTGTACTAATTTTTTGCCTGTTTTATTTTTCTTTCAAAGATTTGCTATGACCAAAAACAATGCATATCGTCTTAAGATTTCCAACTTCACATTGACACTTACAAATAAAACCGTTGGAGGTGGTGACCAAGACATGGATATGGATATGGATATTAAAAGTTTGAATCTAGATTTCCCTTTATTGTTTTCCTATCATTGTTCGGGATTCAATATAATACAAACCAATAGAACCAAAGGGGAACCCTACATTCAGCTCTACATAGATGGACTGCAGGTAAATAACTTCTTGTACATTATATATTTAAATCGCTGGGCTGGGGATTCGGCTTGTGGCCTAGAGCTGAGATTTTTCCCAGACAACACTATTTCCGTCTACTCTTCATCAAATTACACCTGTCACAGGTTCTTTTACATGCATTTACTTGTGTGTGCTACACAAGACCTCAGTGTTGTTTTTTTTATCCCATCCAAATGACTAGACACTTTTCAACGCATGGCCCTTGATCCTGCACTTCTGATATGGGGAAAGCTAGCTGAAAAATTGCTAGTAACTTCGTCGACCAGTCTGAGATTGAACCTGGGACATTCTGGTTATTGAGAAAGCTGCTTACTCGTTGAACCGCTGTGGCTCTCTGCAAATAGTAAAACAGAATTTATTTGTTCAAGATTGATAAAAGAGTTAGTATGAAAGCTTTTTCTACTGATCTGCTTCACAAATTGTTTTCTTTTTTTTTCAGTTCCAAGTATTTGGTTTGCCCGGTCAACCTCGTGATCAGTTTGGTGATGCCTGGGATTGTGTCCCCTTCTTTACAACAGCTATATGGATGGCCCTCTTCTATGCTCTAATTTTTATTGTTATATTGTATTTTGGAATCTATATGATGTTTAACCTTAGCACCATGGATCGATTTGATGACCCGAAAGGAAAAACCATCACTGTCAATGCTTCAGATTAAGATATGAAATAAAAAAAATAGCTGTACATGTAACAAAATTATCATTTTCTTATCGCAACTTTACAAATGGCTGAATGTCATCATAATTTTATCACTAAATATTTTATATGGGTCTCCACATTCCACATATAAATTTTACCTGCAACAGTACGAATCTGTATACACTCACACATAGATTTCTGCTCATGTGGGTCACAATTCAAACAAAGATTTATATTGAATTAAAGCGATAATTTCATGTTTTTAAGTTATATTTTTAAAATGTATTAAAATAAAGCCTTAAAATAGATGGTATCTATAAACAGTCCTACCTTGTTAAAGAATAATCCTATTAATCCTATAATTCACTATTGAAAGTTGAGAAATTGGCAAAAATATCATTTTCGACTTCAATTTCAAACGTTTGGAGATAGCTATTCCATGGGGGGGGGGAATAGAAAAACAAGGGAGGTAATTGTGTTATTATTCCCGGGGTGAATGGTTTTTAAGTGTAAGAATGATACCTATGATCGTATAATAGTGAGTTAACAACCTATAGAGCAAAAGCCATAGAAATAATTATCTTCTTTTGACTTTCTTAAGAAAGTTTTTTGTTTCGTGAAATAATATGAAGTGTGTAAACTCTTTAATAAGTAGACACCATATAGATGTACATCTTAGTCTTGTCAACCCATCTGATTAAACACGAAACCAGATATTTCATTTATTAATTATTCATATTTGTCATATGACTGAATGTTTTGGAAAAGTTTTTTAAAAATCTGGGTTAAGTTTGATGGGGGGTGGGGGGTAGCAGAATTATGGGAAACATCTATAGAGCATTATGTTTGTTGGGGTAACTACAGAATTGTTGGAAACATTGAGCAGTTGAGAACAAAACAACTTATAAGTTCAATATAAATAGCCTGCATTATTCATGGAGACCACCGAAAGTATAAAAAAAAAACGAAATTTAAATCTGTATGTAATCAGATTTTCATGTCTAAATTTTTACAGTTATGATATCTTCCCATTTTTTATAAACATTCCAATTAAAATTTAAACTTGAATTTAACATGTAAACCTGCTGATTGAATAATAAAAAGAAATTTAATTCAATAAAAACTGGTTGGAATTTATTCAGATTGCAGTTTTTAACCATTATGACTGCATGAAGGGTGTGATAGTCGGGCTGTGAGGACGCAGGGTTCGTGTCAGGGATAGTCACTCTATGACATGTGTCATCATTAGCTTAGTTGGTGCAGAAAAATAGGATCTTAAATGACTTTTTAGTTTTTATCAGAGCAAAATATTTAACCACTATCTATTAACCAAATTATAAAGGGATTTCAGCCTGCTACATCCAGGTTCTCTTGCTAGTGCAGAATTGTAAATTGCATGATTTTTTTTAAAACTAGTTTCTTTTTTGCCCAAACTAGAATCTAATAATTTTTTAAACTGGCTATCTAGTAACATACTGAGTTTGAGCAATAGGCACCCTACAACTGATCAGTCAATTCCCGAGGACAAGCATCAAGAAAAAATAATGTTAGATCTCTAGATTATGTCAGTATTATTAGATTCTATTTGACCTAACAGACATCATGACTAACAGTTCTATTCGAGGGAACAATGGTGGGTAAGACGCTGGCTCTCTAGTCTGCAGGTTGCATGTGCAATCCCTGCATTGGCCAAGATAGTTCATCAGGATTTTCCAATGTGATTTCCTCTTGTCAGTGGTGCGGGACGGAGGGCCTGACAAGGACAGCTGTCTAGTTAATTGGATGTAACAGAAACCTAGGTCCAGTGTATACATTGGAGTGCATGTAAAAGATCCCTTGGCAGTTGGAATTCAATATAAGAGCAGGCCATAGTGCTGCTGCCAAGGCAACATTTCCCTTATAGCACACTGTATGGCGTAAGCCCGTCTTCATTAGTCAAGTCAGAGCAGAACAGTAGGACATTTAATCCCCATTTTATTTCATTTTATTTGGCTCTATCCTAGCCTACAGCCATTTTCCACCCAAGGCATCTATTTACTTCTATCATCTGAATAAATCATTAAATGTTCAATCCCTTAATTTGCTATTTTTAGCAATACACCACTGTATACAGATATATGTGAACAATCTCTCTTGAATCCACAAATCTTAAAGATACATTATGTAAGATTTAGATAAAGAACTAGCCATTCTTGCTATAATAGTTCGAAAGTAGATGATGTAAAATGAATAATTTGAAAATTTCATTCAAATTACTCTATTGCAAGCGAAGATATTAGCCTTTGAAGGTTTGACAGACGTGTGCAATAATTTCAACCACCATACTGGTTGATCGTGGCTAAGTCTCGGTCCTCCATATTTGATTAAATCAAAGTATCGCTGAACCATTCTAATCTATTTAATATCGAAGAAATCTGATGCCATCTAGAGTTGATTAAGGCCTGGATCAGTTAATTAATGTCTAATTAATACTTTAGAAAACATTTCACACCTAACGAAAGGCCTGCAATAGTCAGATTTAGCTCTTGCATAATGCATGTTTAAATTTCATATTTACAAAAACTGGCCATTGTCCTGTGTTTTTTCAAAATCGATACTCCACCAGTATAAATTAAAATATGTGATAACCTATTTGTTGTCACAGAGCTGTATACAGAAAGGTCATGTCCTTTAGAAATCACCAAGTGCATATATTTTTGAGAAAATTTGAAAATCAATATGCTACCTGTATAAATTTAACTAAATTTTTAATTATGTTTGAAATAACTTGTGAAGAGATGTGGGTATATAAGATAATAAATATTACAGAATATGAAGAAAGACAAAAAATTTGATGCTGGTTTCTGTCATTTGTTGATTCATCAGTGGAAGAGATTGGTTGGACAAAGTCTTGATTCCTGTTGACACAGTGTGGTATATATTATTACTATTTCCATACCTGTTACCATAAAAGGTAAGAATTAATGACTTTAAAGAAAGGTGTCTGTGGGTCTTGCTTTCTGTTTTACCTATTATCAGTCATTCAATAATAGTTTTTAGATTTCTATAAAATAAATTTGATGGGTAAAACATGAAAAAAATACCTGTAACTTTTTAAGGTATCTGGTGATAATTTTAATGGCAGACAAAATACGAACCACTTTCTATCAATATTCACATTTGACATCCTCCCAACCAAATAAATTAATTTACACTTTAAGTTAAAAAAAAAAATACTCTTATTTTAAATTATACTTTAAAATACAAAAAAAAAGATATGTAAAATTATATCTAAGATAAACAGTTAACTGTTTCAAAATGAACTCTTAAATCAGTAAATTTAACCAGAAACCTTAACTGATGTTCACTGGCCAAAATCAATTTATACTGAGATTTTATGTTATCTTGATTTACTAACTAGAGCCATTGATTTAGTGGGAATATGTTATCTGTATTTCTTTCCTCTAATATTTATAATTACAATACATATTATACTTTTTGGCACTTCAATGACTAAGATTTAACAATTTCTATAAGTGGTATTACAGTGTTGCCCTTTTAATTAACAAAGAAGAATGGGATATTTGCTTGTAAAACTAAGGGTATCCTTTTATGGTATGACCATCATATAAAATTCAGTATCAGATTGATACCCAGGCAGCCATAAACTGATCAAGATCTGTCAAAACCTTTTTGTTTATTTTTGAGAACAGGCAGAGTCTAAGTAAAAGCCTGCTTCCATCTTTTTAATACTGATTGAGACAAAAACTCAACAAAATAAAATATTATTAGAATTAATGAGTTAATATTTATTTTCCAGATAAAATGGCGACGATAAGATTTACTGAATTCGTTGAGAAGAAAGTAAGATGTTGGTTTAGAATGATGGATATCAATAAAAATGGTTCCCTTGGTTTAGACGACTTTGTCTTGGTAGCAGATCGCTTTGGTCAAGAATACAATTTATCCACTGGAGAAAGAAAAAACATCCAAAACTGGTTACAGAATGGTGTTATGATGATTTTGGAGAGAGGAATGTCTACCAAAACTGACTTGCCACTATTTGCGGAAATTCAGAAAGACATCGAAAAGGGTAAAAAGGTTTCAGAAGATAGATTTGTAAAAGCATACGGCGAGTTTGTCACCCTAAATCCTGCTTCTGCTAAGGAATCCATGACAGAAATGGTTGGAGTTTTCTTTGATATATTCGATAACGACAAGAATGGCTCCGTTTCTATCAGTGAGATGGCAGTTGGTCTGAAATGTTTTGGTATGGATCCTGAATTTGCCAAGTCTATTGGGGGAATGTTTAAAGAAACAGAGAACCCAGATGGTAAAATAAGTCGACAGAGTTACATTGATCTGTGGGTAGATTTTCTGGTTTCAGAGAACAAAGATAACCCACTTCTAAAAGTATACAAATTAAATTAAAACACTCAAAGTTTAAAGTTGCTGGTGACAATTTTAGGGACAATATTTAATTTTTCACTGCACTTAAATAGATTATTTAATAGTCAAAGAGGCATTAGCCTAAGATTAGATAAAGAGCTGAAAGTTCTCGCTATAATAGTTAAAAAATAGATAATGAAAACAAAATATGCTGAAAACTTCAGTCAAATTGCTTCACTCTGAACCTAGATATTAGCAATTGAATTTTAGGCTAGTCTTGGTCATCATTACTCACGACTGTATGATAAAGTCTTGATTAGCCATTTTTACGTTAAATTATCCGTTACAAAATGTATTCAAATCCAGAATGGAATTGCACCATCTTTGAACTGATGGTCCTTTTAGAGATCCAAATTTGAGAATATTGTAGTAAGAAATCCTTCAAATGATATCCAATATTTAATTTATTGACGAAAATCCTTGGGTTTATAGAAAGTTTTCTATGGCTTAGTCTAACTGACAGCCTATTATGGATACAAATTCACATAGCAAATTAAATTTAGGAATTCAAACAAATTTTAAATTTTAATTTTTTTGAAATCAAACCTTTTACTATTTTTAAATTTAAGTCTTACAATTATTATATGATAAATGTCAATTTAAACTTTCATATTACCTTGCACCAAATAAAAAAATCATTTAAAACATTTTTTTGTAATTTTTTTTTCACATTTCCAGAGCCCACTACACAAATATCCCAGTATATATTGCTTAATCCAACATTGACCTGGATGGCCAATTAATATTTTTCAGAAATTCAGCTGATAAAGTTTTCTGCATCATCTAACACATGTACAATTAAGCCTACGTATATATGATTATAACTGACACAGAAGTAATGCTTACTTCTATCGACCTTGAAACTAGGGGTTATAGCCATAGGCCTACGGGTTCAATGAAACTAACATGTTTCAATTTTATTTCAAAAATTCGCTCGTGCGTAGGAGTCTTAATCAGTGGGGGGAAACCGTAGAACCCAGAAAAAACCCACGAGGTTGGACAGGCGCCCCCTACTCCTTGTCATGTACAACTGGGGAATTGAAACCACGCCAGTTGACTCAACTCAATGGCAGACCTTGATACAGCACACACACGCTAACCATTCAGCCATCCAACCTCCCAGCTTCATTGGAGAAGAGCGGTTATTACAATCATCCAATCCACTGAAAACTCCGCTCTTGCCATACCCAACCCAAATATTTGAACCCAACCCAATTAAATTTATCCATTAATAACCACTTAACGCAGACTACAGTAGTCACATTCTGTTATGTTCTGGCCCTGTAAGTGAAAGGTCAATTGTTTAGCAAGGACAATCCTAATGAAAATAGTCGAGTAAAGTAATTCTATGTTGTGTCATGCTGTAATAATCGCCAATGAAATTGCCATTCACTTACTATTAAAAGTATGAATGTTAAAGATAGAGTATGTAAGATTTAAATCTAACTATTGCAGGTATTTTTTTTGATTTAAAATGTTATATAAACTCTTTTCAACCCTCTAGACCAATGATTCCCAACCATTTGTTGGTTGCAACCCCATTCCAGAAACCATCATCTGATTGCGACCCCTCGATGAACAAAGTCACTTTTTACTATGAAACATCACCATTTACAGATCATAATGTTATAATGAGAGACTGGGGAAACACAACTGACAGTGTGGCTCGAGGTGAATAGATCAAGAGATTTACCGGTATATGCTTTTCATGAAAACATAGCATTTTTTCAAAAGTTTCAGAGTTGTCCGCCACGAAACTTCAAACAGTGATTACTTCCCACAGAATAGAGTAACTTGAATGAAAAGATTCAATATATTCATTTTGCATTATCTATTTTTGAACTATTAAAGCAAGAGCATCCAACTCTTTATCCAAATCTTACATAATGTGTCCTTTAATTAACTTTATCTGAAAAAATGATTAGGAAAATCAAATCGTATTCTTATGTCAACACCTAGCTAGAATGCCATTTTAAACACTGCAGCATTCATGTATTCGTAGTTTAAACAAGTACATGTAGGGGTAATGCAACAACACCACAGCTATTTATAACACCATATGATTTCATCATTAAATCCTAAATTCACAGCTATAATATATTGGCATTAACAACAATATTAATTGTTTTATAAATTATATATATTTCTCAATCTATGTAACATACATGTAATGTAAGAGGAATATATCTTCCAGAATCATATTATTCAGAACTCATTATTGTAAATTAATATTTTCTTTACTGTGTACAAAAAAAGACACATATCTTATTTTATCAAACTAGTAATATGACAATATTAACAAACAGCAGTCTGGATTAGCACTTTGAGTTACATTATTAATTTCAAAATTTGGATATTGTCTAAATATACTTCTCGTAATTTGTAACTCGAGAATTTGCACATCAAATACATCAATGTCTTTCTACAACACTGGCTGAATAAAACAGCCATAAAAATTTTCACTGGTCGTCATGCAAAACACGCCTCTTGTAAAAAAAATAATCAAATGCTCGAGTCCCAAACCTGTAAGAAATAAGAGAATCTTCATTTTTTTTTTTTCTTAGGGGTGTTTTTTCTGCAGCCAATCACAAAGACTTAATATTTTTTCCTTTTATCATACAACACAAATCTAGTCTTTTAGATGATTATTTCTGCGTCCTCCAGTTCTTCATCTGATGGTAAAGATTGTGACACTTTTTCTTCTGATATATGATTCGGGTCAACTAAAGGTAATCCCTCTCTCTGTCGTCTTTCAATTTCTAAATATGCTTCCCGGATACACCAATCCTGCATTCTGAAAAAATAAATAAATATCTTAATTTTCATTGCTTACTTACAAATAACAGTACAATGTCTAATTAAAATTGTGGTCAAAGTGCATCTAAATGAAACAATCAAAATTATAAAGAGAATTATAAATAGTAAAATTCTGTGCATGTTTCTAATATAATAATGTTTTTTGCATTTCTTATGGGTGTATTACTTATTGTATTTTGTGCAATTACACAGTTAAAGAATACCTATTGTTCCTGAATTGTCAGTTTTAACCCTTTTAGCATTGTCTTGTCTGGATTATTGCCCTTTTTATTGTTGGTATAATTACATTTTAACTTATGACATCATGTGGCAAACTACTGCCTTTACGTAATGTCATTCAGATGACGACCGTCATCTAAGCTAGCTGCATTTTTACCAATTGCTTCTTTGTATTCAGTTTTAGTTTGTGCTCTGTTTTATATAAATAAGGACTTACATGTATGTCCTAACTTTGTAATTAATACACTGGAATTCTTTCGCACGCCTATAATGTTTTGATTGACCCCTATTTTCTGATTACTACATGTACATGTAGACCATTCAATTTTTACTTGCCTTTTTAAATGGTTACTTATAAAGATATTTTCCTTCAATGTGCCTACATATGTATTTCTTGTAGCACATAGCTGATTATGACTTACACTAGTATCAGTATTATACAATGTTTGGGAAATATTCCTTTATTGTTAGTTCTTTTTTCACATGGAGAGAGGTCTGTATCACTACAGGCTCCATACTAAACTTAGGCTTCCTATTTGAGAACAGACACTAAACTAGTTGCCAACATTTTAAGTCCTAATTCAACGATTTTAGTCGAAAACACTAAGTGACATCTATATGGTGCATATACATTGTATGTAGGTACATGTGTCTGTATGCACATGACATTTACTGGCATTCCAACTAAGCCTAAACTAGGTTTTCATGCAAAGCTTTTGCAAAAGTCTCACAAAATAAATAAGTATAACTGTTGAACTTACTTATAATCAGGCATGTAGGCAACTACAAAAGATCCCCAGCAAATACACAGTGAAAGTCCTATGAAGAGGGTAACATAATAGGTAAATCTATCAAGATCTCTATCTGTTTCAGAATAACCCCAAGATACCCAGTTCTGAAAGAAAAGAAGAAAAAAAAAATTACAGATATAAAATTTAAAACATTAATTTTTGTTTGACCATAATCAAAATGTGAGCATTTCATTTCGAATTGAACTTTTTAGAGTTTTACAATTTTATTTCAAAGTAGGAAATGTTTGAAGCTCGAACAAGTAGTATGGAAAATGTACAATCATTGTCCATGTCACGTACATTTAATTATTCGTTTCTAAATGCAAAAATTAAGTACGGAAATACTGCCAAAAGCTGCCATTTGCACTGTTTACATTTCGCTCTGTCGCAGGCTACGGTTACTCTCACAGTTTGGAAGTAAACAATTTTATAACAATGAATTTCACACCATCTACACTTGTTTTCACCTGCTTGACACTAGTTTATAGCATATTATGAAGTATTATACCTACATAAATAAAAACGCACTCCCAAGTCACCTGAAATAATTCTACCGTAACGTCACCACAGTAAATATAGTGGTGGCTGGAATGGAAATGCACACGGCTCTTTGCCCGGTGTATTTAATCATTTAAAAAGTTTAAAACAATTTCCATAAATAAAGGCTATGCATAATATATAAGACAATTTGACAAAATCAAATAATTAGGTTGGAAAAATATTTCGAATCATACATAAATATTATTTGTAGCGTAAATATAGACAGGATATGTGAGAAAGGAATTCAAGGGGGCATTACCTGTGCTCCGCACGTGGTACATGTAAATATGGTGTATGCACATTGTGTGATTCGTGTTTTGATATTCAATTGATTACGGATATTTTAAAATCTGAATTCTACACCTCAACAAGTTGTGGTACCATGATACTTAGCGGAATTCACATGGATACGGATGATAAATTGCACAAATCTTCGAGTCGCTGAGCCAAAGCAGATTCGCCGACTTTCAAGAACTTTTAGGCATTCTCATAATTCTGATGCCTAAAAAAATGAAAAGGTTTCATATTACGATATTTATATGGAGCAATGTACGTCAAGACGTGTGTGTGTACCTCCATGTATGGATATGTGTGATCTGATTGGTCTTTGATAATTGAGAGTGAGAGGTTATTTATGGAAGCGACAGGTATAACAGACAAGACACTGGATAACAACTCCGGGTTTCTGTTTTTTTCCCCCTTACCGGGGGGTTGCATGGCTGAAGGGTTAGCGTGCGTGTGCTGTATCATAAAGCCTGTCATTGAGTCGACTGGCGTGGTTTCGAATCCCCGGTTGTACGTGACAAGGAGTAGGGTCGCCTGTCCAACCTCGTGGGTTTTCTCCCGGTCCTCCGGTTTCCTCCCACTGCTAAAGCACGCGCAAACGAATTATGTAAATAAAATTAAACCATATGTTAGTCCCGAAATGACCCTAGTTTGTGTCGAGTGGACGTTTCTCTCTCTCTCTCTCCACGTTACCGGTACTTATGTGAATTGAACACAGTCATGAAAACATTATTGATTATGATGATGATTATTTGCAAACCGATTGTTGAATTTCTGAGGTGCTCTATCTTATTAGACGGTTGGTGCAGAAGTCAAGAGTACGACGTTAAACCCCATTGCCGGCATTGCATTCAGGTTGTTTACCTTTTCAAGATTTGAGTCTGTATTTCCGAACATTTCTTCTAATTTTTTCATCTCTTCAGTTTTTGGCATAGGTTCAACAGAGGTAATAGTTGCATCTTTCTTACTTTTAGATGTTGAAACCATTCGACATTGTTTTAGTTCAGCAAATCCTATCCTTGTGCGAGCATGTAATTGGGAAGCAAGTCGACCTTGCTTCACCAGTGCCCTCCAAACACCAGCCATGTTGGTTCTTGCTCTCGCAAAGTCTCGCCGAATCTCAATGCCAATATAAATACACAGTTTCGCATTCGTCAGGGTAGATAATTAAATTGTCTCACTTAAAGAAGGTAATAAAATAAATATAATGTAATGCAAACCTTCTTATAATCATCATATATTTTAAAGACAAAATTGCTTTCATAACTGAAACCACGCTCCTTCACATCTAGCTACACTGCATTAGCAGGTTGGGATGTGATGATAACGGCCTAAACTATAACGTCAAAAATCAACTTTGGTCATAACGGCTAAACATTTATTCATAACGACCAAATTTTGGTCAAAACGGCCAAAATATTAATGTATCACAAAAACAGTACATTTTACAAAATATGATTTTTTCTTTAATAGAAATATCTAGATCTACAGACTATTTTTAATTTTATACCGATTGATTAATCAATTGATTGTTAATCCCTAATTAAGTACTTCCCATTACCAAACAGTTTGTACTTAATTAGGGATTAACAATCAATTAAAACTCTAGAAACGAACGAACGACCAAACAATTTTGTCTACGATATTACCTTAGGTGGAAGTGGACGTAAAAATCTAGAAACGAACGAACGAACCAAGCAGTTACCTGATTGTGTACTTGATTCAGAATTTCTATTATGTAGATTTTATGGTAAGTTTCATTTCGATGATCAGCTTTTCAGAAGAATAGCTGTGTCCGGTCGTCAGGTGAAAATGATATGCATCTATGGTATATTATTTTTCTAACACTGTTTATCCAAATCATATTTACGTGGGTCTGAAAACAACTCAGAACTCACATTACATGATAACAAGTATATTACACAAATCATTTTGAATTTTATTTGGCCGCTTTGACTAAATTGTTTGGCCTTTATTTTCTTATGAATTATAGTATAGCCAATGATAACAAAGTAAAGTAAATTTAATATACTATTTCACTGATCATATCTTTGATCTTTCAACGGTGTTTGTAAATGTATACTTACATGTACAGTGTAAATATATTGTAAAATTTGATTATTATCTAATTTTGCGAGGTGGATATTTCTTACGTTCAGATACACATGTTAGCGAAACTTATTTGACTGTACCATTTCTGTTTTCATTTATCAATGAAAACCAACCAATGAGTAATTTTACACGAAAATCTCTGTATGTGCATGGTAGGCTATATGTTACTCTTGCCAGAAGATGACTTTCCTGTATGCGAATCTCTTTGGCTCAATTGGGATAGTTTACAAAAAAAAAATCCTCAAATCTGTCAGCGTAATTACCCTCTATTCATCATTGGCCAAGTCGGAGCAGAATCCGCAGGACGTTGATTAGATAACAAACCTTAATATATCTCAGCGTTTTTAGTTACGTTCTCGTAGCTAGACGTTGATGAATTCTATTTCGTAAGCGTTACCAGTGGTTCGGACCGTGCGCTGTAAGGAGTCTTGCCACAACCCCTTCCCACAATGCAAAGAAATGATGGCGGTAAATCCAATGGCAGACATCAACTGTTCATTAAACATCGAAGAAAATATTGAAGGTTCTGTTGTCTCTTGATGATCGGTATAGCGTAACACCGAAAGAGGTTTCCTTGGGATATTTTTGTTAATTTCTTAAAATATATGGAGGCCATATCTTTGGCCTGACAAGTCAAACCCTGGAGACGGTGATCAGTCATTTAGAGATAAAAAAACAAACCTATACCCATACGATACGATACGTAAAAGTGAAAACAAACCTCTTTGACTTTGACTTTGTCAATAATACTGAAGTGAAAGAATCTTTCTTAGCACTGACATCTTTTCAGTAAGTGATGAGATTTGATTAATTTTGAATAATACTACATTCAATAAATGATTGTAATAACCGCTCTTCTCAAATATAGCTGGGAGGTTGGATGGCCAAATATCATTTTTATTAATAATATGGTTAGTGTGTCACTGTGTGTGCTGTATCAAGGTCTGCCATTGAGTTGAGTCAACTGCTGTGGTTTCAATTCCCTGGTTGTACGTGACAAGTGGTAGGGTCGCCAGTCCATCCTCGTGGGTTTTCTCCGGGTCCTCCAGTTCCCTCCCACTGCTATATAGTATACTCCTATTATTTCAAGCGAATTATTGAAATAAAATTGAACAATATGTTAGTCCTGAAATGACCTAGTTTGTGTCGAGTGGACACAAATGTTCAATTTAGACCCATTTTAGCTTTGTTGCTGTTGGCTTAGTTGAAAATGCACAGAAAATTTAGTCTGTTAAACTTAGTTAAAGTAAGTGAATTTTTGTTTTTATTTTGAAGGTAAGGCAGATCATATCAAGAGGATTGCAGATATTATTTCAGTCTTAGTATATATATGCCAGAAGCTGTTATTTCATGTCTGGGCCATTTGGTGATATAATTTTCGATGAAATTTGATATGATGATACATCTATACATGTATGTCAAAATCCAGGAACCATGAAAGACAATATGTGGGGAGAATGGATGTAACATAGCAATATATTTGCTAATTATCAAAATAGTATGCAACATCAATTACTAAAAACAATTAATACATATATAACAGTGCTGAGCTTCTCTGTAATATGCCAGTTCTGTAAACTTTGAAATATTAATCAGATTGTAAAGATTTTACTGTGAACAATGTCTTTTAGACAGCCATATTCATCAAAAAGGAAAAATGAAGGGGCTAGTACATCAGGTGGGCAGGGAACAAATCAACCAGCAGATAAACGTCAAAGGATTCAGGAGAAGCAAGACGATTGGGATGAGGATGATTGGGATGAATTTTCTCAAGCAGACATGAGAGATATTGATTTAATGTCTTCTCAAGCATTGGCTGAAACCTCTAAACCAGTTGAACAACAACCATTTGTAGCCCCGAAATCTATGCTTTCTTTAAAAAAATCTTCGTCTAGTTCTTCGTCAAATGGAACTGATACAGCATATCCATCATCTAATGAAAGCATCAGGAAATCTGTAAGTTCCTCAGCAAGTCTTTCCAGTAGTTCTTCGTCTAATGGTCAATCATCATACAGACTATCTCATTCTGTGTCTCTCACAGGGTCTAACCCACGAATAGCACCAAGTACTGAAATCAGTGATGCATTGAGAAATGAATTAGACAAATGGAAAACAGATTGTGAAAGAATAACAGAAGAGGTGAGTAACATTTTTATATTCGTATCTTATTGGAAGGATAAGTGTATAGTTTATCGTAAAGGTCCTAAAGGACTAGGTTGTAACTATTCAATGTTACAGGTTACGTCCATCTTTGGCATGTTTGTAGTTAGTAAATAAAACGCATAATAAAATAAGACAGCTTATCTGTGATATCAACATCGGTGGACGCGGACGTTAAACACTAATAGAAGAAGAAGACACATGGCTTTCACTTCAACTTTTCCCAGTCTGTCAAAATTGGGTTGGATGTTAGTGAGCAGTTTGTATACGTTAGTGCTGACATCTCTGTTGTCCATTTGCCAGATTTACACTTTAGTGTAGTGGCAAACATTCAAGCCTAATCCAGCAGTTTAGGTCACCAAATTACTATACATGCTGCACTTTGAAGATTTTTGATTTGAATCAGTATTCAATTTGTAGAAAATTAATTTTCTGTAGTTATTTATTTCATAGCTTACCTTAACTTAACCATGATAATTCTCCTTTCAGAAAAAATCCATAGAAAATGATCTCTACATTAAAGAGGGTGAGATTAAAAATTTGCGATGCAAACTTCGACAAAAAGACACAGAACTCAATAACATACGTATTGAAAACACAGCGAAGGTAGCCGAACAAAAACAATTACAAGGTGATAAAGAAAAACATTTAAAAATAACTAACGAAAAGTTGGAGACAAGATTACAGTTTAAAGAAAAAGAACATTTAGAACTAGAAGAAAAATATCGTTTTTTAGAACATAAATTACAATTATTAAGTACAAGCTCACCTAAGAAACCATCTATGAGTCCTTCAAAATCTCGCAGTCCTTTGGTTAGTAAACCCCCTTCTATAGTTGTATCCCCTCGACCAGTGAAAGGACAATTCCCAACGGGTGATTCATTCAGATCAGATGAGAGACCTGAGACATCAACTCCCAAACCATCAACCTCTGCTACGGAAGAAACAACAATATTACGAGGCAAGTTCAATTGTACTATTGTTTATTACACATCTATTAATAGACTCACACATCAGAATATGCCATGGCATGTTATATCCAGTCAAAAGTATTCTGAGCCAAGTGTGGGCTGGAAAGATTTTTCAACCCCTATTCTCATTTATCATGGGTAGTGCATTCATGGCAGACAAGGAAAGCATGTTTAGCCTTTTCGGATGGGACGGAAAATTGACTTTTCTTTTAATGGAATAGAAAGGTTACAGCAGGATGCAGGATATCTGCATTCAAAACACTGACTTCTAATACCCAGCAATTAAAAATTTTAGAATAAAAAAGAAAAGTGTTTTTTTGTTGTTAATATGTTTATTTTATTTAATAGAAGTTGGAACTGAAATAAGCAGAAGATGTGTTTTAAATACCAATTTTTCATCAGGTAAATAAATACTTATTATTAAAGTTTACACCATATTTTGATTTGTATCCTCTTCTGCTGTTGCTTATATTGATGCCATTTTATGTGTTCTTCTTTCATAAATCATATTTTTGTTCTTCTCAATAAAACTTGTCATTTATGTTCTTCTTTGTAGGTAAATTTTTAATCAAAATGATTTTGTTTTGTTTTGTAGGAGATGTCAATGGGCCCAAACTGGTAGCTAGATTACTGGATCATAATTGTAATGCAGCAGGGGAGATAACTGATAGAGGAATAGTTGGTTTGCTTCATACACCATCAGTTAGCTCCAATCTACAATCTTTACACTTTGATAGAGATCAGAGTAATTTACTTCTATCACCGGTAAAGAGCAGGTATAAGTGTGTAATGTTTGTTTTGTATTGCAAGTTAACCTACTTCCTGACAAATTAATTATTGGTTGCACTGATTCTGTTTTTAAATGGTTTTTCGAGGTAATTAGTGTGATCGTTCATGATCATGATCAAGGGGGCTACGGTAGTCGAGCAGTAAGAGCATTGGTTCCCTTGTGTCAGGCAGCACCATCAGGGATGACCAGGAGAGTGTTGCCTTGTTGTTCAGGAAAAACTGAGGTGAACCCATGTACAGACTGAAGTGCGTGTAACCAAGAACTCTTTACACCTTGAATTTGATGAAAAAAAGGTGAAAATTTTGATATTCGGAAAAAATTTGCCTCTCTAGCATTACACATGTAAACATAGGAAAAACTTGTTAGTCTTCAAATAACCAAAGCATTGTGTTGATGAGATGTTAAAACCCATTCATGCCCTATCCTGTTTTTTGATACCATAATTGCTTTAAAAATTGTAACATTGTGGAGTTTTTCTTGTGGTTGGCATATGAGGAAATAAGTTTTGTTACTCTCTCTCTCTCTATACTTAGTTTGGTTTCTAACACAAATTTGAACACTGATTTATATTATGTATTGCTAATTTTTCAGGAAAATGTCGGGTGCACATGAACAGCCTAAAGATATCAAACCAATTGTTGATAAAGAACATTATAACTTAGCAATACATGGATTACAAACATTACTAGACAGTGTTGATTCTATTGAGACTGTTGAATCAATTACAGATATAACTAACACAGCAGCTGTACTAATATTACCTTTATTAACGGACTACTTCACACATTATATAGCCATGTTATCATCAAACCAAGAGACAAACGGTCTAACCAGTCCAACAAATTCTGGGTCTTTGAAAAGCAGCAGTTGTGAAAGTTCCATCGAATCGTTAACAAGTTCGTTAGGTTTGTTGTTAAAGGATGGGGCTACCTATGCTCAGAATATGGAGATGTTGACATCTGCTTCATTGATTACGTTAAGACATTTGGTTATTTATAGTGCTGCTGTGAGGGACGCTCTTTACCCGAAGTTTGACATTGTTAAAGAGGATAGAAAAACAAAAAGTAGAGGTCAGAAGCCACTATCAGAGGTAAAAAGGTCTTTTTATTTTAATGTTTATAGCATGTGGTAGTGTATTTATTAGTTGTTCTAAAACAACTTTAAATTTTACATAACATCTTTAACATTCGTCCATTGAATTTTGTTTTGAGATTGAATTTACATGATTTCTTTATGTCAACTTGCTTTTTATTTTGAATAATTCTTCCATTGACTTTTATTTTAATCTCTATGTGTTGTTATATTTTTTAGGTAGAATCATCAGGAATGGAGACAGATGTGATGACTGGTAGTTTATTTACTTCTGTTACATTATCTTCAACAGTTCAACAACAATTACAATCATCTAATCTTTTAAATAATATAGTTAAACTAGCCACACCTTCTATAGAGGTAAGTAATCTGACTTAAACAAAATATTTCTACTCAAAACGTGAAAGAAATTTATGCAAAATCATTAATGGTTGATCTAATAAAAATAAAGTTTTAGATTTCTTTGACATTTTGTGTGTTAATTTGTATTGTGGGTGACAAACACCCGTAGAAAATGTTGGGATATAATCAAAGTGTGTATTCTGTGACATACACATAATTTAAGTTAAAATTGGTAAACAAACTGACTTCAACTTAAAAACAAAAAATTTATTATATAGAGCTTGCTCCATCACTAATTAGATTAACACATCAGAGCAACCCAATTCAACATTTTATCTTGACCTACATCAAAGATATTTAGTGTTATATGCATGTGAGCTGCCAGTTTCTCAGTAATAGCATGTCCAAATGCATTGAATTTTTTGTTTGTTCTTGTTTTATCCGAAGCCCTTTCTCCATGTGAGTAAGGATTCTTGAGAATCGAGGCAATGTTACCAATTCCTTTGTATTTTATGTTTAAGGTTGATCTTTATGCTTCTCGTAATTATATGCCTAGTTATCCAGGTCCTACTATAAAGTTTATTGTCTGAATCTAAAGAGATTTTTGGTACTGGATAATGATTTAATGTCGTCAGTAAATTATTTCTTATATTACAGAATCCAATATATAATACCAGCATTGTCAATTTAGCTTTAGATGTGTTAATTTCATTTGTGCGAAAAACAACGACATCTCAACTAGACAAGTAAGTATTACATAAAATGCTACATGTATTAATGTTTGGTAATGTCATCATGTTGAATAACTTTCTCCTCTTTATTCTCATTCGGTGGTCATTGTACTTGTAAATCATTTGACATTTCTAAAGACACCTGTGAGTATGCAAATTATTAAAATTTAAAAATATTTCATATAGTAGTCCAAAACCCACCTGGTTAGATATCTTAGATCCATATGGAATGTTACCTGGCATTTGTTACAAATCACTTTGAACTACTATATTCTTATATCATTTGACAATGGGTGAGTGACATTACATGTAATTTCTGATATTTTTGTCTACTTTCAGTTTAGTACCATTAACAAGTGTGTTAAGTAACTGTTTACAATGTGATAATCATCCTGTTATTGTTATTAGTGCTATAGATCTATTGTCTTGTTTATCGCAATCAGATAAAATCAGGTCATCTTTAACAAAACAAACAGGTACACAATCATAGAACAGATTTGTACAATTAAAAGTTATCAAACTCTTAAATATTTTGTGAAGACAGGGGACACAATCTTTAGTCCTCATAAGCCAGTTTATCACAAACTAAATTTATTTCTAAGATATTTTAGCTTGAATGGCTACAGTGGTAATTTTGATTCGATGTGTGGTTTTCTGTTTCCCACTCAGGATTGTTCATGAAACTGTCTGGGGTTATATTGTTACTAACTTAGATGTCACTGCTCTCATCTTTAATAAAATTGCCATGAAATTGTGTAATTTGAATTATTTAAATGTTTTTATTTTTAGTTTCATGTCCATTAACATCAGTTTATATGTTAGCCAACAAACCATTCGAAAATGCCAACCAAGAAGAAAGACGACAAATACACATTAAGGTTCGTTAAATTCCCAACATGCAAGAATAAAGTCTAAATTTACAGTTTAAGGTCATTGAAAAAAAAGTACTGTTATTTTAACAAAAAGTCAGTTAAAAAATTATTGAAATCAATCAATTCTAACGTTAATTTTGGTTATTTTAAGGTTGCATTGGTGTCTATCGTTTTCAAACTGACAAATACAGTAATAATAATTTTGCTATCATATTCGTACAAGAGAATGCCCATTCTATATAAAGTTCCCATATATTTCAAGTCAATAATTTTGTAAAGGATAAGGCTTGTTGAAGTATTTAACAGATTTATTTTCTTGCCAGCAATGATTTTTCAATTCTTGCTATTATCATTTGGGCTAAGGAATGCTCCTTGTTATTTTCAATGATGCATGGTTCTATATTACTTTATTACTACATTTTATTATTGATAATATTTTCAAGAATCAATTAAATGGACGTCTTGAATGTGAAACTATCTTGTCCTCATTAAACACGATTTCTTTTCTATTTTAGATAATAATGTGCATGTTAAACTTTACCTCATGTAGAAATGGTGTTAATCAACTTGTAGAGACAACGTGTTCATGTGCTCAAGAGGTAAGCCCTTTCCTAGAAGCATTTTCCTCTCTTCTTAACTGCCAGCAAACACATTCATTTGTATTCATTCAAATTGACATTGATTTTATATCTAGTGTGGATGACTTTGCTGCTGGTGGGTGCTAAGCATCTTTCTGTGTTTGTTTTTTACTCCTGTATAAAACTCTGCAACTGATCAGTTGCTTGGTCATTGTTCTTTCACAGTGTTTCTCTACTTTCAGTTTGTACGTTCTATGGTTCTTATTATTCATAAAGTAATGGAAGATTATCTAGTGCATAAAAACAATAGTTTAATTAGTGTTTTAAAACAGGGATTGAAACTGTTAAACACAATATGGTTTTATGATGGTGATTTACTTGAAAAGTCATATCATTATGTCAACCTTATCTATTCTTTATACACCATCTTTAAAATAAATCCTGAACAGTATGAAAATGAATGTAAGTATATTATTATATGTGTTAATGTTCATATCAGACCTCTCCCTCACATATATTTATGTTACTATCACACTTCTCCGTAAAAGGATGGTGATCACTTGCCCTCAAGGGTCTGATGTTGATATCAGACCTCACTCACAAAGACTGCATTCATAACACGTTTGATTTCTATTTGTAGTCTAGTACAATATATTTTCTATTTTTAGTACATCTTTTCTATTTGTAGTACAACATCTTTTTTATTTGTAGTACAATATGTTTTCTATTTGTAGTACATGTACAATATATTTTCTATTTTTAGTACAATATGTTTTCTATTTGTAGTACAATATATTTTCTATTTGCAGTACAATTTTTTTTCTGTTGTAGTACAATATGTTTTCTATTTGCAGTATAGAATGTTTTATTTGTTAGTATACATATCTATATATGTTTTACTTTTGGTATTATATGGATGTTTTTTATTTGTGAGTATGTTTTATATTTGTAGTATGTATGCTAAGACAACTAGAAGGTAATGAAGAAGAAGAGGAAGAAGAATCTATGGAAGCAGATGACTAAAACTGAATAATTTCACACCATCTACACACACACACTCCACTCACCCCAGACTTTTAACAAATATTTATTAAATAGTGATTATGTATTGTGTCATAAATTATTTCAGTCTTTACTGTTTTACTGGAAAGGCACCCAAAATCTGTGCTTTACATATAATTCTATCTCTGAACTTCCTACAAAACTTTGCATCGACTTAAACATTTGTATATTTAAATAGCTTCAAGATTTTGTGCCTTTCAGAAATTCTGCATACCTCACTATGTCAGAGATATTGTAAATGTAAAATGGTTAATTTGAAACCTAGGAAGTTTGACACAATGTAACACTCTTTATTTACCCCAGTTACTCTGTTTATTTATAAATTATTGCACAGTATTCAATTGTCAATTGATAAATATGAATTTAGGGGTTTTATTTACTGTATTTACTGATATTTATAGAGAATTGTTGAAAGTATTTGATATATTGATAAAATTACAATACTGTATCATAAATCTTTTTAATAAGTCATATATAAATAAATTATTTAATTTACAACAAAGTAGTGAATATTGTAAATCATATATTATTAATGTACATATGTAAATTTACAAATTAGTAGTAATGATGTACAGTTATGTAATTATATTGTAAATTAAATGCTTGTAATATAATATGAATGATCATAAACTATATTCCAGTAATATGTGGTTTGTGGTTTTCTTTTATAAAAATGAGCTGCCATTATCTCATGATGATAAAATCTTTAAATCTATGCCATAAAAATAATACTAATGTACATGCAACGATTTATCAGTGAGTTTCAAGTGCAGCCCAACTCTAAAATCGAATTGTAATAAAATTATACCATATGTTACTCCCTAAGTGACCTAGTTTGTGTAGAGGGGACGTTAAATAACGCGTTTGTATTATTTGCTTGATAAAAGCGAGAGTTTCCTCGTCACATAGGGGGGGTTGGATGGCTGAATGGTTAGCGTGCGCGCGCTGTATCCCAAAGTCTGTCATTGAGTCGACTGGCGTGGTTTCGAATCCCGAGTTGTACGTGGCAAGGAGTAGGGTCGCCTGTCCAACCTCGTGGGTTTTCTCCGGGTCCTCCGGTTTCCTCCCACTGCTAAAGACCCCTACGCGCAAGCGAATTATGTTAATAAAATTGAACCATATGTTAGTCCCGAAATGACCTAGTTTGTGTCGAGTGGACGTTAAACCCCATTTCTCTCTCTCTCCCTCGTCACATGGTAATAAATTCAGCATAAATGTGTCCCTTGTAAAAATAACCATTGGTAACTGATTACATGACATATTACTATCAAAATCAACCAGACTTGATTTCAGAATCGCCAAAAACGTTTAGACATCTGGAAACCTTTTATAATATAGACCCAATAAGAATATATTCAGGTTTATGTCGATTTAATTTTAAATGCTTATTTGACCACCCAATTTTACATGCATTGATGCATTCTTTGCAATTGTCAAAATTACTGGAATTAGAGTAGCCTTTTTCAAGATCCTTAATTTTGACAATTGAAATTAGATTCAAAGCTGTCATTATCTATAGATAAAACCATAGGCGTAGGAGCTGGTTGGGAGGTGGCGGCGGCTGGGGCTTTAATTCTGCAAATGGCCCCAACGCCCGGTAAATTTGTCTAATAATGATCCAAATATTTCGGCCAAGAAAAAACAACACCAATTGTAGGTCGAATTATTATTGTGATAAAATATAAGCTCTTAAGATTTATTCAAGCCACGTAGTTTTAATGCGCACATTACCAAGGACGGTCCCGATAGTCACGGCCTCAAATTAATGAAACTGAAAAGCATATACACATGAACAATATTGCGAAGTAGTCTACCGGTACTATGATAAGGTCAAGGGAGGTAACTACATTTTACCCCAAGATTTGGACAATGGCGGCATCTGCGAGAGGTAAAGTTGTGTATGTGGCATCAGCTGTTCCAGGGTTATTTTCCCATATTAAACGCCTGCTTCCAAATGCACCGACGGTTCAGATTGACCAAGAACTATTCCAGGGTATGTATTATCACGTATAGATGGAAATTGTGGATTGATCAGTATTCGTTATTGCACACCAAGGGAGATAACCCCCAAGATTCCTTAGCCCAAATTCATTATTTTGATGATTTTTTTGTTGTTTTGCTTTTGTACCCAAGGGGAGCCATTGAGTCATGCATTACTTTATGGATATAAAATGCCATCGTGGTTTGGCTGTGTTATTGTGAGCGAACGCGGCAGCATGATAGTAATAATTAGGATGGAGTCGGGAGACACTGGCCTAACCATTCACTTGTTTAATTTCAGATGGATTAGTTACAGATGAGTTAAAACTACAGATTAAAGATGCTGAAATATTAGTTGCTGATCCACCACTTATTGGAGAACTATTATACGTTAATGACCTGAAACTAAAATTAGTTAACAGTACCTGGGCAGGTTGGTGCCCTTTATTCTAAAATAATAAATAAATTAGCGAATCACGTCTGTGTCACGGCATTAATTTTATCGAGCGGTGAATTTGACTACAAGTAAATGATACCGTAATATTGAATATAATAGTAAGTGCTACAGAAACACACTACACACTAAACTAACCCGATAAGACCAAACTGCGGACACGACATACTACACATAGGCCTAAATTGCTAGAAATTTAGTTTAAACATATTTTATTGGAAATAATTTACAAAGGGATTAGGACAATTTATAAAAGGTACGAACCTTTTTCAAGAAATAAACAGCAAATATCAATTAAAGTAAATGGATCCGGGGGCCAGCCGTAAGCGTCCACGTGCATTGCGCTGTACAATCCCAGGCCTGTATTTATAGTAGAACTAATATACAGGCTTCACTCAAAATTAAATTTAAAAAATATTGATTACAAGAAAGACGTAATTCCACCGGTCTTGACTGTGGTTGTCTTCTGAATATGCCAGATATATAACGACACTTTTAATTTATGGTCAAAGGAGTCTCGTGTTTGATTGTAGGCCTATTATTTCCATCTGTAATTGTTCTTCCATTGGGTATCTAATCTTACCTAATGTCCCTTTAAGTTAATGAGATTGTTTTATTTCAGGTGTAAACGTAATGATGAGTAAAATAGATTCTAGCCTGGTCAGTAAATTATTCTCTTAATTAACTTAAAGGCGCCAAACCTCGTTGAGTTAGTTAATAATAAAGTATTGAGTGTTATTTCGATTAAAATTTTGTTTCGAAATGGTTAAGCGGAAGGCTTATTATTATTTTATTTTTATTTATTTTTTTTTGGCTCACTGTGTAGTTACACGGGTATATCTCAGAAGGAAATGAAATGAAATGAGGTTTAACGCCCAACTGTTCTGTTCCGTCTGGCTAATGAAGACGGACATGCAGTGTGCTATGTGGGTAACTACGACTAACTCTTATAATATCAAACTCCAATTGCCAAGGGTTCATTTACGTGCATGCCAATGTGTACACGGGAACTCGGTTTTTCGTCCCATCCGATCGACAATACGTTGTCACTTGCCAGGCCCCCTGTCTTGCATCACTGACAAGGGGGAACCACGCCGGAAAATTCCGATAAATTTTCTCGGCCAACACCAGGATCAAACACGAAAAACAGCTAGGAAGCAGGGGAAACTTTAGTATACACGTAAAAAAAAAATCATTGTATATTTAAGTTCTAGTATTTAAAGATTATCTTTTGTTTATTATTTTGTTTAAAAAAATTATTATTTTTGATTTAGGGAAAACCGAAATTTAATCTGACTAGAACAGGTGAGGGATTTGGTCAGATTATGGGTGAATATGTTGTTGGTCATATAATTGCTACAGAGCGTCGATTTAAAGAAACTTACAGCAAACAGAAGGAACACGAGTGGGCACAGTACGTAATATTTGCTAGATAAAGTTCAAATGTCAATATTTTTAAAATTAGATCTTTTTTTCGATGTGATTTAGTCTAATGTTGTCTAATTTTAGAACAAGCTCTAGCAAGGCATATTTTCCTTTCTGCTACATTTCTGCATTGCCGCCGTTTTGACCCCACCCTTCTCTAATCCTTAATACGTCTCTACCTAAATGAACAGAAATATTGTCTCAGAGCTTCTCGGATAATACCCAGACCTGAGGCCAAACATGACGTTGTCTCCACCCTCTGCTGAAATTTCTGAACAGACTCCCGCTGTCATGTAGTGAGTGGGCGGGGGGGGGGGGGTTATATCGGTTAAAACTTCTCGAACGTCTCCACTAATCTACTGAGTTATGTCGTTCTAGATTTTAAAAGCTGTAGTCAACTTGTAAATGTTGGACCGGGAATACCCGTGATAAAATGCTATCATATTCTTTCCTTAGAATTTTGACAATCATTTTCAGGAAAAGTTTAAAAACATTTCGACCACTAACTAGTGTGAATATTGGTATTTTAGGATTAGGAATAATCGGAAACGAAGGTAAAATTTAGAAATTTAAGAATATCAATTTTTTTTAATAAAACATTATAACTTCAATTTATTTTAATAAAACATTATAACTTCAATTTTACAACTACACCACTTTAAAATGAATTTCTTGTGTAAATGTATTAGGGTGTTTGTATTCTAGTTGTGTAGATATATTGGACTGTTTATTTTCTAGTTGCTAGAATATATTGGACTGTTCATTTTCTAGTTTCTAGAATGTATAAATGTATTGGACCGTTCAATTATAGTTGCTATATTGTATAAATGCATTGGACTGATTATTTTCTAGTTGCTAAAATGTTTAAATGTATTGGTATGTTTATTTTCTAGTTGCTAGAATGTATAAATGTATTGAACTGCTAGAATGTATAAATATATTGGACTGTTTATTTTCTAGTTGCTAGAAGGTATAAATATATTGGATTTTATATTTTCTAGTTGCTAAAATGTGTAAATGTATGGGGATGACGGTAACGGGTATAAAAAGACAAGATTCTACGTCACCTTCTAGTCAGAATGTAGATAATTACCGGTAAATAAATAAATAACCATTAGCACGATTATAAAATGAATCGAGAAGAAACATAGAAAAAAAATGTATTTATGTTATGAAACGCTACAAGAAACAATAATGCTACAATTATTCAATAATGCTACAATTTTATTGCTAAATGTTTCGGCTTTCTGAAAATTTTTTACAAAATTGTTTTTTTTTTTTGTTTTACCCCGAATCAGTAACTGCAACAGTTTGGCAGAATTTGTTATACCTATTTGAATTAATATAATGTGTGAATTCATTTAATGTGGCATTACGTGTTATACCACGTATCGTGCACGACCCTCACAGCCTAGTAGACCAATAGTTTAATTAACATCATATCAAATTCTTGTTTTCAGGTTTATAGAGAATCTAGCGGATGTTTTACCTCAACTAGATTATTTATGTAGTATTTTACCAAGTACACCTCAAACTAGAAATCTATTATCAGGTGATATCCTTTCTCACTGTAAAACTAAGGTAGGTTAGTTTAGTAATTGTAGATGAAGCTAGACCAAACATTTAAATGAAATGGAGTTAATGCCCCCTCAATAGAATAGTCCCGTTGCATTGAGACAAATATGCTAATTTCATGCCCAGACAACGCAGTTTCTGCCAACACTTCTCGAGTCAAATGATATTTGTCGCGCCATTCGAACGGCTAGATACATGTTATTTGTTAGCCCCGTAGTCGCCTCCATTGAAAATAGTTTTCTGTAGTACATAAGTTAACATAATACATTTACAAACAATGACGGGTATCGTGCACGAGAGTATTAGAAGGTTGTGATTAGAGTAATGTTGTATAAGTAGTTATTTCTGCTGAAATCAGGAATAAATCAGGAACTATTCCGAATGGAATAGTGGTTGTTTGGCATACTGAATGCCATCTCCTTTTAATAGCCCTGTTGGACAAACTCTTTGGTTTTGAAAACCAAACATAGTAAATGACCTGAATTGTCGTGAGTACAATTGGAGGGTCTAGAGCACAAGTGATCTAACTACCAACCATTTTAGTTGGTTGTTAGATCACTTGTGCTCTAGACCCTCCAATTGTATACCAAATATATCGACACTGAATTTCAGAATTTGAGAGAAAACAATCCTCGGAGCGATGCATACTAAACAGACTAAATTCTTATTCTTTATTTTCTTACTTCTGCCAGAAACCAGTATTTATAAATATTGGACGAGGTGATGTTATAGATGAAGAAAGTCTCGTTAAAGCTATCAAGTAAGTCAATAATTAATACCATCGTCACATTCATCACTGTTATCTCCGTCAATAGCACGTTCATTTGTATGCCCCCAAGACTTATGTATCGTGCACTGTAACAACAAAATCCGTGAAAAAACGTAAAAAAATCCGGAATCAAAAATTACTACAAAAATTTTATCCGTATTTGTTTTTCATGTAATTTACACAAATTCCTTCAAATAACACCGACAATCTTTATGCGCAACCTCTTTCCGCTAATATAAGATTACAGAATATCCTAATCTAGAGACGAGCGCAAGGTATCACAACCGCTACTCGATAGTGATTGGGCCGGTTAGAGGCTTTCAGATGTAAGCTTGCCGTACTACCAATTTGCAGGTATATATATGTGAGAAAGAATAATATTTTTAATATAATTTACTTTCATTCTGTACCTCCCTCTCTGCATGCAACTGACTGGGCATGTTAAGCTATTCATCATTCGCATTGAAAACATCATCAGCATTATGTTTTCTTGCATATTTTAGATGTGAATGGATAGGGGGTGCTATATTAGATGTGTTTAATAAAGAACCACTTCCTACTACCAGTGAATTATGGGATTTATCTAATGTTACTATTACACCCCACGTGTCCGGCCCATCACTTCCAGAAAAGGTAATCCAATCTTTATATTAACATCACCCAATAGCGGATAAATTATCAGACGTCAGGTCGGAAAAGGGGGTTAAGCAATATGTTTATGAACCAGAAGCTGTTAGTTTTATTGTCTTTGTTGTTTGGACAATTACGTAACAATTCCAAGATGGCTGCTATGGTGTCTTGTCTGATTCACGATTCCCACACTATAGGCTAGTCTCGCACGTGTGTTTAAACTATAATAGTGTAGATCCAAATGAAATGAACTGAAATGGGGTTTAACGTCCTACTGTTCTGCTCCGAACTGGGCTAACGGAGACGGGCATACGGGCATACGCCATACAGTGTGCAGCGACACTTTTACATCGAATTCCAATTGTCAAGGGATCTTTTAAGTGCATATCAATGTATACAATACACGGGACCTCGGTATTTCGTCCCATCCAAACGACTAGACAGCTGTCCCAGTCAGCCCCCCCCCCCCCCCCGTCCTGCACCAGTGTAGATCCAACTTACTGTATGTAATTTCCACGTTGTTAGGTGTACAAACTCCCTTTCACTATCGGAATTCCAGCAGTCGTACTTGCTAGTTTTTCTGACTGTCAAAAGTTTTATTTATTGTTTTCAGGTTGCTGAATGTTTTGTAGATAATTATAACAGATATGTAAAGGGCGAACAATTAAAATATCAAGTTGATTGGATAAAAGGCTATTGAAATAAATTAATGTTTGTACAGAAATGTTTCTTTTATTGGTTTGTAATAAAAACCATTGGATTGAAGTGTTTGATTTTCTAGATTTTGGAATCGTTCGTATCAAGTCTCCCAAAACATGTATTTATTTCTGTGATGTCACCAAAACGATCATAGTTACCTAATTGATCGTCATGTAGCCATTACGATGGTTTAGCGTTACGCCATCCATGTTCTTGTCGCCATTACATGATTCAACGTTATATGACCGTTATGATGGTTCAACGTTACGTCATTGATTTCCATTTCCCTATTACAATCACAGAAATATTCCGATTATATTTTTCTATGACAGCTCGACATTTTTATTAAAAATAGTCAAGTCTATACATTACAATTCAATACGTTGGTTCGTCATTGATGTTCTTTAGGTATAGGGACCACAGATATTTGGGGGTCCGCACCCACTCCCACTCTTATGACATCCTTACCATGTTTTTGCATTACGCCATGGGTGTTCATACCACCATCAGGATTATTGATCATCAAGTCGACGATGTTCACGCCACCTTTATAACATTTTCATACTAACAATAGCTAAATTAATATGCACTTGTATGATCCTTTACGTGATCAGCCCGTATAGACCCACTGTGGGCGATGGCTCAGCGAGTTAGACGCTACAGCAGGTCTGGGGTTCGTCCCGGTGTTGGCCGAGAAAGTTCCTTTGGGTTTAATTTACTGATCAGTGGTACAGGATGGAGATGCCGAAAAGGAACAGCTTCAAGTCGTTCGCATGGGACGAAAAATCGAGGTTCCACATAGTCGTGCCTATAATATATAAAAGAATCCTTGAGGTAGTGCCGCTGTTCGGGCTTAATTTCCCCCATAGCACGCTATATGGCGAATGCCCGTCTTCATTATACAACTGGGTAGGACGTTTAAGCCCCTTACATTTCCTTTGGGATTAACGTTTCGTCAATACTTCGCTTATTTTTTAACAGTAACATCGGGTTGGTATGTAAAGCTAGGGAGGTGAATTTTCCCCGCAGTGTGACTTTTCCGCCTATTCTTCGTTCAATTGCAACTATCAAGTTTTCATTTGCGTGCACATTAATGTGTATACAGGGTGAACCCAAGTTTTCATTCCATTCAAGCACATAGGGATACTTGTCTCTGTGTTGTTTAATCCATCTAGTTTTTTTTTGGGGGGGGGGGGTTGGGGGGGGGGGGGGTCGGGCAAAATTTTCATTAGCCCAGACAGTGTAGAAAAATAGGACGTTAATCACCATTTCATTTCACTATCACCAGCATTTGACTATTGTTAAGGTCACATCAATAAGTGCGATTATAGCCTCGTTATATTTTAATTGATAACAAGCGGTTGACATAGATACGCCCACATTTTGCAAGAGATGGACAGAGAACAAGCTCAAAAAAAGAAGTGATTTTTTCGTACAGTCAAGGGCCATAATTCAGGAAGTTATGATCCAATATGTGCGAATATCGACAGGAACCAAGATCTTTGGGTTATAAATATGTATTTCAAGTTTCATCAAAATCGGATCAAAATTGTGACCTCTATAGGGTCCACAACCTTGATATACCATATTTTTACGCTATTTGAGAACGAACGGCGGCCATTTTGTCTGTCAATTTTGGGCCAATTTTCACGAAATTCGAACTCCGTCGTCCTTAGGGTGTAACGGTGACATAACAATAGGTTTTTTTTTAAATCTGATAAAAATTATGACCTATATAGGGTCCACAAGCTAAAAACGTGATTTTTCGTACAAACAGGGGCCATAATCCATGAAGTTTCGATCCGATACATGCCAATATCGAAAGCAGCCGAGATTTTTTTGGGATAAAGCCATATTTCAAGTTTCGTCGAAATCGAACAAGAATTGTGACCTGTAGAGAGTCCTCAAACAAATTGTGGACGGACGGACGTCCGGACAGACGGACGGACAGGGGCGACGACAATATACGTCCACATGAAAACATGGGCGTATAAAAATACAACACGGTTAGAAGTCCAATATCACGTGTATGTATTTTGTTATCGTTGCATATAGACCTATACGTATACCATGATCAAAGCATGTGTTTAGTCGCTGCAAAGAATTAATACTTTAAAAAGCGAATTGTTTAATTCTATGATCGTTATTGTGGCAGCTATCGGGGCAAACGAGATACCGTTTCGTGTTAAAGGAATTACTAATAGTAGTAATAGGCCTATAAGAATACCAAAAACGAATCAGTGTTTAATTCTGTTGATATTGTGGAGGTTAACGGGTTAAAAGAGACAGTCACATTCTGTTTTAAAATAGGTTATCAAACCTGCTGTAGGACGTACCACAATGGCGGCGCATTTAAGAGGGAAAGCTGTCTATGTCGCTTCAGCAGTTCCTGGATTATTTACACAAATACAAAAACTGCTGCCGAATGAATCCATAATTCAAGTTGATCCAGAATTACACGAAGGTATTCGTTACCAGAATATTAGTTGAATATTGTTCTTTAGCGTCAGAAGCATAAAAAGGTTGAAAAATTCACCCCGGTTGTTTCAAGGGAGATAATCAAAATATACTGGGATCAGACCATTCATTATATACGTTTTCAAATCATTGTTCACGTCATGTCGCTACCTCAAACTAATTTAAACAGTTTGTAGTGTTAAATCTTTTCTTGTAGGCTTGGTACATTATCAACACCCACGCTTTTCGGCCATTCACAGTATTTTGAAAGTTTTAAATATATATTATTTTTTTTTTGAAATTTGCAAGGATTGTTCATCCGGTACCCGTAATAAGAAATATACTCTTCAAAAAAGTAGGGGATATTCAGAAACAATACAAACTGTGGAAATGCACTGCTGTTTTTATTAGAGGTAACCAGTGTATGTTAATAACAGGCCAATTGCCTACACATGAACATAAACAGTTCATATGGGCGGCTTATCTGACGGCCCCATTTCACTCGCAAATTAAGTGATACACCGTCAAAAGTGAAAATGGACGTTTTTGATTTTTGTCTTAATAATGAGTAATTGCTCCACCAATCCTCAGACATTCAGCAATTCGTCGTGGTATGCTCCTAATCAACCGTCCAATCACGATTTGGGGCAATCTGACCCACTCCTCTTGCAGTGTCACGTCCAATTCTTGCAATGTTGTCGGTTGACGTTCACGTCGACGAACACGTCTCCCGATCAAATTAAACGTAACACACTAAAGCAAAGATACGCTAAACAGTAAATCTTATGCCTTATGCAAGAACCGATAGGAAAGCAAACATGGATAGGATAAACCAGCAAGGGGCAGTTTTCATCAACCCTTCCTTGAAGTGTCAAATTTGACAATGAACCCCTCCAACGTGCATGGCGCTATTGCGTGTCGCATGTGCAGCTCAGTGGTTCTGTTGGGGCGATAAGTTCTTCATCTGTGAGCATACCCTCAAAGCATGTCAAATGTCCATAACTATTTATCATATCGCAACCGGCATAGGCATTTACTTTTCAATATCCCCTACTTTTTTTGAAGAGTATACATTAAAAGTTTCACCTTTATCTCAATATAGATAAAAGTGATCAAGGATGATTAACTAAATATATAGCTAGATGAAACGCTTCCTCGTAAATATCTACTCTACTGGTTGACACACTATAAGGTTGATGAAGATAAGAAATTCTCGTGCACGATATACCATCATAGATAACGAGTGAGCAACTCTGTGACATCTAATCCGTTTGTGAACACAGTCTTTAAAGGACAATATTGGTGCCAGTCATTATCACATATGTGATAGAACTGGTTAAACATGTGATAATGACTGGCACCAATATTGTCCTTTTAAGACCTTTTAGTAAATAAACGGGTTATGGCCAGTTTATTTATTTATTATATTTCAGATAATATTTTAACTAACGAGTTAAAACTTCAGATTAAAGATGCCGACGTTTTAGTGGCTGGTCCACGTCTTATTGCTGAATTGATGTATGTTTCTGATCTTAAGTTAAAACTGGTTGTCTGTACAACGGCAGGTTAGTTTTTATACGCCCGTATTTAATGTAGGCATATATATTGACACATTATTGTCGCCACCGTCGTCCACTACTCTAAAGTTTTTGGTGGGATTTGGTTGTAAAGATGAACCCTTTCGAAATTCAAACCTTTTTGATCGGAGTGTTTAATAGTCTCGAGCTTAAAGGAGCTAAATCGTTAATATTTGGGACCTAGAAATTGACACAAATGGGTCGCAACGCATATAATAATGTAATATGAATGTATATAAACTGATTTACATTCAATCGTTTCTCCTTTTACTGCAATTTCTAATCAGTTATGTTCGGCGAAATACGCCAAAGTCTCAATTAAATGACAATCTTTAGCGTCTGGTTATTCCAGTCTACACCAATGGTATTTATTGCGCATGCTCTCTAGATAAGAATATAGCGTCACCATTTCACATGACTTGTGGAATATGTCTAGCCTCGTTCTTTGAGTCCCTTGTTCCTAATGGCGCTGAAACGCATTATGGTACACGATTCGTGTACCAATGGTAAAATGTTTATTTTGTCTTGAATATTGGATATCAGAAGCCCATCTTTTCCCAGTAAGATCACAAGACCAATATGTTGATATGAGTTGACAAATACTTTGTGTTTTCAATGTCGAAGATTTTTGATGATTTTGAGTTAGAGACTTAGCTTCTTTAAGACATTGCGTAATATATTGTAATAGACACTCGGGCCCACGGCCCTCTTATTGTTACAGTATATTACTTAATGTCTCGCTCTCGACCAATAAACAATACTTAATTGGAATTCGAAATAAAAGTAGGACATACCGCCACTGTGTAAAGAAATTTTCCCTCATTGCACACTGTATGTCGTATGCCCATCTTTATTAGTCGGGTCTTTGCAGAAAAGTAGGACGTTAAACCCCATTTCATTCACTTTATTTCACGACCCTAATAGATATTTTGCTTGAATTTCAGGTGTGAATATGATGATAAATAAACTCGATAATAGCAAAGTAAGATAGGTTATATTATCTCACCCAGACAAGTTGGTTGTATATATGTCACGAGCTCATAGCAATAAAAGCAGGCCGAAAAATTTGTGTCTAAGTTCATTCTCACTTCCTAGATACCGGGGGATCACGGTGGCTAAGTGGGTAAGACGCTGGCTCGCTATTCTGGAGGTCGGGTGTTCGATCCCTGCATTGGCCGAGAAAGTTCATCCAGATTTCCCGGCGTGGTTCCCCCTTGTTAATGATGCAGGACGGAGGGACTGATAAGGACAGCTGTCTAATCATTCGGAGGTCCTGTGTACACATTGGCGTGCGCGTAAAATATCCATTGACAGTTTGAATTCGATATAAGAGTAGACCGTCGTGCCGCTGTCCGGGCAAAATTTCCCTCACAGCACACTGTATAGTCTATGCCCGTCTTCATTAGCCCAGTTCGGAGCAGAACAGTAGGACGTTAAACCCCATTTCATTTCATTTCCTAGATAACTGGCTTGCGTGGGCTAATTAAATTGTTGATTTGTTGAGAAATGATATAAAACACGGGGTGGTTTTAAATAGACCATAAATAGAACAGAAAATATAACGATCTAAAACGAAAAACGAAACTAAATTTCTATATGATTTCTGTTGAAGTCACATAAAACAGAATGCAGTTTCCAAAAGTCCACCCATAGTCAAATTACTTCTGACTTTTGCGCCATGTGTGAGTGCATGTTCTATCGGCTCGTTTTCGTTCCGAGTGATTTTTTTTATCTTTAATTATGAATATGGTATCTAAATTATAAATTGTTGGTTTGTGCCTTTTGTAACTTTTGTAGGGACACCCAACATTTACCTTAATAAGAACAGGCGAGGGATATGGTCGGATTATAGGAGAATATGTTATTGGTCATATAATTGCTACAGAACGTCGATTTAAAGAAACTTACAGCAAACAGAAGGGACATGTGTGGGCAAAGTAAGTTGACAAGGACTTTCCGAAATAATACCAGGGCAGTAACTAGCTCAGAGCAACAAGGGGGGGGGGGCCGAGAAGTGTTTTCGGGGGGTGCTGTAAAATTGACGGACAATGTATATCTATTGTTTTTATGGTCGACAATTTATTCACGGGGGGGGGGGGGCAAAACTTTTTGCCCGGGGGGGGGGGGGGGTCGCCCCACCTCCTGCGCCCCCTCCCCTAGTTACGGGCCTGAACAATACCACAGCTTTATTCCAATTCAAACTAGATATTATTTTTGTTTTGTTCCATCTGTCAAGGGTTCTTTTATATGCACGCCAATGTGTACACGGACCACGGTTTTGAGTCCCATCCGAACGACTATACGTTTTCCTTGCCGAACACGGGACCACCAAGTTAAAAAGAGAGCCAACGTCTTACCCACTGAACCATCGCGGCTCACTGGCTTATTTATGTTAAGTCAATGACGTTATTAGAGTTTGTGTCGCTCTTCTAAACTCCACCACCCCTGCAACACAATACAAATCAAACACACTTAACCTAAAGTCTCATTGCGTCAGTTTAGCGAAATAGGAATCCCTTGCAGACTATAATATCGTGAAAGATCAATCTGTAATATGAATATCGGTATAATAACCTTTCAATTACGCTTAGTACTTAACAAAATATGTTGAATTAAAATTTCACCGATCTATGCTTCTCTCTATGTAATAATTCCGCCGCCATTTTGTTATGGTTGAAATGATGATCCGATGGAATCCAAGCCGGAACATTATCTAGCGTTATTATTTTGATTTTGTTTTCATAATTAAATGTTGAATACTCAATCTGAGTACATATTAGTGTTATGTGGGGGTTGGTGTAGAAAACACTCAGGCACAAAATATGATGTAGAGTAATCCTTTATTCTAAGTGAGTCTATAATCAGTAAGAGAACTAAACACTACGTTTTCTATGTCTAACTGTCTCTCTCTCTTAGCTATACCAATCTCTAACCTTATATAGCCTTCTACGTACATGAATATTTATGAGATACTGTATATACAAGGATAGCACTATACAATATAGTACTATATAACATTAGCGTGGATTACGCTATAAAGAATTTGATATTTTAGTGAAGAATGCAAATGACGCATCGTTACTTTAAACATACATCATACAATAGCTATTGCCGGTCTTTCTTTAGACCTGAAATGTTATCTAAATTATTAATTAGACATTAATTAACTTATCCAGACCATAATCAACTCTTGATGCCATCATTAGTCTGAGATATTTACTGGATTTGAATACATTTTGTGACGGATAATCGACACTTTGTTTATCATTTTAACGTCAGTAATGACGATCGAGACTTGCCTAAAATACAATAATATGGCTAATATCTCGGTTCAGAGTGAAGCAATTTGGCTGAAATTTTTCAGTATAATTTGTGTTCATTATCTATTTTTTTAACTATTATAGCGAGAACTGTCCGCTCTTTATCTAATCTTACCTTATGCCCCTTTAAACAAATAAAATTGACACGCGTTTCATATGCTTCTCTACTATTCCGCTTGAAAAAAACAGTATTTCTTTATATTTATTGTTATTGATGTTTCCATTCCACCCGATGCAGGAAGTCAATAGAATCCCTCTCTACTACGGAGTCGTTGTTCGTTCCGTCAGTATTACCACTTTACATTCAACAATTTTTTTTCAGGGAAGTTGGAAAAAAAAATGCAAATATTCATTTTACCACATTATAAATGCAAGAGCTAAATCTGCCTATTTGCAGTCCTTTCTTTGTGTCTCAAAATGAAAATGTTGTATAAACTATAAATTAGACATTTATTAACATGAAAAGACCTTTATCAACTCTCGATGTCATCTTATGTGTCGGATTTTCACTGGATTTGAATCCGATTTGCTGCTCAACGCTCATTGATGATTTAATCCAAAAAGTGAATAATCGAGACTATGTTGTTTCATTGTACCGACTTTAGTAATGATGATCGAGGCTGGGCATAAAATTCAAACGCTAATATCTCGTTTCAGAGTGGAACAATTTGAATGAAATTTTCAGCATATTCCCTTTACATTATCTAATCTTCTATAATGCCCCATTACTAATTTAGAATTAACTGGAATCATTATGTTTGCAGGAATAGTTTAAAATCATTTCGACTACTGACTAGTGTAAATATTGGTATTCTAGGATTAGGACAAATAGGAAAGGAAGGTAAGTAGAATAAATAAATAAGGTTACCACTTTTAATTTCGAGTTTATACTACATTCAGTACAATGTTGTACGTGACCAGGAGTAGGGTTGCCTGTCCAACCTCGTGGGTTTTCTCTGGGTCCTCCGGTTTCCTTCCACTGCTAAAGACACCTACGCGCAAGCGAATTATTGAAATAAAATTAAACCATATGTTAGTCCCGAAATGACCTAGTCTGTGTCGAGTTGACGTTAAACCCCATTTCTCGCTCTCTCTCTCTCTCAGTACAATGTGATTTCCCCTTGCCAGTGGTGCAGGACAGAGGATCTGGGAAGAAACGGCGCCTTATCCTTCAGATGGGTCGAACAAACCGAGGTCCCATGTACACTCTGGCGTGCACGTAAAATAATCCCTGACTGTTGAAATTCAATTTCTGTCCGGGCACACTGTATGGCGTATGCCCGTCGTCATTATCCCGGTCGATGCAGAAAAGTAGGACGTTAAACCCCATATTATTCATCCATTTAACAGAGCTGATCACTGGAAATAATACAGATTTAGCCCTTACATAATGCATCTTTAAATCGTTTGCTATAGTTGCTAAAATGTTTAAATGTATTGGTATGTTTATTTTCTAGTTGCTAAAATGTTTAAATGTATTGGTATGTTTATTTTCTAGTTGCTAAAATGTTTAAATTTATGTTTAAATTTATTGTTGCTAAAATGTTTAAATGTATTGGTATGTTTATTTTCTAGTTGCTAAAATGTTTAAATTTATTGGTATGTTTATTTTCTAGTTGCTAAAATGTTTAAATTTATTGGTATGTTTATTTTCTGGTTGCTAAAATGTTTAAATGTATTGGACTGATTATTTTCTAGTTGCTAAAATGTTTAAATGTGTTGGTATGTTTATTTTCTAGTTGCTAGAATGTATAAATGTACGTATTGGAGTGATTATTTTCTAGTTGCTAGAAGGCATAAATATATTGGACTGTTTATTTTCTAGTTGCTAGAATGTATCAATGTATTGGACTGTTTATTTTCTAGTTGCTAGAATGTATCAATTTATTGGACTGTTTATTTTCTAGTTGCTAGAATGTATCAATGTATTGGACTGTTTATTTTCTAGTTGATAGAATGTATAAATGTATTGGACTGTTTATTTTCTAGTTGCTAGAATGTGTAAATGTATGGGGATGACGGTAACGGGTATAAAAAGACAAGATTCTACGTCACCACCATGTCAGAATGTAGATAATTACGGGTTTGTAACTTTAACTATCTGTAGCGGATAAGTAGGACGTTAAACCCCATTCAATTTCCTGTCTAAAAGTGTTTAGACTTACCCGGAGCAATGTATTATACAGGAATTATTACTGAAATCTATTTGAAAATATGTCTGTACGAAGTATACATGAACATAAATAGACATATTACTAACACATTGAATTCACGATCATTTCATTTTACCATCGAAACGTACCAATATAATTGTCGTTACCATGGCAATGTAGTATCAGGTGTTTCGAAATTTGATATTTAAAATAACGCCATTGTTGGTGAAATATATCAACGATTGGAGATGGCACATTTTACACTTATCAACAACTTTCCGATGACGACCAAAGAAGGGGATTTTGGGGACATTTTGTTGAAAATCTGCACCTTGCTACTTTTGTCAGAAAATGAAGGTGACACGCTGGCGCAGTCCAAAATACTAGCTAAATAAACTTACTAGAATTATCATGAAATTTTCCCAATAAAATGTACACGTTCTAACATATCGGATTAATTGTGGAAATTAATTATAAACTGGTATGGCTATGAATGGGAAATTTATGATAGAAAACAGTAGATTAGAGGGTTTTTTTTCAGATTTCGCACACAATCTAATCTGTATAATTATATAATCAAATTGTTTGATACTATTTCAGGTTGCTAGAGAATCTAGCGGATGTTTTACCTCAACTTGATTATTTATGTAGTATTTTACCAAGTACACCTCAGACTAGAAATTTATTATCAGGAGATATCCTTTCTCACTGTAAAACTAAGGTAGGTTAATTTATTATCAGGGGATATTCTTTCTCACTGTAAAACTAAGGTAGGTTAATTTATTATCAGGCGATACTCTTTCTCATTATATAACATTATGGTAGGTTAATTCTTTCTCACGGTAAAACTAAGGTAGGTTAATTCTTTCTCATTGTAAAGCTCGGGTAGGTTAATTTATTCTCGTTGTAAAGCTAAGATAAGTTAATTATTTCTCGTTGTAAAGCTAAGGTAGGTTAATTTATTCTCGTTGTAAAGCTAAGATAAGTTAATTATTTCTCGTTGTAAAGCTAAGGTAGGCCTACAGTAAGAATATGACACGGTCTTCCTCATTCATACATATATATTTATATATCTCAGTTTGCTCCTAATTACACCCGTGAATCTGTCCGTTTTAGGCCAATCCTATTGATATCTTTTTTTTGGGGGGACAGTGTTTTTGGAAGTTTCAAAATTCTGAAGACCAATTAAAGGATATTTTGGTGAAAATCTGCACCTTGCTACTTTTGTATGAAAATATAAGAAAATGTAGGTCACTCTCTGCCGCTGTCCAAAATACTACCTAAATAAACTTACCAAAATTATCTATACCATAAAATGGATTACATTTCGTCCAAAATACCCCATATAAACTCCCATCGCGATAACCCCATTCCCTGTCTATACTACAATTTCCTATGATCAGATATCGATGGGGTTTTTTTATTATTTTTCAGAAACCAGTATTTATAAATATAGGACGTGGTGATGTTATAGATGAAGAAAGTCTCGTGAAAGCTATTAAGTAAATTCTCTATATACATGTACTACGAAATTTAATGTCAGAATGAAATAGGGTTTAACGTCCCACTATTCTGCACCAATCGGTATAGTGAAGACGGTATACGCCTACAGTGTGTTATGATGGAAATTTTGCCCGGACAGCAATTCAATCCCAACTGTCAAGGATTCTTTTATGTAGTAGCCAAGGTGTTTATGGAAGCTCAGTCATTAGTCCCATCCCAAGGACAAGCCGCTGGTCCAGCCCCTGCGTCCTGCTTTCAATGTCATGAGTAATATGTTTTAGTGTTTATATCCTATTTATACATGGCATACAAAGCATCACTATCATCATCATCATCATCATTATCATCATCATCATCAGTTGTCTTATATCATCACCATCATCATCATCATAACCATCATCATCACCGCCATACCAATCATCATCATCAATTGTCTTGTATATTTTAGATGTGAATGGATAGGAGGAGCTATATTAGATGTGTTTAATAAAGAACCACTTCCTACTACCAGTGAATTATGGGATTTATCTAATGTTACTATTACACCTCATGTTGCTGGTGCGTCACTTGCAGAACAGGTATATCATCTATTGTATACTCGTTGAATACTAGAATAAAACAGACTTGTTACCTATGTGTTTTGGGAAGTGATATCACAGCATCAGTTTCGGGGGGGGGGGGGGGAGTGAGTGCTAACCATTCGGCCATCCAACCCTCCATGTAAAATGAAATGAAATGAAATGAAATGGGGTTTAACGTCCTACTGTTTTGCTCCGAACTGGTCTAATGAAGACGAATGTAAAATGTTCCACTATGTATTAATATTTTATTTTTTGTTTTCAGGTTGCTGAATGTTTTGTAGATAATTATAACAGATATATAAAGGGCGAACAATTAAAATATCAAGTTGATTGGATAAAAGGCTATTGAAATAAAATAATGGTTGTACAAAAATGTTTCTTTTTTTTGTTTTCTGTTGGCACTTTAGTCAAGCAAAACAATTTTTTTCGGGCGATCATAAAATTTTTTCTGGCTAAATAATGAAAACAATAAAATTTTAGTGGATATAAAAGAAAAAAATTTAAAAATTATTCTATCCCTGAAAATGATGCAATTCCCAATCGGGGTTCAGATATTCGAAAATAACACAATTCTGATTTTGATTCAGGGTGTCTAGTTCTCGAACTTAAACCGCAGTTCCAGAAAATTCGCTCCGCTAGGCGCTACACGCCGTTGTTTTTTTTTTAGATTTTACTACTGTTATTTTGTGATCAAATTATGTAGGTTCATTTTTCATGCGCTGCCACTGTATTTTTCGGCTAAAAATGATACCGCCCCCAAGGAAAATCGACCCGTACGTCTATGCCACTGGACCCAAACGCATAATGTCCAGGATTTTACAAGCTGGTGTAGTTCACTGGTAGGCCTACTAGTGTAACAATGGTGGCGAAGGTTAGAAAGGAAATAAAATGGCGTTTGAAGTCCCACTGCTCTTCTCTAACTGGGCTAATGTAGACGGGCATACGCCATAAAGTGTGCTATGGGGGATATTTTGCCCGGACAGCCGCGCTGCGGCCTACTCCTATATCGCCAAAGGTCTTTTTACGTACACGTTAATATATACACGGGATCTCCGTTGGGTATCACCGACAAGCGGGAAAGCACTCAGGAAAATCCGATGAACTTTCCCGCCAACCCAGGAATGGAACCTGAGCCAACGTCTTACTCACCGAGACACTATGGCTACCTGCGAAGGTTAGAAGATATCAGCTACTACTCAGATATTTCTATTATAATGTACACGATTGACAAATTTGCCGGAATTCGTTTATGCCATCAAAACGTCTCTTTATCCTCGTTGCAGGGGCGGGTCCAGAGGTGTGGGGGGGGGGGCTTTATCCTTTATCATCAGATGGTTCTACTATGACGGATGGTCGCCCGACAAGCTTAGTCCTAATGAACGTTAACTATACTTTCGAGGTAAATATGGATGATTACATGTATATAGAACGGTTCATCAAAAAACATCCTCGTCGCTTATTCTTCCCATGTATCAAGACCCCCGCCCCCTCCCCGAAAGATTCGTTGTCTCAGTAACCTGGCAAACTCCCTGTTCCAAAAAAATTCCTGGATCAGCCCTTGCATTGTTTCGTTTGATGTACCCCAACCTCTTTTGATGTTTTGTTGGAAAGGAAATGTCGGAGTTTCCCGAGCAAGTCAAATTAAATCCCGCTTTCATTTCTTTTTCGTATTTATCTTGTTCACAATTACACTACAGTAAAGTCTAACATGACCGGACCTTTAAAATGAACAAACATCTTGGCTTGGACAGGATTGACTACTTCAAAGAGAACTAACAATGATAAAGAAGAAGGTACATCTTCATTTAGAGCAAGCCAACCAAATATTAAACCGAAACGAAATTTAAAAAAATCAAATATACAACAGTTTATATGCAGACATATTTATTTTGGTTATAAGGTAATTACATGAAACAGTTCGATATAAGATTTTGATTACGACTGAGTAATCTTCTTCAATTGAGCTTAAAAGGGGTTTCAGGAGCCTTGATCTTTTTTGGATTAATCATAAATGGCCACATTAGTTTGATTGGTTAAGTCGGTTATTTGGCGTGTCTGGTAACTAACCAAATTCTTTGACGACTTGATTGAGGTTAGGGTGTGGATAATGAAATGAATCGAAATTTAAAATGATTAGATTACAATTTCGTTTCGTTTATTGTTTTTTACAGTACATTGTAATCCAACACAAAAGTGTTCTACCTGGGAACATACAATTAAACTCAGAATCATCGCTGTACGCGGTTAGATTTATTTGATAAGGCTAACTTCAAGTTTGGTTAAACCTAACCCTGGACCTAGCCCTAATGCTTACCCAAACCCTAACCTACAATCTCGCCAACAATCACGTGCCCGAACTATATTTACATCTCAGCGACCTAGACGAAAATTGAGCTGGCCTTAACAAACAGATTTAGCCCTTGTACACTTGGTTTTAAAATCCCCACAATTCCCGTTAACAGCAATACGGGCAGTCTGGTTGGTCAGTAAGAACCCGGATAGCCAAAAAGCTATGTCAGATTACAATGTAGTACACAACATCAAAAATAAAACGAAACGAAACAGTCATCGGATTTTTAACCCGATAATTTATCTCACAAATGAAATGGAGTTTAACGTCCCCCTTTTCGACACCGACTGGGCTAATGAAGATGGGTTTTACCTAGAAAGATTATTATTTTTTTGATGTACATAATACACACTGCTTAAAGTTTAATTGGATTTAAAGATAAAATATATTCTCAAATTGACAGACTATGATTGGTATAAAAGGTTAAAATAGGTGGGAAATTCTTCATTTTCTATGAACTAAATTAGAAAAGAATGGGTGATTTTTCAGTACATGAACCCAGCTCCAAGTATCACCGTGAATGTTAATATTGTGCTCAGCATCATTTGTATTTACGATTTCCTCATTGGAATTCATATCATCATCATTCAGATTATCTACGCTTCCATAGTAATCTGTGTTTTCATCGTGGTACTGGTAGTTGTAATCGTCGTGGTACTGGTAGTTGTCATCGTGGTTGTCATTCTGGTAGTTGTAATTGGGGTTGTCATTCTGGTAGTTGTAATCGGTAGTGTGGTAATCGTGGTCGTTATACTGGTCGATGTTATTATGATTGTTGTTCGTCATATCATCATTCGGATGCATAAAACCCTCGTGTTGCGTGGTATGCATGCCATATGCATCATTGTCATTGTTGTAGCCGTTGGGGTTGTCATTATGGTAGTTGTAACCAGTAGTGTGGTAATCGTGGTCCTTATACTGGTCGAAGTTGTTCTGATTGTTGTTCATCATATCATCATTCGGATGCAAATAGCCCTCATGTTGGCCAGGATACATATCAGAACCATGTTGGCTGGGATACGTATCGCCGTCGTGGGAATTGGGATATATACCAGAATCATGTTGGTTGAGATACGTATCGCCTTCGTTGGGATACATACCGGTCTCGTGGGGACTCGTATTCATGTTATAGTCGTTATTATCGTTATTGTTCACATCGTTGTCGTAGTCGTATCTCTGTTGGTGGTTGTTGAAATAGGTATTCCCAGGACCCAGGTGTCTATGTGGGAAATTAGGACCCACGTGTCTGCCATGGAAATGAGGACCCATGTGTCTGCCACGGAAATGAGGATCCATGTGTCTGCCATGAAAATGAGGACCCATGTGTCTGCCACGGAAATGAGGACCCATGTGTCTGCCATGGTAATGAGGATCCATGTGTCTGTCATGAAAACGAGGACCCATTGCAGGCCTTAAGTGTTCGTCAGGAATATGGTATGGAACGTCTTGTTGAAAAGGTAAATTATCATTATAGTAATCGTGATAATCGGTATTGTTATAATCATAAAATGTATCGTTATCGTAATCATAATATTCATAATTATCATAGTTATCATTGTAATAATAGTCATCATCGTAATCAGCTGAATCATAGTTATAATACTCATCATTGTAATCGGCTGAATCATAGTTATAGTCATCATCGTAATCAGCTGAATCATAGTTATAATAATCATCATTGTAATCGGCTGAATCATAGTTGTAATAGTCATCATTGTAATCAGCTGAATCATAGTTATAATAGTCATCATCGTAATCAGCTGAATCATAGTCATCAAAGTAACCAGTCTTAGCTGAAACAAAAGAAAATAAATATATTTTCAACACGTTACAGAATATGTGAAACAGTTCGTTTAATGGATTTCAACCCGAGTCACATTAGAGGAGCAATAGTGGGTCCAAATGTCTAGGCGATTGTAACAGCATAATGTTCATACGACTGCCCTCCCCCACCACCAACACCACCTGGTGGGGCGTGTTTGTGTGTATCGTGGGAGTGGTAAGACAGAGGAGGTGATTATCTATGTCATTAATGACGATTAAATTTTCACCCGAATTATTTCATTATAAACTGAACTCTTGTTTGAAATGGTTAAAACGTGTATAATGTATAATTACCTGCGGACATCTCCAAAAGATCGTCACTAATTTTCTTCATATCCAAATCCAAATTTAACAGATCCACAACATCACCGATCTGAATGTTGCCCGCTGAAAATACAGTTCTAGAAGATTAAGCATATATAAATGTGTTCTAGAAAGTCTAAGCATATACATAACGGTGTTCTAGAAAGATACACATAACGGTGTTCTAAAAAGATCAAGCATACACATAACGGTGTTCTAGAAAGACTAAGCATATATAATAGTGTTCTAGAAAGACTAAGCATATATAATAGTGTTCTAGAAAGACTAAGCGTACAAATAACGGTGTTCTAGAAAGATACACATAACGGTGTTTTAGAAAGACATTCTCGGGCACGCACATCCAATGCAAGAATGAAATTAAATTAAGTTTTTTGAAAAGTGAAAATATCTCTGTTAAATTTTTTATACAAGCTGTCCCATTTAATTTGAATAAAAAGTTTCATAACAATATCTTCCTTTCTCGCGTTTCTCACAGTCTTGTGGGAATACAATCAATAAGTTGATCCCGGGCATCACCAAACCTTGGCACGTTACTGTTAAAGCAAGAGGAGAGCCGCGGTGGTTCAGTGCGTAAGACGTTGGATCGCTAGTATAGAGGTGTTAAATTCCGGTGTTGGCCAAGACAGGTCATCTGGATTTTCCGGCGTGGTCCCCCTTGTCAGTGATATCAGAGAGAGGGTATTGCAAGGTATAACGTATAGTCGTTCGGATGGGACGAAAACATATTGGCGTACACGTACAAGAAACCTTTGCAGTTGGAATTCAATATTATAAGGGTAGGCCGAAGCGCTACTGTCCGGGCAAAATTTCCCTCATATCACACAGTATGGCGTATGCCCGTATTTATTAGCCCAGTCGGAGCAGAACAGTAGGCAATTAAACCTAATTTCATTTCATTTCGTTAAAGCAATAGAAACTTACAAGAGTAGTCGTCAATCAATTTTTGTGCTTGAGTCATCAGCTCCGATACAACGGCTATTACACAATGGACCTTGTGGTACATTTTCACTTCATTAGATTCGGTGGCAGCCGGTTCTGAAAAATTCCAAAGACGTTTCGTGATTAGAGTGAATTTTTTTTTATATATAAACAATATTTTTATTCAGGATGTCTGAATGGGACTGGGGAATAGGCTTAACCAATCCCATTCAGACATCCTGAATAAAAATTTAAAGTGAAGATGCATGGTGATTAACATAAAGATATCAAAATCTTGTATTCTTCAGCGAGATGAAAATATAAGAAAGTTATTTATATGTTCATTTATTTAAAGTACACGGTTTTGAAAAAATCATTACATGAGAAAATATAGTTTTACGTAAAATACATTCCGGGAGTTTTAATGAGATAAAGCACACGTTTTTGGGGTTTTTTGAAAGAAAAAAAATGTTTTTCATGAGACAATGGAAAAATATATATATTTTTACGTGAAATACATTCCAGAGTATTGCAATATCCATATAAATAAAGGACACGTTTTGAAAAAAAAAATATCATTATCCCATGAGCAATCTGATTAAAATACAGATATATCTATATTTCGTTTCGTTTCGTTTTTTTTTTTTACTTTCGATGGCCTACACTACATGAATACCTGACAAGTTGTACTCGAAGGTTTTGTCTGGGTTCGTACGAGCGGCTTTTGACCTATGACGTCAGACATTGATTAATCAATCAGCGTTGACATTTCTTGTGGTTTACCCACAGTTCCGTGCATGGCACGCCAAGAAATCGCCGTAACAGACCGTTTCATTGGCTTGTCCCTCACTTCAACCAAAACGCCGATAATATAACAAATCTTCCAAATCCTAGTGTAGTAAAGACAATTAAAACGAAATTTTGAACTATAAAAATCGAAACGAAATAGGATCTGTGTTTTAATCAGATTGTACTATGAGAAACTGGAAATAGTTATCGTTACGTGAATTATATTCGGGAGTAAAGCACGCGTTTTGAACTAAATAATTATTTAATGTATATATTATAAGATAATTTTTAAATACCAACATTCACTTACCCGGGCATTTAATGCGTTTCGGTCGAACTGTAATAAAATATAACAAACGTTAGTTTTATATTTAATGTAATCAATAAAATTTACTGTGTAACATCTAGAGAGAAAATGGGTTTTCGTCGGCTCAACAACACAACAATTGTATTTAATGATACATTATTCAAGAGCTAAATCTGCCTATTTCAGGTCTTTCTTTAGGCCTTAAATGTTACATAAATTATTAATTAGACATGTATTCACATGGTAAAACCATACTCAACTCTCGATGCCATCGAATACTCGAGATTTTAACTAGATTAGAAGTTTTTGGCCATTTAATGATTTAATTTTAAAATGGGGAAGCGATGCTAAGCCTCGGATATACGAGTACCGTGGTTACGATAATACACAATCAATGCACACATCTCGTTAAAGCTACAAACAGTGATAACTTGGCTCAGAATAAAGTAATTTGAATGAAATTTTCAATATATTCATTTTGCATTATCTATTTTTGAACTATTATAGCAAGAACGACCAGCTCTTTATATAAATCTTACATAATGTATCTTTAAGAATTAACATAATTCTGGTACATCTTTATTTTATTAATTCACATACCAAAAGAGTTCATGGTCACCCGTTTGATTATATATCCTAGACCTGGAATTTTCACATTATTAAATATAATTTATCCATCAGGAAAAATGCTTTGACATCTTGTCTTGAGATTGGATCAGGGGACAGGGGACGGACAGTTGACGGGCGGGGGCGGGGGATTTTTATCTTAATAATTTTATGAAATTTGGGTGGGAAAACTAAAACCGAGTGAATCCTGTTGGTTGTGGAAGAAACCATCGAGGTTGGCCAGACGATCCTATGTTAGTTAGATAGGATTTACTTACATTTTACTAACAATGCTTGGATCATCTTCTCCATATCTTTTTCCATCGAGATCAGTTTCTTCAGCGCTTTTCTCAAACAATCATGCTTCAGAACTGGTGTAGGATCTGGGAACAGGAACAGAAATCAAATTAATGTTAATGCAACAAAGATTTTATATAGGAACAGAATTCCAAATTCAATCGGTAGCAGATGAAAATCAAGAAATCTATTTGATTTTATTTATCTTATCACATTCTGTCATATACTCACCTGGGTTACTCATTTCAGCAACTTGTTGCAAATTCTCTAGAATTTCCCAGACATTTCCGGAGAAATGCTCATGTATTTCTGCCATGTTCTCATGTAGAGTACGATAAACTGGTTTATCCTCTGCCTTTAAATAAGTTTCAAATTCAGGAGATCCATAATCCTTATATATTTCCGCCATGTCATCGTGTAGCAGTTCATGATCTGGTTCACCCTCTTTCTTATGTATTTCCGCCATGTTATCGTGTAGCGGTTCATGATCTGGTTCATCCTCTGTCTGGTGTATTTCCGCCGTGTTATCGTGTAGCAGTTCATGATCTGGTTCATCCTCTGCCTTATAATCATTTTCAAATTCAGGAATTTCCCGTTCTTTTGTTAATTCGTGTCCTGTAAAATTGTACTGTTTATTATAGTTATATATATTTTAAATTGTTAATAGAGCACAAGGTCTGCCATTGAGTCAAGCGGTGTGAGTTCGACTCACCATTTGTACGTGACAAGGAGAAGGGTCGCCTGTCCAACCTAGTGAGGGTTTTTTTTAGTAAATTTCAAACAATATAGATGTTGTTAGCTTGCCGTAAAATATTGGATCCTTATAAGAGACAATTAACATTTTATAATCAGTACACGAGTCGTGTATTTTATGGTTCCGAGTGCATTCGCCTAGAAAGATCATCGGGATTTTCCGACCTGGTCTCCCCTTGTCAGTGGTGCAGGACAGAGGGCGTGACAGGGACAACTGTCTAATCGTTCGATGTGACTATACATTGGCGTGCGCGTAAAAGATCCCTTGGAAGTTGGAATTCGATATAAGAGTTGACCATAGTGTCACTGCCCAGGCAAAATTTTCCTCATAGCACACTGTATGGTGTATGCCCGTCTTCATTATCCCAGTATACTAGCAGAACAGTGGACATTAAACCCCATCTATGTCCTTTATTTTCTATGTGTGCAACCACCACTTCCAGTAAATAACAACATAATTAAACTTCCAAGACAATATAAAATACGTCATTTCCCGCAAGTAATACATATATATTAAACCCACCTAATGTTCCCAGTACATGATGCAGCAGCCCGGCTACTACTTGCTGAAAAATAATATGAATTGCTTCATAGAACCATTGAAATAAAAACAATAAAGGTAGACTAGAAATCATATCAGAACTCGGAGTCAAATTAAACAATTATAAAAGCATTTTATTTTTAGAAAGTTGAAAACTATAAATTCCTAAATAAGATATATAAATATAATGAGCCTGTATCCATTCTATATTATTTGCTATAATTTCAATGATATACCGTACCTGATTGTGAACGCTAACAGCTGGTTTCAATGTATCTGATGATATTACTGGAACCGAGAAACATATTAGTGGAAAGCAAAGTACCACTGTTAGTCCTAGAACCAACATTTTGTTATAATTAATTGACTTTTCCAAACGTTCTAGCTGTATTTGACTGCCTGTCCTGAGTTCCAATATTTCTCGGGTCTGTGTGCCAGTGCTACTGATCTGTGTTTTATACTAAATATCTTAAATGGGTACCTTCAAGATATTAATACCAGGATTACATTGTTTACAATATAATGCCCGTGATAATTATTCTGATTAAGTTATAATTACAGGGGACATAGACCAACGGCACTGGTACAAAGCTGTACAAAATACGTATATTTGTTTTGAATAATCTTAAGTGTTATGTTTGTAATATAATTATAGACAGTCGTACGTAATGTAACGTTTTGATTTTGTTGATAAAAATACAAGGAGTTGGTCATCAATATCAATATGCATTTTAAAGATGCTTTATTGTTAGATAATTTAGATATGTAATTTAAATACCAGTAAACGTTTATTATCACCGTATTGTGCAATATATTTTCAGTATTTACATGCCAAATCTCATCCAAGGACAGTTAATTTTCTATAAATTTATGTTTTGCGTGTGTACAATAGTCCTTATTTTCAAGTACCGTAAAGGTATCACAATCTGAATCCTCGATAGGATGACATTAATTTCAATTTTATATGTCGTTCCTTTAGAGTATTTTGGCAGCGATAATATTAAGCAAATGGCGGACCGTTTTCTCACTCGAGAATCGTCGCTATTCGACTCAAACTTACATTTCCAACCAATGGTGATAATATAAATTGAATTAAAAATATCCGCTTAGGTATGCTTGTATATTTTACATGCCGTATGAAGCCGCAGTAAACGGAATTCAACTATCAAGATTTTTAATTCTCGCCGAAACGAACTGTCGGCCATTTATTTTTTTTAAGACGAAACGAAAGATCAAATAATCATCGCTTGGATAAACATTAGGAGTAAATAGCGACTCGAGATAGACTTTACAATAGGCAATTTTATTATCAATCAACTAATTATTAATTCCGAGACAATTGGTATACATTACTCATTGACACGATCCAGATTATCAGCGAGTTGATTAATTTATAGTATGCCCGCCACGTGATTGACACTCAATGTAATGGTTAATCTAGGATACGATTAAAATTTTAAGATTTTTTCCGCCAGTTCCCAAAAAGAATTGCCAGTACCGCAAAATGTTATCCCAAAATTATCTCCAAAATCAAATCTTAATCGCCACTTTGATATTTTTATTTGAAATTGCGACATTGGTCATAGGCGTACGGGGAAATTTTTGACTGGGGGGGGGGGGGGCGGTGGTGGTTGGTGTCGCAAAAATGTAGTTACATGTAGGTTCTTAGTATGTTACATAATAATCATAATATCTCTTTTGCGATGAATAAGTTCTTAATTTCTAAATCATCAATAAAAGAGAACTATATTTTATTTACTTGTAATATACAAACAACTAAAACAGTTGTTTATGTAACTCTAATTCGTGGCTTACTGCACTCCAAACAATAGAGGGTTCGAGTCTTAAGATTTCTATTTAATTGCCTAACTATAGACACTCTGAATTTAAATTCGCTGTTAAATTGGACGCATTCAAAAACACAATATTTTTTTACACAAAAGCCCCCCAGCTCGTACGCCTATGACTTTGGTGACCGACAGTATGAACCCTGGTTAGATATGTCATTTAAATACCAGTAAACGTGGGGGTTTTTAAAATCATACTTTGAGCGTGTTTTATTATTACACTTTAGGTGTGTTTTATTATTACACTTTAGTGTGTTTTATTATTACACTTTGGTTGTGTTTTATTATTACACTTTAGTGTGTTTTATTATTACACTTTGAGTGTATTTTATATCATCACACTTTAGTGTATTTTATTTTACCACTTTGGGTGCGTTTTATTATTACACTTTGAGTGTGTTTTATTATAACACTTTAATGTGTTTTATAAGAACACTTTAGATAGTGTGTTTTATTATTACACTTTGGGCACCAAATAACTGAAATACTAGCAAAGGCATCTACCAAGCAGCAGACGACCAATGTGTCCCGCCAAGAAAGGAAAGCCCTCAATGACCTAAAAGACGACAGATCTATCACAATTGTTTCCGCCGACAAGGGAAAAGCAACAGTCATCATGAATACTCACGAGTACCTCACAACGGTCAACGGTTTACTCCAAGATCCAGCAACATATAGAAGAATCCGCAAAGACCCAACAAACGCGCACAAGGACAGCCATGAAAACTTGCTTAAAAAACTAAAAGAAGACAAACAGATCTCTGAAGCTCTCTATTACAAGCTCAGACCAAACCACCCTCGACCACCTTATGCCAGGGCTACTATAAAAATCCATAAAAACCCCATGAAAGCCCGTCTGCTGGTGTGTTCTCGAGATTCAGTCTTCTACAACACAGCCCAATATTTATCAAAACTACTTTCCTCACTTGGCACAACTGCATCGTCCTTCATCAAAGATTCAGGTGAATTCTGTGAGAAACTGCAGAATATTCAAAACCCCGGGAGGATGGTCTCATATGATGTTGTAGATTTGTTTACAAATGTACCAAGGGAAGAGGCCCTGAAGATTCTACGCAAGCGCATAGAAAGTTTAGAAAACCCACTAGAGACTTCCCTATCAACAGACAACATCATACTCTTGTTGAAACAATGCATCAATTCAACATATTTCTCCTGGGGTGACGATTTTTACGAACAGACCAATGGATTACCCATGGGAAGCCCCCTCTCCCCTTTAATTTCAGAAATATTTTTAACTGATTTAGAAGAGAAGGCGTTTCAAACATCCACCGTAACCCCAACATGCTTCTTTAGGCAAGTGGATGATACCTTTGTTATTATCAATCAACAAGATGATCCAGAAACACTGTTACAACACCTCAACAGGCAACACCCACGTATAAAATTCACAATGGAAACCGAAAATGATAACCAACTACCTTTCCTCGATGTTTGTGTATCTAAAACCAACAACTCGATCCGCACCAGTGTCTATAGGAAACCAACTCACACCGACCAATACATTCATTTCAAATCTAATCACCCGAATAGCGTCAAATCGGCCACAATTTCAACTCTGGTGAACCGTGCGAAAAAGATATGTGATCCTGAGAGCCTCTCCAAGGAAATTGATCACCTCAAACATGTCTTCACAAATTTCAACGGCTATCCAGGGAAGTTTGTGACAAACGCCATCAACAAGACCCTGTCGGCGAGTGCAGCTAAACCAAAAACCCCGACTGCCCCAGTCAGAATCTTCCTTCCTTTCAACGGCAAAGTCTCCTACCAAATCAAACGGCTACTAATGCAACAACCAGAAATAGATGTAACTTTCACAAAAAGCTACAGCACTAAAGATATATTAAGAGCCAATGGTAAACAAAATCCTACACAACCACCACAACCAAAGGGATGTGTTTATCAAATAGTATGCAATTGTGGGATTGCATACATCGGGGAGACAAAGCGACCATTAAATAAAAGGATAGATGACCACAAGTCGAAAGCAGCAACCAACAACTCAGCTGTAGCTGAACATTTGAACTCCAACCCTCGCCACAGAGTCCAATGGTCCAACGTAAAACCACTATGCAAGAATATAAGCAACAAGAGAGCGCGCCGATTACATGAAGCCATTCATATACGACGACACAAACCAACGATGAACAGAGATCAAGGATTGTTCCTCCCCAGGGCGTATGATATTCTTATCACATAATCAAGGCTAAGCATAATTCTACTTTTATCTTTTTTATCATATTTAATACTTATCAATATTCCAGTAATAACTTTAAGTTTGTAATAACCATCATAATATGCAAAAATGACAACTAATAATTCCCAACTATTTTTGCTTTTCAGGCATTTCTGCTTTTCAGGCCTGCGGTTATTGTAATTTAATGCACTCAATATTTCTAACCCTGCTTTTCTACATCACCATAACATCCAGTGAAGTACCACTCAATATTTTAAATTGTCAACCTTCAGGGGACTATTGATCATTGTGCAGTCATTGTTCTAAGGGTTTTTTCGTATATCAGTGTAATCACTCGCATCAACATCCACATATCAATTATTTTGGTTATAACACAAATCAAATCTCATCTTCGTGGGATGTTGTCATTATCAAAACCTCATCAAATCGTTGTAAATACTCCACAACAATCTACTCTTTTACCATTTGTATTTATTTCAGTGAAAGGGGTCGTTGATAACATTTCATCAATTTTCATTTTCTTGCAACGTTTGTATTATTAAAACCCACTAATCACTGTGTATACTCCACAACAACTTATCCATTAATCAATTAGTCAATTTTTTAGGTTAATTGGTATTATTACTTATTAGCGTACAATTAAATCAGATTACCATTAGGTACACGTAATTAAGTTACATCCCTGGTTTGTCATCATTAACTTAGCATTGTGGTGTACATGTATATATTGTCCTGTCATATTTTCATTTTTTATCATAGCTTGATAATGACTAGAGAAGCCTAGTCGAAACGTCGCTCAGTAAAAAGCAGTAATTGTATTCCATAGAATTGTGACCTGTATAAAAAAAAAACTGGCGGTTCTTGCTATAATTGTTCAAAAATGGATAATTCAAAATGAATATATTGAAATTTATTTTGAGCCAAATTGTCACGGTTTGTAGTTTTGACGAGATGTGTGCATTGATTGTTTGTTATCGTTAAATGGCCGAATCGTTCTAATCTACTTTAAATCCCCTCTCGTGTGTGTTTTATTATCAAATTTTATAATCACAACGTGCATATTTTATTTTTAACCCTTTTGTGCGTTTGTCTTATTATGACCCCATGTTTCGTTATTACACACTGAGTATGTTAAATCATTTTTTTGTGTGTGTGGGGCGTGTGTGTGTTTGTGTGAGAAGGGGCGGGGTACTACATTTTGGGTGTGATTTTGTTTTATTTTATTGTTCACACGTTGGACATTTGGTGTCTTGTTTCCCTAACTTGGCTACATACCAGAATCTGTTTTCCACTGATTGGTAATAGGTCATTTCGTAAGGTAAAAAACGACGGCAAGAAGACCCTTTTGTACTCCCGGTTATTAGAACATGAAATCACGCGTCACCTGCAAGTATAACAACCTGCCCTGCTTAACGGTGACAAGCTGGGGATACAGGTATATAATTATTGTAATGATATATAATATATTGATCGACTATGATTTATGAGGTTAGGATATATCTGATTGTTATTCAATATAAACATGTGAAATAATAGGGTGAATCAAAGGTGGGCTTGGGCACCTCGCTCGCCCCATTTCAGAAACCCTACGATTAAAGTAGTCACGTACTTACTTTTTATACCAAGGTGTGGCTTATATTGTTAGCAAAAAACCTTTAACTGTGGGAGGATTCCAAGGGACTCGAAGAGGTTTAACGTCCACTCGAAACAAACTAGGTCATTTCGGGACTAACATATGGTTATTTTTTTTTTCATTAAATGGCTTGCGCGTAGGGGTCTTTAGCAATGGGAGGAAACCGGAGGACACGGAGAAAACCATTTAGGTTGGATTGGACATGCGACACCACGCCACTTGACTTAATGACAGACCTTATGATGCAATGCGCACGCATTGACTATTCGCCCCCCACCCCGAAACATTTAGGGACCATGTGCTCTTACGTAGATATCGCTCGAAAACTAAATACATGTATATAGCAGGTAATGTGTCTCTTATGTTCAGAACCCCGTTTGATGCATGTATATTACCATACGGTATTTAACAAAAATCAAAATTAACATCAGCCAAATACACGCATAAGCATAGAGATGAATCTGGTCTACTGGAAATTTACATATCTCAAGTTTAACCCTTTCGCCTATGCTGTTGAAACCTTTGCATAATATTTCCCCTTGATCAACAGCGTTTTTCGAGCTCATCTCTGCAAGAAGTGACGCGACCAGGTTTGAAATGCACATGATTTAGTGTTGACTCCCTTTAATATTAGCACAATTTCTTTTAGATACATATTTTATTACATAACAAAATAGGATACACATATAAATACAACCCCATTTAATATAAATACATTCCCTCTTATAGTAAATGATAATTTTGTTAAACTTAGATGGTATATTCGTTCCGTTAAAAAGACATGTGCTTCTGGCGCCAGCATAATAATATCTGCGTCCTTCATTAGACAGACGACCAAAAAGTCCGAGAATTAAAGCCTATCAAATGATTCCATGCATTTTTCTGTATCACGGGATCTGATTGGTAGATTGGTTTGGGGTCGACTAATCATTATAAGAGAATTACGGAACGCGCCCTATAAAGAAATGCCCGTGGCCAAATATTAAGTTTTATCTACGATATCTTCATAACACTAGGATCTGGAGGCGCTGTTATGTTACAGGCGTTCTGCTTGATGTGAGGGATCAGCAAATGAACCGGTCTGTTACGGGGAGATCTTTGCGTACTGAACACGGAACTGTGGGTAAACCACTAGAAACGTCAACGCTGATTGATTAATCAATGTCTGGCGTCATAGGATCAAAAGCCACACGTATGACCCTTACGCGACCCCACTACAACTGGTCAGATCTTCTTGTAGTAAAGGCCATCGAAAGTATAAACCAGCCCACATTTTTCAAGAGATTGATAGAGAACAAGCTAAACAAAAAGCGAGTTTTCGTAACATCAAGCGCCATAATTAAGGAAGGTACGATCGGATATCGAGAGCAACCAAGATCTTTGGGTTATAAACATGCATTTCGAGTTTCATCAAAATCGGATCAAAATTGTCACCTCTAGAAGGTCCACAACCTCGATATACCAGATGTTTACACTATTTGCGTACCGCGGGGGGGGGGGGGTAAAAACTAAACGAAATATAGATCTGTATTTTAATCAGATTGTAACTTGCAGAACTGCTACTGGACGCAACTTGAAAATACCCTACATTCTTTTATTATGGTATGTTTCGTCAATAACATCCTATCTGAGTCTATATGACATGTGTACGTGCGTGTGTGTAAACACTAATCATAATGATTTATATACATATTAGTTTTGATTACCGCAGAAAATGAGATACAATAAATTATTTTTTTCTACTGAAAAGCTACCATACACAAGCCTACTCTATACACTGAAACAAACATAAATGACGCTAAAACATAAACATGAGAGAGAGAGAGAGAGAGAGAGAGAGAGAGAGAGAGAGAGAAATGGGGTTTAACGTCCACTCGACACAAACTAGGTCATTTCGGGACTAAACATAAACATGAAGGAGACCTAATACTAAAACTCCATAAAGCGGGTTTCTCTTCTATTGATGTTCCTCAAAACTGATTCTTTTAGAGGAATTAGTAACCATACAATATCTTGTGTCAGTAGTTTCAGCATCGATGTCTTTTTCGTCACAGCAGTTATCTCGGTGTCCACGGAGTCGATTTTATTCCATTTCATATATAGAAAATCATTGGTAATTCTATATTTAAAAGTTTAAACTAAAAAAATCAACAATGGAATCGAATATAGTATGTTTTAAACAAACAAAGATAACGATTTTACTAAATGTAAACTGTAAACATTTATATAGATGTAGTAAGATATTTATATAACTATATATTGGGCTATAGGATATTATACATTTCCTCCTAGATAAATCACAGCCTAGTTTTGCAATGTGCCAAACTGGTATAACTGGTACATAAATAATATATCCGTTTATAAGCGCTGGTTACGAACGACGCGGCCTTTAATCTAGTTCGTGTTACTTAAGACACGCCTTTGACAGCCGTATCAATATAATCACGTTACGGCAGTCTGCATTGTTGCTGTCTAGTTCCGACATCACTGTTATCTATGTCACATACTTCACTAACAAGTTTATAAATTTACCGATATCCAAAGAAAGCATCACCGTCAACAGTTTCTGTCACAGTACTTTGTCCTGTGTGCCATGGAAACATCTCACGTGTCACCACATTCGATGGTGTTAAAGCGGAATTACCACCGCGCGGGTCATAACTTTCTGGATGACCTCCAACGAAGATAGGACACTCCAGTTGAATATCTTCAGTACCGCTCACAGCCACCCGAAATTGAAACGTGTAAGAAACATCCATGATATTACAGAATTTTAAATTTGTTTCGGCAATATATGGAGGTATTGCCATCAGTACATTCCGCCATCTCCGACCTTTTCGGTTATCAAAATCATAAGGATCCTCTCTTTTATTGATGATTTGTCGAAAAGCGATTTTTTTACCTCTTGCGGAGTAAACACTGTCGAGAATGATAGCCGCTTGAATGACGATAATTTCTCGTGGACTCCAGTTCATAACATCAGCGTTAATTGATATATCCTCTCCTGGAACCCCACCAGTTCTTGTCAATGAACACTGGACTTTGACTTTTCCACTGGTACAAAATCCGAAATACGAGCGACTTGTGCTCATGTCCTTATCTGAATAACTTTCAGCTGGAAGATATGGTCTTCTCAGGAACAGAAAGGGTTCACTGACGATTAAGTTATGACGCTCATCCTCGCATTCCAGTGATACTTTGGTTAGGTATGTTATATTTCCATAAACACCGTTAAACGAAGATGGGATATCTGTAGGAAGTTGATACTGGAAGGGATACTCATGTGCCCCTCGACCTAAACTTAAAGCTCGACCATTATGTTCCTCCACAATTTTCTTGGCACCATCAAGATATGTCTCTTTACTGGAGTAAAGTTTCTTTTTGCCCGGGATTTCCCAGGACACGGCACCGATTCCAGAAACAAACAGTTCGATAGTTCTGACAGTAACATGACCCCGAAGGTACACAGTGATCACTCCTCTCATTAAGTCTCCGGGCATGTAAAATTGTCGTTCTGTGTTGTCATCGTAGTAGAATTGTACCGTGAGATCCTGGACATTGGACATATTGATTTATACCTGAAAAAATACACAAAAAATTCACATTAGTGAATCACACGACACACTGGGTTGAAAAACGCTAAACTATTGAGAGGGGATGGTATTAAGTAGAGTTACAAGGTGTAACGCTCCACACGTTACAGTGGTTTCAGCAAAGTTAGGTTAAAGAGGATTTGATGAATGTATTGCTACAGAGAGGATAACTATTGGCATAGTGGTTTAACCAGTCTTACGCTATAAGATTGCATACCACTTTTGACCATACACATGGCATGTTGGTTTTGACTTTACCCCTAATCTCAATAAAACACAGATCCGTTTCGTTTTTATAGTTCAAAATTTCTTTTTACGTGTCTTTACTACATCATGTCCAGTCTGTTTCACAGAGGATTACGAAAGTATTCTAATATCTCTGTAAAAGATGACTACCTTTAACACGTGACGTCTCATCACGCGGCGTCAATGATTGGCTCAATGGCGCGTGTATTGTTTACATAAGACGTTCTAGTTCGGGCAGAATGGGGACTTTTACTCATTTCAATACCCATTTGCACTAAATAGGAAATAATTTTTACCTACAAATACGTTAAACGCCTTTATTTATTTCTATAATACATAAAAAAAATGTTTTAGAATTCTATTTGTCGCAGGAAAAAAGTTAATATTTCTGGCTCATTAAGTCGCATCGATGTCATCCTTATCAGTGATTGTAGCAGCCAAGCGAATATTCACTGCGGATCAGTGTGGTAGTGTAGGCCATCGAAAGTATAAAAAAAACGAAACGAAATATAGATCTGTACCCCTAGCTCCACTAAAATACGGTACATCAGTTCAGCAATGTTACACTACACAGTTCGTTATTTAAGCTAAGTGAACACAATGATGTTTTCCCACCACTTTAAGCAACTTACCTCCGAGTCATGAATTCATTGAATGATTCATGAATTATGAATTGGTTTATTTATGTCAGTAATACAATTACATGTCATTTGCGGGTCCAGTGATTCAATTTAACGCCTTTGGGTGAAAGGTAATAAAACGAAAAAAAGGTTGATCTTTAAAACTATGTTAAGAAACTATTATTGTGCCTCTGCATTAAGTCATATTTACGATTTATTTTATTCATTCCACCCCATCCCAGATCTATTAAATATTAATTAATTTGTGTATTCATTTTACCTGATCATTTTACGAAGGTTTTAATCGATTTGAATGTACATGGTCTGGGAAATGACTGTATAATCATATACCAGGCACTAGTTATCTCATACATTCTAATTACAATGAACCCTTTATTTCTTCCTTTCTTTATTTATTTTTTTTTTTTTTGGCCTCAACTGTGTGCGAAATAGCTTTATTTAACGTCCGCTTCCACCGAGGTGATATCGCAAACAAAGGCCTCAACTACGTGATGATCCAATTGCATCCTTATCAATTCGCTGCTCTCTTTGGTTCACTCCAATTTAAGCCAATGACAATGCGATTGGTTAAAGTCATTCTTGCTCAAGCAACGCTTTTGTTTATTGATTACATGACAGTCGAGACCAGGTCAAACTTAAAGACGAGAAACGAGAGAACCCTCGTCGAAATGTCGCCAGAAATAAATCTTTTAAACATACATTATGCAAGAGCTAAATCTGTCTATTGCAGGTCTTTCTTTAGGCCTGAAATGTTAACTAAATTATTAATTAGACATTAATTAACCTATCCAGACCATATTCAACTTTAGATGGCATCGCTAGCCTGCTATCTTTAGTGGATTATAAGCCGATCTACTGCATAACTTTCCTTCACGATTTAACGATTAAATGGATAATCGAGACTATGCTGTTTATCGTACTGACTTTAGTAATAATGATCGAGGCTAGGCGAAAATTTCAATCGGTTAGTTCTCGGTTCATAGTGGATCAATTTGAATGAAATTTTCAGCAAATTGCCTTTACATTATCTAGTTTTTAACTATTATAATGAGAACTGCCAACTCGTTATGGAATCTCACATAATGTATCTTTAAGTACATTGTATTCCATTTGTGTTGTGTGTAATGATGGTATTACTGATTTCCCTTACAAACAAAGAACAATTACTGTGAATTTAAATCTCGAAATTTATCTTAAATATTGAATATCTGTTATTCACAAACAGGACCACTTCGAAATTTATTTGTTTAATTTAATGATTTAGCATGAAACTTCCAAATGACAAGTTTATATGATATGTTCTCATTTTGGAGGCGTTGTTTATTTTCTTCGGATGGAGAATGCCGGAGACGTTTCGTTTCGGGACTGATTTGAACCTTAACCTATATTTGAATCGTATAATTTCTGTTCGGTTGGTATTCGACCTTTTTTGCACACTCCGTAGACATTCTGGGTATATTTAGAGTAATTAAGTCTTCTTTGCACGGTGAGAATTCAGAGAGCAGTTTCAGCCAACCGAGTTATTGGTAAAGTTACAAATATCAATCAATTGTAAAATGTACAATCTTTGTGTGAAACTTTGTGAAAAATCGCTGGCGGAGGATGGGTGTATAAATTCAGTGTTGAGCTTTATTCGACAGTATTGCATGCACAGTCGTCTTTATTTATATTAAAACGTTTTTAACTAGTACAACAACGTAAAACACTATATACTAAACCTCGTAATAATAGCTCGATATTATTGTTTATATATGTATAAAGGTATGCGCTATGAAATATCTATATAACCTATCAGTAAACCTCGCCCGGATAAAGTCACGTTGAGATCAACGTTCTGATATAATATTTTATTTATTGATTAATAAAAACAAAAGTGGGTTACGGTGACAAATTTAACCTATATTTTATTTAAATTATCTTTGATATGACAACCGACAGTGGTTTTATTCCCAGCTTGTACGTGGCAAGAAAGGTCTGTCCAAGCTCGTGGGTTTTCTCTGGAGTCCTCCGATTTACTCACACTGCTGAAGACCCCTAGGCGCAAACGAACTATTGAAAAAAAATTGAACCATATTATACATGTACGACGTCCCGAAATGACCTAGTTTGTGTAGTTATGTTTTGTGAATGTCTCTCTTTTCTCTCACACATGGCATCGATTCTTCGTCAAAGAACAGCCGACTCCAAATATTAATAATATTTATCGTGATAACATTAAGTTATGGGCGATATAAAATTTACTCAATCACCTTTCAATGATTTTAAGTAAACGCGGACAACAAAGAATGTTTTTATAACTCAAATTTCTCATTGTAATATGAACTAAATCTATTCAATTCAAATCTTTTTTTTACTTTGCGTAAGTTTTGAACTGTCTATACCGTCTTTATTCGTGGCGAGGACAGAAAGCCTTTGATAAATATCCTTACCCAATCTACTTGATTTGACAAGCAAGTACAAACTTTAATCAAATATTGCGCATATTTACGATTCGTGGGTATACATATATATTTGACAATGGAATTTGAAAATATATCCAAACCCAACGAATCAGTCATCAGTGTCATTTAAGTACAAGGAATTCAATAAATATTATCCATGAAATCTTTTATCCTTCATCGAAATTAGATTCAAATATAATATATAAGTAATGATGATGGTTTTTATAATTTATAGTTTAGACATTATTGGGCTGTTGGCGCCATCTCTTAAAACGGTTTAAAACAGATAAAGTTGTCGATAAGGAGATGAAGTTTGTCATACAGGAAAAAGGAGCAAATCCCCTTTTCCTTTTTTAAAAAGAATTTCCAAGTGTAATTAGCATATTATTATTAACTTCACTCCAGTCATAACTATCTTGTCAAAGTAATTTAAGAATGTTCTATAAATTTACGTGGTCATTTGAGTAAAACTGACTATTTTCAAATATAGTCCATTACAAACTGCATAAAAAATACTTATCTCTGCCCCGTCCCTCTAACTTATATGCATAGGCGTACGGGAAAATTTTTGACGGGGGGGGGGGGGCGTTGGTGGTTGGTGCCCAAATAATGTAGTTAGGTTCTTAGTATGTTACATAATAATAATAAATTCACTGTTAAATTGGACACATTCAAGAACGCAATATTTTTTTATACAACTTTTACAAAGTACAATATTGTGTGCCCCAATTTTTTCAGAATTTGGTGCCCAAAATGGGGTGGTGGGGTGGGCGGCCGCCTTCCCCCCCAGCACCCCCCCCCCCCCCAGCTCGTACGCCTATGCTTATATGTGTATGGCAGATTTTATGTATTTTTGCCCGAAAATAGGCGTTTTTGCTCGATAAAACAAAACAAAAACACATCAATGGGTCCTGTAAATTTTCAGAATCAATTCAATTTTTATGAAGATGTTCGATTTAATGATATTTAATGGGACGTAGTGCAGTTATTCAGAACGGCGTGGTGTGATGTAGTTAATTACAACGATGTTATATGATGTAGTTAATCTCAACGATGTAGTTAATCACAACGATGTGATGTGATGTAGTTAATCACAACGATTTAATGTGATGTAATTAAACTCAACGGTGTGTTGTAGTCCATTACATCGATGTGATGTGATGTAGTTAATCTCAACGATGTAGTTAATCACAACGATGTGATGTGATGTAGTTAATTACAACGATATGATGTGATCTCAACGGTGTGATGTAGTCCATTACAACGATGTGATGTAATTAATCACAACGACGTGATGTAATTAATCACAACGATGTGATGTGATGTAACAATGTATAGAGTAACTTAACTTTCTCAACTATGTGTTTTATTACACAGATTTAACCACATATTAGGACACAATTATATATTGTACTAAGAACATTAACAATAAATATATTTTTTTAAACACCAAGATTATTTTGTTTCTTTGTTGATCTTCGCAGTTTACAATTATTGTCATTTAAATTATATATTGTACTAAGAACATTAACAATAAATATATTTTTTTAAACACCAAGATTATTTTGTTTCTTTGTTGATCTTCGCAGTTTACAATTATTGTCATTTAAATTGTTATGCTTATTGAAATGATTAAATTGTTATGCTTATTGAAATGATTAAATTGTTATATTATTGAAATGATTAAATTGTTATATTATTGAAATGATTTTATAGCGATTATGAATCTTAATTCCTATAAATGAAATGATTAAGGGATCATGAATCTGATAATATATAGACGAAGTGAGAAAACATGTTATTTGATGCGAGGATATACAAAGTGATTATCGAAGCAAGACATTTACCAACTTTATAAATAATAAATAACACATGGGCGTTGAAAACCCTGAGAACGAGTTAGTTATTATGCGGTTAATAAACACCGTTACAAATCACTGAATGCTATGTCCTTTTGCTTATAGTCATATTTTTATATCTTACTGAATGAATGGTATTATATTTGCTCATAAATAACAACATTTTAATATGCCTAGTGGCCTATTTTAAATTATCTGTTTATCCTTTCCTAGGTCTTAGGAGTATTTGTCTTAATTTAAAGACTGGCAAAGGTGACAGTTAAAAGGAATGTTCACAAATCTTGGTTAAAAATCTCCCGGCAAGAAAACATTCATCCAATATGATAATATATACAATAAACATAGGTTTCTAAAATGAAAACGGTTAAAATCATTGTTGTTGTCACTGCTAAGTTTCCCCAGTTACATTTCACAAATAGCACGTGCTATAACCCTTTTTCCTCGATTTCGTCTGCTTTTCAAAATTAAAACCCCCAGAAATATACCTAGATTAATAAAAATCTCTACATGACACAAGTTTACGTCACCAGAGTTATGAATATAACTAGATCAAAATTTAATTTCAGCTAATAGACACTTCCAATAACTAAACTAATTACCAATTCCAAAATCTTTTAGCTTCAGAGCTTGTTATTAGTATATACATGTAAGATGTAGCTATAGATCAACATTTAATCTCAGCATATAGTATGCACTTTCAATAACTTAATTACTTGCTAATTCCAAAATCTATTGTTATATATTAATATAATTAGATCACAATCTAATGTCAGCTAAAATAGACACTTCCAATAACTTATTACCAACCAATTCCAAAATTACAATTTATTTTCAGCTAAATACTCAAGTTAATAAATTACTTACCTATATTGAAAGCTCTCACAATATGAACAGTTATTGGCTATGAAATAAAACTAAATGGTTTATATTGACCGGCCGTTAGTCGTGAAATAACCAGGGTTTACCTATATGAACAATAATATACCGCCAATACCCACACACCCAATTCTCTATTATGTTTGATGATGTGAAATGGGTGTAACCCGATAAACCTGAACTCGGTAAAGAAATGATGTACTCAATAGAAACCTTAACGTAGACCGAGATCATTTAATATATAGAAGCCCTGTTCTTAAAAAAATAACAAACACACCAGGCCCTCAATGTTCGTATTATAACTGGGTGTTGACAATCGTGCAATACATGTCAATTACGTTTAAATATTTCTTATAATCTAAATGCTATTTTATTGACGTTCTTCAAATTAACATATCATGTATTCATTTTTAATTTATTGGGTGTAATCACTGCGCTAATTTAGACAATAAATGGATTTTTCCATATTGATGTCGCACCCAAATTTCTACATTTTGATATCCCTAAATATTGTGTCATAGACATAATATTTTTTTGAAAGGTTTTATATTTAATTTTCAGTATAGTCGACATAAGACGTTCATGACAAAAAAGTACAGTTAGTTGACAAATTTGTCAAGGCTCCTCTAATATTGACATAATGTGGCACATAATGATATAGGCCTAGCTTGTTCCTCAGTCTTTTGTCAATAAAATTCTGTTTATAAACAAAAATATGAGCGCGCCGATAACTATAGTGTTCAATAAACAGGCCACCTGTGAAAAAATTGTTGACCATAGCAAACAATAGATCTATATACATTGTCCGTCAATTTTACAGCACCCCCCTGAGAACACTTCCCGTCCCCTTCGTTGCTCTGTCTCTTTAAGGTTACACCTTAAAGGAGGCAAGTCTCTAACTCGGTATCATCCACAGTCTTCGACACTGTAAACACGACTTATTGGTCAATTTAAATAAACATTGGTGTTGATCTTACCGTGAAAAATTGGGCTTCTGATGTGCAATATTTAAGACAAAATGAAAATTTTCAAATTGGCACACGAATCGCGTGCCCGAATGCTTTCGTGCGCCATTTGTAATGAAGCGACTCGATGAACGAGGCTATGCATATCCCACAGGTCAGGGGAGAATACTACCGGTGTAGACTGGAATAAACAGACGGAGGGAACCGGGAGAGAGAGTGTGGGGGGAGGGAGAGAGAGTGCGAGTGTGTAACGCTCACACAACACAGGTGGGAGGAAAGTGGGATATATGTTTTACTGGGATATCTGTGAACAATGTCTTTCTACCCCCCCCCCCCCCACACTAAGCTTTCAGGATCTTCATTTTCGGCCGAGACTCAACTATACGCCAGATCCATGCAGTTAACGGCATACTGAAATTCAAATATTTTCTAGCGCCAGAGTGATCCCCTCCCCCCCCCCCTTCATGTGTCCCAGTGATTCAGAGGCCTTAAAAAGTGCCCTGGTGGCCCCCACCTGATTTCATAAGTGAATAGCCTTCCAATTTTGACATTTTCCCCACCATCCATCTTCTTTAGAGACTGTTTCATTTATTATCATTTCAATTAAAAAATAATAAAAAAAAAACCATAGATGATGCATGCAAAGGGTGTTTATTTATTCGCAGTAGGCGACAGATCATTGTAAAAGAAATAGAAATCAGCAGTGTCAATATTTTGAATTGTCGTTGATACTTTATTATATTCAGCATCTGGATATTTTAAATAATTCTATTCGGAAACAAAGAAATATGTGTTAATGCTATTTTATTCCAGTTGGCACAAAGTCCGTGTTTTAAAATGTGATTAATGTATAGTCGAGGGCCCAAAATCTACGATGTCTTATGACATCCTATTAATCTTTGTAACACATTTAATTTTAGATAACACAAACCAATTGGGTATTTCCCAGACCTATTTGACACAAACAAAATAATTAATTGTCTTGTTTTCATTATTCCATAAAAAAAAATACGATCCAAAATGTCCCCAAATCCAAGATTTCTGCTAAAGGGGTGCTGCTTTGTGGTCCTGAAAGCTGGTGAATTACTTGGTAAAGAGTAGTGTATATCTGCAGAAGTGAGATGTCTGATGACAAATAATCCTTGTTTGTCAGATTACAACGGGATGTTAGTCGTATTTGGTAATTTTGATATAAGAAGACGATGATACTGAGGTGTAGCTTAAACCGAGGCCGCCTTTTTGCCATCCCACATCGAAGCTTGAAGACTCGTGCTTATCACATTTCTCAGCCACAGTTTTCTTTTCCGACTCATCTTTACTGATTGCTGCTACAGCCTTTGAAAAATCTTCAGACATCTTGATTACAAAATCTGACGGAAAAAAAAAGTAATTCAAGTCAGGGCACCCCCAGAAAAATAAGGTGTCACGAGAAATGCCCCCCCCCCCCCAAAAAAAAAAAAGAAAAATTTTTTTTACAATCTTTCAATTATGAAATAATACACTTGATTATGATCACACAGTGATGCTCTTAAGGCACTGATCAGTCGGTCAAGTTTAAGGGCGCCCACACGCCAATGGGCTCGTTTGCCCTGATCCAAACCTTCTTATATCACTTACGTGGAGGCTATGGCGCCCCAACACTCTGCTGCACCCCCACTTTTAAAATCCTACATACGGCCCTGATTCAAGTGAGGATAGCAGCTGGTTGATCCAGATTGTAATTCCTACATCAATGAATTAAGTCGAAAAACACTTACTACGTCAAATTCGAGAATTGAAAATGCTTATTTAATCTTTGTGTGTATATGAAAGATGGAAACGGGTTAAAACCGCATAACAAAATAGTACATCAATTTTTCAATATGGCTGCCATTTAGGGAGAAGACCACAATGTTGAGTAGACGACCTTACCCCTTGTCATGTACAAGCGGAGAATCGGAACAACGCCATTTGATTCAATAAAAGACTTTTTGATCTAATGTGCAACACCCAACAACCTAAAATGTGAGGAAACCCATTAGGTTAAACATCGACTATTAATTGAGTGGCGATACCATCAAATTATTTTTTTACCATCTTGATAAATTCCATATTGCAAGAGTCTACCCCAGAAAACAACACTAAAACAACCCACATAATGATGTTAAATATCCAGATATAATGTTATTAATTTGAACCTACCTGTGATATGATATTGATGTGGAGGAACCAAAAACTGAAAGTGAGAAGAATAGGTAATCAATTATATCCCGCCTAACAACCACGTAAATATATACGATTACGCGGAAAAGTGAAATGCCCGATTTACAACGAAACGACCTTTCTCGAAGAATTTATAATAGCCACCATCGAGTGATCGAGTGTAAAGATGTCATGACAATCATATCTCAAAGTAATCATATTAAAGGCACACCAAACCATTTTTTAAAAATGTAATTATAGGCTAGCATGTGTAAAAATAACAGAATATTTATCTTATGTAACTAAGGAACCAATGTTAACTTTAAATGGACATGATTTAGCTTAACTTTTGATAAATAAGAGTATTTGATAAATAAATAAGAGTATTTGATAAATAAGAGTATTTGATAAATATAAGAATAATTTAGAGGCAAAACAGTGTTAATTGTGTATATTATTATTATTTTTATCGCACAACTTCCACGATTAAGTGCGCACATGCGCTTTACAAAACAGGACACAAAAATAAAATATACATATAAAATAAACCAAGATACAAAAAAGACAAACATATAATCATTGCAATCAACTTAAAATCATACAAATTTCATTAATGTATAAACTATCATTACTATGCATAATTTAAATAATTATTAACAAGGAAAAGCCTCTAAGTATAAGTGCGGATTTTCAATTTTTTCTTAAAAAATGACAACTATAAACCCAGTTCTAATATTTTGAGGCAGTTTGTTCCAGAGAAAAGGGGCTTGAACAAAACTTGAACGATGACCAAATGGATATAAGTTTCCAGAACCTTTTACTAATTCATATGTTTGAGATTTCTTTTTGGAACATAAACTTCCAGGAGCTTTGGGAAATATATGATCTTAAACCACATTTAACCTTTATTCTGATAATCTGTAGGCTTTAGTAGGCTATGATAATTACCAGACATAGACCTTATTCACACAAAATAAATTCTCTAGACAACCAGGTGGATGAGATTTAACGTTTAAATGGATAATCGAGACTGTTTATTATCGTTGCAATGGTACTTGACAATCGAGATTATTTAGATTAAATTTTGCTAAAAATTCATAACTTGAGCCAGATTCAAGTAATTTGACTGAATTTTCAAATATGATATTAATTTTGTATTATCTATGTATAAATTATTATAGCAAGAACGACCGCCTCTTTATCTAATTCTTAGTATCTCCATGTTAAACGCACGTTGTTTTTTTTATACAACTAATTGGTTATTCCCGGAGAATTTATATAGGCCTACTGATAATTATATAGGCCCACGTGACATTTTATATAATAGATATTTCAAGGCACAGATAGAGAAAAGAGGTTTCAATGTCAACTCGACATATAATGTTTCGCAATAATGCTTATAAATCACATTACATAGTTTGTCGAAAATATTGATTTATAATATATATCTTGGTTAGAGCAATTGTCTAAATTTAATACTTGTCTTAACGCTAAAATTCCAATGAAGATGCATACTGTAAGATTTGCATAACGAGCTAGCCGTTCTCGCTATACTAGTAATAGTTTAAAAAAAGATAATGTAAAAGGAATATATTGAAAATTTCAGTCAAATTACTTCATTGTGAGCGAAATTATGACTGTTTGAAGAATAGCGTCGTGTTGATTTTCATTTCAATGCTATCGTTGTTACGATAATAAACAAAGTCTCAATTACCCATTTTCAAATTCAATTATTAAATGGCGATCGTGTTTCAATCCGTCCAAAACCACAGCCACCCGATGAACTAGAGCGATGATTATGGGCTTGTCATGTGAATAAATGTCTAATTAATAATTTATATAGCATATTATTCAGTCCAAAATAAAGACCTGCAATAGGCAGATTTAGGTCTGTAAAGATACATTCCCGCGTACAAAATTGGTGATTTGATGATATATTTGGACTAAAAACATATTCAGACTAATAAATTCATCAAAATTTTGCTTCAAATCCTTCTTACAAACATTGTATTCGCGAGGAAATACCCCAAGCTATAAAAAAATCTATTAAAATGTGTTTGTCATGTGACTTGTCTGACGAGGTACCTAGCAACGAGTGCGAAGCCGGGGGGAATTTAATGCATGCATATACAAGGCGATGTTGTCTTTAATCGCTGTCCATTTACCATAAATATCGAAGCCTAATTAAATATTCGGATTATCCACTTTTATCTCAGAAACTGTTGTAAGATTAAGCCTCTCACTTTTTTTCCTAGACCGTTCACCATCAGGTTTATTGACATATAAATCCACCGCCCCCTAACGCTGAGAGATCTTCGCGTGCAACCTTTGACGTCACTTGAGCAGACATCCCTAATCGTCAGGTTGCCGGTTAGGAAAAATCCTTACATTTTTGTCATGTACACGATTCATGGGTGTTATTCAGTAAATCCAGTATTTTTCTTGCACGACTGGATGTGCCTACTTTCCATATACAAAACTACCATACTATTAATGAAAATAACCACCCGGTAAATGCTTTTGTGGGAAAGTATCTTTAACAGTGTCTCATTTTAAATGGTAGATCGACTTTTCGGTCATTTAGGTACTAATGTGGGCTATAAGAGGGTTAGGCTTAGAAACTTCTATGGCCAAAAGGTCGTATGCTCTTTAAAACATAATTATTATTAAAATCCTGGTCAATGGTAATGAGTCTCTATGGGGAATACCAACCCTAATCCTTTTTAGAAGACTCAACTTGGGTTCAGTTTATCTTTTACCCTTTTAAAAAGGTGAGGGTCAGGGTTATGGTTAGAGTTGGTATTCCGCAATATACTAATTAATATCCGGCGACCATGTTGGACTCAACATGGATCTAATTTACCATTGACCTTATTAAAATATACCAACATACACTGAACACTGGCAATTTTCATAGATGAACTAAATACAGGGGACATTAGTATCAAATATGAATATTATTTATCACCCAATAATACATTCTACAGTAGATATCGCTTGTGTGATATATTTCATAATCTACTGCGATGTCTACTTAGGAGATATTGCTTTACATGAATTTGATTGGTCAAATTTATTTTCGGGCAATGAAAAATTCGACGACCTTTTTTTTCTATTAACGTTTAGAGAAAAAATATAACTAACTTATTTCTATGAGATCCATTTATTTTCGGGCAATGAAAAATTCGACGACCTTTTTTTCTATTAACGTTTAGAGAAAAAATATAACTAACTTATTTCTATGAGATCCACACTGCCCGAAAAGTATTTTCTCGTCTTTTTCTTGTCCACTGCATGCCGGAAAATATGCCCGAAGCTCTCTTATGATAGGTATGCCCGAAAAAACGGTATTGCCCGAAAATAGGTATTGCCCGAAAAACGGGCATCGGGCCGGAAAACGGCAGAGGAAACGAACCAAATGAAAAACTGCTAGGAAACAGCCAGTTGCCAGGGTGGATTCGCCCGTTTTCGGTGGTGCGGCAGTGACCAAAACACTATATCAGCTGATATAGTGACCTTGCCCTTCGTTGTTCTTAGTATATTATCTTAAGATGTTTACACTTATCTGTGTACATCAAGCAGAGGTCTATGCCTGTACACTGTACATGTCATTCTCTCAAACCATCCACGCACTGTGGCGGTGTATAGTAGAGTATAATCCATACAGTCACAATATTATACATTGCAGAAGTAGAGGTACCTGTATCGCATTTAAAACATTTGATTCAGTACCGGAATTTAAATTGTTTTAAAAAATTAAAATTACTAGCTATACGGATGAGACGATATTTCTCAGTGTGTTCATTGATTTAAAACTAGTACACGTACGGTGAATGTTGCTATTAGAGACTTTTGGCAAGCGTAAATTCCTGGTCCGTATCACGTATTCGTATGGGTTTTGTGTGTGACGTCATCAATGTGTGTGTATTTCGCATACGTGATACGGCACACGGATACGGCAGCGCGTATCGAACAACTTTCATACGGAAAAGGTCCGTATCGCATTTTCATCTTTTTAGCGTCTTTTGTGCTACTTTTAGACGCTGAAATGTTATATCATAGCGTTTTTATGAATATATGTGTATTCTAGAACACGAAGGTGTATGTTTGATGTGATTTTAACAAAGATAAGGACTGGAATTTAATCATTATTTTTTGATGGTTTTTTTTCTCGGAATTTTCATACTTTTCCTGTCTGTCTGCATGCTGGTTGATCTACGTGCTAAATTTAGGGGGCTGGACCTTGCAAATCTGTAAATGATTTTATTCTATGGTAAAGGGTATAAACTTTCTGAAATGATACATTAGTGAAACCAAAATTATTTAAATTTTTTAAGCGCTCAGCGACGGTCGAGCGACTTCGCTCCCTCTTGGACATTTTAGGCTAGATACTCTGTCATCATGCTGTAATAGAACTAAGCTCGCAGCTCAGCGACGCATTCGTACGCGACGCGAAAATCGGCCAAAACTCTAAAACTACATTGACGCAACGTATCACGTATACAATACGGATACGTGATACGGATGGGAAAAATTCCGCTTGCCAAAAGTCTCTATTGTTTGCTTTCATGTGCATCTCGGGCAATTTTTTTTCTGCACACGGGCCGATATTTTTTGCGTTTGGGAGCATTGTGTGAAACAATAGTTCATAGTATTGCATAATATTATACATACAAAACCACCTAGTAATAAAATATTTGGGAAAAAAAAGTGATGCGTCGCGTAAATTTTTAATTTCCGTCCTAGTCCGGACTTTTTTCCGTATGCAAATGAGCTTCGTCGTAGATCCCATATAAGGTATATGTTCTAATATGCTAAGTTCTATTATGCATTTGCCTATAATGCAAAATGCAGAATGGGGAAGTACAATGTGCAAAATAACTATTATACCGTATTTTGTATTATTAAAAAGTGTATTCTGTATTTCAACACCGTGACAATGGTATTGTGGAGCAATGGAAAATGCAAATTGTAAAACTAAAATACGTATTTTGAACTGCTGACAAATGCATTTTGCACCGTAAACAATGAAATAAAAAATTGGCACCGTTATACTTCCATAAATTTCTTGTTACCAGATATTAGCGATTTAGCTCCTTTAATGTATAGTTTCACTACCATGTACTTCAAAACATTGGTTCAGTTCGATCGTAAACATTTTCTGCTTAGAATGTTTTTAGGTTAATCTTTATAACACCATTTTAGATAGTTGCAGACAATTTCAAGAAAATTCAGTTTGGGAATTTATTCAATCTAATCTATTTGGATAATATATTCACAGAAATGTATTTGCAGTATCGGCAGGGGCGGATTGGGCCATCGGGCGGTCGGGCGATCGCCCGAAGGGACGGTCGGACAAAAAATGAAAAACAAATAATTTTATCCAATTCGTCTAAAAACCTTTTTCTGCTGAACATTATATGGGGGGGGGGGGATATTGGACCGGCCATGGAGCGATGATGATCATGTTGTATGTGGCTAGTGGCTAACGGGCCGCCACGCCATCACTGGAGTCAGGAATGGGCTGGTATAATAGACTTCATGAATTTCACTTTCGTCACTCTGTACCAATGTGTCTCGTGGCCTTCCATCACGGGAGGAACCAACTAGCGCTCCCAGCAACAAAAATGGGACATTTTTCAATGAAAATATTCCTACTTATTCAATATTTCTAACTGGTTAATCAAATGGTCAAAATTTTCTCAACTAATCCCATTTTTTAACCAGTTAAATTATCTTGACTCTTGACGATACAATGATAATACGTTATTTAATAATATGACGATATGATAATTTCACAGGTTGGTGGTTGTAGATTACTTGCAGGTCGGGGATTTGGCCTAAATTAATCGATGTATGAGATATATTATTTGACAGAGATTATAATCAGATATGCCACCAAATCGCATATTTGGGGTTCATTTTTCAAAATTTTCCAGGGGGAGAGCCCCCGGACCCCCCCGTCCGGGCCGTTCCGACACGGGAGCCCGGGCCGGTTCCCGGCCCCAATCCGACCCTGAGTATCGGCTTAATGTGTGCATTTGACGGGCTAGATCTATTTGTTCACACTGATCCGCAGTGAATATTCGCTTGGCCGCTACAATCACTGATAAGGATGACATTGATGCGACTTAATGACTACAAAATATTAACTTTTTTCTTTCGACAAATTAAATTCTGAAACATTTTTTTTTAGTATTAGAAAAATAAATAAAGGTGTTTGAAGTATATCTTGATAAAAAATATTCCATATTTAGCGTAAATAGGTACAGAAAATAGTACGCGGAGGCGTAAAATGGGTAAAACGATATAATTCTGACCGTACCAGTTCATATTACTACGTTCGATGTAAACAACGCACGTGTGACCATCAATTTGACGTTTTTTTCTGTTTGTTTACTCTGAATTCTTTCAGAAGTACATTTTTTACCGTCTAATCTGATTGACCTGCTCGTGTTTGTTTTAAAACAACAAAAACAAGCCACAGAAGTAATCTTTTTTGGCGTTATCGATGCCTTCTTGCTTTGTTGGTAAACATTGTAATGTGACGTCACCCTTAGAACTACAGCGGTCTGACCTTTTAAAGGTCAGTCATCTTGGACAGAGATAAAAGACGGATGTCGCATTAGGTCAGTAAAACAGATTGCTATTTGTTAAGGCCAACTCAATTTTCGTTAAGGTGACTGAGATGTAAATAAGGTTAGGGAATGTGATTGTTGGCGAGATTGTAGATTAGGGTTAGGATTGGCGCTAGCCCTGTATACATCTTGTGACCATTGTCCAAACTTGAAGTTGGCCTTAATCAATTATATACACCTGACCGCATTTGACGGGGCTTCTATTAAGACGCCGTATGGACGTGCCTCTCATATTTTTAAAATGTTTTACTTTTGTTCCTGAGTCCTGATTTGTACGATCAATCTGGTGAGACGATTATCTCAAAATATTGTTTGATTAATCTAATACCTAGTGTTAGAATTATATTGATTTATATTATATTATATTGATTATATATAATCAATATAATATGCTATATATTGATTATACTATATTGATTATATTATATTGATTTCGGGCAATTTTCTCTTATGCCCACTGAATTACTTTGAGCTCCTACGCCTATGGAAGGAACTACTTTTTTTTATTTTCAAAGAACTTTTTTTTTTATTAAAAATGAACTATTGTTATTCAATTGACCTTGATGGAAACACCAGGTCAATATAAAGGACTTTGCAATGGTTGAATTGCTGTCAAAAAATGATGTATCACTACGCCGTAATGTTCAGTAAAAGTGAAATCTACAGCAAAGAATTATATTTATCTATTTGTGCATGTAAGAAGGGATTGGGTGATAAATAAAATCTCCTACTCGTCTTTTTTGATATAAAAAAATATCAACACTCGTTGATAAAGTAAAAAAAAACTCGGCAGAGCCTCGTTTTTGGTTACTTTATCAACTTGTGTTGATATTTTTGATATCAAAAAAGACTGGTAGGAGATTCTCTATTTATTGGAAAAACAAACAAGAGATATGTAAAAATTATCTGGGATGAACCTAACTTGATATATATATTACCTCTTAAATCAATGTGCAATGTATCATTCGTCAAAATAAACGAAATTTATAAATATTTTACCATTAATATCTAAATTTGTTGAAGAGGGTGGTGTTAGTGCCCTTTTACTTAATCCTGTGTCCTGTCTTTTATCAAGATCAACCAGTTACATGTACAATATATTAAATATAAGACCTATACATATTCGGTGCCATCTGTCACGCCTATTAAAAGACATTTTTGATTTTGAAAACAAAACATTTTGATAACAGTATATTTCTTACAAATTATCACCCAACTTTCTACTACAGTACTTTTTAAATCCTACCCATTCAGTTCATAATAAATGGAAACTAATCACATCTCCAACACACGGACGTCAGCAAGGCTCTATCTTTGTTCCACTCATTTTCTACCTTTTCATCAATGATTTTCCGTTTCATCTGGATTCAACCTGTGACCTTATTGCTGATGATACCACCGCTTACAGCTCAGTATTTCGACTCATTCATATGTGATTTGATTCTAATACGGGTACTGGGTGAACAAAAACCTCAGATCAACCACTTTTTAGCTTCAATGCATGGTGCCATAGTTGTCATTCTTTTCGTGATAAAGACAAGAGAAACCCACCGTCATCGAAACGTCGCCAGAAACTTGTATTCCATATAATTGTTTGCTATCATACATGTATTTTTGATAGAATATATTATGAAAAGTACTCCGGGTTATTTTCTGACCTTTTACAAGAAAAAAGATTTCGCTGGCTCAACAACAAGGAGGTCGTGGCTTCGATCCCGAAGTTGGCAGAGAAAGATCCTCGAAATTTTCCACGATGCATAAAGGTGGGTCTGGTGCGGAAAGATGGGAAGAAAAACAAGCTCCAGTATACACGTTCAAGTGCACATAAAAGAATTCTTGACAGGTGGGAACGTCACCGTCTGCCCCCCCCCCCCCCCAACTCAACTAGCACACTGCTTGGTACGCGCTTGTCTTCAATTATCCGGATGGGGCCGAACAGTAGGAGGTTAAGCCTTATTCCATTTTATTTCTCTTAACACCACAAGGTGTATAGATGGGCGTTGAGTACGTGTGAATTTGGGGGGGGGGGGGGCGATCAAACATTCAAATTTCGTGAATACAATTAAACTGAGTTTTCGGTATCAAGTAAACTCTAATATATGTAACAAAATAGGTTTATTATTTTACAAGTATTATATTACAGAAAAAGAAAAGGATTCCATACATGAATGATTGCTGGAATAACAAGTGGTTGCCATGCAAGATACGCCCACATTTTGCAAGCGATGGATAGAGAACAAGCTGGAAAAACGTGATTTTTCGTACAATCAGGGGCCATAATTCAGGAGGTTATGGTCTGAAATGCGCTAATATCGAAAAGAACTGGTATCTTCGGGATATAAACATATATTTTAAGTTTCATCAAAATTAGACAGAAATTGTGACCACTAGAGGGCCATTTCATCGGATAGTTTCGTTTCGATTTTTCCCGAAATTTTAACTCAACCGTCGTTATGGTGTAACGGTGATACATTTAAACGGTTTTAAAATCGGACAAAAACTGTAACCTCTAGAGGGTCCACAAACTAAAATCGCGATTCTTTCGTACAATCAGGGGCCATAATCCCGAAAGTTAGGGTCCGATATGCGTGAATATCCAAAAGAACAGAGATTTTTGGGAAATAAACCCATGTTTTCAGTTTCATCACAATCGGATCAAAATTGCGGCATCTAGAGTGTCCACAAGCTAAAACTGTTATTTTTCGTACAGTCAGGGGTCATAATCCATGAAATTACGGTCCGACACATGCCAATATCGATGGGAGTCGAGATCCGTTGACGATAAACCTATATTTCACTTTTCTTCAAAATCGGATAAACAATGTGACCTGTAGCGTGTCCACAAACAAATTGTGGACAGACGTCCCCACGGGCCGACGTACGGCCGTCCGGACAGACAGGTTCGACGACAATATACGTCAACGTGAAAATGTGGGCGTATACAAATTATTTTCTCATTTGGCAAAACTAATAACTTACAATAAATGACGAATCACTGGTGTAAGAAATATGTTTAAACATGATTTTATGACCTCTCATTTTGAACAACTAGGCGATATTGTCTACATCAACAGCTTTCTCGGGTTCAGCAAATTCCGACCGGGTAGTTTCGTTTTTTCAGAAACGCAACAGTCTTCATCAGATTTGTGTTATGGGTACACTATTTTATAGGTCCTAGTAAGACAATTAAACAAACGTGTTGTATACCTTCCATCACTTTTTCTTAAACAATTTAAGTACATGGAGCTAAACGTTTTTAATACATTCATTGTTCATAATCATGTTAATTTTAATACATATGTAATGAGATCAAATGATATGATCAAAAACATGAAATATTATTTACAATTGATGAATGAGAATAAACATAAATATGAACTGAGATGCAATGAAAACGCACCACTGTAACTGGGGTGTTGGCGAGACAAAATTCAGTTGAATTGTGATTTTTGGCATGATTGTAGGCTGAGCATTTACAGACAAATAAAATCAGCACCAACTTCCTTTATAGTGAAACGGGGGTACTGGGGGTATACATCAAAGTCTGTAACAGCTTTGTGTTAGAATGTGTACAACGTAAGTCGGTCTGGCACAAATTTCGACAAAGCTTAGTCCGCAATGAAGTGTCAACACTGTGAACACATGGACGTGGACCCCTCACAACAACAGCAGTAGAGCTAATATACATGTTTTGTCGAGGCGCAAAATGTTGTCGTCCAGGCATTGACAGGTCTCACGTGGACCATATCTTCTGTTCGACCAATCTCATGGTATAGTGTCATTAGTGTGCAACGTGCCCCGCGCCGGCTAGCTACGGGCCTGATGTGTTTCACAAACTGTAGGAGTTGTACTGACCCTAAATAAGAAACTGCATCTCTACCCAGTATATCTCAACGTTTTTAGCTACGTTCTCGTTCTCGTTGTTGCTATACTGAGCCTAGCGTCTGAAAATGCACACACATTATACCCTACATCTGCACCATTCAAAAATGGAATCTCTTAAACGAGATTTACCATCATCCATTTATCAATAATGTTTCGTTTTCATTGCCTCTCGGTATACTATTTTTAAAAATACGAACACAATACGAATCTGAAATAAAAGATTATTCTATCATAAAATGACTTGACCTCTTTAATTTGGGTCAAAAATAAAACTGGGTGTTCAATTATTGATTTGTTTGGATGGATGACAATTTGTCTTGGTTGAAAATTTTATATCTAAATTGAAGCCAATGATTAGACATAAGCAATTTTGTTTTCAACTGTCAACAACACAGTAAGTTGAAATTGAAACTTGAAATAATAAACCAAGCGACATTTGTTTAATCTTTTGAAATAACACATGAAATTAACACATTTCCATACTTTATTTTTACCCAGATCAAAGAGGTTTTGCTCTTTTAACATAAACAAGCATGCATGTATTATGATGTAAAGTGGGAAAATTAAACATACATTATGCAAGAGCTAAATCTGTCTATTGCAGGTCTTTCTTTAGGCCTGAAATGTTATGTAAGTTATTAATTAGACATTAATTAACTTATTCAGACCATAAACAACTCTCGATGTCATCGCTAGCCTGTGATATTTACTGGACTAGGACCCGATTTGCTGCTCAGCTTTCATTCATTCATGATTAAATCATGAAATGGACAATCAAGACTATTGTTTTTATCGTCATGACTTTAGTAATGGTGATCTTTAAGAGACAGATAGACCAAAGTAAACTTCGGTATTATTTTCAAGAAAGATACAGTGAGCTAAATCTGTCCATTGCAGGTTTTTCTTTTAGCCTCAAATTATATAAATTAATGTATTAGTCCATAATCTAGATGTTCGGAAGGTCGTGATTTTTAATGGATTGAAACACAGCGGCCATCACTTAATAAGTTAATTTAAAAATGGATAATTGAGACTTTGTTTAGTATTGTAATAATGGTAGCAATGAAAATCGAGAATAGCTATTCATATCAAAACTTCAAACACTAATAAAATAGTCAACTTAGTCAAAATGAAATAATTGGACTGAAATTTTCAAAATATTCCTTTATCTATTTTTTAAACTTTCATAGCAAGAACGCTGCAAGGACAACCAGCTCTTTATCTAAATCCCACATAATGCATCTTTACGCTAGAAATTTTACGAAATAGACAATACAAACCGAACGAAAAAAATAATAATAAACAAATTTTTCTGACTGATCAACCCTATATTTTTGGGGCCAAGTAACTGTAAACACAGCAAGTTTATTTTCTTGGCCTTACAGAAGAAAATATCCTAATTTTAAGATTGATTTTCAACATTATATTATAGAATGTTAACATCTTTCAGCCTACTCAGGTTTGTGATGTTCTTGCCCTTCTTGAGCCACTGTTTTTCTTTAATATACAAAATACCAGATACAAAATAAACAGCATTAAATTTCTTTATAAAGTTATTCTATAACAAACAGACAAAAAAACAAACAAATTAACTTTTATATATTAACATGTAGATTAGATCTTATTTTCAACTAATTAAACTTCATCTTCATCTACACTCAGATTTCATATAAGCCATTCTGACAGGTATATTAAATCAATTATTGCCTAAGATATAGCTCCTCTTCATTGGCCAGATGAGAGGTTAGGCCAAGTTAATTTGAACACAAATTCTTGAAGATTTGTCAGACTGTAATTTTACATCATAAAATTATACGAAATAAGAGTCTGGTTTTAATTGGTTAATAACATACATATATATACATACAATACATTTCTTCTATTGTTAATTTAGAGTGAATTTTATTTACACTTATGAGCAATATTCATTAAATGAAATATTACAACAATATGATTTAAGGGCGTTGAGTACTCTAAAATGTACATTTTAAAGCTAGCGCTATAAGTTTTGTTCATAAGATATGACATTTTTTGTTAATTGGAGTGATCAATTACATATAATAACCCCCCAAAATACCAATTTTATTTACCAACTATGTTCCAAACTTGACCCAAAGCATGATAATAAAGGGTCAGACAGTTATATTATGTGTACCCTGGGTTATTTTACACATGGAACAAGCTTGCAAAGTCTTAATAAGATTGGTGTTGAAACGTTAGTGCATATTTTAGACTGCTCAATGCCCTAAAGTTAAGGCAACAAATTAACCTCTTGTCTTGAGCAAATGGAACATACATTCAATTTATATTACAAATATTGTAGTTATAAAATACTAGTCATATAAGCACATTTCATGTATTGCAAACCCCTACTAGTAATATATGTTATGTTTTATATTTTGACACAAGCCCTTTTCAAATGAAAAAGCAGCCATTGTACATGGAACATTGATATTCCTATAAAGCAGAAGTAATATACCTTGTATTATTAATAATGCATTCTAAACAACATTCAAGACAGTTTTGGTATCATAGATAAAAATTATGGCAGTTGTTTTAGTATCATTGATACCATGTTCCTGAAGCAACGACTGAATCTGGACGTTGCTAGATTACTTCACAATGCCCGAACTTATAGCTACGTTATCTACAGACACATGAACAGTGGCGTCAAATCAGAGGTTGTGACATAGCGACCTCCACGGCAACCTTGACATTGAACGAACCTTGAACTTTGCAACTTGATTATCACAGGTTGACATTTTAGCTTGAAAGTGCGAGACTTGGTATTCGCGACGATCAAGGAATATGATAGGCTCACAATCTGGGCTTGTACCCAATTGAAATTATTGCCGAAATATGCAGGGTATTACATGAAGGCCTTGATAAGATGTACGTAGTTAAAGCGAGATCAAGCCTTCTATTGAACATGCATTGATACAAGTTGTGGTCGTTGTTTTGGTGTCATAAATACAAGTTGTGGTGGTTGTTTGGCATAAGACTACGTATACTAGTCTTTCCACATGCCAATTTTTGTATGTCGGTGTGTGTGTGTGTGTGTGTGTGTTACCATTTTTTGATTATGGTACATACATGTATCAGAAGAGCGAGGCTAATACAAAATTTATAATGAACACCACAATCAGCTGGTCAAAACATACATTTGGACAATGCATTAAACTCACATTAGATGAACAAACCCTCTTTCGAGTGAAGATATAAATAAAAACACATTGATTAAATACTATTCTGAGAGATAAAAACTGTCCTATAACATACACTAGTTTGTCTCCAGATTTGTGTAGCACTATTATAGCATAAACTAACATTTCAGCATCTATAGTTCCTATTTTCTAGGGACTTAAACAGAAACAGTCAAAAATAGTCTCTTGATAAACCAGCAGGAAAACTTTTGAAATGGGACGCATTTTTAGAAATAGTCACATACAGCTGAGGGATAAGTAAGATTCACTATATGGCTGCATATTTATCACATGTCAATCCATGTTGTTGTTCTTAGTGTTTAACATCCCCTTCCACCGAAGGTGATATCGCAGACAGGTCTTACTTTTTTATTTATTATCTAACGCACGCGCAGGGGTCTTTCCTGTGGGAGTACCCAGAGTAAACCCATGAGGTTGAGAAGGCGCCCCTATCTCCAAGCCACATGCGCTCACACCAGAGATCGAAACCACAGCCGCAAGCCAGAGGTTACCAGCCAGCTAGAGGTCGAAGCGTGAAATTCTAGACCACTAGGCCATCCCAACCCCCCATGTCAATCCAGGTTTTTTTTTAAGGTTTTATATTAAAATTATTATGGTAGTATGGTACACACATCCAATAAGCACTATATATATGTAGATTTATACTGTCTGGTGGGTGTTTCAAAAACTCCCTGTTTCTTAATATATCACAAATATCACATCAACAAAAATAAATCAATTTAGGTATCCCTAATTAAATCTATTATAACAGAGATATCTCCATCATTTGTCAAAAGAGTAACAAGTTCTCCAACCGAGACATTTTCACTTTTTTGTTTCCAGGCTGTGAGCATTTTATAAACAATTTCACGAAGACCATTATCGCTGTCATTAATATATTCAAGATCTTCGTCAGATAATCCAAGTTTCCGGCCTACAGAATAAAAGATTCTTATGTCATACGAGCAGCCCATAAGGGTTATCATATTTTTATTCTTTTATTGGTAATAGATACATTAACAAAACACTAAAAACTGATAAAGGGGAAATAATCCACCATATTACCCATATCAGAAATAACAAGCCAACAGTGAGGTTGATGTCTCCCGCCGAAACCCCAAAATAAATAGATGACATATTAATTAATAGCACATTTATTTTTTTCAAAAGTATCGAGTAATCAAACTATACACTAAGTTTCATCACACTCTATCAAATAGAATCAAGATTATCTTGTCCCAAAGCATCGACCAATGAAATTGATTAGCTTTGCTTAGCTTCAGCTTGAAATGTTAATCATTGAACTCAGTCAAGACATTCACCTAATGAACATCTACATCAAGTTTAAACATTCTACCTCAATTAAAAGCAGAGTTGTTATGTTCCAAAGTCTTGACCAATCAAATTGCTTATCGCTCCTTAGCCTAAGCAGAAAATTCTCACCATCGAACTTAGTCAAGGTAATGATATAATGAATCTATATTCAGGGTTTCATCACTCTCACTTCATTATAACCAAAGTTAACGTGCCCCAAAGCATCAAACAATCAGATTGCTTATGTCCATCAAGACATTGACCTAATAAACACCTACACCAAGTTTGAACATTCTAGCTCAATTAGAAAGAGAGTTATTGTATCCCAAAAAGTGAGACGGACAGACAGACGAACGGACATACGGAGACAGACAGACAAACCCATTTTAATATTGCCCTGCTTTCTTCGAAAGGCGAGGAAGAATTATAGTTTACACTATGTATAAATTTTAAATTGAATTGGATGATAACTTTAGCCTCGAGATTGTCCACAAGATTTTTCTAAGTGATCAAGGACAATAACTCTGACAGTTTTAATTGGAAAATCGATAGGATCTTGTGTCTTATGAACATAAACACTGTGCTTAATTCATACAATCACTTGAGCATTTAGAGCATCCACAAGATATTTCTAAGGACCATAACTCTAAAAGTTATCATCAGAAATCATTAAAACTCATTAGGCTTTTGCATCTCATGAACATAAACCCAAGTACAAATTTCACTCTGTAGTCTCTAGAGTTTCATTAAGCAATTGTGGCCAACAGATGGACAGGCTGTGGGGTGGATGTTGAAAATATAACCAAATTCCAATGTGGCCATTTAAAAACAAAAACTTTGATCAGACATTGGCTGTTAAATATGTGGAAAATATGTGGAAAATTACAGAAACACACACTATATGTAATAATTAAAATTTTAATTTGCAGGGGGAGGGGGGATCCTATTTAAAGCGATCAGTATGCCTCCCTAAAACGTTTAATTTGTTTATAACAGAACTGAAAGCAAGCAGTATTTGCTGTAAACAGGTTGTTCTACCTGGCTACTCATATTCTACTTTTTTGGATAGGCCTACAGTTGTGTCCAGTTTCTTGGTGTCTTTTATAATAAGCTACCAAAAAGTGAGCAATATCAAATGGCTTGTCAGTTACACAATACTAACATAAAGCAAAAAACTAAATATGCTGAATATATAAGTAAGTAAATGTATGAAAAAAACAAACAATAATTTGTACAAACCATAATGTCTCCATCTTTTTCCAATTTTTTTACATAATGTTAACATATGTTCTTGGGTTACCTCTGTACGGCATACTGGTGGGTTCATGAAAATAAAAATTAACAGATACGTGCAATTACCATGGATTAAATACAATGCTAAATATGAATATGGCGCTGGCTCACTAACCAGGAAGTTCTGTTTGATACCAGTGTTGGCAGAGAAAGTTCCCCCTAAAAGGTGCTCTCAAGCACAAATGATGAAATGAAATGAAATGGGGTTTAACGCCCTACTGTTCTACTCAGAACTAGGGTTTAACATGCTACTGTTCTGCTCCGGACGGGCATATGCCATATGCCATGTGCTATGAGGGAAATTTTGCTCAGACAGCGGCATTACAGCCTACTCTTATATCGAAATCCAACTGTCAAGGGATCTTTTATGTGCACACCAATGTGTACATGGGACCTCAGTTTTTCATCCCATCCAAATGACTAGACAGCTGTCCTTGTAAGGCCCTCCGTCCTACAACAATGACAAGGGGGAACCACGTCGGAAAATCTGGATAAACTTTCTTTGCCAATGCATGGATCGAATATCCAACCTTCAGGCCAGCGAGCCAGCGCCTTACCCACTTAGCCACCGTGATCCCCTGCACAAATGATGAAATGTTGTGCTATATGTGTACAAACCAAAGATTGTTTTCTATATAAATTGTGTTGTGATTTTTAAGAAATTTCTAATTAGCAAAATGCACAAGCATTATAATAGATTGATGTGTATACTAAGTTTCCTAATGGTATCTTGAATGGTTTATCAGATATAGGCCTACTCCCAAAACAAAAATCGTGAAAGAAAGATTTAAGATAGATGGAGAGCCGTGGTGGATTGGTGAGTAAGACGTTGGCTCGCTAAGCTTGAAGTCCTGTCTTCGATCCCTGTGGTTGCCGAAAAAGTTCATCAGGATTCTTCGACATGGCCCCCCTTTGTCAGTTGTGCAGATAAAACTGAGAGACCAATAGCATAGGCTTCGAGATCTTTACGAAGACATAACGAAAATATGCACAGATAGATAAAGAAGCGTTGGCGTTAGTGTGGGGTGTAAAACATTTCCATTTATATTTATTTGCCAGACATTTGTTCCTTGGTACTGATCATCAACCATTGACAGTAATATTTAACCCAAAAACAGAAATTCCTGCAATGACAGCTGCTAGACTTCAACATTATGCTTTATTTTTAACTGGATTCAGCTATGATATTAAATACAGAAATACAAACTAAACACGGAAATGCTGACGGATTATCTCGTTAACCGGTTGAATCAGAATCTAGTAATTCTACAGTTGTTGACAATGATACAATTTTTCAATCAAAACAAATTGACTGTTTGTCAATTACATGTACAAGTGATCAAATTCAACGTGAAACAGTTAAAGACCCTATTTTACTAATAGTCTATGAATCGACCATGAAAGGATGGTTACCAAAACATAAGACTGATTTAACTGCATACTACTCTAGAAGATATGAAATTTCTCTTGTGAATGATTGTTTAATGTGGGGTAAAGACAATTGATGTACTAAGACATGTATTTTCTCGCAATGGTATTCCAGTCCAACTCGTAAGTGATAATAGTCCACAATTTACTTCGGAGGAGTTTGAACCATTTCTAAAAAATAATGGTATTCAACAAACTTTCTCTGCACCATATCATCCTGCGACTAATGGATTAGCTGAGAAAATGGTCTAGACATTTAAGCGTGCTTTCAAATCTATGAAAAATAGTTCAGACTCGATAAGCTTTAAATTATCTAAATTTCTAATGTGTTATAGGTCAATGCCAAATTCAACGACAGGAGAAACCCCATCACAATTGTTTCTCGGAAGAAATTTACGTACGAAATTGAATTTATTAAAACCTGATTTACGACAACAGGACAATCAAGCTAAACCAAGAGCAACAAACTCTCTTCGTGATTTTAAAATTGCTAAAAATTATTCCGGAGAGAAAAAGTGGGTACCAGGAATACCTGTGAGTTCCTGTGACAGTTGGTATTCGTTCGATATAAGAGCAGGCCCTAGTGCCAATATCCATACAGAACTGTAGTAGATAAAACCCCATTTCATTTCATTTCAAAATAACAGACAGTAATTGTTTTGAATTACCTTTCAGCTCTGCATACTTTCTCTTTTCATCTTCACTAAAATTTTTCTTCGGCTTTTTTCCATCTGGTTTGGTTTGAGTCTTCTGTTTCGTATAGGTACATTTTACACTATTCTGATGTACGTGCATGGTGTTATTACTACCAATTTGTAAGTTCGTCACATCGCCATGGAAATGAATATTAGTAGAGCCTGCTTTTGTATACCAGCCTGTAAAAGTAAAATTTAACAAACAAATATGATTACAAACAATGTGAACAGATGTCGTATCAATTGAAAATTTACTAGAAAAGATATCAAAAGTACTATTGCAAGAGCCAAAGTTGGGTTAAATTCTCATTGATGGTTTGATTTGACTATCAGTAACCACTAGACAAACAATTCAATGCATCAATCTCGTGGAAGTTTTATATTTCCAATCTGAGAGAGAGAAATGGAGTTTAACATCCACTCGACACAAACTAGGTCATTTCGGGACTAACACATGGTTCAATTTTATTTCAATAATTCGCTTGCGCGTAAGGGTCATTAACAGTAGGAGGAAAACGGAGGATCCAGAGAAAACCCATGAGGTTGAACAGGTGTCCTTACTCCTTGTCACTTACAACCAGGGATTCCAAACCATGCCAGTTGACTCAATGAAAGACCTTATGATACAGCGCGCCTTGTGCTAACCATTCGTCCATTCAACCTCCCATTCCAATATGAAATGGTTCAACAGATTACAAGATAAATTATAAAGATAGGTTGCCAGGTAACAAAACATACGCCCACAGCAGCTAAATCGTCCGAGCGGTCAACAAGGGTTATCGCATATTTATTCTTTTGTAAGTAATTAAGGGCATTTAATAGACAATTTCATACAGATGACATTATAATTTTCGTTGTTTAAGGGTTCACAAGGTTCTAAAAACTAAAACATGGGCCGTTACTCAGGAAGTAATCTACAGAAATTGTTGAAATTCAACAGGCTTTTTCGTTTTACTAATTCAAATAATGCTTATAAATTTCATACAGATCAGATGATAACTTTTGTTGTTCGAACGTTCACAAGGTTCAACAAAGTAAAACAAGGGCTATAACTCTAGAAGTAATTGGCGGAAATTGCTGAAATTCAATAGGCCATAGTGAAACATGGGCCATAACTCTAGATGTAATTAACAGAAATTGCTGAAATTCAATAGGCTTCTTTGTTTTACTCATTTAAATGATGCATATAAATTTCATACAGATCGGATGATAACTGTTGTCATTAGAGCGTTCCCAAGATTCAACAAAGTGAAACAAGGGCCATAACTCTAGATGTAATTAACAGAAATTGCTGAAATTCAATAAGCTTCTTTGTTTTACTAATTTAAATGATGCATATAAATTTCATGCAGATCGGTTGATAACTGTTGTCGTTAGAGCGTTCACAAGGTGCAACAAAGTGAAACAAGGGCCATAACTCCAGAAGAAATTAACGGAAGTTATTGAAATTAAATAGGCTTCTTCATCTCACTAATGCAAACAATATATATCAATTTCAAAACAATCAGATGATCAATGTAGTCTGTAGAGTGTTCACAAGAAATTGCGGACGGACGGACGGGGACGACGGCAATATACGACCACATTTCCATGTGGGCGGATAAAAATGAATAAGGAAGACAGTCGAGACATATGGTTGATGTCTACAGAATTTCTTCAGAGTTTTTTTTATATGGTTTATTTTGATAAATCTTAGAAATGAAAGACACTAATTTATGTTACAAAATCATGAAAGAAAGATTACTAAGTGAAAAAGTAACGAATGTGTAATGTTTAGCACATTAAGATTAGGTCAAACTTGTATCCATGGAAACAAACAAAAAGAAAAAATGTTTAACATTTCTAAATCGCAAAAGGCACCACTTCAGAACTTGGTTGTTGTGTGAATGTATACTAACTGATTGTTTAGATATTTTTATACATAGAAAGAGAATAAAAAAAAAGGTAGAAAGAAAAAGTCTAAATAGTAAAATGCACCACTTCACTTTAGTAGGTTTACTTACTTAAAGTGTAAAAAGTTTAGCGAAGAAATAATGAATAATTCTCAAGATTGGCTCAGGAAGCAACACCCACTTGCCAGACTAGACTAAGTCTATTTATATGAGGAAAATAGAACAAAATTACAAATATCAAAAAATCTAGTCAGGATAACTGGTTCCTCAGATACTACCACTTAATTACTTGGAGAAATTGTATAGACAAAAGATCTTTTCTATGCTAACCTTCTTCAGGATTCGACTGGTCTTCTCCACTAGCACCAGGGTATGAAACAGAACTACGTAGATGATGCTGATGAATTTCAGCTGGTCTTACATATTTGGCACTTCTAGTACTAGCCTTAAAACAAAAGAAAAATATCAATTAAAGATGAAATATATGGTATGTATAGCTAATTTACACGGCTTTGATTGAACTATGTAGTTTCTGATTCCCAGGCAATTCTCCATATTTGTCAAATTTTATCTGTGGTCATCCTATCACTTCAGGCTTCTGTATAAGTTCAAGAATAAAAATTACCTATTTCCATCCACAGTAAAAACACCCAAATTTGACAAATTAAGAATGAAAGTCATAAAATCAAACTCACAACAAACTTCAGTAGTATCTAGACAATACGTCCAATACATAACGATGGTAAGGAATTGTTTTTACAGGTAGTTGCTTTACTAATGATATTTTAGTCCAAAATGGAAAAATGTAGTTACTAAATAAGGGATGCATAAAGACCATGCCTTCCACTGTGTAATGGCTATAAATTGTAATTCTTTTGAAAAGATTGTTGGTACGGAATAATTGTGCTGGAATTTCACATTCAACACAGATATGAACCATATTTTTAATCATCAGTGGGTCATTCTGGAGACTTCCATTGATATACTACGTCCTACGTTTATCATTCTAGATCTAGCTTATACATAAGCAAAAAAATTAACCAGGAATTCTGGACATATGTAAAGATTACGGTATATGCCCTTCAGCATTCGCAGGCAGTGCATAAAATATGGCTTGTATTTGTTCTGTCACTGGTAATCGAAACAAAGAAATGGAAGTCATCAAGTGACTCACACACCAGCACAAAAGCGTTTACTTGTTTCTTCTCTTTATACAAACAAGGTACTTGAATATTTCAAGAGAGAGAGAAATGGGGTTTAACATCCGCTCGACACAAATCAGGTCATTTCGGGAATAACATATGGTTCAATTTTATTTCAATAATTTGTTTGCCTGTAGCGTTCTTTAGCAGTGGGAGGAAATCAGAGGACCCGGAGAAAACTCATGAAGTTGGACATGCGACCACACCACTTGACAGACCGTAAACCACTAGACAACCCGCCCCTTGCTTTATTAGATTAGCACCTAGGATTAAGTGACTATTATAATATACCCGTCTTTCTTTGTCTCCAGCTCTCGTTAATTTGCCATCGAAACCTGCCATTTTGTTGTGTTGAAGTTTTACCATACATTAACAACATAAGCTGGTTACATCATGGAGAATCATTTTTAAAGATCTATATCTGAAAACAATAAAGAAAAATTAACAAACTGAGAGACTAATAGCATAGGCTTCGAGATCTTTACGAAGACAGAACGAAAATATGCACAGATAGATAAAGAAGCGTTGGCGTTAGTGTGGGGTGTAAAACATTTCCATTTATATTTATTTGCCAGACATTTGTTCCTTGGTACTGATCATCAACCATTGACAGTAATATTTAACCCAAAAACAGAAATTCCTGCAATGACAGCTGCTAGACTTCAACATTATGCTTTATTTTTAACTGGATTCAGCTATGATATTAAATACAGAAATACAAACTAAACACGGAAATGCTGACGGATTATCTCGTTAACCGGTTGAATCAGAATCTAGTAATTCTACAGTTGTTGACAATGATACAATTTTTCAATCAAAACAAATTGACTGTTTGTCAATTACATGTACAAGTGATCAAATTCAACGTGAAACAGTTAAAGACCCTATTTTACTAATAGTCTATGAATCGACCATGAAAGGATGGTTACCAAAACATAAGACTGATTTAACTGCATACTACTCTAGAAGATATGAAATTTCTCTTATGAATGGTTGTTTATGAAGTCGCATTGATATCATCCTTATCAGTGATTGTAGTGGCGAATATTCACTGCTGATCAGTGTGGATAATCAAGTGTAATCTCTCACTATCTTGTTCAATTTGACTATAGACGTGTAAGTTGTCCGGTCACTGCCTAAAACATTAGTAATAATCCTAATCATTTCTGTGGTTGTGTATCATATGCATTTAGAATAATAGTTGGAGTGCAGTCATGTGCAAATTGTTATTATAGCTAATGGAATCAGGTACTTTGAAATAATGTCTTGTTATATTTATGAGAACTGTCACTTCTAAAGGGAGGGATTTCTCTGGTAAATTAATAACATGTGATGTTGCTTTGTATTTTTCAAGAATTTCAGTACAGTACCAGTGGCAGTAGCCTACAAAATAGGTCCATAGATTTACACAAAACAACTTTAATTACCAACCAGCGGCTGCCAGGCAGAATACGCCCACATTTTCAAGAGATGGATAGAGAACAAGCTAAAAAGAAAGTGATTTTTCCTACAATCAAGGGCCATAATTCAGGAAATTACAATTCGATATGCGCAAATATCGAATGGAACCAAAATCTTTGGGTTATAAACTTACATTTCAAGTTTCAACAAAATCGGATAAAAATTTTGACCTCTATTGGGTCCACAACCTTGATATACCATATTTTTAAGCTATTTGAGAACGAGGGGCGGCCATTTTGTCTGTCAGTTTTGGGCCGATTTTCACAAAATTCGAACTTAGCCGTCCTTAGGGTGTAACGGTGATAATACATTTTTTTTTAAATGGATAAAAATTATGACCTCTATAGGGTCCACAAGCTAAAAACGCGATTTTTCGTACAATCAGGGGCCATAATTCAGGAACCAAGATCTTTGGGTTATAAACTTTCATTTCAACAAGTTTCAACAAAATCGGATAAAAATTGTGACCTATATAGGGTCTACAACCTTGAAATACCCAATTTTTGCGCTATTTGAGAACGAAGGGCAGCCATTTTGTCTGTCAATTTTGGGCCGATTTTCAGGAAAATCAAACTCAGTCGTCCTTAGGGTGTAACGGTGATATAATAATACGTTTTTTTAAATCGAATAAAAATTATGACCTCTATAGGGTCCACAAGCTAAAAACGCAATTTTTCGTACAATCACGGGCTATTTGAGAACAAACGGCGGCCATTTTGTCTGTCAATTTTAGGCCAATTTTCACGAAATTCGAACTCAGTCGTCCTTATGGTGTAACGGTGATATAATAATACGGTTTATTAAATCGGATAAAAATTGTGACCTCTATAGGGTCCACAACCTTGATATACCATATTTTTACGCTATTTGAGAACGAACGGCGGCCATTTTGTCTGTCAATTTTAGGCCGATTTTCACGAAATTCGAACTCAGTCGTCCTTATGGTGTAACGGTGATATAATAATACAGATTTTTAAATCGGATAAAAATTATGACCCCTATAGGGTCCACAAGCTAAAAACGCGATTTTTCGTACAATCAGGGGCCATAATTCAGGAAGTTACGGTCCGATATGCGCGATTATCGAAAGGAACCGAGATCTTTGGGTTATAAATTTACATTTCAAGATTCAACAAAATCGGATAAAAATTGTGACCTCTATACAAACAGGGGGCATAATCCATGAAGTTTCGATCCGATACATGTCAATATCGAACGCAGCCGAGATCTTTTGGAGATACACCTATATTTCAAGTTTCGTTAAAATCGGATAAGAATTGTGACCTGTAGAGTGTCCACAAACAAATTGTGGACGGACGGACGGACGGACGGACGGACGGACAGACGGACAGACAGACAGACAGACAGACAGACAGACAGACAGACAGACAGACAGACGTCCGGACGGACAGGGGCGACGTCCGGACGGACAGGGGCGACGGCATAATACGTACACATGAAAATGTGGGCGTATAAAAATGACAGGTATTTTGAATAAAACAACCAATGAAATGTCATATATACTGTTCTAATCTGACTGGGCTAACGAAGACAGGCATACGCCATGCAGTGTGCTATGAGGGAAATTTTGCCCAGATAGCGGTGCCATGGCCGAACTAAGCCTACTCTTATATTAAATTCCAACTGCCAAGGGTCGAAGGGATGTTTTACGTGCACACAGCAGGACCTTGGTTTTTCATCCTATCCAAATGACTCAACAGCTGTCCTTGTCAGGCCCACTGTCCAACATCACTGACAACAGACAAGGGGAAACCACACCGTAAAATCCTGAACTTTCTTGACCAACACCAGGATCGAACCTGCGACCTTCAAGCTAGTGAGCCAGCGTCTTACTTACTTTGCCACCGTGACTCCTTGTTTGCAAGAAGATGGTTGGGAAGTGCCAAAGACATGGTCTGCAGTGTGATAAATGCAACAAATGGATCGACATACAAACATCACATATCCAAGTCGATTTTGTGTAGTGTAACTTCCTCACTGGAGAGTAACTGTGTTAGACGTTATGATTTCACTCCCAGTCCCACTCCCAGATTTCATTTTCTTAGCATGTACAGTATGATATTGGCTAAATCAAGTCGCAAAACGTTAAAAATTGCCAATAAGTAAATCTACTTACTGAAAATAAAAGATATATTATAGAAATACTCTCTCTGAAAAAATGTCTTCCAGAAAGAACAAATTGGGTAAACCCCAATCTATAAATGGAAATTTGTTTTCCAAGCTCCATTCGAACTCCGGTTAAAGGGGGGTAATTCTTAATACTGGTAGTCTTGATTAGTAAGTCTTTCATTGTAACTTTCAGTTTGTTTTTTCAGGCAGTTCTTGGAAATGTCTGCAGTTTCTAAGAATAATTTCTTCAAGGTATTTATCATCTGGAAACTTCGATAGACATTAGGTAGGTAGGATGATTATTTTGATTTGGAAATCACCATGATGATATTTCATCATCAATAAATCCACCCATTCGCGAAACTAAACAGCTCCGGTCGCGACTAGATTTCATCCCTAATAATAATAGTAATGTGAGTTAGAATGACAAAAATTTCAAAGTGAGGCATCATCCCTTCCAATCATACTGGTGTAGAATCGTATCAGATGGAAAAGGTAATTAAGCCCCTTATGCACGATCAACACCCATTAATTGCGGCCAATAACTTAATTAACAAGCACTGAAGCAGTGACTACAAATTAATAATTACATTAATTAATTACAATGTATTTATCATTTCAAAATTTCAAAATAGCCTTTGGCAACAGATAAAAATATTCAACCGATTTCAATGACACTGACAAAATATAATGTGATGAATTATGTGGCAAATAGTCCAAGCCCAATTAAAAATGGACAGCCACTAAATTGATGACAAAAGAATTAGAATATCATTTATAAGGCAGATCGTAGGTCATAAAAGTTACAAGCTAGTTTTAAAGTTGCAATTTCATATTTTTAAGTTATATTTTTAAAATTTATTAAAATAAAGCCTTAAAATAGATGGTATCTATAAACAGTCATACCTTGTTAAAGAATAATCCTATTACTATAATTCACAATTGCCAGTTGAGAAATTGGCAAAAATATCATTTTCATCTTCAAATTCAAACGTTTGAGGATAACTACTCCATGGTGGAGAATAAAAAACAAAGGAGGTAATTGTGTTATTATTTCCAGTGTAAATGAGTTTTAAGTGTGAGAATGACACCTTTGATCGTATAATAGTGAGTTGACAACCTATTGAGCAAAAGACATAGAAATAATTACCGGTATGTTTTGCCTTTCTTAGAAAATATGAAATTGTAACTTTAAGTCTGACTCGTTCTTAAAACTGTATACTTGGTTGCAAAAAATACCATGCCAATGTCATGCATGAATTCCAATCGTCTGTGACCCCATATGAAAAATCTGATAATTTCTCGCATTCTGTAAACTTTAATGAGTGTTTGAAGTTTTAACAAAATAGTCTTGATTGTCAAGTATCGTGATAGTAATCAAAGAATCAATGGTCCATTTTTATCGTTAAAAAATAAAATTACACAAGTGTTCTAGTCCATTTAATATCAGGGCCATCCAATTTGTACCTAGAGAGTTGATTATGGGCTTGTAACTTTTGAAGCCCAAAAAAGATCGGCCTTACATTAAAGTTTCACTTGTTTTCTTTCTTTAATAACTTTACAACTTCATGTCACATTATTTATTTTTTATTTTTTTATAGAACTGAAAAATGGCTCACAATAACATATACAATGGCACAATTGAGTCTCACAAAGGTAGATAGACTTACAAATATGTCTTTAATTATTATAAAAACTAACCATTTGATATTAAATCTAATAAAAGTAACAATAATCAAGATTTGTGAAGAATCATATGCACACTGAGAACCAGATACATCTTATTGATATCACAGATAGAAGTAGAACTGTGGTGAAAATGTTATTCAGGTCATAATGTTCCGTTTGTTATGTTTTTTCAAAAATTTTAATTGTCTGTTTGGTTTAATCAAGGACATATTATAAATGATGAAAGATATTTTGTTGTAGGCATTCATATTATTTTCTATTCACATAATCTTAACCAATTGGCAATACAAGCACTTTGAGCAATCTTGTTAGATATCGTATTCTACTGAAAATTCCTGCCAGATAATCAAAGAAACAGCTAGTTTTATTAATACATTTTTATTTGTTGTACATAGTCAATTGAAGTTTGAAGTTTTTGTGTGGTCAAACAATGAACTTGTGCTCAAGTGGTCTACCAGTAATATGATAACTGCAATTAATATTATTCTTTAAGTGGCATTTAGTAACTGGGCAGATAAATAAACTATAAACATACTTATGGAAAACAGCTACTGATTTATTTAGGCGACGTTTCGAAGAGTATTCTCTCAACGTTTTCAAGCAATTAATATATTAGCTTGTTTATAGTTCCATTACTTATCTTGCAGAGCAATGTTGAATAAGATAATGGCGTCACTATTTTAAGGCTGTTTGTCTCAGTGTTAGCAGTGTACATCTTTTAATCGATCTTTAATAGAATCATTTTCATTTATTCATATTCTGTAGGTCCAATAAATATTGAAAAAGTAGAGAAATTACAGCTTGGATCAGGTAATACTATGAATAACTTCTATGGTGTATCATCCTCACAACGAAACAGACATAGCAGTTCAACATCATACAGTTCAGATGATGAATGTGACATACCCACAGAAAATGAATTTTTGGATAGTAAGTGAAATAAAATTTTAAACAATGCAATCTGATTAAAACACAGATCCTATTTCATTTCGTTCTTTTTAGTTCAGAATTCTGTTTACTTGTCTTCAGTACACCAAGATCTGGAAGTGTTGTTAAATAACCCACGTTCTGGGTGATGTGAAGAATTGTCCAATTATATTGTCTGTTAAGTTGAATTCTTTTAATGCAGTGCACAGAACTGTGGGTAGACATACCCCAGCAATAGAAAACAAAACACAGCAAATGTTGTATTTCTAAGTAGCTGCTTGGAACACTGACACTGATTAGTTTATCAAATGACTGAAGTCAGTGGGTCAAACGTCACTCATCTGACCCCTGACATGACCTCCTACTACAACCTGTCAGATCTTTTGTAGTGGAGCCTATCAAAAGTATAAAAACAAACGAAGTATAGATCTATATATTAATCAAACTGTAAAAAATGCTATTTAATCCACACCAATTTGATTTCTTGTTCTGGATCTTGATAAATACACTTGAATCACACGGGTGTTGTTTTGTTTGAAGTTTCAAAACTTAAAATTTTGGAACTAAAGGCTTTTGAACAGCACAAGTACATGTAAGTACTTCTGGTGTTTAAGTTAAACTTTTTCCCGTAGAATTAAAAATGAAATTTTTTACAGGTGTTCTCGAGGAACAGAAAATCACAATGTTGTGTTCTGATAATGATATGCAGTATTGCATAATGTAAAATCGTTTGACAATGTCATGCACCAACGACAAAAGTTATCATCCAATCTGTATGAAATATGTATACATTTTTTAAACATACATTATGCAAGAGCTAAATCTGTCTATTACAGGTCTTTCTTTAGGCTTGAAATGTTATCTAAATTATTAATTAGACATTAATTAACCTATCCAGACCATAATCAACTCTAGATGGCATGGCTAGCCTGCGATCTGTAGTGGATTATGAGCCGATTTACTGCATAACTTTCCTTCACCATTTAACGATTAAATGGATAATCGAGACTATGCTGTTTATCGTACTGACTTTAGTAATGATGAACAAGTCTAGGTGGAAATTTCATTCGCTTAGTTCTGGGTTCATAGTGGATCAATTTGAATGAAATTTTCAGCAAATTACGTTATCTAGTTTTTAGCTATTATAATGAGAACTGCGGGGCAACTCGTTATCGAATCTCCCATAATGTATCTTTAAGTTAGTGGGGAGCCGCAGTGGTTCAGTGAAAAAGATGCTGGTTCGCTAACCTAGAGGTCGCGGGTTTGATCCTGGTGTTGGCGGAGAAAGTTCATCAGGATTTTCTGGCATGGTTTCCCCTTGTCAGTTGTGCAGGACGGAGCGCCTGACAAGGAAAGCTGTCTAGTCATCCAATGGGACGAAAAACCAAGGTCCTGTGTACACATTGTCGTGCACATAAAAGATTCCATGGAAGTTGGAATTTGATATAAGAGTAGGCTGTAGCGCCGCTGTCTGGGCAAAATTTCAGCAATTTCCATGAATTACTTCTAGAGTTATGACCCTTGTTTCACATTGTTAACCCTTATGAACACTCTAATGAGAAAAGTTATCATGCGATCTGTATGAAATTTATATGCATCATTTAAGTTAGTTTCAGCACTTTCCATCAATTATTTCTACACTTACGACAACACTGGTTGTGCGCCCCCTGGGCATGTTTCATTGCCTGGCAACCTATCTTTTTAGAAAGATAAAAAAAGCTGTATACAATTTTATTTTTCCATGAAAAAACTTAATGCATGTTTGATGTGTATTGTGCTATGTTTTTTTTTATGTGTTCGATTAATTTCAATGCACATTCTGTTCTATAAAATTACAAAATGTTGTTACCCTACATATTGGTGCACAAATTTGATGCCGTCTTTGTTTGGTGGCATTCCTAATGATCAGTCAAAGTCAGAACAAAGACTCAACTTGTAAGTTTCAATATCTTGTTACATCTTTTACAGCTTGTGACGCAGAACTTGATGAAGATGTCACAAAACAAGTAGCAAAAGTTATTTCAACAAAATGGATGGATTTTGGTAAGCCAACAAGCTATTGGGATTGGGTTGATCGAACAAAAAATCTGATCACTAAGAATTTATCACATTGGCAGGTCATCATAAATTGATCCTGGTGTTGGCCGAGGAAGTTCCTCAGGCTTTTTCAGTGTGGTTTCTCCTTGACGGTGTGCAAGGAACAGAGTCTAGTCTTTCGGTTAGACTGACTGAATCTAGGTCCTGTATAAATATTGGCAAGCATGTTAAAGAACCCTTGGCAGTTGGGATTCCATAAAAAGTAGACAGAAACACAGCTGTCTTATGAAATTCTCCCCATAGCACACTGCAGAACTGTTCGGTGCAGAATTGTAGGACATTAAACCATATTACATTTCATTGAGTGACAGTAAAGAAACTTGGTGTATACCATAGTTTCAATACATCGACTAAGCATGATTGATAATGAGAATTTTTCTCCTATGGTTAAGCAAAGTAATTAATGAGTGGCCTCTATTTATTTTGGGAGTGAGGCTGAGGTACATTACCCTGTTTGTTTGTCTTTATAACTGAGAATACTTTTATCCTTTCAGGTATTGAGTTTAAACTAAAAGAAGAGCAACTTGACAAAATCTTAGAAGATTATTATAGTGAGGGATGTAATGGCTTAGCATTACGTGTTCTCAAATTATGGTTAAATGGGAGAACAAATGTCAAAATCTCTGATATTGCGAAATATTTTACAGATGAATCTGATCGACATCAGCTTTATAAATCATTGAGGTCCCCACAAAATCTCCCAGCTTTAAAGAGCAACGAGAAATTATCAATTAAGGCTAGTAATGGGGATGAAGAAGAGGATGCCATATATTGATATGAGTGAACAACACTCCAGCAAACTGTTTATCTCTCTTAAAATGAATGTGTATAGAAAACAATAACACAGGCTATCTCATTCTTTCAAAAAGCAAAAAGGTCCCGGTGAATCAGCACTGCCATTTTTTTATATACCCATATTTAAATGTGGTCATATATTGTCTCCCTTGTCCATTTGTTATCTACAGGATAAAATTATTAACTGATTAACTTGAAATTTGTTCATTTTGACCAAGAATCATTGATTTTCAATAATTTCTGACAATTATTACTTCCCAAGTTATTACCCTTGATCTTTTTAAATTCCATCGACACTCCTTTGTCTTAAATAAGATGGGAAAAGAGAAGTTGAGTTTATGTCAGCACAACATAGGTCAGTTTGGGACTAAGATTTGGTATATTTTAATTCAATATTTCTCTTGTGCACAGAGATCTGTAGAAGTGAAAGTGAAGTACCCAAAGAAAACTCACACGGTTAGATGATTATAGGCCTTATGATCTACAACATGCAAATTAGACCCTTCGGTCACCCCAAATTTATGATAGGATCGTTTAAGATATTCTTGCCTTGATTCACAAAGCTGCTGTTGGGTGTATTTTTCATTTCTTAGCAGTGCTGTATTTAGTAAAATACTATTGTGTATGGTTTTAAGTTTGTTTTTTTTTTTATTCTGCAATTTTATGTTATCGACGATAATAATCACAACTGATTATTTTAAAGTTTAGAGTTGTGTTAAATTTGACGCTAGCAATGATTGACATGTGCTACAGAAACACAATGAAATTAATGCACTGGTAACTGGTCATTAGTAAACTTAATTTTTGGTTTTAGATACTTATTTTCAAAACTTAAACATGCATTATGCAAGAGCTAAATCTGCCTATTGCAGGTCTTTCTTTAGGCCTGAAATGTTTTCTAAAGTATTAATTAGACATTAATTAACTGATCCAGGCCTTAATCAACTCTCGATGGCATCAGATTTCTCCGATATTAAATAGATTAGAATTGTTCAGCGATACTTTGATTTAATCAAATATGGAGGACCGAGACTTAGCTTCGATCAACCAGTACGGTGGTTGAAATTATTGCACACGTCTGTCAAACCTTCAAAGGCTAATATCTTCGCTTGCAATAGAGTAATTTGAATGAAATTTTCAATATTATTCATTTTACATTATCTACTTTCGAACTATTATAGCAAGAATGGCTAGTTCTTTATCTAAATCTTACATAATGTATTTTTAACCTAGAAATGTAGTATCATCATAAATTATTGCGTACACATTCATTGTTATATTATCAGAGTAATTGTTAACTATCTATCATTCACACCGCATTATTTTAAATATTTGAATTCAAGGGCAATCTTATTTAAGTTAACTATGCAAACCAATTACTGATATTAAAACTTCATTCAACACATGTATATGTTCCATTCTTTGTTAAAGTATTTATCACCTTAAAGTATGGAGGTTCCAATGTTAAAATATTTAAAAGTCCGTCCGTCTGTCTATCACACTTTTTAGGACACAATAACTCTCCTAATTGTGTTGAAACTTGGTGTAGGTGTTGATTAGGTTTATGCCTTGATGGAGTTCGAAGAGCATTTTCTGCTTCGGGTAAGCAGAAATGAGCAATTTGATTGGTTGATGCTTTGGCACATAATAACTTTGGTTCTAATTAAGTGAGAGTGATGAAACTTGGTGTATAGTTTCATTACATCAATACCTTGACTAAGTTCTATAATGAGAATTTTCTGCTTCGGGAAAACAGAGCGATAAGACTTTGGAACGCAATAACTCTCCTTTTAATTGAAGTAGAATGTCTAAACTTGGTGTAGGTTTTTATTAGGTGAATTCCTTGATGGAGTTTAAAAGATAACTTTGGTTCTAATTAAGTGAGAGTGATGAAACTTGGTGTATAGTTTCATTACATCAATACCTTGACGGAGATCGATAATGAGCATTTTCTGCTCAGAGTAAGCAGAGCGATAACAATTTGAGTGGTCAAGACTTTGGACCTTTATGACTTTGATGCTAACAGAGTGAGAGTAGTGAAACTTCGTGTAAAGTTTCATTACATCTATACCTTGACTAAGTTCAATGATGAGCATTTTCTGCTTGGGCTTAGTAGAACCATCAGCCTCATTGGTCGAGACTTTGGAACACAATAACTATCTTTCTAATTGAGATAGAATGTTCAAACTTGGTGTAGGTGTCTATTAGTTGACTACCTTGACAGTGGTCGATCATACACATTTTCCACTAAAGCTAAGCAGAGATAAGCAATTTGATTGGTTGAGTCTTTGGAACACAATTACTTTAGTTCTAATTGGGTGAGAGTGATGAATCTCAGTATAGATTCGTTATATCAATACCTTGACTAAGTTCGATGATGTGAATTTTCTGCTTAGGATAAGTAGCGATAAGCAGTTTGATTGGTCAGTACTTTGGAACATAGCAACTCTGCTTTTAATTGAGGTAGAATGTTTAAACTTGGCGTAGATGTTCATTGGGTTAATATCTTGACTGAGTTTAATAATTAACACTTTCCGATAAAGCTGAGCAGAGATAAGCAACTTCATTTATTAATGCTTTGGAACAAGAAAACTTTGTTTCTAACTTATGAAGAGTGATGAATCTTAGTGTAGAGTTTCACTACCAGGTACTTCAAAAACTTGACCAAGTTCGATCGAGGAAATTTTCTGCTTAGACTGAGTTTACATATTTAGTTTGATTGCTCGATGCTTTTCAAAAAAATATGTGTCGCCTATTTATTTTAAGATTGCAGTGGGGGACATCAGCCTCACTGTTTGTGCAGATACAGGAATATTTGTGGAGATAATAGACAAAAAATAACTTTGCACACAAAAAGAGAAGTGAGCTCGTATCCAATGATGTCTCCCCTCATTTCCTTGAATCTGCATCAGAAATAACATCCTGGGGCCTGTTTCACTTAATTTTAACTAAGATAAAAATCCAAATTTTCGTAATTTGATTGGATAATATTAGATTGATTTTAGTACTAAGCCAATCAAAATTGAAGCATCGACTAAATGGTTTTTATCTTTAGTTAAGATTTCGAAAAACAGAGCCCTGGTAGTTATCTCATTATTGTAACAGTATGGTTGTGTTTGTCAAATTTTGTTTTGTTTTTGAACATCCATCTGGATGCCATAAAGTTAGAATCCAGCATTAAGTTATATAAAACTTGTTACAGTATTAAATAAAATATTAAATCTGGTGTTAAAATAGGAAATCTTGTATTAAGATGGATTCCGGTGTTAAAAAATATGTCAGATTTGGGTGCTAAAATATGAACAATCTGGTGTTGTGTGTCTTGACAAATTTTAAACATTGATTAATTAAAAGAGATAATATTAAATGGCATGGTTTTTAAACGTGTCTAAATATCTTATGTTATTATATTATGTTTTTTATGTCTATTCATTAAGTGTTCGATCCCTGCATTAGCCGAGAAAGTTCATCCAGATTTTCCGGCGTGGTTCTCCCTTGTCAGTGATGCAGGACGGAGGGGCTGACAAGGAAAGCTGTCTAGTCGTTCGGATGGGACGAAAAACCAAGGTCCCGTGTACACATTGGCGGTTGGAATTCGATATAAGAGTAGGCCGTAGTGCCGCTGTCCGGGCAAAATTTCCCTCATAGCACACTGTATGGCGTATGCCCGTCTTCATTAGCCCAGGTTAGGAGCAGAACAGTAGGACGTTAAACTCCATTTCATTTCATTTCATTTCTATTCATTAAGATTAGATTATATAATTGTTGATTTATTTTCTGATATTTACACGATATTATAATTCAATCTTCATATTATAACCCAAAAATTACTACTAATAGAGTTTTATATCTGCCAACAGCCTGCTAGATTCCCTCATAGACATGGGTTTTCAAATCCCACTATTCACTGCAGAACAAAGTCTAAATATTGTTTACATAGAAAATATCCCATTTTAATGTAGTACAACATAGAGAATAAAAAAAAAGCAATTAAAGACGCATAACAATTCATTAACTAAATGTTATATAAATTATTAATAAGAGTCGGATTGCTTTGATTTAAAGTAGATCAGATGATTTGATTTAAAAATGGAGAAGTAAGGCTAACCCTCTAATAACCAGCACTTTAATTACAATAATAAACAATGCACACATCTTGTCAAAACTACAACAAACATTGATAACTTCACTTAGAAAAAAGTAATTTGAATGAAATTTTCAATATTATTCATGTTGCATTGTCTATTTTTGATCTATTATAGCAAGAACGGTTCCTGGTGTAACACTCAATCAATAGAAATAAATGTGCATCTTAACATTGATTCCCACTAACCTCCACATCTCCCCCTGGATTTAAATGAGATTGTTTTGTTAACATAAATAGTAATAACTTGTTAAATCTATTGCTGTGTATATTTGTCTCTTTTAACTTCATTTAAATAACTTCACTTATAAATATTTATTTCATTTAACTTTTAAATAATATATTTATCTATATTTTATCTTATATTTTATTGTATACATTGTTATGGATTTATAGTGATCCTTGTGATCATAATTTATTTACATTCTAATACATGTATTTAACTTTCAATTTGTATTTTCATTCTACATACAAAGCTGATATGAAACACTGACTGATGGTCTCAAAATTAGGGATTTTAAAGGCATCAATAGACCATAAAAAAGGTACACAAATTCTTCACCCAAAATGTGGACAAGGCAGGGAGTACATGTAAATGTTTGACATACCTGTACACCTCTTTTATACATTTACTCATTCTCCCCCACACACAGGAGCGGACTAGGTCTTGGAATATTTTTTTTTTCGAAATAAATCAAAATTCATCTTGGCATCCACTGAAAAATTTAATGTCCTAAATCTGAGGAGAAAACTGATCTATGAGTGTTGTGCATGAAGCTAGTTTCTTTTTCTGGTCATATCCGGTAATTCTTCACAGCAATGAGGGCCCAAAGTAAACCAGTTGGTCCGAGGACCCAGTACTACCTAGTCCGCCCCTGCCTATAAACTACATTGTTTAATAGTTACATTGCGATCAATTAGTAATAGACATACCCAGGGTAATTTTCAAATTTTAGAATTTATTAATGCAGCTGTAGGCTAGTATGTACATGTATATTAAATCTATTATGAATATAAGCTAGCAATAAAATAAATGGCTACGTTTTTTGACTTTTCTTTTCATGATATATATATGCCTGTAATATGCTTGTTGATAAGTAATATTATTCCTGAATTGTACATAGTTCTAATTCTAACAACAGATAGATAAAGATGGTGACTCATCATAATCTACTTAATTGTAATTAAATATGTAAAGTCAAGTTTCAGCATCACCAAATCTTTTAATATTGAGTGGGTAAATATTAGTAGTTATTTTAGCAATATGAATTGTGGATTTCATTTCATGTTTAGTGTTTATGAATAAAGTAGATGTTGTTGATACAAATCATAAGAAGAATTTTCTTGTTATGGGAACTGTCTTAAGAACCATGTTTCTAACTGTTCAGGTAAACTAGTAAGTTTGTTCAGTGCCCCCCCCCCCCCCAAAAAAGAAGCAAAAATAGCCCATCAACTGCAGTAGGGCAACTTTTAATCGAGTTTAAGGATTGCACTATGTCAGAGATATAAAATTGGGTGTGCACAGAGGGAGTCTACAGTTGGCTTTAACACAGAAAACCTTAGGCCTATTTGTCTTCCATACTAGATGGGATTACTTGTGTAATTATAAGGATTCCGACTTTCCTACAAAAACTAAAGAACAGGCTTGTAAAACCTTCTGGTATATTTGTTGCCTGGCAGTACAGATTGGCGCGAAACTAGACACGTGTCTTTACGTGATTGTGATCAGATTTTTCCTATAAAACTTTCGACTGGACAACCCAGTCTACAAATGTCTGGCTTAATTAACTTCCGTTTACAGCTTCAGAAATTGAAAGTAGTGTCCACTTATCACAACACATTTCGAGAAACTCTACTATTTCTCAAACAAATCATGAAAGCAATAATTCAAAGAGTTTTAAAGGCTAGTGTAACTGTCGAGGACGAAGTTATCAGTTCGATTGGACCAGGACTTTGTGTTTTAATCGGTATTTCAAAAGATGATTCAAAAAAAGAAGCTGAATACATGGCCAGAAAAATTCTCAATTTAAGACTGTTTGACGATGAAAATGGTAAACGATGGAACAAAAATGTTATGGACAAACAACTGGAAGTTTTATGTGTCAGTCAGTTTACTTTGATGTCCATATTAAAAGGGAATAAACCCGATTTCCATTTAGCTATGGGACCAGAAAAATCGGAAGCCTTTTATCAAGAATTTTTGACACTGATGAAAACCTCATATAGTGAGGATAAAATTAAAGATGGAAAGTTTGGTGCCTATATGCAGGTCAATATACAAAATGATGGTCCAGTTACAATTCCCATAGAAACACCATTTGCAAAACCTGATAAAGAATCTCTTCAAGAGTCCAGTTCTACAGCAGAAGTCCAATCTTAGTTGATGCGGGCTTTAAAATTCGGAAATAATTCATTTATAAATAACTCGTTTAGTGTACAAAGAAACAATAAAACTCAGAAAATATTGATGTAATTGTTGTAAAGTAGCTACAGCAGAAGTCCAATCTTAGTTGATGCGGTCGTTTAGTGTACAAAGAAACAATAAAACTCAGAAAATATTGATGTAATTGTTGTAAAGTAGCTATTAAGTCTCTTACTCAATATCATCCAAAGTCTTTGACATTGAAAACACAAATTATTTGTCAATTTAAATCAACACTGATGTTGTATCTGACCGGGAAAAGATGGGCTTCTTTTCTAATATCCAATATTTATGACAAAATAAACATTTTACCATTGGTACACGAATTGTGTATGCGTTTCAGCGCAATTTGTAACAAGGGCCTTCAAGAACGAGGCTAGATATATTCCACAAGTCATGTAAAATGATGACATCATATTCTTATCTGGAGAGCATGTGCAATAAATACTAGCGGTATAGACTGGAATAACCCGACGCTAGAGATTGCCATTTGATAAAGACTTCTGCCATATTTCGCGGAACATAACTGACTAGAAATTAGAGTAAAAACAGAAATGATTGAATGTAAATCAGTTTATATACATTCATATTACATTATTATATGGGTTGCGACACATTTGTGTCAATTTCTAGGTTCCAAATATTAACAGTAAATGGTGTGTTTTCTACAAGGGTAAAAGTTTTTGGATTGTGAATTAGTATAAGAGGAATAGTCCCAGATTGATTGCAAATGGAGGTCTTCCTTATCATTGATCAAATTAGATTTATGTATGCAAATCAAAGGGCAAAATGTAAAGGAATAATCTATTTGCTTTTTCAGAAAGTTTCAGCTCAGAATATTGAGCCGTTTGGAAACAAAGTTTAACTGCTAGAATTGTTTAAGCCCGTTTCTCACTTGTCAGGTGTGGTGTCTATCATAGGTCTGACAAGGAATGTCAAGTATTTTGGGTGGGACAAGAAACCGAAGTCCCATGTAAAAATTGAAAGTGCACATAAAAGATCCCATTGCAGTTGGAATTTGAACAAGAGTAGCCTATATTTCTATGCAGTCATTGTTGATGTCAGGTCAGAATTCCCCCCCCCCCTCACATAGTACTAACCAGTGATAAAGATTACTATATATTTGACAAAAAATGACCAAATTATGTTGGCAAGATGTTACACCCCTTTCCATTTACTAGAAGGATTTTTATTTTTCATACGAGTTACATATAAAAGACCAAGGCAATAGGGCACCAGTCTACCAAGGCCTTAAATTCATAGACAGTTGATGGGCCTCTTTTTAATCTTTGAGAGCTTTGAGATTATCCACCCCTGATATTTTGTATTTTTAATTAGATGTTACATGTACATAATCAATTTAAGTACATTTTTAGCATGGATTAACCCGTGAAAAATTTGATATTTTCCTAAAATTACATATGATGAAAGTTTGACAATGTGGCTGATTTATGGAAATGAAATAAAAGAAATGGGGTTTAATGTCCTACATTTCTTCACCAGCCAGGCTAATGTCATGCAGTGTGGTATGAGGGACATTTTTACCCTATTCTTACCTGTTCTTTTATGTGCATGTCAATGTGTACACAGGACCTTGGTTTTTCATCCCATCTCAGAAACTAGACACTGTTACTTACCAGGCCCTCCATCCTGCACCACTGACAAGGGGGAAACCATACTGGTAAATCAGGATAACACCAGATCTATTGGTTACTGAGCCAGTGCCTTACTCCCCTTATTAAAGGCTCAATACCACTCTTGTTGTAACTGAATAATATGTCCCAATCTTTATTCTGGTCAACAAATTGTACTATTTTACAATATTCCAATTAATTGATGATACAAATTTCATCTCAACACCCCTAATTTAAAAAACTGGAAAAATTCAACTAAATGATTTGAAAAGCCTGACGTAAAGCTTTTCAAATGTGACTTGGATTTTAAAATATTTTTGAACCCTTTGGACAAGTAAAATAGGATTTAATGGATAATTTACACAACAGGTAGGACACTAACACATCTAGTACTTAGAATAAGGCTATTTTTTATTTTCTGGAGCTGTCAAGCCAGCAAGAGTGTTATTGTCCCTTTAAACACTAGTAGTGGAGATCAACACAGTTGCTCACAAAGTGTACACTGTGAATAAAGCATGTTCAAAACACACTGATTAAACACAAATTTTGATTCTAGGGGCTGACATCATGAATTTATCAAGACATTGCTGCATTGCAAGCATTTCTCTTGCTATTTCCTCTGTATCATGATTTAATTAAACCTGTATTCACCTCTCCAATACCAATGTCCATCACTCTAATATTGTATTAAAAGTTTCAAAATTGTAGGAAATGATTAATCTTATCTTCAGCACTACTGCTATATTTTCATGCAAGTACATGTAAGCCTGTACTTGTGTTAGGTGATATGACAAATCACCCAGGTGTAAATTCTATACAGTGCTATTGCATTAGTTTACATTAGCAGTGATCAGATTTCTGTTGATTCAAATTATGACAATAAATGATTTGTTACTTCAAGACTATTTATTTCTTATAAAATATACAAAAATATATACCAATCATTATTACAATGTATTACCAGTCAAGTTCTTTTATGGGGCAAATGTCTTGGGACATTTAAAAATAAAACTACCCTTTGAAAAGGTTTCGTTGTTATACATGTACTTGCAATTTTGATTTCAAATATGGGCGTAATACATATAGATAAAAGTAAACAAGAATTAATTTGGTTCATATACAAAACATCAAAAAATATAATTCATGTTTGATTACAAAGAAGTTGATACATTTGATCAGAGACTATATAACTATTTACAGGAGTATTGTATATACATATACATATATACTGTAGTAGCCCTTGAGCTAGTTTGTCAATTGTTGATAAGTGAATATACATTTTTAAAAGTGTCTTAATAGAAATTAGAGTAACAGAGCAGTGCATCTATATTTCTTTGGACTATATTATTCTAAATGTATCCTAAAATATATCAATTAGCCTTTTCTATATCTCTTTCTGTGTCGTTTTCTGCCCCTGAAATACAATTAAATACAATTAGATTTTTATTTATTTTATGCACTAATTAAAATTTTTCTCAAAGATAGGTTGCCAGGCAACGAAACATATGCCCACAGCCGCTAAATTGTCCGGGCAGTCAACAAGTGTTGTCGCATATTTTTACTTTATTCGGTAATGAAACATTTATAATACACTAAAATCTGATTAAGAGTAACAACTCATGAAGTAATTATTAGAAAACCATTAGAATTTGTTTGGTTTTTATAAAGTTCTGCCCCATGCCAACGCTTAGTATACAAAACTTTTAATATCATGGATTTAGCTGTTCAAGTCATAAAAATTTATTTGTTCGTATCAAGATCTTAAACTTTGTGTATCAATCTGAAGTCTATCGGATGATAACTTTAGCCTCTAGAGCGTCACAAGATTTTTCAAAGTGATCAAGGGCCATAACTTTGGCAGTAATTATCGGAAATCTTTGAAAATCAATAGGATTGTGTATAAATTTAAAGTCAATAGGATATTAACTTTGGCCTCTAGAGCGTCCACAAGATTTTTGGAAGTGATCAAGGGCCATAACTCTGGCAGTAATTATCGAAAATCGCTGAAAATGAATAGACTTCCTCGTCTCATGACCTTAAACACTGTGTATAAATTTAAAGACAATCGGATATTAACTTTGCCCTCTAGAGCATCCACAAGATTTTTTGAAGTGATCAAGGGCCATAACTCTGGCAGTAATTATCGGAAATCGCTGAAAATCAATAGGCTTCTTAGCCCCATGACCTTAAACACTGTGTATAAATTTAAAGTCATTCGGATATTAACTTTAGCCTCTAGAGCGTCCACAAGATTTTTTGAAGTGATCAAGGGCCATAACTCTGGCAGTAATTATCGGAAATTGCTGAAAATCAATAGGCTTCTTCGTCTCATGGCCATAAACACTGTATATAAATGTAAAGTCAATTGGATATTAACTTTAGCCTCTAGAGCGTCCACAAACAATTGTGGACGTATTATAAAGAGGGACGTAGGGTTTGTTTTTCAAAAATAAATTGCTCCTTTTCTACACACAAACTGAAATTAGGAATTTATGGTACCTTTGGTTACATTCTTCCCAATAAAACTCCAATTTAAAATGAAATAAAACAAATATTCTTTATACATATAAAACAAAGAGAATTCAATTAAATCTATTTTTTCCAGAAAACTATTCATTATTATTATATATGTCAGGGATGAATTAAGCCTGCAGGGCTTGCATCAACAGTGTAAAGGGATCAATATTCTGAACATTGTCCATCACATAAATGCAATTTGTATGTCAGTATGGTAGATAGATAGATTTATTTGGCACAAACATGTACAACATAATAAATGACATATTTATTTACATTAAAATAATGTGTTTAGAACTAATTTGGAGGCCCATTTAATTTTTGGGTCCCCTGGCTGCTGCCCAGTCAACTCCTAACTGCTTTATTCCGAGTGTATGATGTTTTTTACTTACGGTACTATTTCAATATGATCTATAGCCCATTGATCAAAACCCTTCCCATCATGAACTGGTTGCCACCAGCGGAATTGTACACCAACTTTTTTAGCTTCATCAGGGATATCATAGGCCATTCTCTTGGGACGAAGAAATTGATCTGGATTGTGACGGGCAAGTAATTTCCAATCTGCACCCTGTACAAAATAAAATTAATATATTATAAAAACAAACGATTATCTATTCAAGATTTTGATTTCCAAGATTAAACAGGATTGATATTGTAGCAAATATAGGTTTTTAGACAACAAGATATATATACTATTCAAAAAAAGTAGGGGATATTTGATTTTGGGGGCATAATACTAAAATATGCAAATGACTACGAAAAAAGTCACTATAGAACCTAACAGAAGAAACATTTCCAGTTACACGTGACGCCCAAACGCACCAATAGCTACCGCATGGAATGCAGGTGATGCTTGGGATCATCATGGGGGTCCAACCCAAGATTTGCACGACTCTGACTTTGAATGTTACAGTCATTGTGGCATTGAATTCCAAGGTGGAAACATCAGTTTAATTGTTTTAGTGACCAGAAAACAAATTTTGATATGCGTCGGCTTACCCAAAATGAAAGGTTACGTGCCCTTGGCATGCTACAGATCGGCACAACACAGACGGTTGTGGCGCGGACGATGAATGTTTCTCAGTCTGTCATAAGCAGGCTATGGTCCAGATACCGTGATACACAATCTGTACAGGACAGACCACGCTCAGGTCGACCAAGGGCGACAACTCAAGCCCAGGATCGATTTATCCGTACCTTGGCCTTGAGAAATCATGTCATCACAGCAAATCAGATCAGCGCTCGTCTTCAAACAGACACTGGTGTGAGAGTGAGTGGCCAGACGTCCTCGCGTGATCCCTTGTTTGAGAGATCATCACATTCAGGCAAGACGTCGTTGGTGTAGGGATCGTCAACACTGGGATAATCGACGCTGGAGCAATGTGATGTTTTCAGATGAGTCAAGGTTCACTGTTGATTTTTTTGACAGACGTAGGAGGGTGTGGCGTCGTCGAAACGAGCGCTTCCAAGACGTTAACGTCATCAGACATGATCGATTTGGGGGTGGTTCTGTTATGGTGTGGGGAGGCATCACTGTTGCTGGAAGAACGGCTTTACATGTTGTTGCAGGGCGTGTTACAGGCCAGTACTACCGGGACAACATCTTGGCAGTCCATGTTGTGCCGTTCGCACGATGTCATGGCCGCCGTTTCATCTTCCAGGATGACAACGCAAGATGTCACAGGGCCAGGATCGTTACAGGTTACCTCCAACAACAGAACATCACCACATTACCTTGGCCAGCACTGAGTCCCGACCTCTCCCCCATCGAGCATGTCTGGGACATGCTTGGACAGAGGTTATGTCAACGTCAACAACGTCCTGCCAATGTCCAAGAACTTGCTGCTGCGTTGCAACAGGAATGGGACAATCTGGACCAAAATGACCTTAGACGTCTCATTAGGAGTATACCACGTCGGATCAATGCTTGTTTGGCAAACAGAGGAGGATTTACCCGTTACTGACTTGGTTGTGATGCTGTGGTAACTTTGCTGTTTGACCCCGGGTATCATTTTACCCTTATAATGGTCAGTCTGTGCCTTACTTAGTCTAACGATCATTTGGAATAAATCGATGAATGTGAACTTCATTTCATTTTGTCATTTGTTTCTTCGTCAGTTTCATTAGGTGACTTTAATAACACTTAAAAATCAAATATCCCCTACTTTTTTTGAATAGTATATATCCCCAGCAGCATTTTATAGGTAATTGAAGCATTATTATATTTTTCAAGAGAAACAACAAATGAAGTAATGAACAGGACTCATTAAAAACTGGATAGACTTCGTGCTAAATTAAACAACATACAAATAATTCCAAGACAATTAGTTGTTTGGGCCTGGACAGGAATTTTTAAAGTAAACAAAAGAAGGAGTTCAACTATACAAATACTGAAATAATGAATAAAAATAGCAAAATTCTGGAAACAAGACCTCAATAGATAAAAACAGTAGAGCCCTAGGCAGAGCCGTTTTTATACGCCCACATTTTCATGTGGACGTATATTGTCGTCGCCCCTGTCCGTTCGGACATCCACAATTTGTTTGTGGACACTGTACAGGTCACAATTTTTATCCGATTTTAACGAAACTTGAAATATAGGTCTATCTCCCAAAGATCTTGGTTCCTTTCGATATTGGCATGTATCAGACCATAAATTCATAGATTATGGCCCCTGGTAGTACGGAAAATCATGTTTTTAGCTTGTGGACACTCTTAGAGGTCACAATTTTGATCCGATTTTGATGAAACTTGAAATGTATGTTTATAACCCAAAGATCTTGGTTCCTTCCGATATTCGTGCATATCGGATAGTAACTTCCTGAATTATGGCCCCTGATTGTACTAAAAATCGTACTTTTAGCTTGTGTTCCCTCTAGAGGTCACAATTTTTATCCGATTTAAAAAAAACGTTTTAATATATCACTGTTACACCCTAAGGATGGTTGAGTTCAAATTCCACCATGGGCAAAGCGAAATATTGGAATAACCAGCGGCTGCCAGGCAGGATACGCCCACATTTGCGAGAGATGGATAGAGAACAAGCTAAAAAGAAAGTGATTTTTCCTACAATCAAGGGCCATAATTCAGGAAATTACAATTCGATATGCGCAAATATCGAAAGGAACCGAGATATTTGTGTTATAAACTTACATTTCAAGTTTCAACAAAATCGGATAAAAATTGTGACCTCTATAGAGTCTACAACCTTGATATACCATATTTTTACGCTATTTGAGAACGAACAGCGGCCATGTTGTTGTCTGTCAATTTTGGGCTGATTTACACGAAATTCAAACTCAGCCATCCTTAGGGTGTAACGGTGTAAATCGGATAAAAATTATGACCTCTATAGGGTCCACAAGCTAAAAACGTGATTTTTCATAAAATCAGGGGCCATAATTCAGGAAGTTACGGTCCGATATGCGCAAATATCAGATGGAACCGAGATCTTTGGTTTATAAACTTATATTTCAAGTTTCAAAAAAATCGGATAAAAATTGTGACCTCTATAGGGTCCACAACCTTGATATACCATATTGAGAATGAACGGCGGCCATTTTGTCTGTCAATTTTGGGCCGATTTTCACGAAATTCGAACTCAGCCGTCCTTAGGGTGTAAAGGTGATATAATAATACATTTTTTTAAATCGGCTAAAAATTATGACCTCTATAGGGTCCACAAGCTAAAAACACGATTTTTCGTACAATCAAGGGCCATAATTCAGGAAGTTACTGTCCGATATGCGCGAATATCGAAAGGAATCGAGATCTTTGGGTTATTAACTTACATTTCAAGTTTCAACAAAATCGGATAAAAATTGTGACTTCTATAGTGTCCACAAGCTAAAAACGTGATTTTTCGTACTAACAGGGGCCATAATCCATGAAGTTTCGATCCGATACATGCCAATATCGAAAGCAAAATTGGATAAGAATTGTGACTTGTAGAGTGTCCACAAACAAATTGTGGACGTCCGGACGGACAGGGGCGACAACAATATACATCCACATGAAAATGTGGGCGTATAAAAATGAACCATATGTTAGTCCCGAAACGACCTAGTTCTCTCTCTCGCCCTCCACCCCTCTCTATCTCTCTCTCTCTCTCTCTCACTGTTACAGACCCTAACACGCAAGCGAATTATTGAAATAAAAGTGTTAGTCCCAAAAGGACCTAGTTTATGTCGTGGACATCAAACCACCTTTTCTCTCTCTCTGTCTCCCTAATATACCCCAAAGTAGGATGTTACACCCCATTTTATTTCTATTGTTTGCTGGTAGTAATATCCTAATATACACCAAAGTAGGATGTTACACCCCATTTTATTTCTATTCTTTGTTGTAAGTAATATCCTAATTACCTTATTTGTTGTATACTGTAATAAAACTCCTCTATAATCAGGTCCATCACCAATTTTAACATTACAATTACTTGTCTGAGCATTACAACCAATTTGTAACACAAATATTATTTTTCTATAGGAATATAAATAGAAAATTTTAAGTAACCAGACAAAATAATGTGCTTGAAATTATAGGGCAGATAATTGAGTATTGACAATGGATATTGACACAAGTACAAATATATTTTCTGTAATATAAAAGTTTGGCACTTTAACTATAGCTACAGATACCCACATCAGAAAAGTGGTGGGGTGTACAATAAAAAGCTACATAATATAGTAACTTGATTGACAAAAAATATGGTGATGGGATTCAACCTCATTTGCATCTTTCCTTGCATGTATTAACTAACCCATAAAGAAAGCAGCGGTGGCTCAGTGAGTAAGACTTTGCCACACTAACCTGGAGACATTTCGTGGTTATTTTCCAGTGATTGGCTTGCACATAAAAGAAACATTGACAGTTGGATATAAACAGTAGAGCCACTATCGGGGCAAAATTTCACTCATGACCCACTGCATAGTGTATACCCTTCTTCATTATCCCAATTAGTGCAAAAAAAGTAGGACCTTAAACACCATTTCATTTCATTTTTTAGCCATAAAAATACACAGAATGAACATCATTACTTCATTTTCACTTGCCCTTAGGGGTTTTGGGTGGCCGAATGGTTAGAGCGTGCACGCTGTATCATAAGGTCCGTCATTGAGTCAACTGGCCTGGTTTCGATTCCCCGGTTGTACGCGACAAGGAGTAGGGTCGCCTGGGTCCTTTGGTTTCCTCCCCCTACGTACAAGTGACATATTGAAATAAAATTGAACCACGTGTTAGTCCCGAAATGACCTAGTTTGTGTTGAGTGGACTTTAAACCCCATTTCTCTCTTTTTATCTCTCACTTGCCCTTAAATTAAACTGTAGATCTTTTGCATCATATTCAAATATAAAGAAACTTACGATGCTGATTGTAAATTCATTTCTGCTGTAACTGCCTGTCGAATACCACAATCATTAAAATACAAAGTTTTACCATGAGCATACGGTAATAAGGCACCACAACCAAATCCTATACCACCACCTGATATTTTCAACCAATAGGATGGAAAGATACCACCTTCAAACGATTCAAACATTCGGTGTGGTAATCGAGATCCTATTGGAAGACATGATGGACCTAAAATAGGAGAGAAAATCAAATTTAACACTGGGTAAGTAAGAGAAGGGTACAATAGAATAATATCCTACAATCAACAATAATGAAGCAATATCTTTTCCGAAAAACACTGAGTAGTCTAAAAATTTGATGAAAATCTGTCCAGAATTTAACTTTGTAAAAGGAATCTGAATAGGGTAATGTATGTTTATAAACAGCCCCTCGAGTCAAGGGCAACAACTTGGAAACTAACTTTTACAAACTACTGCGTATAAAAATCTACTTCACCTCAATACTAACTATTCCTGAAATTTTGATGATAATTTTTCATGCACTGAAATGTGTAGAGTGAATACAAGTACTTTAATGTACATATTATTACTGACCATTTATAGGAATACTGACGTAAGGTGCAAGTACTGACGGGTTTAAGCGACTACTGACAACACGTATATTTCTCACGAGTTTCCATGAATAGTAACCACAATTAATCATTTCTACTCTTTTGAAGGATATTCTAACGCAGAGGCCAGTTACTCAATACTCAGAGCTCAGTTCTACACACTATGCATGTTACCGTGCATGTATGTTCGTCAACAATCGAATAATTCATTGGCAACAGACCTGGAACTTCTTAGCGGATATGCTCAAAAACGATCTGCACCATCTTGACACTAATGCTAACTATTCCTTAAACTTGACTTGAGATTGTGAAAAATTAGCTCAGTAGAGAGCATACAAGAACGGTAACATACTAATCACTTCATACACCTACCATAATAGTTTTCATCACACACACAGTTGCCATAGCTACAATCACCACGGCCATTACACATTTCAGGACATGATTCTCCTACATATATATCATCTAATGCAAAGCCTGGTGCTGCTTTAACAGGACTGTCTTGTAACCAGCGAAATCTAGTAGAACTGAAATTGAATAGCACGTATACTATATTACATTATAACAAATTTGCCAGTGGTGCCAAGTTCCTAAAGGATAGGTTGCCATGCAACGAAACATACATCCACAGCAGCTAAGTCGTCCGAGCAGTCAACAAGAGTTGTGACATATTTTTTCTATTGTCGGTAATGAAACATTTATAATACATAAAATCTGATTAAGAGCAACAACTCATTAAGTAATTATCTGAAAATCATTAGAATTTGTTTGGCTTTTAGTTCTGCCCCATGCTAATATTTAGTATACAAAACATTCAATATCATGAATTTAGCTGTTCCAGTTATCAAACTTCATTGAAAACCTTAAACTCTGTGTATCAACCTCAAGTCAATCGGATGATAACTTTGGTCTCTAGAGCATCCACAAGATATTTCAAAGTGATCAAGGGCCATAATTCTGGTAGTAATTATCAGAAACCATTGACCTCTTTTTGTCTCATGACCTTAAACACTGTGTATAAATTTCAAGTCAATCAATTGTGGATGCCAGACGGATGGACGGACAGGGGCGACGACAACATACAACCACATTTCAATGTGGGCATATAAAAATTGGGAGCAATATACAACTTATACCAGACTCTGGGTTGATGTGCATCTTGCCAGTTTCAAAATCTCCATTACCCAAATATGGTACATACACACCAATATCAATAATACAGTTTACTAAAGAATAAACTAGAAATAATACCCTATGTTTGATTATAAAATTGTGATCTTAGAACAGACAAGACTCAATGGCATTTTTCTTTCTTTGAGCAACATTTAGTTATTGAAGAATAAATCTCCAAAATTTATATATATTTTTCTGAAGTGTCTTCAAAGTTAAAATCCAATAGCATTAATCTGTTGATTAAAACAGAAAGTTGCTATAGAAAAATGTGTCACATCTATGTAGGAAAAAACAATGTATGGTTTGTTAAAGATACATTATGGGAGATTAGGTAAAGAGCTGGCAGTTCGCACTATAATAGTTAATAACTAGATATTGTAAAGGGAATTTGCTGAAAATTTCAGTCAAATTGATCCACTATGAACAGAGATTTTTGGCCTAGCCTTGATCATCATTACTAAAGTCGGTAGGATAAAAAACATAACCTCGATTATCCATTTCATGATTAAATTATGAATGGAAGTCGAACAGCAAATCGGATCCTAATCCAGTAAATATCGCAGGCTAGCGATGCCATCAAGAGTTAATTATGTTCTGGATAAGTTATTTAATGTCTAATTAATAATTTAGATAACACTTCAGGCCTAAAGAAAGACCTGCAATAGGCAGATTTAGCTCTTACATAATGTATGTTTAACATACTTCATTTCAAAGATGGTACATGTACTCTCGTGGTTATGTTTATAAACCACAAATTGTTATTCTATATACACATATAAGTTTTAGCATGATACCATTTTTCCATAGCAATCTTCTCTTTTAATCAATTGACTAACTGTTGTTGGATTTACAGATACTCCATAAAAACATATCATTCTGGTAAAAAGTATTAGATATCAGAAATTCTGGAACATATCGTTATTGTCGTCTTACTTACGCCGAGTAGACTTTATCAGGAAGCTCCATAGTGATTCTCGTCCATGATGGATGACTACCAATATTGTAAGTACTGGCCTCATGTTGATGTTGTGGTCGACACTCCATTTCATTGTTAGAATCTGGTACACATAGAGTACGAACTAAGTCCCATTTATCCGAGGAAGGATTGCGATTATATTCTAGTCTTATTGGTGAATGGTCTTCACATATATTATACACTTTATTACATCCAACCACAATCTATCAAATTTATATTAATAACATATTAATAGCAATTGTAATAGTCAGAGAGAGAGAGAGAGAGAGAGAGAGAGAGAGAAAGAGAGAGAGAGAGGGGGTTTAACTTCCACTCTGCACAAACTAGGTCATTTCAATAATTTGCTAGCGAGTAGGGGTCTTTAGTGATGGGAGGAAACCAGAGGACCCGGATAAAACCTACGAGGTTGAACAAACGCCTCTACTCCTTGCCACATACAAGCGGGGATTCGAGACCACGCTACTTGGCTCAATGACAGACCTTGTGATCAAATGTGCACGTGTTAACCATTCGAGCAACCCAACCCCCTCGACTTTACTAAGAGCAAACAAGCCAAGATATATATATATATATCAAAAGTGATGACTATTTCTCATATTTATAGACTGTTGTTATCTACAGCTTGTTAGGTCTTCTAATATACCCACCACCAGCAAATTCACCATTGCTAGCTCTAAAATCATTGTCATCAAATCCTGCAGAGCAAGATCTTTAAAGATATCAGCCATGAACTCTGACAAGCTAAATGATCCACAATATAATAAAGGTCCCTACATGCCCAGTATATTTTACAGTACACCAGATCCTGGGTGTCTGCGTTAAAGGGGCTTCCTTTTTCAAAGTAAGGACAACTATATTTTGTATGTCTTAAACTCTGATGGAGCTTTTATGATAACACAACAATGTGTGCTGTTCACAAAATATAGGATTCATCATATATTTTCAATAAAAATATTTTAATAGCATCTTTTTTTAACATGAAATGATGCCATCTCCAATGTTTTCTTTGTGAGAGTGATAGAGGTTGAAAACCATGCTAGATTACTTCACAATTCCTGAACTTATAGCTACGTTATCTACAGACACGTGAACAGTATCGTCCAATCAGAGGTTGTGACATAGCGACCTCCGCAGAAACCAAGACAAAGACAGAACCCTGAACTTTGCAACTCGATTATCACAGGTAGACATTTTAGCTTGAAAGCGCGAGACTTGGTATTCGCGACGAATTAGGAATCTGATAGGCTCATAAGCTGGGCTTGTACCCAATTGAAATTAGTGCTGAAATATGCAGGGTATTACGTGAAGACCTTAATAAGATGTATGTAGTTAAAGCGAGATCAAGCCTTCTATTGAAGATGGCACAAGATAGGAATATGTGGTTTTCACAATAAGATAGCATGAAGGACCTCAAGTTGTATCAAGATTCTCCAAACTAGTCCAAAAACTCCTACCTTAAATTGTAACATATAGCCAGTTTGCACAATTAATTGGTTTGTTGTAAAATGGCGGCTTCCTTTTCCTTCCTTCCATGACACCACATCATCTTGTCTAGAACACACTGTATCACTCTTCTCACCAAACGGACTAAACTCCCAGTTACCACCATCATCCTGTGGTATACTCTCATTAAATGATGTCTGAAACGTGCTAGGATTAATGTCTGTACCACCTGAAGGCAAAATTCAGCACATTTGAAGACCCATGTGCAGTTCAATCAGCACAAGAAAACATTCTCAATCCCATACAATCTCCACAGTAAACTACACACATTCAAATATATCAGAAACATGCACAAATAGTACTAAATAGTAGAATTTTAAATAGAACAATGTGACATTGGCTTCCTTTTGTTAATACTACAGGACATGCTAAATCCTTGGTTGACGATAATTGACAAGTGAGAGAGCGAGAGAGAAAGGGGTGGGGAATCGGAACCACGTCACTTGACTCAATAACAGACCTTATGATTTCATGCGCATGCGTTAAACCACTAGATAGGTTTAACGCCCTATTTTTATCCACTTAAATTTTTCCCAGATGGTATTTCTACGGATTCTTCATCAAATTCCAACGTGCAAGGGTCTTTCACTTGCACGTCAATGTGTACTAAGGCCCTATGTTTTTTTTGTAGCTTTCGAATGATTAGACAATGTTTGTTGCCAGGCCCTCCATCCTTCACTACTAGAAACCAGACAGGAAAATCCTGTGAGACTTATTTGAACATGGGACCTTTAAGTTAGTGAGCCTGTGCCTTACTAATTAAAGACGAATTCAAACTTGTTTAATTCAACAATTATGATTAAGAAGAAAAAAGCCATACCAATAAATACGTTATCTAGAGACCATGTAGGTCTATCTGCTGTAGGATTAATAGATAATGGCTGCCACCATCGTATTCGTGTACTATAAGTTCTAGCTATATCAGGTAGATGTATGTAATCTTGTTTGGGTGTTAAATAATTGGTGTAGTCTAATGTATGCAGTGGCTGCCATGATATACCTGTAAGAAAAAAAAAACAAAATCAATCTAAAACTAAATCTATACTAATATCTGTCACAGTTGTTTGTCCATCTGTCTGTTCATGGTTGGCGGTTACACTAGGGCTGTTCAAGTTTGAAATTTGGTGTATAGGGGTAACTCGGTCTGGGACTAACATTGGCCAGGTGGCAATGGCCTACCACTTCCGGTTTCTGAGTAACGGACGCAACCCATGCAGCGCCAGGTCAACGGCTAGTTATTCTAATAAAACTAAATTATTCTAATAGATTTAAATCAAAACAATGGTAGAACTTTTTGGATACGACATTTTAGACCATTTGATTCATCTTTCTCGGCTGTTTAACTGTGATTTGACAGTAGTAAACTCTTGTTAGGAGTCGGGTGTCTATACCATACATCCTATGCCCACTAAATGAGTTGAAACAATCCCCTTTAAATATGCACCTGCTTTCTCTCTTCCTCTCTCTGTCACTACAAAGGGTTATGGTCTATCATGACAGTTTTTGGATAGAGATAACAAACAGTCTTCAGAAATGGTAGAAAAAAGAGATCGAGATCAAATATTACCTCCATCAGTAGAGAACTGTAGTATAACACTCTGATCACGAGTATTGGGTAGAAAACAACCTGTCACTTGACTCTGACCTCCTATCTGACCTGTATACTGTACAAATCTGAAATGAAATGAAATAGGGTTTAACGTCCTACTGTTCTGCTCCTAAACTAGGCTAATGGAGATGGGCATACACCATACAGTGTGCTATGAGGGGTGCAAAATGACAACATATCCACAGATTTTAAATTAAAGAATGTATTTTTTCTACAGTGGTGTTAAAATATTGGGAAAGAATTACAATCAAATAAATGTATTCTAAAAACATGTGCATGCCAACAATTATTAGTTGACGACCATCCAGTATTTAGTTAGCATCATTTGGTTGGTCAAATCACAGAGCTAAAATTTTTACAGTTTTCTTATTTTTGTTTTACCTGGCATCTCTAAGATCTAAATCAACTGTTACAGCTTGACGTATACCTGGTCCGTTAAAAACAAGAGCTGTATCTTGAACTAAGATATTACAAGGATCACCAATATCACCAGCTTGTACCACGGACCATTTACTACGATTAACATTAGGTTCATCAAACATATCCTTTAACTGGGTCTAAAATCATACAATCTACATTCAATTGTTTTAATCTACACAATAACATAAATTGTATCCCTTTTCTGACAGATTTTCTAGTACAAATATCGTTAAGTGTATGACTGTACGTACATGTGGAAAAGAATTTTGCCCATTTCACTGAAAGAAAATGAACTGAATTGGGATTACAGCCGGATTTACACTTTACCAAGCTAATCTGCCAAGTAATATACAGTCATCTGTATCTACTATAGGAGTGAATTTTGTCTTGGGAGCAGTATTCTAAACTATTCTTCTTTTAATTTCCATTGTCAATAGGACCTTTTTGGTCTCAACTAATCAATTAGGAATGTTTTCTTCTCAGCCCCAACCCAGGATGAAACCTAGGAGAGAATCCAATACCCCAACCAACATAACCCCAGAAACATATACATATCGGAACCTACGACTCCTACCACTGACATTGTCAGGTATGAATTATCTGTCTGCCTACTTACCGGATTATTTTCACCAAATATTGATTGACAAGCCTCATTACCATATGCTTCATCACAGATGCATGTTGGGTAGTCACAGTAACCATGACCGTTACAATAGTTAGGGCAGGCAGGACCTATATAAATATCTTTGATAGCCCAAGTTGATGGCTTGGGAGAAGCACCAAATGGCTGTGTCCACCGGAACCTTGTAGCACTGAAATAAATATCAAATGTAAGTCTTTATATTTGTATTCAAGGGTTGGCTGGCCGAATGGTTTAACATGTAGGCTTTGGATCATATGGTCTGTCATTGAGTTAAGTGGCGTGGTTTGGATTCCATGCTTGTCCAGGGAAGAAGGGTTGTCTCTCCAATCTTGTGGGTTTTCTCTGAGTCCCCCAGTTTCCTCACTTTGATTAAGTTCCCTAAGCGCAAATTGAACCCGGTTTGTCCCGAAATTACCTAGTTTGTGTCAAGTGGACGTTAAATCACATTTCTCTCTCTCTCTCTTTCTCTTTTTATTGTTATCACACAACAGACCCAATATTTAGAAAATTATTCAGGACTGATTTTCCATTCCCATGTATTACATATGGCCTGGAACAACTGGTATCAATTCCAAGCCAATCAAATCATAAATTCTGTTTCTAGTGGATCCACAACATTTATCAAAGTGTACCTATTGTTCATAAACTCACCATAGAACTATGTCTAATGCCCACCATGTTAAAGTCAATGAGAGTCATTTGCATTGTTCACACGATGTTCCAAGTTGATCATTAACAATTAATTAAGAAAAACTAAACAAAAACATCAAAGGTAGATAATCTCTTAGCTTGATTGAATAATGGGCTCATCAAAAGATTTTATTATACCTTTTAGTGATTCAACGTTAACAACCTAAATGATGATTACCAGCTTGAACTATTTCTACTTTCATGATAGATCCCATAAAAATATCATTAAGATGTAAAATAAAGTCATCCTTACTTTGAAAGAGGAAGTCCCTCTAAAGTTAAACTGATACGCTGCCATCCAGGATCTGGTGTACTGTAAAATATACTAGGCATGCTAGGACCTTTATTACATCGTGGATCGTTAGGTAAACATTGAGGTTTTAAATAACTCCACGTCAATCCATGGTCAGTTGAATACTGAAGATGGACTGGACTCGCAGATACATTTCTTGGCTGTCCACATCCAACATTTAAAAGGAACTGTAACATGTAGCCTGTATCTAGAGTAATCTCCCTTGTTATTAATACTGATGACTCGCCGTTTTTAGTTGTACCAACAATCGCATTCTCTTCATTACAATATTCACCAGCGTGTAAATTATCAACTGTCACAAAATCTTTTGGATCAAGTTTATCTGTAATGTTACTTTTAAATAAAGTAGGGTTTATTTCTTCTCCATTTATTCTGACACTATCTAATAACCAATCACTGAGTAGTTTACCCTGATTCTCTGGTTGCCACCATCGTATTCTTACACCATTTTTCTTAGCAGCTTTGGGTATTTTGATACTTATAAAACTGAAAAATGGAAATGAAATACATTCAATAGTGAATCAAGAATCAAAAGTTTCAAAACTAGATCAATTGATGCAGCTGATGAGTGATCCCGGTGGTTACTCTGTAAGTGGTGCAGAAGCTGGATGGAGGGCAAAGGTCAGTGTCTACTCGTTCAAATCAGACAAAAAAACAAGATCCTGTGTACATGTTGGCATGCACATAGTAGGAATTTGTAATAAGAGTGGGCCCTAGTGCAGCTGTCTGAGCAAAATTTCCCTTATACCATACTGCTTAGTAATGACATGATAGTAAAGAAAGAATAAAATATCGCCATGGTAATAAAACATATCATATCAACATGGTAATACAAACATATTATATCACCATGATAATATGACATATATCACCATGATAATAAGACATATCAACATGGTAATAAAAACCATGGTACTAAAACATACTATATAACCATGGTACTAAAACATACTATATAACCATTGTAATATAATGTTGATATATAAATTAGTACAATGTTCTGTTACCATGAAAATGATTAAGGACTGAAAATGCAAATTTTTATGATGATGTACAAAAATTCAAGCACAATTCTGTTGACATGACGGTGTTCTATTTTTATCCCCAAAACAGTCTGTTACCTTGGTGATGAATAAAGATTAAAATAAAGTTCTGTAATTGGTAACCATGTTATACCAGCATCTGTTGAGTAATCTAAGAGAACACTCTCGTTTCTCGATACTGGTGACGCATTACAACCAAACATAAAATAGAACTGGATGAACTTGGAATCTCTGAGGTCAAGGTCACGTGTCATTAACAGACGATTACAGCTCTGAAATACCAAAAAGATAAAACAATTCAATGCAAAAAGAATGCAAATGAATATGATTTTAGTAACATGATTTTGGTCACCATGGGTGAATAATGCCTGATTTGAATTGTTTCCAGTGACTCTTGATCAAATGCCATCTGCTAAGGGATTTTTACATACTCTTTCCAAGCTTGATAAATCTCAGTGGTCTTCAATTTGAACCACGCTTGGATTCAAACCCTGACCATTCTATCCATTAGTCCAGTGCCAACCAACATGTTAATCACAACCTCTGAGACTTCTTAAATGAATATAATTACCCCAGTAAAATGAAGAGCTTTTCCAGCAGCCACATAATAACATGGTGAAGCAACTTCTCCTCCAACAACTTTTAACCAGTTATCAGGGTCAGTAGCATCAGTAAAATCTTCCACTAGTATCTGTAGCAATGGTGATACTGGTTGACTGCAATCTTCACCTTCCCAGTTATCATCACATCTGTAATAAATAGACAAATCAGTTGTATTTCTGGAGGGGTATGGCCATAGTTATGGAATTACCCAACCCCTTCATTATTTATGTAAACTTTTATAATTTGCATCCCTCCTTCTTTGATCACATCTAAATGGTAGACCGATGAGGTTTATCCAAAGAGCCAGAGAGGCACAAATTCATTTCAAGACCCAAATAATATATGTTACAATAATTTATGCAAGTCAGAATTACCCATATCAAACCTAAATCTTCAACTCAGAGATCATATATACTTCTTTTTAGACTAGACAATGATAGAAAATATGTCATTAAAATTTAACAAGGGTCTGGTTTATAACCATAAAACTACTTGGACACTTACACACATGTACTATTTGAACATCGACCACGTCCATTACACATTTTACTACACTCTGTACCAATATATAAATGTGATAATGCCCAGGTATCAGATGGATTAAAATCATCTGGTTGAAGCCAACGGAAACGTGTAGATTTAGATCTGAAATAAAATATTCAAATAATGAACAAGACTTCACTAAAACTTATATACTCAAATATCTGAACACATTTCAAGTCATTCAATAAAACAATGGAGATATAAAGGTTTACCATCAGTAATAGATATTAGGTATATAGGTATTGTTATTTTGTGTCAGTTATTATGAACATTATAGGGACTAACATAGAACCCTGTGGCACTCCAATTATAAGTTTCAATAACTAAAGCACAATGATTTTTTACCATACAAGGTATAGGTCTTGCTATTTTGTTCTAATTATATTCAAGAGAATTGGACCAAGAACTGAATTCGGTTGCTTTTAAAGGTATACTGGCTCATAGCAATATAAATTAGATACAATGGTATTGTTATTCTCACATGGCTATTATGAACAGAAATGTCAGTAAAGCGGAACCCTGAGATAAGGTTTGATAACAAGAGCCAAATTCTTCTATTCAAATTATCATAAACGGAACTGGGCATAGAACAGACCCTCATGGCACACCAGTCAACAGTTTCTATAAGAAGAAAGTGGACATGCTTACCTGGCATAATAAGGTATCACCATTGTTATTCTGTTCCAGTTATTATAGACATCAGATTGGTATATAGAGCTAGTAAAATATGAACTACAGTCTATATTAGAAGGTATACATGCTGGTTGTAATAAACTCCATGTTTTACCCATATCAAATGAAAACTGGAGATAAATACCTGAAAAATACCATCAAGGATTAAACTTATTATTGGCAATAAATAGAAACAAATCTAATTTGTAAATGAAGAACAGCAATCTTTATTTCATCAGAAGACTCAGAATTTAATCTAAACCTTAGTACAAGGAGAAGGATTTTGGTATGCATATAGTCTGTGAACCCAAAGGTGACTATATATTACTTTTCTGATTCATAAAAACTACAAACTTACTGAAGGAGTTTCATAGGGAAAACTATGTTCTTACAGACACCTGATACTACTTCACTATTAGGAAATCCACTAACTTGTATTTTCCTTTTAATATATGGACTTATTGTGAACACTATTTGCATGTTTTGAGTATCTATTAAGATGTATCTATATCGTCAATGCAGTAATGTAGAAAATATCTTACTAAAACAATGTTCTGGTTTATCACATCCCATGGCTAGATCAAATTGTAAATATGATCCTTCTACTAGACTAACATCAGATGATATAGCATATCTCATCTTCTCTTTCTCTGTAAAATGGTAAATAAAAATAACAATGAGTTTTAGATCTGTTCATCATAAAAATGCTATAACATTAAAAACCTGATAAAGCAACACTATTTGGCTATATATTATCATTACCTGTTGCTCATTTACTATAAAGTTATCCCAGGAAAATATACTGGTACCTTTAAAATGAAGAGCATTTACATCTGACTGACAGACAGGTTCAACCACACCCCCAGGATACATCAGCCATGTTGAATCATCTGGTTCAGTTGGTTGATCTTGTTGTAGTTTATCACCATAAATATCACCTCCAATATAAATCTATAAGCAAATAATTTCTTACTATTTATAGCTTCGAGACTTAGACAAACATAATTTGAAAGTGCTCTAGCCTCCTTATTGATCATCACAAGATAATGTACCAGAATATCAATATGATCAATTTTGATCTTTTACTACAGATTGGACTTTCCCAACTTACGTCAAATTTAGAGCTAGCCATAATGGTTGAGATTAACAACTGAGTCAACAAGCACATAAGTTTAAAGCTTGTGAAAAAGAGAATATGAAAGCAATTGTCTACAGAACAGAAAAGGCACCATCAAAGAATTAACAACTTAAAGGACATCTTTACCAACCTGATCAATAGACCAAGAATCATCATAAATTCCATCCACACTGGGTTGCCACCATCTGATCTGTGTTGAGTTAGTCCTAGCTGGAGTAGGAAGATGTAGTGCTATATATTTAGGTCTGTGACCATGTATGTGAAAGTCAAACTGTTCTATGGTATTCCAGTGTACTCCACCATCGGCTGTATATTGTAGAAATACAGGGGATGCTGGGAAGGTTGGATGATGACATCCTTGTTGTAGGTAAAACTCTACAGAACTGTAATTTTCAATAGTAAATGAAATGCAATATACTGATGTCTCATGTTGAGTCAAAACTGGGGTGTTCAAAAATGACAGAATTGTAATCATCATGATACATATTTTATTTGTTTCAGTATTCTGAATATCCCAATAAAAAATTGTTGTGTAATTAAACATGGTAAGAAAGTCTGATTTATTTGATACATTTTCCGATTGAGATGACATGTTGACAAATATCTCATATTCATTGTCAGTATATATGTAGTCCAAAACATCCATTTGAGTATTCTCTGCCTCTTTGAGTCATATAAATGAAATGAAATGGGGTTTAACGTCCTACTGTTGAGTCATATAATGCTGTATGTACAACAAAAGCTGCAAATAGCATTAATCTATCAGATGCATGATGTTTTAAGACATTGTTAAGATGACTATCTGCGCCCAATCAATCAAGTCACCTGACTGAGGTTATCTACACACCTAACTTTAGTTAGATCTAATTCTTTGGTGGTTAAACTTCTTTCCCCTTTGTTATCAAAGAATAGACTTGGACCAGTAAATATAACACCACAATCAGTTGACACGTCTACACCACTCCATACAGACCACCTGTCTTTATTTAATTTAACCGGTTCTGAAATAAGAGAAAAAGAAAATACCAATTGTACCTTATTTGACCAAAAAATGCCACAAAACTATTAAACACAAAACCTGCTTTTATTTAATTCAATTGATACTGAATTATAAAAACAAGAGAAGATTGTATAATATTAAAGATACCACGAAACTACAATACAGACATATCTTTTATCTAATTCAGTTGATTCTGAAATATTAAAACAAGAAACTATACTATATTTTACCACTGATGCATCTTTAAAAATTAAACATTAATTAGCCAACTGATTTTGAAGCCAAGCGACTGATTAGAGATTCCTTAAAGATCATACCCTTTAATAAGCAATCACATGGCAAATGTAGACTTGTTCAGCTCAGCTTAGCAGGGCATTTAACATAATAATCTCATAATATACAAGGTATCTCATTTTTGAAAGTGAGGAATATTTACCATCATTTAGCGGTCCTACAGGTAAATCACCACGATGAGAGAAAGGTAACAGTACAGGTTGATTAAAATCTTCTTTAAGATAAGTAGGATTGGACTCATATGGTATACAAGTCATACCACTATATCCATCATCACAATCACACATCATATTCTCATTACACCGACCATGTCCATTACAGTGACTCAAACATGACATACCAATATAAATATTATCAACAGCCCATTCTGGACCAAAATCATATTCTGGTATTATACCCTGATGCCAACGGAATCTCACTGATCTGGAAAAAGATATCGGGCGAAGGTTTATGAAGTTATCACTTGAGAACACAACCTTGATAATAAGTAGCATGAAATTTATAATCAATCTGTCATAGCAAATTAAATTATTGAGTTGAAAACTCAGTTGGGAATACATCTTAGAAAGATCTGCTGTAGCATTAGGAGATCCCAGGTTAGATTTCTGAGGTTCGATCTCTGTGTTAACCCAAGAAAGTTCCTCAGGATTTTCCAGTCTGGTTTCCCATTGTCTGTGACGTGGAATGGGGAGCCTGTCAAGAAATAGCATCCCATGTACTACATCGGCAGCATTTTAAATCCCCTGACAGTTGGAAAATCGAAACCAAGAGTGGAATGTGGAGCTACTGTAAAAGCAAAACTTCCCTCAGAATATACTGGTGCAGAAAATTAAGACATCAAACCCCATTTCCTTCTACAGAACACTCTGGACGACAAAAATGTTTTGCTAAAAATTTCAATTGCTTGTTATTAGCGCCCATGGAAAAATATATATTCTATGTTAATTCAGTCCAAAGAACATGCTGCATCTACAATTGTATTAGGTGAATTACAAATTTCAGTAATTGTTCAGTTGGGCATATTTTTAGATAGGATTTTTTCACCTACCCACAGAGATGTATAGAATCAATAGGAACAATGACTCTTCTCCAATCAGCAGTTGTCCCACCATAATATATAGTAGCTGGAAGACGACTGTGGAAACATCTAGCTTCAGAGAACTCAGCACAGTTCATCACCAATAGTTGCCATGTTTTACCACCATCTGCTGTGTATTCTAATCGTACAGGATATTTATCAGTTGGTTCAGCTCCACAGCCTACATTTATCTGAAACAACAAAAATAACCTACAATATATTCAAATTTATCCTGAAAAAATGGAAAAAGAGTATGACAAAAATACAAATTGAATCTTAATTCTACTACTGTACTAGCTAGGCATTACTACATAACCATATCTGTTACAATGAGGGTGAAACGTAGCATTCTTCTACATGATCAATGTGGAAATGATGCTGCTCTTAGACTTATAATTAAATATATATGAGAATAAGACTATAGAGATCAGCAACACTAAGTTAATAGAGTTAATGTGGCTGGACAGTATTGGATGATACCTGGTGCAGGTAGCAAACTGAAATGAAATGGGGGTTTAACATCCTACTTTTCTGCTCCGTCTCGGCTAATTATAAAGGGCATACGACATGCAGCTTGCTATGAGGGATATTTTGCCTGGACATCACCGCTATGGCATATTCTTATTTCAAATTCAAACTGTCAAGGGTTCTTTTACATGCATGCTAGGTCTGCTGGGTTTTGGTGCAAAACATCCAACTCAGAGTCACACTCCCCTTTTCTTATTATTTTATCCATCCACTTCATATCATTTACCTGTAAAAATGAATGAAACTTACATCAAATTGTAGAACAGACATTGGTCCTATGTTTAAATCTCTAGTTTCAACTGACTTCTCCCCACTTCCAGTATGACGAAAGACTAGTGAGGATAATCCAGATGTATTTGTAGTTGGTCTGAAAAATACAAAAATCAAACTTTGCAGTTTAATTATAACTCACAGTGCTATCAATATAGGACCATTTTCATTATACTGACATGGCTGCATAGCAAAATCATAAAATGATTGTAATGGTAAAGTTTAAATTGAAACAAATGTTGTGTTAATGTAAGGTCTTTACTCTGTCTAGTAAAAGTTGGTAAAATTATAAAAAGTCAAATAAGAACCCTAACATCAAAAAAAAGTCAAGTAATTTAATTCTCACGTCGGTCTTTCAAGCTACTAAATTCATTTTCTCCATCTTGGGACACAAAACATATTGTTATTCCCTCCCTAGGGGTCATTTCTTCCTACATTAACTTCAACTCATTGTAACTCACAATATCCTTTCAGCTGTGTTGAAGGTAGCTTTTTCAGTTTTAGTTAAATTTTTAAAAAAGAAAAAGAACAAACCCAGTATTAAATTGACAATATTCTCCTGTTTTACCACCATTAATAAACATCCAGTTGTCTGGATTCTCTCCATTATCAAAATCATCCAATAACATACTAGGATTCATTGGCATGGTACCAATAAATAAATTATCTATTGACCACGTAGTCTGCATCTCTCCTATAAAAACAAAAGTAAATTATTCCAATATGTGACAAACCAGTTACTAAATATGTCATGTTAGTGACCTTGTGACATCATCATTTCCAAAAAAAGTTGAATTTTAAAAAATAAAACAGAGTATATTTCTATTTGATTTGGTGTATACAAACAAAATCAGAAGAATAAGGTAATGGGTCACCTTAGTAGGGCACCCAATGCATATCCAAAAATTGTTTTGTCCACATTATAATAATCAACACCAAAATGAACAGAAATGTAACTATACTCTACTACTTCCGTGTAAAATCGTGAAGTCATGAAATAGTTGACATCACATATCTTGGTATAAATGTTCAATTTTTAGCAACTTCATTGACCATTAGATGTTTTAAGCACAGTGCGGATCAATTTTGGAATTTGTGAAAGTGGGTGGGCACCCAGAAAAAGTTCTATGAATTACAATAACTGAACACAGTATCTTTGCAAACAACAAAAGGTGAGAAAACAGTTTTACCCCTGAAATAATAAATAAGTGCTTCTTAAATATACAGTATTCAAATATATTTACCATCATTCATAGGCTGCCAGAAACGAAATCTTGTAGCATTCATTCTTGCCAACATTGGCAGAGCAAGGCTAAAAAACCTTAAAAAAAAAATATAATGTATGATGAATACATATGGACTCCTTTTACATGCAAACATTTCATAATATTTCTTCTACATTATTTGAAAACTTACTTGAAAGCTCAAATTTTAAAGAAATATTTTTATGATGAATTTGATCTGATTAATTGTTAAAAGTTTTACCGATTGCCTGATTCATTTCTGTAATGTAACTCTTGTAGAAGTTTCCATGTAATTCCACCATTACTTGAATACTGTAATAATACACTGTGAGTTCTCGGCCAATCAAATTGCTTGCCGTCACAGCCATATCTGAAGTGAAACTCAATGGTTGTCAACATTGAAGTATCTATATCCTTGGTTACAGCCATACGCAATGCATCCTGAAACATAGGTCAAAGGTCACCACTATAATGATTAGTAATAATCGGTAGTCTAAAAAAGCCAAGCCTATCCAGTCTTCGGAGAAATGGAGAGAAATGTGGTTTAAAGTCCACTCAAAGCAAACTAACAAATTTTGGAACTAATATATGGTATATTTCATTGAAATAAATGAAAACCCTCAACACAGTCAGAAAAAAACCCAGGAAGGTTTTGTTATAAAGTCTTAGGGTGGTGATTCATAGTTTCAAACCCAGGAATCATCATTTCTTTCAGTGCAAATCCCTAACCACTTTTAATTAGATTTTAATGAATCCAAATTAGTAATACTTTAAAAATCTAATATTCATATGACCTTCATGTTACCTTGTGAAATGTGAGAGAATTTCCATTAACAAGATGTCCACAGATATCAGTATTTTCACCGCCATAAATTTCTCTCCATTTACTTCGATCAGGTTCATCTGATTGGAAATCATCTTTTAGAGACATTGGTAGTGGTTCCGAAGGAACACATAATGTACCCTCAAAACCTGGATCACATCTGAATAGAAAATAAATTAGAGATAAATTAAGATATATTTGTCAGTCTTGTCAATGATCATTTTCTGATGAATTTGTTGATCACTTGTCTGTGGTGTCTAAATTTGCCTTCTCTTGTTTGTCAGATTTATACTTTCAGCACATAAAATTATATTCTCTTTTTAAATCCACAAGTTGAACTCCTGTTATGAAACTAAAATATAAAGAATTATAATCTTCTAAATATGATGGGAATTCGTCAAAGAGTAGGTGATAATGATAATATGCTGTCCGGTCAAAATTTGACTCCTTTCCATTGGAAACATGACCATAATAAATAAGTGGCGAGAAAAACATTAGTCATCAAAGCGAAAATTTAATATTTTCTAAGAAAGTCAAAAAGTAATTATTTTTATATCTATTAATTAATAAAGTTGTCAAAGCACTACTACCGGTATACAATCATAGGAATCATTCTAGCACTCTAAAAAATATTCACGTAAAAATTGGAAATAATTTCTACTCGCTGACAGTATTTGGAATTGGTATTATTTCTTTTCACTGGATAACTAAGTCTACACAATGAAAGAGAGTTGACTTCATCATCTAGGTCTGTGGTTAAACAGATAAGGATAATGATGCCTGGTTGAGCGAGACTTTTCAAACCTGCACACATGACAATAACGTTGGATTTAAAAAGAAAATGATATATTATTTGCCAATTTCTCAACTGACACAAGTGAATTATAGGATTTAGGATTATTCTTTAATAAGGTAGGACTGTGTGTAAAGATGCTATGTTTTTTAAGGCTTTATTTTAGCATATTTTAAACATATGACCTAAAAATGTCATTATCGCTTTAACTCTGTTTCATATTTTTCCCTAAATTATAGTATTTTATCATTATACTTACATACATTTCCCTTCATCACAATAACCATGACCAGAACACATCCAGGGACAACCTTCACCAAGATACACATTATCTAAAGCCCATACTGTACCTCTAGGATGCGATGTATGCTGTAGCCAGCGGAATCTTGTAGCAGGTGATCTAAAGTGGAAAAATATTTGTTGAATTAAAGATGCACTAGGAATGGGAGAGAGAGAAATGGGTAATTAACGGACACTCAGAACAAAAAGTAGGTCATATCAGAACTAACATATGGTTAAATTTTATTTCCATCATTTGTATTTAGTAGTTTGAGGAAACTAAAGGACCCAGAGAAAACCCACAAGATTGGACAAGCGACCCTCCTCCTTGTCACATACAAGCTGGGAAGCAAAACCACACCATTTGATTTAATATATATGATCTAAAATGCACGTGTTAAACCATTAGGTATACTACCGCCCCACCTCCCAGATCATTTCAAGTGGCACATTATAAAAATGATCTAATAAAAACATCAACTAAATTTAACTGTAAATCATAACAGAATCAAAAGGTTTACATATTTTCTCCTGTATACCTCTATATTAAACATCAGCATATGATAAATATAACTTACACAGCTCCTGGTGGAAGATAAACAGTGACACGAGTCCAGTTCATATGTTGATCTGACGAATATTCACTAGACAGATGATATCCACTACATTCAAAATTAGGTGGCATACATTCTGATATAACAGGATGCCAGGTTTTACCCATATTAACGGAATATTCCAACATGACACTATATAATGTGCCATATAGAGAACCACATCCCATAGCTATTTCAAACTGTAGAAACGTGGACGGTGTCACATGATAGTCCCAAGTCTCAGCATAACGTAAACCTGAATGATAAAATTAGAATGAATAATGATAGATTCTCTCACATTCTGCTAATACTACTAATTCAATAATCCTATTGGTTCTATGGTAGAAAATGTGCATGTGCATGTGCATATAAGATGCAGGTGTAGTTTGTCTACTACACCTTTTCATTTGTGGTGAGTTTGAAAAGCTAACAAATTTTCTGTTGTATTTTAACACTGTCAAATGTATTACATACCTGTATTTGAGCTGAATTCAAGAGCATTTCCTTTAGAGTTACAAGTAATTCTAGGAACAGCACTATCTGCGAGGAACCAGGTGTGAGGATCTGGCATCATCATGTTAAAATTATCCTGGAAACCAACTGTATTTGTGTCGTTTACACCAATCAAAACACTATCTATTGCCCATTCTGCTCTCGGCATACCTTGAAAAGTTGATTAATATAAAAATGTTTTTATTAATACTCTACAGGTTAAAACAATCTTTTGATTATTTTAAGTTTCATATCTGCCGAATGAATTAACGTGTGCTCACCTCCATGACCCAGTGGTTGCCACCATCTGAATATTGTATGATTGGTTTTAGCATCTTTAGGGAGTTGAACCTGTACCACCTGAGTTGTTGTATTATAAATCTTTGGTTCAATAACTTTCAATATATTCCAGGTTATCTCATTATCTGTAGAATAATCCACTATGACCCCTTCATTACGGTTTTCAGGTTGACGACAGCCATTCTGATTTCTCTCTCCTCCAATCTTTACCACAAACTGTATCATTCTATAAAATAAATTAAATGGGATATAACGTTTTACTTTTCTGCACTAACTGGGTCAGAGAGTCTGGCCAATTGGATCCATGGTCACCGTTTGTTGCCCAATCTGTAAGTTTAGGAGATTACCATTAAAAGAAAACCAATATAACATATTGAGCATCAGTGAAAATAAACCTGCATTAGTCACAGTGGTAAGAAACAGAAACTGTTCAACTAGTATTAACTCCTCGTGTAATTAAACCACTTTCAAATACATTTCTTACCTAAGATTTGTTGTATCTAAAGCATCTGTTTTGGCTTCTCTAGTTCCTGGTCCGTTGAAATATAAAGAGTTACCAAAATCAACAATACCACATCCCCTACCTAAATATCCTCCCAAAATTTTATTCCAATATGCTGTTGGTTGATTCCTATTATCAAATCGATCAAGCATTCCCATTGGTCGTGGTTCATCAGACTGACATTCTGGACCTAACAAAAGAAATAAATTAAATAAAGAGAGAAACCCAATGAACAATAACTAGGTCATTTCAGGACTAACATACAGTACATCTTAATTTCAATAATTCACTGCAGCACATGTCCAAAGTACCTAAATGGACAACAGGGTTAGTCATGGTGATCCTAAACCTGGTCACATACAAGTCTCAGACTGATCCTACTTGTATATAATGGCACTTTTGCAAAGAAAAATAAACTTTCAGTTTCCCTTCAAGGTTTCCAAATCACATTCAGATATTCTAAAACAAATATTGTTTATTAAAAAAAATAGTCTCCAAATTTCTGAATAAACATGGCCATAATGAGGAAGCTATGCCCATAATTTCTACAATCAGGGAATGTTTTCTATTCTACAATACAGTAGGTTTCATTCAAAATAATTGTTAAACGTACCATATAAATTTTCATCACACTGACATTGATGACTTTTACAGACACCATTTCTATTACAGTTATCATCACAAGGTGAACCAATATAAACATCATCCAATGCAAAACTATGAGTCATATCTCCAGGTTGCCACCAGCGAAACAGAGATGGACTTGAATAGATAACAATAATGAATAATGTCAAAATAAGGATGGACTTGAATAGATAATGATAATAAATAACTTCAAAATTACATAATAAAACTTCATGTAGACAATATAGATATTTACAATCTAACAAACGAAATAAAAATGTAAATAGTATACCCACTAATGCAAGTACGAATTTGCTGATGGCTGTTCAATAATTTCCAAATATGTAATTATTAGTTTAACAATTAGTCCAGGGAAGAGTCCTTGAGCCATCATTTGGTTTGCTTATCTGACTGCCCAGCTAATACAATATGAATTTCATTCCAGCGTGCGTGTATAGTTTTCCAATGAAACCAACAATTTTATTTTTGACCAAAATCAACAAGATATAGCCACTTTAATGTGCACATAGAAACAGATTACTAAGAGACTTACTGTTGAGCTATCTTTTCAGGAACAGGTATAACAATAAGAGTCCAAGCACCATGTGTACCAGGATAATATATACTACCTTCAGTATAATCACCATCACAGTCTTGTTGCTGATAACATGGCTCCTGTACTAGATGCCATGTTCTTCCACCATCCTGACTATACTGTAACATTACTGGATAATCCCATCTAAATCTACTACCACACCCAACATTTATCTGTAGACAAGATCAATCATACAAAAAATCAAGCAGACAGATTTGTGTTTTATTAATATCTTCCAAGTATCTATACTCAGCCAAATGAAAAACTTGACACTGATGAATTTCAACAAATTTTTTTTTCTGGTAAGTCAAATAAATTTTAAAGTGTTTCTAACGATAGTAAGTAGTAAGACGCCTTTAATTTCATAAAATTGTAAAGTCACGTGGATCACGTGACTTTGAGCATATAAAGATGAAAAACCTGAAAAACATGTGCAAACACAAACTCATGAGGTCAATTGATGCAAGTTTGCTTAAACTGAACACGCACACGTAACTTGAACTGGAAAAACAAATTAAAATTGTTATTTTCATCTTTGTTAGAAAATGCTGCGCCTTTCAAATGTAGAACGTCTACGTGCTATAGGTAGGCTCTATGCTGGTCAGTCTGTGGTCACTGTTGCAAGAGCCTTTAATTGTTCACGCCAGACAATAATTAATCTTAGAATGAGAGTGCTTCAAACTGGAACTATTGCCGACCGCCCAAGGGCGGGAGCGCCACGTGTGACGTCACTCCAGGAAGATCAAGCAATACGATTACGTCATCTTAGAAACAGATTTGTCACTGCAACCTCCACAAGTAGAGAGATGTTTGGTGGAAGGGTAACTGCACAAACTGTTCGAAATCGCTTGCAGGCTGCTGGTCTTCGAGCTCGGAGGCCCTATAATGGACCAATATTGACACCTCTTCATCGCAGTAACTGATTTGTGTGGGCCACAAGACACATAAGATTTACTCAAAGACAGTGGAATTCAGTTGTCTTTAGTGACGAATCTCGATTCACTTTGAGATTTGCCGATGGCAGGGTCCGAGTGTACCGCAGACGAGGTGAACGTTACGCTCAAGTATGCGTCAGAGAAGTTGACCAATTTGGTGGCGGCAGCGTCATGGTTTGGGGTTCTTTTTGTGCACATGGACGTTCTCCTCTTGTTGTTGTCCAAGGGAACTTAAATGCTGTCCAGTACAGGGATCAGATTTTGCAACCTGTTCTTCTTCCGTTTATGCAGAGACATGGGCCTGGACTAACGTTTCAACAAGACAATGCTCGACCCCATACAGCAATTGCTACCCAGAATTTTTTAAGAAATGCCGGTGTCAAAGTCCTGGATTGGCCGTCACTTAGCCCCGACCTTAATCCTATTGAACACATCTGGGACAAACTGGGTCGACGTGTTCGTCAGCAAGTGAATCCACCACTGACGTTGCAGGACCTTCAACATGCTCTTGCTGAGCAGTGGCGACGTCTTCCTCAGGTAGTGTTTACTAATGTTCTGAGATCCATCAGAAGACGTTGTGTGGCAGTACGAGACGCTAGAGGAGGTCACAACCGTTACTAAACACTTTATTCCGATTGTTCTCCAAGTCTGTGAATTTCATTTTGGGGGGTACTGTGACATCACGAACGTTATCAATGTCAAGGACTTTCGGCGAGATGTATTCTTGCTTTCTGTTGATGTCAAGGTCGTCTGTGCACAACATAACACGAAAATAGCTGCCATAAACCAAATATTAAAAATCTAGTCCCAAAAATCCCGAGTGTCAAGTTTTTAATTTGGCTGAGTATATTTCAGAAAAAATAAAAGAATTAAAACAATTTAAAATTGACAGGCTCTCTCAGAACCACAACTTCGCCCCCAGATCATACTAGGCTGTAGTCGTTTGATTATCTATGGTTTTACGATAAGTTAGTTTACCTTAAATTGTATAACATCATCTGTGTTAAGCTGTAGATCTTTCGTTACGGCATATTTATCATTTAGTTGATTACCAAGAACCATGGCTGGCATCCCTGATTGACAATATTTACCATTGACACCTTCAGTTACCATTAACCAATTACCAGATTCAAATGGATCTGGGTTATTCTGTAAAACAAAATAATTTAGCTCACAAAAGAACCAACATCAGTGTAATATTCATTGTCATTGGCATCAATACTGTAAATTCTTCACTTAATCTGATATGAATAATTGATATCTGATCAACAGATATAAATCTCAGTAATTTAAAATTAAATTTAAATAAAGTAAACCAACATCGAAATCATCTTCTAGTTGGGGTAACCGTTCATTTGGTCCTATATAAATTTCATCAACAGCCCACTGGTCCCGATACTCTCCAGAATTAGATGGTTGCCACCAACGGAATCTTGTACTAGGTGTTTTAGATGTATCTGCTAAATCTAGATGGACAAATCTGAAAATTTTATTCAATTTAGTATTCTTTCTCATTTCTTTTAATTTGGACATAGACCTTTGAAAACATGTTGGAGCATGCGTAATGCCAAATGGTAACATATTAATTTTCTTGGCACATACTGGACTAGAACTAGAACCAAACAATTTTTAGACTCACATAATTTTGGAATCATATAAAAACCTTTATTAAAGATTTGCTATATTTCGTGTAGTTTTGTTTACTTCAATCCTAATAATATTGCAACTACCTGGGTGCTCTGTAGTCTGTATGGTGAAGTTCTTCTAACAAATTCCAATTAATTCCACCATCATTACTGTATTGTAATAAAACTGATTCGCCTCGTTTTTCTCCACCAGTACAATGCTTATCACCTCCACCAATACGTATATAAAACTGAATAAAATCATCTGATGTTGTATCCAAATCTTTGGTTACTAGTTCACGAACACCATCCTAAAATAGCAAAATTATTCATCAAACTATAAAATCATTTGAACTAGGGGAATGGAATAATAGAGCTATAATTAATGATTTATCAATAGTATTTGTTAAAAAAAAATTGCAAATCAAACTTGGTAAAGTATTTGAATAATTACCTTGTAAAAATACATGGATTCTCCCGACAAAATAATTCCACATCCTTCTGTAATCTTGACAACATCCCCACCAGTTATTTTACGAAAGTCTTTTTCTGGTTCATATCTCATACCAAAATCAGCATGTATTACTGATTCCATTGGGGAGTCAGACTGACAGTTCTTACTGACAAAACCATCATCGCATCTACAAATATACAAAAACAATTATTTAACAAAAGGCTCCAAAAAACCTAAATAATAGGTAGTACAACAAAACTGAGATACAGGAATACCACAACAAAATAGATACAAATCTACTTCAAAAGAAGATTAAAATTCACAATATAAAAATACAAACAAATAATACTTTTTTTAATTCTTTGCGCCATAAAATCTAAATTTCTGCAACAACCGGGCTAATCAAGACTGACTTGAAGATGGCTAAAAATCCAGAGGAACAGTCTTAGTCAACACCAGGACCATCTGGTTAGTGAGCCAGTGCCATGAGCTATTGTGACCAGCGCTCCCACCAACCCCTGCCCCTGGATCATATAGGTGTATTGTGTAATTTTCCAACAGTGTCCATAGAGCAATATATAACTTGTATTAATTACTTGCATAATCCATGTTCACATGCACCTTGTCCATTACACATATCAGGACATTGTTGACCAATATAAAATCTTTTAATAGCCCAGGCATCAGTTGGTCCCCATTCTGGTTGTATCCAGCGGAATCGAGTATGTGGTGACCTGAATATAAAAAAAAGCAATAGGTTTCACTAAAGATAAAACAGGCCTTACCAGAAGGTGATTATACATAAATAAAAAGGCTACTTTTCTCAAGTATACTTAAAAGTTACATACCATGTGTCTGGTGGTAATAAAACATTTATTTTTGTCCATTCTGGATATTGAGAATAATGATACAGAGTTCCTGAGTGGTAAGTGTTACAGATATCTGGGGGTAGGCAAGGTTTTTCCACTAAACCCCAACTTATTCCATGATCTGTGGAGTATTCTAAATACAGTTGATTATCGATCCCTTTGGTATAAGGAGTTCCACAACCCATTGTTAAATCAAACTGTATCATCTGGGATGGCCCAATGTTCAGGGATTCTGTCATTAAATATCTAGATTCGTTCACTTTTGTATTTCCAGCAAAGCTACAGAGATAGAATACAATAGATCAAAACATAGCATTTTTTACAACAGACTGAACAGATTGATTATGCCATTTAATAAATATGTAGAAACAAACTTCAGTAATGTTTTAAATAGATTTTTAAAAATTCAATTCATGGGTTGAGGAGTCTAATAGAAGGATAGCATAAGAAACAACTTAATAGAAAACATAATAATTAAATACATTTATAAGGAAAAAATGAAAGGTTGTTTAACGTTATCTGCACCATCTAGGATAATGAAGGCAGGCTTTAGTCATGTTTGAATTCCAACATGTATTGGTTATATTATACCATTAATATGCAGAAATAAAATATGGCTACTATTATTTATATTTATAAAATTTAATTCCTGGTTTGGGAGGTCCAGTGAAATGATAAAATAACAAACAATTTCTTAGTCAACATAATAATTAAATAGATTTATAGGCCTTTTGAACTATTTTATATGTGCTTCAATTAATTGCTTGACTTACGTGATACTTTTAGGTGCTCCACAATAACTATCAACAAGTTTTCCAAGATGTGCCGTTAAATCTTCTCGCATATCTTTCATATCCGCAGCATTAACATCCAACATATTATTCATCTTTTTCGATAGACTCACATCATCTATAGCCCAAACATCTTGACCACGGCCGGAATGACTCATCTGCCTCCAACGGAACTTACAAGACTCTCTTTTAGCAGAATCTGGTAGAGAAACAGAATCCATCCTGAAATGAGAAAATGTTTGCATTTAAGTTAACAAATTCCCACAAAGCAACTAAAACATAGACTGTCCGTCTTTTATATATGTCAGAGTACAACAATGTTATAACAACGGGATATTCTTACAAGAGGATAGTAGAATCAGTGATTCCCTAATTTGGCCAAAAATAATCGTTATTTTGTATTTTTGGAATAGATGGAAGTTAATATACAGAACACAAAATTATAAAAGGTCACTTGTTGAAATGTTGTGCTATGTGTACAAACCAGTGATTTCCATATAAATCGTTTGGTGTTTTTTCCATTAAATAACAAACTGCGCTGAAATTTATCAATTTTAGAAATATGATAACAAACTTTTACAGTTCTTAATACATACATATTTTCTTTGATATTATTCAAACTTACATTGGTTGCTTGAAATCTTTAGCTGAGAATTCCCGTAGAAACTCCCAATGAACACCTCCAGAACAAGTAAATTCTAAAACAACTGATTCCATTGGGGATGAGGGTGCAGGACATTTAGAGGTCATAGAAACACTACCAACACGAATACTGAACTGTAGGTACCTGGATATTAATAAGATATTACACAAAAATATGTTCATCATAGATTACTAAACTGTCACTCCACAACATTTTGGAGTTCACTGTGTAAAGTATCAGTTTTAACATACATTCAATTAAAGGTGCAGAAAAGTATGCTATATGCTTAGGTTATTTTGTTTCTAGCATACAGTACTTCACAACAATCTCAGTCCAATTTAATAAACCTGCGAGTAGCCAATCTCTCCTTACTTGTATATACCAGGACATGGATGTCCAGTTAAATGCTGGTATGACTAGCACCAAAAGGTGAAATATTGGAGATAAACCAAAGTATTAGTGACCAACAATTACCAGTAAGTGGTAAGTTGTCTGACTGCACCCTTTATTGTTTACCTCTAAACATCCGACATCTGTTTTCCAGTAACCCAATGCAATGTTTGCAAAATGTTCATGGACTTGGGAGTCATCTTTCCCCAAAGTTCTGGTTGGGCAAACAAATTGCATAATGATTGGAAATGTTTCACGTCAAAAGAAAATCTCACATTCTGGTTGGTTTAAAAAAGTATTAACTTGGCAGGAAATCAATATATTTGATTATGTAAGTTAAAACCAGAAATAATGGAGAAAAACTATTTTGTTGTTTGAGAAAGATACAGACAAAAAAACAAAAATGTTACATACAAAGAATCTGTTGTATTAAAATCAGTTGTTACAATTTGTCTCAAACCATCACCATTGAATACAAGAGCTTTACCAGATGCTACAACACCACAATCATAACCTATTGTACCACCTTCTATTACAACCAATCCAGAGGATTCTACTATATCAGGATTTTCAAAATGTTCTTGGAATGTTGATGGATTAGGAACTACACTCTCCTCGCAATATGTTCCTTTATAGCCAAAATCACAACTAAAATAAAAAATATGTTCCTAAAAAAATATCAGGCAGGGTAAGATGGACAGAAACACCCAATATATCAAATAAAGTTATATACTATTCAAAAAAAGTAGGGGATATTTGATTTTGGGGGCATAATACTAAAATATGCAAATGACTACGAAAAAAGTCACTATAGAATCTAACAGAAGAAACATTTCCAGTTACATGTGACGCCCAAACGCACCAATAGCTACCGCATGGAATGCATGTGATGCTTGGGATCATCATTGGGGTCCAACCCAAGATTTGCACGACTCTGACTTTGAATGTTACAGTCATTGTGGCATTGAATTCCAGGGTGGAAACATCAGTTTAATTGTTTTAGTGACCAGAAAACAAATTTTGATATGCGTCGGCTTACCCAAAATGAAAGGTTACGTGCCCTTGGCATGCTACAGATCGGCACAACACAGGCGGTTGTGGCGCGGACGATGAATGTTTCTCAGTCTGTCATAAGCAGGCTATGGTCCAGATACCGTGATACACAATCTGTACAGGACAGACCACGCACAGGTCGACCAAGGGCGACAACTCAAGCCCAGGATCGATTTATCCGTACCTTGGCCTTGAGAAATCGTGTCATCACAGCAAATCAGATCAGCGCTCGTCTTCAAACAGACACTGGTGTGAGAGTGAGTGGCCAGACGATTCGGAATCGACTGCATAGGGGTCACCTTCGCGCCCGACGTCCTCGCGTGATCCCTTGTTTGAGAGATCATCACATTCAGGCAAGACGTCGTTGGTGTAGGGATCGTCAACACTGGGATAATCGACGCTGGAGCAATGTGATGTTTTCAGATGAGTCAAGGTTCACTGTTGATTTTTTGGACAGACGTAGGAGGGTGTGGCGTCGTCGAAACGAGCGCTTCCAAGACGTTAACGTCATCAGACATGATCGATTTGGGGGTGGTTCTGTTATGGTGTGGGGAGGCATCACTGTTGCTGGAAGAACGGCTTTACATGTTGTTGCAGGGCGTGTTACAGGCCAGTACTACCGGGACAACATCTTGGCAGTCCATGTTGTGCCGTTCGCACGACGTCATGGCCGCCGTTTCATCTTCCAGGATGACAACGCAAGATGTCACAGGGCCAGGATCGTTACAGGTTACCTCCAACAACAGAACATCACCACATTACCTTGGCCAGCACTGAGTCCCGACCTCTCCCCCATCGAGCATGTCTGGGAGATGCTTGGACAGAGGTTACGTCAACGTCAACAACGTCCTGCCAATGTCCAAGAACGTGCTGCTGCGTTGCAACAGGAATGGGACAATCTGGACCAAAATGACCTTAGACGTCTCATTAGGAGTATGCCACGTGGGATCAATGCTTGTTTGGCAAACAGAGGAGGATTTACCCGTTACTGACTTGGTTGTGATGCTGTGGTAACTTTGCTGTTTGACCCCGGGTATCATTTTACCCTTATAATGGTCAGTCTGTGCCTTACTTAGTCTAACGATCATTTGGAATAAATCGATGAATGTGAACTTCATTTCATTTTGTCATTTGTTTCTTCGTCAGTTTCATTAGGTGACTTTAATAACACTTAAAAATCAAATATCCCCTACTTTTTTTGAATAGTATATATAAACGAATTTACAAATAACTCTGCAAATGGATGTGTATAAAGGTAAGCCAGCATACATGCTATTAATTTGGCTGAGAGAGAGAGAGAGAGAGAGCGAGCAATGGGGCTCAACATCCACTCAACACAAACTAGGTCTTTTTGGGACTACCATATGGTTCAATTTTATTTCAACAATTCACAAGCATGTATCTTTAGCAGATGGGCAAACCGGAGGCCCCTGAAATAATTACAAGATTGGACACTCCTTGTCACTTACAAGCGGGGAATCATGCCACTTGACTCAATGATCTTTAGCGTCTGGGTTCAACCATTCGGCCACCCAACCCTGCAATTTGGTTTAGAAGAATTTATGTTCACAAAGAAATAAATTGTTGCTTTACTTACTCACAGCCTTCCTGATGACAGAAACCATGTCCATGACAACCATATAAACAATTTCCAATAAAAACTAAAATAATAAAAGGATAATAGCATAGCACATTTAATTTATTTGTCCTATTTTAAACATAGAGGGGGAGGTGGGGTAATAACAAGATTTGAGAGGCTATTTATTTATCAAAGAAGAAATCATTAAATTTGTTAGAACGGAGGAAAAACAATGCTTTATTTTTACCCTACCATCATCAACAGCCCAGTTTGGTTGTGGATCATCTGCAGGTTGCATAAAACGGAATCTAACAAATGGTGTTTGAACCAAATATGGTAGTGGTAAAGTTATTCTTTCCCATCTGAAAATTGTATTAAATCATAAAGTATTACTGGACCTTATTTTAGTCAATTACTTTGCAGGTAAGTACATGGAAATGAAACGAAATGGGTTTTGCCCGCTCAACGGCGCTACAGTGTCCTTTCATATCAAATTCCAACTGGCAAGGGATCTGTTATGTGCACGTCAATGTGTACACAGGACCTGAGCCCATCCGAATGACTAGACAGCTGTTAAGGGTAATCAACACCGAAAAATCCCGATTGAATTATCTTGGCCAACACTGGGATCAAATTATCGATCCCCAGGCTAGTGAGCCAGCATCTTGCTCTCTTAAGCCACCGTAACTCCGCTGCAGATAATAGATTTTTAAGGAATCGGGTATATTATTAATGTGAAAATGGTTTGATTCCATCATAAAACTGAATAAATCCAACAAACTTACCCATTTTGTTCATGAGAGGAATAAACTGAATCAAAAGGGAGATAATCACCATGACAAGCAGATGGTAAACAGGGGGAGAATAAAGGAACCCAATCCAATCCATGATTCGTAGAAACTTCTAGTTGAAGACTAAAATAGAAAGAATTAAAGATTGGACAAATCAAATTCTACTTGATAAGACATATATATAATAATGAAAGACATACTTTTTCAAAGCATATAATAATCATAATGAAGAATAGAATTGTTGTAAATATTTATCTTGGTTGAAAGTAATTTTTTGTATGAATTTCAACTTATTTGAAGATGGGTTCCCAGAAAAGTATTTATCAGGTGGTTATTTCCAATAAAAGTATGGCAATTTTGGTATATATGGAAAGTAGAGATATCCAATCTTACTAGAAAAATACTGGATTCCCCGAAAAATACTCATGGAGCGTATACAGGAAAAAAATGTAAGAATTCCCCTATTCGACAGCCCGATGATTAGGAATTTCTGCATGCGTGATGTCAAAGGTCACACGCGAACATTGAGCTCTTGATGTACAAGTTGATAAACTTTATGAATTGTTAGACGTACAACACTTTCTGAGATAAAAATGACGGAAAAAGACACGGGTAGTGGATAATCCGAGAATTTAATTAGGATTCGATATTTGTAATAAATAGTAAGCGATTAAAGACAACATCGTCTTATGTATGCAATGAATTCTCCTCTGACTTCCAAGAGAGGTAAGTCACGTGACGTAAACATGACCTGGTTTGATCAAATTTTTATAGCAGGGCAATTACAATGTTTGAGAAGGATTTGAAGCAAAATTATGACAAATTAATTAGTTTGAATATGTTTTTAGTCCATATATACCATAAAATCACCCAGTTTGTACGCAGGAATGTATCTTTAATAGACAATGCCGAAAACATAAACATGAATACAAAAACGTGACAATGTAACACCACTGATTCCAAATGTCTTTTTTTGTTCACCTATTTTTCTGTGTATTGATCCCACACTGTAAATTGATTTTAAATTGAATAACTTGATTTCTATTAGGAGACATTTCTGTAGGTATTGTGGGCAAGACAGTCACTTTATCAATAGCCCAGACATCCCGACCAGCACCACGATGTGTTTTCTGAATCCAACATATTCTAGCTCTAGGTCCGTTCTTAAAAGGACTTATTTCCATGGAAACTAACTGCGGTTCCTACAAATAAGAATACCAGTTAACATAAAGTTATATTCATACAGTATTTATTTAATTGCTAAAACAAATATGAAAAGAAGCAAGGTATTATAAAATTGGTTAACCTCTCAAGTTAAACATGTTCCACATGTTCCACAAATTAAAAATATGAATGTGGATCAGCTAAACCGTCCACCTAGATAATTATAATTATCATACATTTAAAAAGGCACAAACAGTCTATTTTTTAATGTAAACTTGTTGATATTGTATTCTTGTGTGAATTAAACTGAGAATAACAGATTGTGCTTTTAATTAAAGAAAATTACCAAATATCTCTCTGTTTCTAGTTTCTGCAATACTTGTGTCTGTCCAGCTTCATCTTCTAAATAAACTAAAATGGAGGCTTTTTTTGATCCCGGTGGATTGCAAGAACCAGATCCTTTGAATAAAAAATAGTTACATAGAAATATCTTTTTAATTGATTTGGAATTTAACAAAGTTACAGACTAGAGGATACAGTGTGAATGATATCCCGTTTTTCTTGGCTCATGCAGTTTATGCTTACAAAATACTACTCACATTTGAGTGTCCACTCGACACAAACTAGGTCATTTCGGGACTAACATACGGTTTAGTTTTATTTCAATAATTCGCTTGCGCGTAGGGGTCTTTAGCAGTGGGAGGAAACCGGAGGACCCAGAGAAAACCCACGAGGTTGGACAGGCGACCTTACTCCTTGTCACGTACAACTGGGGGTTCGAAACCACACCAGTCGACTCAATGACAGACTTTATGATATAGCGCGCGCACGCTAACCATTCAGCCACCCAACCCCCCACATTTGTTCAAGAAGTTAATTATATAATATTATAATCAATACTAGCATTATATTTTGGTTATCTGAAGTTAAAAGCTTACCGATACCAAGATAAAATCGAAGATTTCCCGCTTCTGTTGTGTCCATATATGGTGAACAGGCCAAACGTTTACCATCTGCATCAAATACCATCGAATTCCCTGTCCCTATTTCACCACATGTAACATCTACATGACCTCCTCTTATCTCCCATCTTTAAAAAAAATTGTTCACATTTTGATTTTTTCTTTTCATATTATTTTCTTGTAGCAGGCTTTACCTACAGATATTCTCATGATTTTTCAGAAAGAGACAGAGAGAAATGTGGTTTAATGTCAACTCGACACATACTAGGTCATTTCAGGAGTAACGTGTTGTTCAGTTTTATTGCGATTCCTTTCTACACATAGGTTGGACAGGCCTAATCCTTGTCTCGTACAAGCAGGAGATGGAATCCAAACCATCTAAAGAGCTTGTTTTAAATCATTCGACCACCCAATCTCCTAATCATATCAGAGAAATATTATCAAACCAGCTGAAGAGCACAAATGGGGGGTCGGGTTATATACATTTATGTCTACAATGCCTTAGAAATTCAACAAAGTAAACAATCAATGCCATTTAAGAGTTCATGTACCTGAATCATAGGATTGGTGGTGGGGAGGATCGTGAGGACATACTAGCTTGTGTATTAGTGCTAGTAAAATCATAACACTTCAGTTTATGAGTCATGCTCCCCACCACAAAAAACCCTTGACATGAAAACACCTCAGATTTGACCCACTAAAATTCAATTTCTAAATTTCTTCAATATTATTTGTACTTTATTAAAATTTGTATGACAGTATTAGTGGCATACAAAATAAGAAAGAGTGGGGCAAAAAATCATGTGGTGTATGGGTATCTGTATGGGTCCAGAACACAATTGTTTTATATTTTAAGAGCTGAAGAAACATATCGAAAATAACATCTAGTTTTAATCACTGGTAGATTGAGTAAAGATGGTAGATCATATCATCTGTCAATTTACTTACCCCGGTTGCTGCTTGAATTCAAAGTCTTCAGTAAGCAAACTGTCCTCATCAAATTCATATGGAGAAAGGTCAAGGTCCCGAGTCACCATATAATTAAATGTTTGATTTTTATCAGTAAAATATATAGCATTTTCATCAGAATGACAGTTTTGCTGAAAGTGAAAGAGATTAAGAATGAAATGAAATTGGGTTTAATGTCCTACTATTAGTGTTTAGTAACAGGGCCCATTTTAACACGCCTACAGTCACAGACGTGCCTCTGGATAAAAAATCTGTGCTTTGAAAATCTGAAATCCATGCTTTGAAAAAATGTTATGTAGCTTTGTGAATCTGAGAAGATTGTATCGGGGGAACTGAGCTATCATTATCATCATCAATCACTTTCGATTCTGTTTCAAAAGTTTTGTATTGTTGACATATTCCCACAACCACCTAAAGCACGAAAAGTACATTGCAGAACATCGTCAGGTACAGCTGACAGTGAAGGTTCGTTTGCCTTTGGATCGACTTTGGATGTTTTTTGGGGCTGCTAATGATAATGAAACGTATAATCGTGTTATGTGAAGTCAAATTCTGGGAATTTTCACAGAAGCCCAAATATAACCTTAAAATAGGTCCTGTTTTGTACCAACTGATTAAGCATGAGCAAAAAAATTAAATAAAGAGTGAGAGAAATATGGTTTAATGTCTACATGACACAAACTAGGTCATTTCAGGACACATGGTTCATTTTTATTTCAATAATTCACTTAAGGGATTTAGCTGTGGGAAGAAACTCAACAGGTTGGACAGACTGCCTTACTCCTTGTCAAATACAAGTGTCCACTCGAAACCACGTCATTTAACTCAATGACAGACAGATCTATAGCACACATGTTAAACCACATGAACATCCAACTATCCAGGATAAGGAGGGAGTGTTAGCGTGACCAGGATTTAAAATTCAGGAAAAGGTTCTAGTATCCTAATACAGTTTTGGTACGTACTTGTATATTAGCACCGGGGAAGAACAACCAGTTACTAGGATCAACAGGATCAAAATCGTCTATTAATAATTTTGGTGGTTCAGCTATATTTACGATTAAAATATTATCAATTGCCCAACAGCTTTTATAACTTCCCGATGGATCATCCTGACTTGGTCTTGGATCATTAGGTTTATCTAACCGTCGAGGTGCTGGGGAAGGTAAGGAAGGTGGTGCTGTTGGGTATTTTCCTCCTTTCTTAGATTTAGCTCCTCCATAATACTTCGCATTATCATAGTTCAGTGGTCGATCTAAATCAATAGCAGGTGTTGTGGTTTCTTTGTCATCATCATAATTGTATGGATATGTTGTGTTGTAGTTTGTGAAATTTTGAGACCATGGATTGTCATTGTAAGGTTCGTCCTGTGCCAAAACTTCTGGAATTTCTGGAAGACGGCGTACTTGATTAGGCAGTTGCCGCCATTGTATACAAATGCCCTGACCTCTAGCTTCTGATGGAAGATGTACCATATGGACCTCTGTTGCTGATGTTGTTGGTGGCCTGAAGTGGAAAAATAAATTCTTTGAATTAAAATATTTAGCATAACAAGGAATCTAAAAACCTACATCATTAACAAACAAATATATTTACTACAGTAGCAAACAGACAAACTATATATATATATATATATATATATATACATGAAAATCTTATAGGCAGAGGTGACTCTCTATTTTTCTCTGTCCTTCAATTTAGATACCTCAAATTCAAAATATCACGTATCAAATTTTTAATAGCTCGAGGATAGCATTGTTACAGGTTTTCACAAACCACAACTAAAACTAGCTTTTCAAAACTGTTCTGTTACTTACATTCTAATCAAAGTCAATCTACATTCATTGACTAAACTCTCACAAAAAGACATGTTTTTGATTTCTATTCCAGAGATAAACTTATATAATATTACATGTAGGTAGACTTTTCACATTGTTGTGGCCATATGGATTTCATTTTTGCAGACCTTGCCATAAATTACAAAGGAGAGTGATTATTCACCGTCACCTAAACCATTTAATGGAAAAAACTAAAGAGAGAAACCTTCCACTTGTCTCAGATATTATCAATTTTGAAAGTCTGTGACTAGTATGTAACTATTCAAATATTAGAAGGCTTTGACGTTCTCCTTCAAATAAAATCTTGGCACAAGAGAGAGAGAGAGAGAGAGAGAGAGAGAGAGAGAGAGAGAGGGTTTGACATCCATCCAAAACCAACTACCCGGTAGGTCATTCCGGACTAACATATGGAATAATTTTATTTCAATAATTTGATTGCACGTAGTCGTCTTTCGCAGTGGGAGGAATCCAGAGGACTCGGAGAAACCCACAATGGTAGGTAGACTAAAAACTGTCATTTTCTGATCTTCTGAATATATTGTATAAGTGTGGTACATATATTGTAGCCTACCTGACTTTCTCTATTTCTATAAAATTTTGACAACCATCAATACTATAAGATACAACAATATCTTTATCTTGACTGTCACGTCTACCACATGATCCAGCAGCTGAAACATAAAACACACATGGAATAAAATAAAACCAAGTACAAACAATCCAAACCATTAGATAAAATTTGAAGTCCTAAAAAACAGTATCGGCAAATTAGTGTAATCGGCATATGGACTGTTCACCATGTACAAAATACATGATGAACAGTGGTAGCTACAAGGCTACAAGGCAGAGAAATTTCAATCTTCTATCACTGCCGATCACTTTCACTCACTGGGCAGTTATTGTTTACCAATATATGTGTTATTAAATAACATTAATGGCAAGTGTCATGCATGAGGCAGAGTATGGTTACTGTTTCAAAACACCTGATATTACCTCCTCAGTTATTTTGATACCTTTCCCATGGTCTATTACATTAATTTGTTATTTCATATTTATGGAATTTGTATACTCTTTAGGATTGATGACACTACATGTTCATATTTCTACTTACACACAGCAAATTGTAGAATCTTAGAAGATGTTGTATTTAACGGCACAGTTATCTGAAAAAGATTTATCATTTATGTACATGTTCAATCTTCATGTAAATTCACAAGTTAAATTGTAAAGTATGATTAATAAAAAAGAAATTAAATAGTGTGTATACGATAAAAGACTGCCTATATCTTTATGCTATATTATCAAATATATCTACCAATTGACGTTGTCCTTCTTTCTCACAGAAAACAGCTGAGTTACCATGTAGAACAACTCCACATTTATCTGATACTTCACCACCTCTTGTTACCTTCCTATAATATAATCATATCCTCTGCATTAATTTATCCAAAAATATATTGCCCTAGAATACCCTTAAGACCAATAATGTAGAAATTTACAAGCAATCTCAACAAAAAGGTAACAAAAGGTGTCTTTTTGACTCAAATTCTGGTAATGGAGAAGATCTGGGGATGATAGAAACTAATATCCTTGTGTTCTATCCATGTTAATTGGCCTATAAAAATCAGACTTGTATTATTAAAAAGTTTAGTTTTGTTTAAATAGAGGACACATGTGAAAGGAGTCTTTTTGTAGGAGCCATAAACTACATTTTAAATCAAGACCAATTTTATTGTATAAGAAATACATTTCTTTGTACATGTACAGACATTTTTGAGACAAGCTTTTTTTTTCTTTATTGATTTAAAGTAGGATGCTTAATTAACCAAGTGGTTGCAATGCAAGATACACCAACATTTTGTAAGAGATGGACAGAGAACCAGCTAAAAAAATAAGCGATATTTCGTACAATCAGTGGCCATAATCCAGGAAGTCAGGGTCCGATATGTGCCAATATTGAAATCAACTGTCATTATCGTGTAACAGTGATATATTTAAAACATTTTTTTTTAAATCGGACAAAAATTGTAAACTCTAGTAGAGGTTCCACTAGCTAAAAACATGATTTTTCGTACAATCATTGGCCATAATCCAGGAATTTAGGGTACGATACGTGCAAATATTGAAAGGAAGCCAGATCTTTTGGATATAAACATATATTTTAAGCTTCATCAAAGTCAGATAAAAATTGTGAACTCTAGAAGGTCCACAACCTTGGAATTACATACTTTTACACTATTGGTGTATGTAGGGTGACCATTTTGACAGGAGGTTCGGTCCCATTTTCACGAAATTCAAAATCAACCGTCATTATGGTGTAACAGTGATATATTTGAACCGATCTTAAAATTGGATAAAAATTGTGACCTGTAGAGGGTTCACAAGCTAAAAACGTGATGAAAATGTGGGCATATAGAAATCTTCTGATTGAATGCCTATGTAGACAAACAATAAAAAAGTTTTTAAAACAAGTATCTAAGCTTTTTCTATAGAGAGAACATTTTAATTATGATGGTTGCAAATCATGTGACCAAAGAAAATGTCAGCTTTCTTTATTGATATTATGTTTTAGTGAACGCTTCAATTATGATGCTTGACAGTCAAGAAAATAAATAAATTTTTAATAAACAAAGATCTCCAAGTTTTGTAGTTCTGTAATTAATAATATCCGGACTTCTGATTAGTAATCCCACTAACAAAGACAACATGTACATGACCTTGATCCTATAAATATTACAAGTAAATATCTTCAAGAAAACGTATCATATCATCATCAACAACATAATATTAATTACATGGATCATTACAGTTAAGAGAAATTTAAAATTAATTTATTTAGGGAAAAAAGGAAATATAGAATAGTTAAAGAGGCTTTATGTAGATATTTAGATGAAGAGCTGACAGTTATCGCTAAAACAGATAATCAGGTCTGGAAATAACGGTTTTAGATGTACCTGACAAAAGGTCAGGCACTAATGCAATAGTACCTGACATTTTCTACTTGGTGCAGGACATGTATTATAATATCAAAAAAAGGACAAATTAGTGCCAGACAAAATGACAGGCACCAGAGGTTTTGTGCCTGACAAAGCCTGAATCTGTGCCTGACATTGTCTGTGACAGGTGCCTTATTTCCAGGCTTGATAATTTCAGTCAAATTACTTCATTCCAAACACTGTAGTCTGAATTGTCATTGCTACTGCTGTTAAGATAACAAAGTCTTAATTATCCATTTTTAAATTAAATCATTAATTGTCAATCATATTTAATTCTGTTGACCTGAAATAGGCAGATTTAGCTCTTAAATAATACCTCTTTAAGTGTATTTGAGTCAGGCTTGGAAATATTCATAGAAAATATCCATATTTACCATAAATCTTGTCGAAAAGTTGGTGAAGAATCAAAATCATCTCGAAGAATAACTAATTCAGAATGAAGTTCAGCTAAGTCTGGTCTAAGGGGAGTTTTAGAGGCATCTGGGATAAATAAAATATAGAAAACTTGTAAATAAATAAATAAATGAATACAAATTTATTTAGATAGATGAACTGAAATGTAAAAAAATATTGGATAACAATAACAACATTTTACTCCTGATCTAAATTTTCATCTAGACATATTGTCAATCTATAACTAAAATTAAATATGTCGCCGCTTCTCTCTATTTTACAAAAATATATATTAGCAAGATTCTCTTAATCTTTAAATTTTATTTGTATATGTTTCAATTCTATATTATTCTACATGTACACTAAAATATATATCCTAAATATCTAAGCATGATTCTTTTTTTTGTTCAAAATGTGAAGTATTCACATCTGATCACAAACTTAACAAGTTTTATTTGAATGGGTTTCAATTTCTTTTTATATTAATCCTTGTTAATAATACCTCCTTCTTCACACAGCTGTAAAACAACTGTATCTTTAAATAATAACTGCTGTTGTAGATTGGCTGTTGCCCTGTAAACAGAAACATTCATTACACCAAAGTAAGCTATATATACAACAAATATCATACACTCTATACACTAATCAATTCATTTTGCGACTAACTTGGTAATGTAAATTTTAATTACAATTTCTTTAGTAATGGGAGGTCATCCGACTTCTTGTCAAATATATCAACACAGGATTGAACAGAAGATTTGAATAAATAACAGGTCTTTAATCTAGACCCAGTTTGCCCCAATTCCACCTGAATGTTTAAAGAGCACACTAACATAACAAGCACCAAACAGGATAAACACCTTAACACACACGACCAGAAGTAAACATGATAGACAGTGACGAGTATCATAAATTATGAACACCTAAACATGACAAGCACCAAATAATATGATAATCACCTAAAAACATGACAGGCACCAAACATGATGAACACCTTACGGCTAGCCCCCAGATCCATTCACTTGATCTGATATGTACGTTTGTTTGCAATTTCTGCGTATTGTGCCTTGTCTGTAAATTTGTCTTAGGTAAATGTTTGTGTGTGGTGCAGTCCCCCTGCACGTACTATTAACATGACAAGCACCAAACATGATGAACACTTTAACATGACAAGCACCAAACATGATGAACACCTAAACATGACCAACATCAAACATGGTGAATGTCCCATGATCAGTATTAACCATGTTGCATCTTAATATGATATCATTATAAACATGACCAGTATAAAACATGGTGAATACCTAAACAGGACAAGAAAACCTTAACATTATAGCAAACATGATAAACATCTTAACATGATCAGTAGCAAACATGATGAACACCTTAACATGATAAACATCTTAAAGGGACAATAACACCCTTGCTGGCTTGAAAGCTCCAGAAAATAAATAATATCTCTATCTAAGTACTAGATGTTTAAGTGTCCTACCTGTTGTGTAAATTATCCATTACATCCTATTTTACTTGTTCAGAGGGTTCGAAAATATTTTTAAATCGAAGTTTCATTTGAAAAGGTTTACGTTAGACGTTTAAAACCATTATGTTGAATTTTTCAAATTTTTTAAATAAGGTGTGTTAAGATGAAATTTGTATCATCAATTAATTGAAACATTCTAAAATAGTACAATTTGTTGACCAGAATAAAGATTGGGACATATTATTCAGTTACAACAAGAGTGGTATTGAGCCTTTAACATTATCAGTAGCAAACATGATGAACATGTTAACATGACAAGCACCAAACATGATAAACATCTCAACATGAGCCAGTTGCAATCATGATAAACATCTTGATATGAGCCAGCATAACACAGATGACCAAATTAAGTATCATACGATCAGGAAGAAACACAGTGAACAAATTATCATGAAACACATCCGACAAGATGAACAAATTAACATGACAAGTGTCAAACAAGATGAGCAAATAAACATGACAAGTATCAAGCAAAATGAACAAATTACCATGACAAGTATCAAACAAAATGTGCAAGTACTGGACACAGTGAATACCTTAACATGATACACATTACTATAATTCATTTGTGAAATAACATTATTTACTGTCATTTTGTGTAATGGTGAAGATTATGAAATTAAGGAACATGTACTTACAAGAAGCTGACACAACCCATCCCAGCACTTGGCGCTATCCACACAAATGACAGTTCATGTGTTGGGAGATAATTCATATGAGAATGCACTATAGAACACATAAGATTCTGGCCGACAGGTTGGTTACCCTGTACACCAGGCTGGGCGTACATCCCCATTGCTTTGTTTGATATTGAATATAAACCAGTTAGAAAAAATCCATTAAAATTCATACTAGATGTCACAGTAACTGAAAAAGAAGATTTTTATTTTACATATTCTAGGATTCGAAATATTATATTTATTAATTTATCCTTAAAATGGGAGGTTAAAAAAAAGAGCTGGCAGTTGTCACTATAATAGTTAAAAACTAGATAATGTAAAGGGAATTTGCTGAATATTTCAGTCAAACTGATCCACTCTGAACCGAGAATTTAGCCTCGATCATCCATACTAAAGTCAGTACGATAAAAAACACAGTCTCGATTATCCATTTCATGATTAAATCATGAATGAAAGTTGAAGTACAGCAAATCGGATTCTAATCCAGAAAATATTGCAGGCTAGCAATCACATCGAGAGTTGATTATGGTCTGGATAAGTTCATTAATGTCTAATTAAAAATTTAGATAGCATTAAAGGCCTAAAGAAAGACCTGAAATAGGCAGATTTAGCTCTTGCATAATGTATGTCTAACTAATGTTTCTCAAAATGTTTTTTGTTGGCTTCCACCAACTAATGGTACTGTTTTGTGTAACAAACTATCATTAAATATTTTGGGAGTTACTGTTGGTTTTTAGCATTTTTATTCATTTTGATACCAATTAGGAATAAGCCCACTCTGTGATGGGTATTTCAGACCTAAGGCACCCTATTATCAGAACAAAGATTCTGTCAGTAGACAATTTATCTGTTGAATCACTTACTTTCATAAAATTGTCCTGGTATATAAAATTCTGGATCTCCCTTCACCGTGACACTTAATGCGACCTCTCCTCTCTCCACCCCCATTTCTTGAACGTTACCATGATAATTACACAGGAAGAAAAACGGTGCCATTGGTGGAAGATTAAATCCATTTGTCTCCCGGACAACCAGAATTAGACTGAAGACTAAGAGTAATTTCATATTGAGCACTGAAAACAGAGAATTAACATATAGCAAAATATTAGAAAATAAATTACTGGGTATTTCCTTCATGTTGTCATATTTCACATCAAGAAAAATAATAATGTGATATTTCACACAAACAATTCCCTTCCAAAATTAAGCAATGCAAATTTTTTTTAATTATTATTTTCTGAAAATGTACTAGAATTTGTAATTCAATTAAATAAGTCATAATTTGCAAAAGGTAATAATCATAAGGAAATAAATTTTTTGGAAAAAAAAACATTATTTGAACAAACAACATTTATTTAGACATCAAAATATGGAAATTGTATTCAATTGAATAGATCAACACCTAAAATAAATCTCAAGCCCAACTGTTAACCTAAAGACTAAAAATTTATGGAATTTATAATAATTTTTTTAAAGAAAAGGAGAATTATAAACCAATGAAAATTACATCAAGTACCTCAAAAAGGTAATTATTTAAACATACCATTATTACTGATTTCTGTGAGAGTTAACAGAAAAAACCCGAAATAAATCATTGGCTTAAACAATATGCAAGTAAATAAATTAGATGTAAAAAGTCATTAATTCAACACATACCATTATTAATTATTTTCTTCTGCAAGAACATTAATAAACGCACTGTCTTGACAAAATATTCATTAATATATTCTTTCGAATCAAAAAAATGTTATTACGTAAAATAAAATAAGGGCGATTCATATGACGTCATGTGATTTAATCTTTGTGGTATCAGAATATTGTCACTTTTCTCAAGTGGACGCATGTTGTTATTTATGGCTATTAAGACAAATGTCTCGGAAATTGAATACTTCACAAAAGTGTTAAGAGCTAATAGTTCAGGTTTACACCAGAGCTGATATTTAAGTGGTTTTTAAAACTATAACATGCTCTCTTAATTATAACAAGCTTTACATACATATAATTATTTTGAATACCAATTGAAAGAAATTAATCAGCTGATTATTTCACCATTTAAATTTGCAATTAACCTAGAAACAATAATATTCCACAATCAAAGAAAATTACATGTAAATATACTATGTCAGCAATTCTTTGACTAAGGTTATGAACTTTGCATTTTCCATGAAATACTGACTTTATTTTTTGTGTAGTAAAACTGTAGCCTATAAACTAAATTTATTTATAAAAAAACAACGGTTTTTACTTTTTGCTTTATTCACACATAATCCAGTATCATCTATAAACAAGATTTTTTTTATTGTAATCACAACCGGCTTCTGCTTCCTTAATTTATTATTTTTTAATTAAAGTTTGAAAAAAATACATGAAAGAAATACTTACCATACATGTCTTTATAGGTTTACTTTCCACTTACATATAAAATCTTGAGCATCATATTAATAAAACCATTCAATTACTTATGTCTACTTCTATTCCTGAGAATAATTAGTTTGTCCCTTTTCTTGAATTATATTTTTCTAATACTCTCCTTCAATACAAACTTTACCTCTTTACGACGCACATTCTATTATTCCTTTCGCCAATATCAATTAATAGTTTCCTGCACACAACTTACACTAAACACTTACATGAAGTACAAAAATAAATTAATGTTGCTGGAATGTAACCATAATTGGAACCTTGAGTAATCAATTTCAATAATCAAATGACACAGTTTCAAATACTTTCTAATATACAAATAAAACAAATTATTTTCAAAATTTGATAACACAAGTTTTTAAATTAAGGTCTGGATCCGGGTTGTCAGAAAAACATTATATAAACTTCTCTTATTTCAAATTAATGGTTTCAATGATAAAAAAAATTGTTCTTGAACTTCCAGGAAAATTTAATGTCTGTAAAAGACCAATCTAAGTCACTCAAAGATACTTAAATGGCTTGATAACCACGAAACTTTGTTTCAAACTTGAATATATGTACTGCATTCAAGTGACTTGATAATCAGAAATGCTGCTGAAAGTTAACTATCAGAATGAAACAGAATTTGTTTAATAGTCTAATATATCAGAAGATCGGGCCAACCACAATTTGCCTGAAAATAATCTGGTCTGTCAAAGTTGAGATGATAAGAAGGGAGGCAAAAGTCATATTTTTGATGCTATCTCATTTTAGAGTCAACACATCTGTTTCAAATAAATAAATCCTTATAATCTTTTTAACAAAAATAACAGAATGCAAATGTTCTTAAATATTGTGTCAAGAAATTCGATCAAATTCCTGGCCCTGTTTCCACTACTATTTTCTATATTAATATAAGAATTCTACATGTATATTCTGAATTGTGTATTATTAAGTGCATTAGTACCACATCCTCACAATGCTAGACATAATGTGGTTTCAACTGAATTTATTTTTTATTTAATGGAGAGAGATAGAAAACAAACTAGGTCATTTCGGGACTAACATATGGTTTAATTTTGTTTACATAATTCGCTTGCGCGTAGGGGTCTTTAGCAGTGGGAGGAAACCGGAAGACCCAGAGAAAACCCACGAGCTTGAACAGGCGACCCTACTCCTTGTCACGTACAACCGGGGATTCGAAACCATGCAGTCGACTCGATGACAGACTTTATGATACAGCGCATGCATGCTAACCATTCAGCCATCCAACCCCTCTTTATTTAATGGAAAACTGTGGTATTTGCAAAACTGTTTATATTCTACTACAGGGTATAATTCAATGTGGAGTAGCCTACATGTCGGTCAGAACAGCAATAACAAATCCAACTAAATATTCAGGTGACGAAATGAAATTTCAAGTCCTACTTTAGGGAGACAAATAAAAGGTTGTATCTCTAGTAATTGGGATGTAGTATGTAGTACAGGAATATATCTTTGAAAGGTATTCTAGGGTCGCTCTACCAATGTTACTATTATGTAGTCATCACTGGCACAGAATGTGAAGCCATGGTGGCTAAGTGAGGAACCCGCTGGCTCACTAGCCTGGAGGTTGTGGGTTCGCTCCTGGTGTTGGTTGATAAAAGTTCACTGGGAATTTCCGGCGTGGTGCAGGACGATAGGCCTGGCAAGGACAGTTGTCTAGTCGTTTGGATGGGATGCAAAAATGAAGTCCGGTGTACACATTGGCGTGCACTTAAGAAATCCCTTGGCATAGCACCACTGTCCAGGCAAAATTTCTCTCACAGGACACTGCATATGTCCGTCTTCATTAGCACAGTGGGAGCAAAGTGTTAAACTCCATTTCATCATTACAGAATGTGTTTTTCTTAACCATGTGATAATGGAGTGATAAATAATGTTAGATTTGTAGTGATTTTAATGCACAGTTACAAATAACCCATTTTTATACGTCCACAGCAGCACTATCGTCAACTCTTATATCGATTTCCAACTGCCAAGGGATCTTTTACGTGCATTCCAATGTATACACGGGACCTCGGTTTTTTGTTTCATCCAAAGGACTAGACAGCTGTCCTTGTTCCAGGGGCAGAGCACCGCCCATTTATTGTATTTGTTTGTCGTCTACAGGCCGCATTTCTTAACGTATCATCTTGAAACTTTGCACACTTATTCTTTGTACCCTAAGGAACATTCCTATCTTTTGGGGTGCATGCCCAACCCCTAGGGGCAGAGCCACGCCCATTTCTTGTCTTTATTTGTTTGTCGTCTACAGTCCGCATTTCTCAACGTATCATCTTGAAACTTTGCATACTTATTCTTTGTACCCTAAGGAACATCACTATCGTTTGTGGTGCATGCCCAATCCCCAGAGGCAGAGCCACGCCCATTTTCTTTTTGTCCGTCTGTGTGTCGACTACAGGCCACAATTCTTAATCGATCGTCTTGAAAAAATTGCATACCTATTCCTTATACCCTAAGGATGCCCCCTATTTTTGGTGACTGCCCAACCCCCAGGGGCAGAGCCATACCCATTTTTTCTTTGTGTCTCTGAGTTGCCTACACGCCACGATTCCTAATGGATTGTCTTTGAACTTGAGATATGTATTCCTTATAGGCTAAGGACAACAACTGCATGTCCTGACCCCCAGGGTCAGAGCCACGCCCAATTTTTGTATTTATCCCTTACAGGCCGGAGTTCTGAATGGATCAACTTTGTACTTGGCATATGTATTCCTTAAAGCCTAAGGGCGTCAACTATTGATTTTGGTGAATGCTCCGACCCCCAGGTTCAGAGCCACGCCAAATTTCTGCCTTTAGCGCCCGAAGGCCACAATTCTGAATGGATTATCTTGGAACTTGGAATACTTATTCCTTATACCCTAAGGCCGGCAACTATTGATGTTGTTATTTCAATCACAGGGTGGTACCTATTTATATTGTTCCATATCCACCCCCCAGGGGGCAGAGCCACACCCCTTTTTTCTATTTGTCGTCTACAGACTGTAATTCTGAATGATCATCTTGGAACTTTGCATATTTAATCCTTATACCGCAACTATTTATTTTGGTGCTTGCCCCGACCTCCTGGGGCAGTGTCACACCCACTTTTTTGTTAGTATTTTGTCTGTAAATTTGGCATAACAACCCCAACGCCTACCCTTATTTGCCTCTTATCATATTACGGCCATTTCATTCTCTTCATTTTAAAAAGTACCATATCAATCAATGCTGGAATGTGGACGTATATTGCAGCGTTAGCAATGCTCTCGTTTTTAAAAGTTACTGGAAAATTGTGAATAAAATCTGAAGCATTTGAATATCAAGCTTAAAAACTGCAATTGAATGTCTAATTTTGTCAAGAAATAAACATTCACACAATAATATATTTATATCAGTTTTCTATGAAATTAACAAAAATTATATTACCTCCTGACTTCTCCATGTCTTAGGTTTTCAATTCTTCTTTATCAGCTGGCATTTTTCACTGACTGACAATGTCAGCAGGTCCCAACAGAATAGAGTTAATCGTTCCATTGTCAGAAAGAATACTTTTGTTATATGATAATTTTTCATTTCTATGAGTACATGTTAATTCCAGGACATTAAAATTTCTTTTAATTCGAGACTGTTTTAATGATAGTGCAAATGGACTTCCTTTGTTTGTACCATATGTATGGCTAGGCATATTTTTCTTGTCAGGGCCGCAAGCTGTCTTTAGCAGTGGGAGTTAACTGGATGACCAGAGAAAACACACGAGGTTGGACAATAGACCCTACTTCTCGTCATGTACTCACTTGAGATCGAAACCACACCACTTGAATCAGAGTTAAATGGGTTTAATGTCCACTCGACACAATCTATAGGTCATTTTGTGATTAACATATCGTTGAATTTTATTTCATTGCATGTAGGGGTCTTAAGCAGTGGGGGGAAAATGGAAGACCCAGAGAAAACCCATGTGGTTGGACAGATTTTATAATCCAACATACAAGTGTTAACCATTCGGCCACCCTATCAACTCAGTCGGACCTTACGATCTACGGCACACATGTCAGACCTTCCCAGAAACACCATTTTGTTCCATAATAAAATTCAGAATATTTGCATAAAAAGAACAAAAGATCAATAAACATTATTACAAATTTTTAATTTATCAAAGATTTAAATGCAATAATAGCAATAACAAACATAATAATTAATATAACTAAATTGAAATTATATTTTTAAAATTACAATCTTATAATTACATTATTTCTGTCTGCAAATTACATTTTTTCA